TTTACATTTTCTTATGTGTGTGTTAATACACACATCATAACAAGGAAATTAAAAAACACAAAAATTTAACATTTTTGTGTGAGTGTGTTAATACACACATCTTGACAAGAAATTAAAAAAATTAGTCGTGCAAACTTAGGGAGGAAAAATTCACAGAAAGAAATCCGATAATTTAACATTTTCTTGTGTGTGTCTTAATACACACATCTTGGAAAGAAAATAAAAAAATTATAAAATTTAGTATTTTTTGTATGTGTGTTAATACACATATCTTGACAAAAAGACTAAAAAAACTCAAAAATATTACATTTTTTGTGTGTGTTAATACACACATCTTGACAAGAAAAAATAAAAAATTATCAAATTTAACTTTTTTGTGTGTGTTAATAGACATATCTTGGCAAGAAAAATTAAAAAATTTGTAACATTTTTTGTGTGTGTTAATACACATATCTTGAGAAGAAAATATTTAAAAAAAATCTCGAAAATTTAACATTTTCTTGTGTGTGTGTTGACCCTCAACCTTAGATTCTCTTTTTAGCTTTTCAAAACCTTTAAATCATCATCCTTTTGTTTAAATTTTGCATATCTTGACAAGAAAATTAAAAAAAAACTTAAAAATTTAACATTTTCTTTTTTGTGTGTGTTAATATAAATTTTTTGACAAGTAAATTAAAAAAACAAACTCAAAAATTTAACATTTTCTTGTGTGTTTGTTAATACACACATCTTTATAAGAAACTAGAAAAATTAGTACACAAACTTAAGAAGAAAAAATTGACAGAAAGAAACTTGAAAATATTCATTTTCTTGTGTGTATTAAAATAAACACATCTTGGCAAGAAAATAAAAAAACTTCAAAATTTAATATTTTTGTGTGTATAAGTTAATATACATATCTTGACAAGAAGATTAAAAAACTTCAAAAATATAACATTTTCTTGTGTGTGTGTTAATACACACATCTAGGCAAGAAAATAAAAACACTTCAAAATTTAATATTTTTTGTGTGTGTGTTAATACACATATCTTGACAAGAAGATGAAAAAAACCTCTAAAATATAAGAATTTCTTGTGTGTGTGTTAATACACACATTTTGGCAAGAAAATTTTAAAATTCCCAAATTTAATGTTAATACACACATCTTGGTAAGAAAATTAAAAACTTTAAAATTCAACATTTTTTGTGTGTGTTAATACACGTATCTTGACTAGAAAAATAAAATAAAAACTCAAAAATTTAACATTTTCTTGTGTAACACTCATCTGGGCAAAAAACAATTTTAAAAACTAAAAAAATTAACATTTTTTGTGTGTGTTAGTACACATGTCTTGAAAAGAAAATTAAAAAAAAACACTAAAATTTAATATTTTCTTGTGTGTGAGTTAATACACACATCTTGGCAAGAAAATTTTATAAAATATAAATTTAATATTTTTTTGTGTGTGTGTTAATATACATATCATGATAAGAAAATTAAAAAGAAAATCAAAAAGTTAATATTTTCTCGTGTGTGTGTGTTAATACACTTATCTTCACAAGAAAATAAAAGAATTTTCTTACAAACTTGAGGGGGAAAGTCCTTGAAAAAACCTCAAAAATTTAATTGTTTTTTGTGTTTGTATTAATACACATATCTTGATAAGAAAATTAAAAAAAAAAACTCAAAAACTTAACATTTCCTTGTGTGTGTGTTAATATACATATCTTGACAAGAAAATTATAAAAAAACTCTAAAATTTAACATTTTCTTGTGTGTGTGTTAATTCACACATATTGGCAAGAAAATTAAAAAATTCAAAAATTTAACATTTTCTTATGTGTGTGTGTGTGTGTGTGTGTGTGTGTGTGTGTGTTTGTGTGTGTGTGTGTGTTAATACAAACATCTTGACAAAAAAACTAAAAAGACTCGAAAATTTAACATTTTCTTGTGTTTGTGTTAATACACACATCTTGGCAAGAAAATAAAATAAAAATTCAAAATTTAATATTTTTTGTGTGTGTGTTAATACACATATCTTGACAAGAAGATTAAAAAAAACCTCAAAAATATAACATTTCCTTGTGTGTGTGTTAATACACACATCTTGGCAAGAAAATTGAAAAATTCATAAATTTAACTTATTTTGTGTTTGTGTTATCAAAAAATGAAAGATGAGTCAATTAAATGTTAGCTGAACCATTACAAGAATCTTCAGGACTACCCTTCAATCCTTCTTTCTCAAAAATTTAACATTTTTTTGTGTGTGTTAATGCACACATCTTGGCAAGAAAATTAAAAAAACTCTAAAATTTAACATTTTTTGTGTGTGTGATAGTACACATATATTCACAAGAAAATTAAAAGAAAAACTCTAAAATTTTATATTTTCTTATGTGTGTGTTAATACACACAACATAACAAGAAAATTAAAAAACACAAAATTTAACATTTTCGTGTGTGTGTGTTAATACACATATCTTGGCAAGAAAATTAAAAAAAAAACTCAAAAATATAAAATTTTCTTGTGTGTGTGTTAATACACACATCACAGTAAGAAAATTTTAAAAACACGCAAATTTAACATTTGTATGTTCATGAATACACATATATTGACAAAAAATTTAAATACTCGAAAATTTAACATTTTCTTGTGTGTTTGTTAATACACACATCTTGACAAGAAAATAAAAAAATTAGTCCTGCAAACTTAGGAAGGAAAAATTCAAAGAAAGAAACCCGAAAATTTAACATTTTCTCGTGTGTGTCTTAATACACACATCTTGGAAAGAAACTTCCAAATCGTTTCTAAAGCAGATATGCACATTTCCGAATCAGAAACTCTTTCCACGGCGTTTCCAAACCAAAATTTTTAGAAAACGTGTTTCCCTCGCATTTTCTCGCATTTCCGATACGTGAAACACACTTTCAATTGAGTTTCAGTGCAATATAGGTCAAGAGGAGAAATATAACTTGCTATCGGGTTTAGCAATTTTCTTAAGGTAGTGTAGTATAGAGTTCTCGCTTTTCGAATCTCCGTCTTCTTCATCTCCAAATGCCGTTCTTTTCCTCAAGTTTTTATCTTTCGATGGCTTCTTCAGAAAACTGCAAACTGAAAACAGAAGAATGACAAATTTGTTACTCAGTGTCTCCAGTTTCCTTAATTAAACTGTTTGGCTAACAGAAAAAAAAAAAACCTGTGAAACTAGTTGAAAGGTCTAAAATCTCAAATAGGCAACACAAAATTTACAAGAACTAAGAGAGAATAAAGCATATATGTACATTGGTGAGACTCTTGCCCAGCAGGTTAAGACTCTTCGTATTGATATGTTTTGGGTTCACCAAAATCTGACATTATGAGATAAAGATTATGTAAACATAATCACTCATTTGAAATTTTACCTGAACAATAAGAGTATTATTTTTCTAAGATAAAATGAGGAAAAAAAAAATCAGACAATTCAAAAATTAAGGGTCAAGAACGAAAAACTCATCATAATGAAAGGTTTTAGATTTTATCAGAGTTTAATCTTAAAAAGATCACTAAGACCAGAACTAAAAAATGACAGTGCCCAATACATAATCAGCCATGAGTAACATCAATAACAAGAATCTAAGAGATTGGTATAATAATCAAAGGTGATAAGCATAGATCAACAAGAAAGTTCAACGGTATTGCTCATTATTGGATAATATAAAGGCTAATGGGTCATAAAGCCTTAATTTCTAAAGAGAATGTGTAAGATATGTCTCACATCAGAAGTTGAGAGTGACATTGACTAATGGTCTGGCTAGGATTTATATAAGGCACAAAAGTGGCATTGCCCCTTGACACGAAATTGATTGTTTGGCGAGATTAAAGCCTAAACCCTAACACTGATCTGCCCTAAACCCTGCAAATGCTCTAACCCTGATCTGCCCTAACCCTGCAAATGCCCTAACCCTGATCTGCCCTAAACCCTGCAAAAACCCTAACCCCGATCTGCCCTAACTATGATCTGCCCTAACCCTGTAAATGTCCTAACCCTGATCTGCCATAGCCCTGCAAATGCCCTAACCCTGATCTGCCCTAACCCTGATCTGCCCTAACCCTGCAAATGTCCAAACCCTGATCTGCCATAGCCCTGCAAATGCCCTAACCCTGATCTGCCCTAACCCTGCAAATGCCATAACCCTGATCTGCCCTAAACCCGATCTGCTCTAACCCTGCAAATGCCCTAACCCTGCAAATGTCCTAACCCTGATCTGTCCGAACCCTGATCTGTTCTCAACTCCGATCTACCCTAAACCCTACAAATACCCTAACCCTGATCTGCCCTTGATCTGCCCTAAACCCTGATCTGCCCTAAACCCTGCAAATACCCTAACTCTGATCTGCCTTCAACCCCGATCTATCCTAAACCCTGCAGATACCCTAACCCTGATCTGCCTTGATCTGCCCTAAACCCTGATCTGCCATAAACTCTGATTTGCCCTAACCCTGATCTGCCCTAAACCCTGTAAATACCCTAACCCTGACCTGCCCTAAACCTTGATCTGCCCTAACCCTTGATCTGCGCTAAATGACAATCCTAAGATTTATTGTCATTTTCTAAAAATGAACTTAAAAAGCTCTTAGTTTTTCAAATTCATAAGAATACAAAATTACAAAAAGATAGAATATAAATTAATGGATAGAGAGATAAAACATTTGATACATAGGATTGCTATTTTTAGAAATCTATGGGCTTCAATGTACTATGGGCTTAGGAAAATAACAGCATTCTATTTATTCATACGTGAAGATTTAAATAAAGATCACTTCATGGATTCCAATGTTCAAAGTGTGATAAATTTATTAAAAGCAGCATTTCAAAATCAAAAAGAGTTCGGAGATGGTGTATATGCAAATGGGATTACTTCAATTCTTATATTTGAAGATTATCTGTGATTAGTCTCTTAAGAAGACTCAACTAGCTTAATACGAAGAATTTTTGGCCACACAGCCACAAAATATTTTGGTCAGAACAAGGTTTCAAATGGATAATATGCCTTCAATATATTACTTCATGTAAACGGAAGCATTATAACCTGGATATATGTAAGATAGATTTTATACTACATAAATAACTCCAATAAATTATGAAATAAACAATATTCTTGACGACAAAAAAATAGAAATAGTATTTTTATTATTACAATACCCAGTAAAAGATTCATATGCATAAATTATAGAGCAATATTATGCATGTAAATAATAACTGTTGGCGCTTTGTGTTTGAAAGTTCCTTGTGTGAGATAGTGGATCATATAATGAAATACAAGCACACAACATGTAGGGTTCATTTCTGTGGAAGCAGGAGAGGCTGGAAGCCATGGCTGAGACAAGCTTCCCATACTTGGTTCAAATCGGAGAGAAGAACGGATGTACCGCACTCATGCATTTCCCATCCTTCTAAGGCGTGTAATATTCCGGCCACTCTAGTTGCACTCATCGCCTTTCTCGGTAACCAATTCTGCATTTGTGTATTTTTAATTGGTTAGGGACTTCTTATGTATACTATAATTTAACTAGATTGGATGGCAACGCATATTTACCTCACAAGAGTGAATATTCACCAGAGATTTTGGAATTATTAATGCTGGTGTGGTATGATAGAAACAATCTCTACGTAGCTGTTTGAGAGGAAACTGTGAGAACGGTATAAACAATGTGCCTTCTGAGGCTTTTTCCTGCTCTTCTCTCGTTATTCCTTCTCCCACCAGCCATACCTTCACACAAAATTCACTAGTTTAATATTTGTGCTCTTCAAACTACTATATTTCTTTTATTGTTTAATGGTATACCAATTACCTTGTTTGATGAGAGTTCTGCGGGGGTTAAATGGACCAAATGGTCTCTGTATTTTTGTGGAACGCATGATCTTAGTTTCTCGTACTCGTACGGGAGGAGAGTCGAGACCTGTGGATGACATTCACATAAAAATGTAATGAGTTAGCATATTACAATTAGATAAAGAGTTTGGTCCGGTAAAGGTGATTTGTGGATCTTAGATTTTCCCTATAGACATAAGAAACTCAAACCTTTTACTGTCTTCTATTTTAGGTAAAGTAAAAAATGATAATATGGCAGAAAAAAACACCTGAATGCCACTCTGGCAAAGAGCAGAAGCGATGGTGTAAGCCACCTTTGTGAGATTGCCTGTCATCACGACGCTTGTAATTGATTTGGGTACACTATTGATCACAACCGCTGCTGCTAATCTACTGCCATCCACCACTCTCACTTTCAATTCTGGATGTTTTTGGATATACACCTCCCCATTCATGTTCAGCTCCTCCCCCTGTTTCAACCCATCATATTTCTAACACTCGATATGGCATATAATATACCAAAGTAAAACCAAAAAGAGTAAGAGTTTGTTTCTTACTTGGTTCATAAGACCTAGGCTAAGAACCTTCACTCCTTTTTTATCAGCCTCTAGTACTGCTTTCTCAATCATGTTGTTGATGGCATCTTTTCTCCATTTTAATAAGTACTACAAGCATCATATATTATTTCAATTCATCAGCAAAAAAAAAAAAAAAAAAAAAAAAAAATTCACAAAAGGATTAGTAAAACTGAAGATGATGATGATGAGGACCTGTAGATTATATCTTGGTATTATCCAAGACTGCAAGTTAAGCTTCTCGAATGAGTTTCTCTCAGCGACAAAAAGGTGAGCATAGAAGAGAGTGAAGAGCATGGAGAGAGACGTGAAAGGCCACAAAAGGCGCATGAACCATCGATAAGAGAAGGGGTAGGAGGCAAATGAAGCCAAGCCAATGCGCAAATGGTATATGGACTCAGGCGTCGTCAAGTGAGTTAAGTGCACAACATCCACTCTATCTTCTCCTCTTTCTAGAGATTTCTCGTACAATGTATCCGAGGTTTCATCCATTGTGCCGTAAATGTAGTCATACAAGGGCATGAAGAGGGAATAGTTCGTTCGGAACTGCGTGTGGTGCAGCGAGTGGAATCTGCAACTCCCATTATCAAAATTAGTATCCAAAAGATATAAATAACAACAACTGCATGTTTTAATTTGGATTCTTTATGGTCATATTGCGGTCAACGGAAACAAAAGGAAATGAAATATGTATTAAGATGTGTTAGTAAAAGGGACCACCCACGCTACATGTATGGTAGTACCCTAATGCATTTGATATATATACTAAGTTGTAAGAGGCTGTGTGGTTAAGAAAGCTCTCTTTTTTGGGGGGAAGGTTAAGTAAGCTCTCCTTTATTAAAAAAGGTTAAGTAAGCTCTAAATGCGAAAAGTTGTGGGAAGTTGGACTTGGGCATCTCTCCATATTAAATAGTTAATTATATTTTGTTATCCATCGATTCGGTAGTTGACGACCAAATGAAGGGTACAACGACATCATGTCACCTTTTTTTATATACAGGAAAGGAGAACTTACATATATGCAAGTGAATAATTATTATATACGTATAGATGTATTATAGATTTAAATATTTGCTTCGATATTGTGACGCGTATAATCGAAAATGAATTTTTGAATAATTGTTTGTATCAGATATTTAGTCAAAACTATTTTTAAAAACTTTAAGGTATTAAATTTTCAAATTTTCCTCTATAGTATATATATATATATATGAAAAATAAGAAAGTGTGTAAAAGGACTTACGAGGGAGTGTAACAGAGGAACTTGAGGGGAGGAAATATGTGGAAAAGACGCTTAGGGACGAGCTCGAAGTTGCAGTGTCCCATGTTGTTCATGAAGTCTATGTAGATTACGTATCCGGAAAACGACGCTATGGATGCCGTTTTCGTTAGCAACGTCGTAAGCAATGGTATGGCAAAGAGCATGAAGTATGCTATGTGCTCCGCAAACGGATGTATCACAGCTGCATATAAAGATCATATTCTATAATATTAATATATAGCGCGACTATATAATTAGGACGTTAAAAAAGTGAGTTTTACGTATGTTAAATAAAACGAAATCTACGGTGCGTTGAAAAAGGTAAGCAATGAGAGTTACAAGTGATAGGCTCAGTGACGATAGAGGAGTGGTGGTGGGAATGGTAGCGGGAGTAAAGAAAGTGGTGGTGAAGTGCTTTGTGGAGCCAGTAATAGAGGAACTCCACGGGGCCAGTGTGAATCAGAGCCGCCATCAACACTCCGTCTGTCCTCCACAAGGGAAGTTGCTTGGCCTGTGGCAACAGCGAGATCCCTATATAGAACAGCAGTCCGTTGAACAATATTTGGTCATCCCTGCGCATGTAAATATCAAGAAATGTAGCTCGCATATATAAGGCAGTAGTAGCTAGGCAGGTAGATAGAAGAAAAAACGCACCAGTTGGTCTCCCTGTCGACCTGATTGAAGTCGATACCTTTGTCGAGGATGCGCCTCTTTCCCTTGGCAGTATAGTAACGGGAAAGAGAGATCCAAACCTGGTTGTGCAGGATTCTGAGGAGCAAGAAAGGGAATACGAGGAAGTAACCGAGATCCATCTTCTCCGGATCATCTGTCACAAATTTGTATGTGCTATGGACCGCCCATGGTGCTATTACTATGTACTATAGTATTATTTCCACGTCCCAAATCATAGATCAGCAACGGTATCCAATCATAAGCAAGCGTTATAGCTATCTAAATCTAATGTTAAGTAGAAACAATTCAATAGTTAGATAGATAAACAAAAAGAAAAAAGAGTGCACCTTGAAACTCCCGAGGGGTGTCCAAGGCCAATCGGTGAGGATCCCTGGTTTCGTGGCCATTATACCGTGAGAATGTGATATGCGTCTCTCTAATTCCTTGTCACGCCCGATGAGTATATTATATAGAAAGGTATCAAATCTTTGGGAGTTGTAGAATGACGAAGCCAACCCCTATCTTCCCACCAGCCCACTTCCCAATGGTGGGCCCCGCCTAGACCAAACATGTACTCGCTCCTCCCATTTCCACCCACATGGATCCTCTCATTTATAACACTCAGCTAATTAATCTCCTCCCCATCTATGGATTACCCTCGACGTAAGCAAAAATGCATACATAAATCAGTAACGGAAGGCTTTCTATATCCGGTGGTTCAGAATTAGTCCCTTTGAATAATGAACGAAAGACTGTTATTTTTCCATCAAAATACTGTTTGACCAAGTTGGGCAATGTTAGGTGAGGATGCTTTGGCAGCAAACTACTAGCCAATCAAGTTCATGCACGTTGAAGCGCCAGCTAGTGTCTGTTGCTCCCACATTAAATGAAGGAAAACTTAAAACCGGGCACGCCTTCTTAAGCGAGCATTGAATGCTTGTACGGTTTATTTTTAGTAACTCCATCTCTCTCTCACCGCCACAAATGGGTGATTACGTAGCCAGTGGACCATGGATGCATGTGCAAGGATCGTTTAGGAAATACCTCGTAGAGTGGTTATAACTGGTGATACGATGGTGCAACCAGATATTGTTTACTTATTTTGCTAAAGATTTACTGTTCGTTGTTTTATTTCACTTTTTCCTAATTTTGATCAGTTCAAAAAATATTTTTGATAAGCCAATCAATAGACGTAATTAATATGCATAAGACGCCCGTGGCAGCAAACGTAACAGGGTGTAGCAAGTAGTCGATTAAAAACCATACGTAATAGTTAAACTACAACCAAAGCTGGAAGGGAAAATAGATACCTAAGAGAGAGGAGATAGATATACATGAATGTGAAAAGATCAGAGATGAGATGGAGGGAGAATTAGGAGAGGTTGGAAATCATGGCGGAGAGCAGCTTCCCAGACGGCGTTGAGACGGAAGAAGTTGCGAGTGTTACCGCAGTCATGCTCCTCCCAACCCTCGAGCGCATGCACTATGCCCCCTACTCTCCACGCACTCATCAACCTCCTCCCCAACCAATTCTATATATATAGGACGATAATTAGTCTCAATATATTGATTATATATATATATATATATATAATATAATCTATCAGCTTAACTTAGTAAAGCAACACATATCTATGTAAATATTCAAAGTTGTACCTCACAGGAGTCGATGTTTTGGGCAGACTTGGGAACAAGCATAGCGGGAGTGGAGTGGTAGAAACAGTCCTTGCGGAGTTTGTCGGGCGGGAAGTGAGAGAAGGGAATAAAGAGTGTTCCTTGTTGTGCCTTCATCTGCTCTTCTTTCCCTATTTCATCCCCCACCAACCACACCACTGGGGAACAATAATTGCTCGAGGACAGTACCAGATTCTTCTTGACGACCCCAGATTTGACAAGTTTGCTGTGTTCCTCCGCACGTAAAACCACCACCTATATATATATACACCAATTCATGCTATTAATTTTTGTTTGGTATGAGAAGCTTAGTGGATACCATTCTCTCATTACATCACATACCTTAATGCCCCTCTGACATAGTGCAAAGACAACGGCCGAAGCAACCTTTGTGGGTTTGCCTCTAAACACAACTTCCGTAGTTCCCTTGGGGATGCTATTGACCACCACCGCAGCTGCCATGTTGCTTCCGTCCACTAGTTTTATCTTCAGCTTCGGATGCTTTTGCACGTACATTTCTCCACACCCGTTTAGCTCCTCCGTCTATTAGTCGTGTGTTAATTAGTTACTAATACATTATACAGTTTATTCATATATATATATATATATATATATATATAGGAAAAGGATAGACTTAAAGTAAATGAAAATGTACATTGTTCAGCAGGCCGAGGCTCATTACTCTCACACCCTTTTCATCTGCTTCGAGGATCGCTGCCTCAATGATATTGTTAATGCTCTCACGGTGGCGCTGAGATTTATACTGCCGCCGCATTTTTATGTGGCAATATCAGTTGGAAAGTTTAGATGCAAATTCCGAAAGGTGCACCCACGAGAAAAGAGTTATTGTTCATTTTTGTCATTCTCTTTTCCCTTTTTGTTAAAGGTTATTCACTGTTATTCAATTTTTAAGTCTTTTACTATACAAGGAGAAAATTCTGTATTTTATGTGTGAAAGTTTGAGATATATAGCTTTAAGAAGTCCAAAGAGGTTTGTGTCAAGATATAAATTCTAAGAGAGAGATAGAGAGAGGGAGGAGGTCTGGTGGTGTTGAATGCTTACGTGGAAGGTAAACTTGGGAAGAAGGTGAGAGTGAATGGTGAGGTCACGGAGACGATTTCTCTCGAAGACAAAGGTGTGGGAGGAGAAAGCAGAGTTGAGGACGAAGGTGAAGAGATGAGTGAAGGGCCACATGAAGCAGGTGAGGTACCATGGGGATCGAGACCACAAGGGGTGGGAGGAGAGGGACGGGAAACCAAGGCGCATTTGGTATATGGAGTCGAGTGTGGTGAGGTGAGTGAGGTGGATGACGTCGGGTGATTCCTCCTCTCTCTCTAACGACCTCTCGTACAGCGTCTCGCTCAACTTGTCGGTCGTCCCGTAGATATAGTCGTAGAATGGCATGAACAGAGAGTAGTTGGTTCGGAACTGTGTGTGATGGAGCGAGTGGAACCTTCAACAAATTAAACGCCATGTTATATATGCATGCATATATACATCCAAATACAAAAAGAAATAATGTAGCTAGGTATAGTGTTGAATAAAGGACGTACGAGGGGGTGTAGCAGAGGAACTTGAGGGGAGGGAAGAGGTGGAAGAGACGCTTAGGGAAAAGTTCAAAGTTGCAGTGTCCCATGTTGTTCATGAAGTCAATGTACGTCATGTATGCTATGGCAGGAACAATGGAGAGGATCCCACACAGGGACGCCGTTACCATGGGTATGGCGAAGAGTAGTGTGTAGGCGATGTGCTCGGCGAAGGGGTGCACCACAGCTGCCAAGTTAGAAAATATGTATGTTATGAAAGATATAGAAGAAAATGATATGCATGATTGAAATTTGAAGGTACTCGTACACGTGATGGGCTCGGTGACGACGGAGGAGTGGTGGTGAGAATGGTAGCGAGAGTAGAGGAAGTGGTGGTGGAGAGCTCTGTGGAACCAGTAGTAGAGGAACTCGACGGGGCCAGCGTGAAGCAGAGCCATGAGGATGGCTCCGTCTAGCCTCCAGAGGGGAAGTCGGGAGGAGCCTGGGAGCTTCATGTTGGCTAGGTACATGAGGAGAGTGTTGAAGATGATTTGGTCGTCCCAGGTGCGCTCTCGGTCCACTTGCTCGAACTCAATGGGCTTGTCCACGATCTTCGTTCTCCCCAGGGCCGTTCTCTGACGCGACACACTGATCCATATCTGGCTGTGAACTATTCTCCACAGCAACAAGGCCACTATCATCAGTCTCCCGAGGTCCTTCTCCTCATCCTCAGCCGTCACGTACGAGTGCATGCTCGCCAGTACAAACGGGGACACCAAAAGGTACTTGAAGCTTCCAAGGGGACTCCATGGCCACTCCGTTAGAGCTCCTGGCCTCGACGCCATGCATCCAAAGGTAGGATACTGTCGAAAAAATGTTTATAAGAAAATAAATACTATCGGAAAAAGTTGGAAGGAAGTGCGTTTTGGAGATACTTTGTGACATGATATATATAGAAGTATGACCATGTGGCCTACTGAATCTACCATGGTGGTGGGCCCGCTCTACCAAAAAATATGAGAAAATAAATGGGAATAGAAACTTCATACTTCAAATATGTTAGGAGAGGAGCCAATGGGGGCATTGAATGTGATACCCTGCCAAAATTCGGCTTGACTCATCAATACCTCCACCGGCCCCAACGCCGCCCATTTAATGAAGTAAATAAACTCAGACCAACCCCAATGGTAACATCAAGGGATCTAATAAATGTTCTTAAGAATATAATTGAATAAAAAAATTATAAGGAGTGTCTTAACTTTTAGACCAGTGTCTAAATTAGGATCTTTGTTCTTATTTAAGAACGGACACGTGGCAGATTATAAGTGGATAGGGAAAATTGACAAAAAAGTATTTCATTTTTATTTTTCGTTTCTGTCTTCCTCTTTCTCTCTAACTGGTTCAGTTCGGTTCGGTTTGCTGAATCGAACGGTTACCCAAATTTTTTTTTATTAAGAAAAACAAATTATACCAAAATATATCAAATTATACCGAATCGAATATTCAAACTATTCGAAAATATCCGAAATAACCCGAATCTATTCAAAATTAACCGAATTTAACCTAATTTAAAAAAAAAATTAAAAGTTTGGATAGTTTCAGATAAGAAACTTCGGTTTATTTTCGGTAGAATTTCAGTAATACAAACTATCTGATTATCCAAATTATCCGATTTAAACTATCCGAAGTATCCGAAATCTCATGCCTAGCAACAATCACTGGAATTCTAAAGGAGAAGGCTTCTCAGCAAGCATTGAATTGCATTTCTATAATTTATATGTTTATATATATTACCTTTGTGAAAATATATTATGATTTAAAATTTGTTAAAATAAATTTTACATAAATTTATTAATTTTTTTTTTAAGACACTCATTAAAATGTCTCCATTGTATGCTTAAAAACAACAAAATTCTACTAAGTGTTTTATATATATAAAGTACATAAAATATTAATAATTAATCATTAAGACCCTTTATAGTGGTGTTACCATTGGGGTTGCTTTCAGTACTTTCCACATTGAAGTTATACCGCACAAACAGCTAGTGAAGCCCATGTAATAGTATTAAGCCCAATGTTGGCCTACAAGCAATTGGTGTCTTTCTACTGAAAACCACACCAAACACCAATTTAGGATTTTTTGTTTCTGGTAGTTGTAGGGAAGAATAATGGGGAAAAAATGTCGACAACGTTTACAAGTATCAAACGAAAAGGTGAATTGAGGTGAAATATGATTGGTCAAGGCAGTTGGCATGATAAGTCTTCCTTGTCTTCTAACTCAATGGATTCTTATGCTGCGGAGAAGCCATAACGATTTGAGTTTGACATATCGTAATAGAAACCCAATCAATAATGGGATGGGCTCCTAGTGAGTGTAACAGGTAGGAGAGTCAAATAACGTTAACAAACACTTTGCAATTATTTATACACACAAACAGCATGTGAAACACAAATCACCACTTCTCAAGAGGCGTCAATGCAGATGAAACAAGAGGATACTAGGCGATGTTCTTAGACATCATTAGCATTTTGAGGATCCATACTCTGCATTCATGAGAACAACGACCGTGTCTTATTGCGTTCCAGTCGAGCTTCCCTCTGAAAGACAAAACATGCAACCAGAGAATACTATATAGATAAGCAGAGAAGTTGGAAGCACGAAAGGCCGAAATGTGATGTGATTGAGAATTCACAAGAACCTCTTTCTTCTTGCATTCCTTGTACACATCAAAATGATCCTGGCATTTACTCTTGTCTGATCCATATTCTTCAAGACCTGAGAGTTTGATCATGTAACCTAATCAAGATTTAATAGATCATAACAAGGAAAAGGCACAAGAGAGACTATCAGGAATAAGAAGATATCTATTAGATCATGAACCCAAACTCTAATAAATGGGATTTCAACCCACCATAGATAGAGTAAAAAAAACTCATCACCTTGAGCTTGATGGGATAAGTGATACCGGTAAGGGTTTATGGAATTCATGAAACTTAACAGAAGCGAAGAAGACGAGAGAAATTGAAAATCTCAAATCCTCGAAACAATCAGAAATTAACGGAAGTGGAAGATCGAGGGCGTGACTCACATTTGAGGGAAGCAGAGTACTGAAGATAACATGGAGAATCAGATATCCGAGCCGCGCTAGGGTACGCCGCCGCCGCTCCCTTCGTCGCCATTTCCCCCCCGATCACCCGTCTTTCTCTCTCAAACAGGTTCCGTTGCGTGAAGATATCTCATTCAAATGGGCCTTTCAGTTACTCAGTCCTATCAATTAATGGTTTTCAATTACGGCAGGCCTTTGACGTCTGGCCCAAAATAAAAGTGCACGGCCCAAAGGAAATGCAGCTTCGTAACCAAAGGAAATGAATCAAGGATGATACTTGATTTCATTAATACAACGCAGCAAGCTACATTGATTCCAACAAGAAAAAGTATAGTCACAAGGGAAGATATAGAGGCAGCTTCTTCCTCCCGAGTTAGACTTACATTCACGTTTCATTAACTGTAATCTAAGAAGTTGATTCAGGTTACAAGATTCCTCTTTTGAAGCCGGACCTAGGACTAATTTTTAATTTATTGCAATTCATCATGCAGTTGCGTTAGAAGCCCATCGGTCCCGTCACTCTCATGGGCATCATTTTCCTCCACATCAAGAAGAGCTTGGTAAGATTTGTCTTGAAGGTGCCCCGATTGCCTCAACAATTCTAAAACCGTCTCTTTACTAGCAGCATCCGACTCCTCTTCACAGAGCTTGAAGAAGCCTGACAGCATCAACACCTTGGGCCTCCAATTGCTGGACCCATGAGCAGCAAAAGCTTCTTTCAGACAAGTCAGAGCCTCTGTGATACTCCTCTTTCTGGTATGACCATGGGCGAGAATCTCCCACGTACCTGAGCTTGGCTTGCCTCCCATTTCAATCATGTGGTCGAACAGCCCTTGAGCCTTGTCTAGTTGGTCGTTTTTCACATACACATTCATGAGAAGATTTGGTATCCTGGGGTCATAAGAAGACTTGACTGGAAGCCATTCCTCATAGGCCTTCTCGGCGCCTTCAATATCCCCCATCCTCACCAAGGAGGAGACCAGAGCATGGTATCCCAAATTGGGAATGCTCGGGACAACAGATTTGTAGACGTTCCACACCCGGTACAGCTCTTTCCTGTTACCAACGCTGCCGTACAAGCTCAAGAGGTAGTGATATGGAATCCGATTACGACCAGTAATCCTCGCCTCAACCTTCCTCAGAGCATCTTCAGCTTTCTCGGTCTCGCCCAGCTTAATGTACATGGTGGCCATCGTGCTAAAAGTGGTCCAGTTGGGATTGATGGAAACATCTGATTTCATCTGCTGATACACTTGCTCCATCTTCTCAACCGATCCTTGGGAGCCGCAGGAGGAGAGCCAGATGTTGTAGGAGTAAATGTCGAGACGTATATCTTTCTGCTTCATCTCCAAGACCATTGCGTTGACTTTGTCGTACTCCCTCAGGTTCATGTAGAGAGTCATCATGACGTTGAAGGGAAGCGGGTGCAGGGCGTATCCTTTCTCCCTCATTTTGTCGATCAAGGCTTCAGCCTTTTCTCTCGACTTGGCCCTCACATAGGCGTTGAGGAGGGATCCGTAAACTCTCCGGTCCTTGAAATTCTCAGGGAGCCTGAGGAAGAACTCTTCCGCGTCTGAAATCCCACGCACTTTGCCGATTAAGTCGAGCTGGATGGCAGCATCACTTGCAGACAATCGAAACCTTTCGCCTCTGTTGTTCATCCAGTCGTACACCTATGGAATGATCAAGCAGGTTACTCAAAAGATACAATAGAAGAAGGGGAGAGCATATACGTGAAGGTAGAGGAGGACCTCAAGAGCTTGGTTGGCTCGCTTATACTTGCGAAGCTCCTTGACGACCCGACACAGCTCCCACTTAGTAAGCTTTCGGCCGCCTTTCTCCCACTGATTCAATACGGAGGCAGCGCCGAGCTCTGGCTTCTCCATGAGAGAAATCTTCTTGTAGATGGCGTTCCACTGGATAATCGGCCTTCTCTCGTAGTCCACCGTTCCGTAGCCATAGACCTGGGAGATGGAGCACACGATTGCCGTCTTCTTCGATAGAGCTATGGAGACGACTGGAGATCGGGAGCGAGGGAGACGAGAATAGGAGGCAGAGGAAGCCAGGGGAACATTGCGATTCTGCACCGCCTGAAGCAGCATCTCTCTCTCTCGCTAGGTTTCAACAGTCTGAGACTGAGAGGATAAGTCGAATGGTTTTTTTCGTAAATGAAAATAGGGAAAACAAAGAGGGAGACATTGGTAAATTAACTTTATTGAACCCAAGGCCCAAAGCCGGATGCTACTGGAAGAATCAGAGGGTTTCTGTCTGATAATACTGTAATCTTTAGACAATGTCCTCTCTGAGGATAACAAAGCAGTGCTACATCCACCCAAAACAATGTCTCTAACATCCTGGCCATTTCTTACGCAAATGATCTTCCTTCTTAATATTCCGGTGCACGTATACTTTAGCTCTTTTTACCTGCAATTCAACATTTTAAAACTCAACATTGCATTCCACTGCACCTATTTTGATGAATCACTCCCCAACCCAACCACTTTACCAGAACAATGGGAGGGAAGCCTCGCCGCAGTTTGAGTCTGTCGAAGCCTTCTTCTGAAAATAAGCACTTGTATCCATCTACAGCGGGGTGCTCGCTGCTCAAAGCATGACAACAGTATTAGATGTTGACCGCCAACGCTGCGTTCTACTATATGATGAAAATACTCACTTCACAAGGTACGTGAAATTCCGGTTTTGCAACTCCTCCACCACTATCTCTTCTTCTTTTGAGTATCTGCGTTGCACAAGAAAATTTATCTCCTCCTAAATAGCTAAACATATACCCTCTTCTAGAAATTCAAAGGCCGTGGAGAAACATATGATTCCTTTCCCAGTTAGTTGTATTCGCCTCCAAGAAAATGAACATGAAACAAACAGACGCCTCTCTCTAGCACAGATGGGTGCTTACAGGTGGAAAGTTGATTTCCGGGTACCTTGACGTCCCCTTTACTTCTACCAACACTAAAACGGGGTACAACAGCTAAAAAAAACATAGAAAGAAGAATCAACCTCACCTCCAAGGAAAAGCATCTTCACAAAAGCGAGATATTCCATTCATAGCACCAAAAGTGTCTATGTGAACCCACTCTTCTCCCGCTACATTTGCAGGATGGCCTGAGAAAGATGGAAGGCACCAGGTAAACTTAATCATATTGTAGGCAAATTATCAACCCAAAATAGATATACACCACAAAACAAAGATGACTACGTATAATAAATGGCATGTGAGACGAACACAGACTGAGTAGCATATTTTTCTTGTTTGGTATCCAAGTCAACACTGCTGCAATAACAAGACACCCCGAAAACAATAAGTCACTCACTCATCTGATGCAAGCGCTTAAGAGCATGGCCGCTGGGATAGTTGTTGTAAGATGCCATGAATGTTACAACCGTGCACCCTGCACTATAGGACAGGGTTAAGTAGATCAGCAAATACCTTTTCCCTTCTCTTACTTAGCAAAGATAATTGCCTACTATTTCTACCTGATTGCAAATAATGCTAGCATAACCATGTTCACCAGTTTCCAGATAGTTTTCTTCCTGTTATTGTAGCTGTACAAGGAAATCGTATTACATTACCAGCTCAGGTCTCATCGTAAGTGTATCAAAAGAGCTCTTGAGAGACTGAATTAAAGAATATTCTAGCTATGATCGAAAGCTTAGCTAGCAAACATCTGATAGAACTCATACATTCTGCTAGCAGCTACTGCAGCAGATAAGTTGAGCATTGGCACTGAACTAATAATAAAGCGGAGTTCCTGCATATATCAAGAAAGATAGGTAAGCATATACCAGTAAATAGTTAGGAAACTTTCATGGCTACTGAGATAAGTAATCCGTCTGAATACCTTGTGCGGAAGTTTAGAGTAGAGCATAACAAAGGATAAAACTGGAAGAATAAGAAATGGAACCCTCCTGTCAAGTAAGGTACCGAGCTGCATAATCCAAAAAAGAAACAAATATGAAATATATTATAGAGATACAATCAGATTTCCTAACTTAAAGGGAATAAGACAATACAGATGTCACGAGGTCCGGTATTTACCAGGGAAAGAGGGTAAGCTACAAGTAAAGACCGTGGGAGTGCTGAGGTGAAGTACCAATGAACGGAATGTGTCTGATTCAGCAACTAATTTTCAAGGAACAACATAGAATTTTAAAAAAATGTAAGCGCCATAGTATTAACAAGATAAATTTGCATTTGCAATTACACTAATGTATGGAAATATAAATAGTTATCATTTAAAAAAAGCCAATTCTCTAATCAGGCATTAGAACAGATGCTAAAAAATTATCTATCATAGAAAAAATAAAAGGAAACAAATTTGGAAGGATACACCCCAGTCAGAACTCCGGTTCAGAATGGAGTTAAACCAGAAAACTTCAAATTCTGGCCAGACAAACTTCTTCCACATGATAGAGTCAACGGAGATTGTAAGACCTGTTCCATGACCACAAAAAGCCCGACTGGGGAATAGAGTGTCTGAACTCTGAATGGAAAAAGCAAATAGATAACAGAATGAAGAGGACTTTCAACCAACCTACAGCCACCACAGCGGTTCCAACACAGTACTTAAGTGCTTTCCAGAAGGAGATCGATTTGGTCTGTCATTGATAGCCGCATTAGAAGGAAACAACAGAGTACACACAGCCAATCACACATACACAGAAGTTCAGAAGCCAAACTAATGATCATCGTCTCACCAATAAAAGTTCAATACCGATGGGCCCAAGAAGTAACATCACATCACATCTGAAGATTACAGTGGCAAAAATCTGATAATCAGATGATCTACATGTCAGCAAATCCATGGTTCCGGATACCATGACTGATATTATAGTCGGGAAATATGTTACGACAAAAAAATCAGACATATTACATACCAGGAAGCTCAAAGCAGAATAAAAGTTTCCCTTTAACCAGTTACCATATGCGAGATTAACTGCACAATCCAGATTTTACAATATTAGTAGCAAAACCTATCCCAAATGAGCCATGGGAAAGATTTTTAAAAGGACCATTACTAGTGGAGTCAGGTGAATAGAAGTGTAATCACCTAATCCCAAAGCTAGAATATTAGGTAGAGGACGAGTGCAGTAGAAAAGCAGATGAAACTGAAGACTGGTGAGAAGTACAAAGAAAGATTCCACTTGATCACCAAATTTGTGTCTTATCTGTCAAAGAAGTGGCATTGGCTCAGTGTATAGGAGAAGGTGAGATATCCCAATTACAGTGACAAGGGAAGGGACAAATAATCAGATAGAGAAGTGTAGCATGGAAACAAGCACTAGAGAAACATAGTAGCAAATAAACCTCAATACCTGGATCCGGAAAAATCTTAGTGTGGATAATATGATGCAGCCCAACACCAAACGAGCTATAAGTCAATGAAGAAACTATGTCGTGAATTGGTTTTGTTCGCCTTTGGGATTTCAGAAGGCAGTGATTAGAGAAATCTAAGGATAAACAGAAGAGAAACCTGCAACGAGACTACAGATCTTGGGGAAGCCAAGCCAGCTGATGACTGATACAACGGGTGATGCGATAAAAGAGACTATAAAGGCTCCTGCAAGAAGAAATCAGAGACGATATTTGATATTTTCTATTAAAAAAAAAAAAGAGAATCACTGAATCCTCCAATTTAACATCCCTCACCAATAAAAGTTCGAGGGACAACACCGGGGAACTCCAAATGATCATACTGAAACAGAAGTATGTAGGTCAAAATTTACAATTCAAAAACTGCCGTAAGCTTCAAACAAGTCAGAAAGAGGCCACTCACAGAGCTCAAATGGTGACGATGGTAAAGGATGTCGTGCATTGACTGGGCCACATGACGAGAAAATCACTCAGTAAAAGGGAGAAACAAGAGGGAGGGACCCAAATAAAAAGTTTTTCAATTGAAAAGGATCACCTGTACGTTGAAGCTCTCTTCCACCTTAGTATATGGTGCCATGACCACATAAATTGCAGCTACAGATCCCAGAATCAAATCATATCCTGCATTCACAACAAATCACAAGTTTCACACAAAAGAGAAAAAGAAAAAAAAAGGGATCATGTGGCCTAAGACGAGCATGCACAACCAAGAAGTACCATAGGATTGAAGAAACTTGGGCATTCTCGAATCCGTCGGCATCGTCTGTGGAACTTCCTCCTTGCCGGGGGTATCATCAGAAGCAGCCGACTAAAGACGACTTCGATAAAATCCAAAATGGGCCTGAATATTTAAGTGGGCTGATATCGAAGCCCATTATAATAATTCGCTGCTATTAAGTATTAATTAATGGTTTAATAAAAGGGCGAAAGGAAAGGCAAATCTGGAACCCGGAGAGAGACGAGAGGCATGGCCGCGGCGGAAGAAGAGAACGAGTTCTACCTGAGGTACTATGTCGGGCACAAAGGGAAATTTGGCCACGAGTTCCTGGAGTTCGAGTTTCGACCGGACGGCAAGCTCCGTTACGCCAACAACTCTAACTACAAGAACGATACAATGATCCGGAAGGAGGTGTTTCTCACCCCCGCCGTTCTCAAGGAATGCAAGCGTATCGTCTCTGAGAGCGAAGTCTTTTCTCTTTCTCTCTTCCATCCTCAGATTCTGTTTTCTAATTTTTCTATTCCGCTACCGCTGTAGGCTAGGTCGGAACTCGACTAGGGTTTTTTTTAGGGTTTTGTTCTTCTAATTTGTGCATCTTTTCTTGGAGCAATAGGATTTATATATGAAACCGATCGATCAACCCTAGTTTAGTACCCTTTCCCCTCTCTAATGCTATTATCATTACGTAATGAGTGATTTTATAAGTTTCCATTGATGAAATTTACATCTGTGTGGAATCTGAGCTTTGCGCACTTGCAGTACCTGACACGTGATTTTTTTTTTGTCTGGGTAGATAATGAAAGAAGATGATAAAAAGTGGCCGGAACCTGACCGTGTTGGAAGGCAAGAGCTTGAGATCGTGATGGGTAATGAGCATATCTCCTTCGCTACATCTAAGATTGGATCTCTTGTTGACGTCCAGGGCAGTGAAGATCCTGAAGGACTTCGCATCTTCTATTATCTTGTTCAGGTCACCTCTCTTTTTCTTGCCTTAACCATCATTTTATCGGATTAGTAAACGTCTGAGAGCATATCATGCTTTAGGTTTCCTCTAATCCCTATACTCTATCATCACTTTACGAAGCTTCTCCGTTTTAGGACTCTGCCTCTGTAATTGATTCACAATGTTTAAACGTATGTGGTATGGCTTCTTGGTTATCGGACTCTGCCTCTGTAATTGATTCATTGTCTGATGTTATTCTCTGTAATTGATTCATAGTCTGATGTTATACTGCTTATTCTATTTGTTGTGATCATGTTTCTGTAATTTATTACTATCATGCTCTAACATACATGTTTTGAAACATCATCCATGGTTGCAGGACTTGAAATGTCTTGTTTTTTCGCTCATCTCGCTGCACTTCAAGATCAAGCCTATTTAGTGAAGAAATCGGTGGATTTGCTGGAATGTGGCTGAAGTTTGGCTCTTTTAATGTTTCTGGCACATCATGGAGTCATGCTATTTTCTTGTGTTGTTAATTTAAAGACCCTGGTTTCCATTCGTATGCTGTTTTGTATTAAATCTTATATGAGCGTTGGTATTGGAATGGACAATGGTTTGGCACTTCTAAGCCCAGGACCAGGTGATGTTATTTTCAATAGTGACGAATCAAAATTTGGGAAAATGAAAGATGGGGTTTATGAGAGACGCTCACGCCCATCTTTCAGCTAGCTGTACGCTGCATAATCAGAGATGCACACGAGTCCAACAACACTTGCATAAACTTTTGAATTTCGGCAGTGATTTAGTAGGTGTTATCGGATCTTTCCTTACTCCTACGAATAGTTTGAATTAAACTTTGTGTACAACCTGAAGTTAAGCTTGTAAAGTAGTGGGAAGGAGTGAAGATGCTGGAAGCAAGAGTCAGCAGTTCAATGTTGGACACAACCAAACACATGAGCAGGTGTAATAATATTTGAGGGATGTGGAGGCTATCTACAAGAAGAGAAGATGTAAAGCAGAATTACGGGTTTGTTCAATGATTGGTGAGGAAGAAGGCGCCAAAAGGAAGCAAGAAAGCTACTAATCGAGGCATATGGGATCAGCTTGTGTGGTCCATTTTTTTTTTTTTTACTTTTTCACGAACTAACCTAGTCAAACCATTTACTAGCTGTTTTCTCAACACAAGAACATTCACTATCTTTTTTTACTTATTCATGATACCTGTTTCTTTCCCTCAACTTTCAAGCCTTTATTTTTTTAACAATGAATATAATCACGATCAGTCTTGAGGTATAAAGTAAAAGACTAATGTATAAGTTTGCTGGATTGGTCGATATAAGAGATGCGTGTACTGAAGAGAGCACAGTTAGAGAATAAGTTTACATTCTCAGAAAACGCACCTCTTCCACTCTGATATTTTGTTCTGTTTTGAATGCATTTTAAATCTCCAACTTCACTCCGGCATTGAAGATGTCAAAGGAGCTTGGAAGAATAATGGAGGAGCGAGGCTTCTTTGTCCGGGGAGGCACCTGCCACTCCTCCTCAGGTCAACCACGCACTAGTCTGCTATAGGTTTTTGTAGGTGTTTTTATTATATTTTTGTGTGTGTGTGTGTTTCAGACAGCCAAATGTTTCATCTTGTTACAGCAGAGGTTGTGTCAGGATCAGGTGCGTGGTTAGGGCGCACAGAAAAGGGAGCACCAGTCTCGTTATTCCTTTGATCCCACCCCTGCTCAGGTACCAACCATTCTCCAACATCACAATGCGTCCAGTATCTAGACTGACTCGTGGGTTAAGTGGGATCAGGATTTGTCAATAAAAAGTGGTTTGATGGTAGGAAGCTGTGGAGGAACAACTCCAGGGTATGATTTTCTTGCTCTTGAGAATGCACAAATCATTTCAGCAACTTGGGAGAAAGCAAGTAGGTGACAGATCGGTGTGGGAATACCCATTTGCTGCTGCCGGTGCCTTCATGCTAATTCAGATGCTGGACCTTGAACCAGGTCCGTCTTGTTTCTTCTACTTTACACAATCTCAACTACTCTTGTTGTTGTGTGGTGTTTTAGTGTTCGCTGAATAAATGTGTAAACCCCCGAAGACGGTCGGGCTGAAAATACTCGCAGGTTAGTATTATTAGCTTTTGCCTTTTGGGTAGAGATTAGATTAGTGTGGAATTGACTTGGATTGTTGTTAAAACGAGGAAGAAAACGAGTCAGCATTTGACATCCTATACTGCATTAATGGATCATAATACATCCCTCAATGGACTTTGAGATGGGAAGTCGACAAGGCATGAACTGGAGAGAGAGCTTCTGCTGCAGGTTAGTATTATTAGCTTTTGGGTAGAGATTAGATTAGTGTGGAATTGACTTGGATTGTTGTTGAAAACGAGGAAAAACCACCCTCTTGATTTCAGTTCAACTTTAAATATCAGAGATACAGATGATGAAAGCAACAAAATGTAAATAAAATAAGAGAGAGAGAGGCCTTGAGGATCAAGAAGAGAAAGACTTCTACTCGTAGATCCAAGGGCTGAGGCTGCTCTGCCAGTTGACAGGTCCATCAGGGAACCACAGAGCAATCTCCTTGTTAGCACTGTCCACAGAGTCGCTCCCATGGATCACGTTCCTCCCAATGTCAATCGCAAAGTCCCCACGGATGGTCCCAGGCTCCGAGGCTGCTGGGTTTGTGGCTCCAATGATCTTTCTCCCTGTCAGCACAACATTCTTCCCCTCCCAGATCATTGCAACAACAGGCCCGGACACAATGTAATCAACCAGCCCACTGAAGAAGGACTTGCCAGACAGGTCCTCGTAGTGCTTCTCCGCGAAAGCCCGCTCAACACTCACCAGCTTCAGACCTGTACACACATCCCACTCAGTTGATTAGCTCCGGAATTTTCTTTGCGTATCTGATCCAGTTTTGTTTAGTCATTACCTTTCAAAGTGAAACCTTTCTTCTCAAACCTGCAGATGATTTCACCGATCTGAAAAAAAAAACACACATATGAAATCATTGTCAAGCTACATCTTTTTTTTTATTTTAGCATAAACCAGAATTCATCATAGAGAAGAAAGGGAAACGTACGAGTCCTCTCTGGACACCGTCAGGCTTGATCATGATGAAAGTTTGCTCCATTGTCGAGGCTTCGTTGTTGCTGCTCAATGGAAGAGACTAGGCAAACTAATATATATACTTGTGCAACCCTAAAACCCTTTTTTCTAGCCCCTCCATTGTAAAAGAAAGCCTTGTTCGATTTTGCTGCTGGCCTTATTGGGCCTCCACTCGTTATTATTTAATAAATATAGGCTTCTGTTACAAGGCCCAAACTGTTGTTCCTCTCGTCTTCTCCTTCCTGGCAACAGATCGCTCTCTACTTTGTATCGCCGTTGCCATTCCCCCAGATTTTCCTCCGTTCGAAACCACCATGAGTCCCGAATAGTAAGTTCCTTTCTCACCATCGACAGTTTCTTCAGTTAACGTTACACCTAAAGACTCTAGGGTATCGAGATCTTTCTGTTTGCTCAACCGTCTTTTGTTTATGTTGGGGTTTTTTTTTTCTTTGTTTTGAATTTGTCTCGATTTCCTGTGTCCGATCTCGATTATTTTTACAGTCTCTCTATGTGCTTAAAATCTTAATTTTCTAGTAATTAGCCTCTCTCTTGTGTATTTCTCACTACCCTTGTTTTTTTTTTTTGTTGAGTTTTCAAGTTTTTCTGTTTTCGGATTTGCAGCGACTATCTTTTCAAGCTCCTGCTCATCGGGGATTCTGGCGTCGGGAAGTCTTGTTTACTTCTGAGATTCGCTGTAAGTTTGAATTCGAGCAGTAACTATGAGAAATAGCGTTGTTGCTCTGCTAGTGCTTATTTCATTTGCATACTTCTTCTGTGTGTGCAGGATGATTCCTATGTAGAAAGTTACATAAGCACTATTGGAGTCGATTTCGTAAGCCGTTTGCGTTATTTTTAGTTGTTGGTTTATATTGATCCCGAGGCGATGGTAAAAGCCGCTTTATATTTTTTTGCTCAGAAAATTCGTACTGTGGAGCAAGATGGGAAGACGATTAAGCTCCAAATTGTAGGTTCCTCTTTGTATAATGTATTTTTATGTTACATATGACTCCCTTCTTTCCTAATGTCATAGAGAGCAGTTACGTTAGGGTTTCCTCTTCCTTTTCTTGCTTCTCATTTAACTAGTCTCAATGGTGACCGTATACTTTTCAGTGGGACACTGCTGGTCAAGAGCGGTTCAGAACAATTACTAGCAGTTACTACCGTGGGGCACATGGAATCATTGTAAGTTACTTACTTAGGGTCTCCTCTGTTGCTGTTGGTTTCTTATGTACTACTAACTTAATCCGTGGTGCGGCCTCCCCTGGGTAGATTGTCTACGACGTCACAGATCAAGAAAGCTTCAATAATGTGAAGCAATGGTTGAGTGAAATTGATCGTTACGCTAGTGACAGTGTGAACAAGCTCCTGGTTGGAAACAAGTGTGATCTTGCTGAAAACAGAGCCGTTCCATATGAAACGGCAAAGGTAAAGCCATTCTTTTTTTAACGACTCTCCTTCTCAAGTTTACTAGTCATCCAACTGAATCTGCTTTCCTGATGAATATTCCAAGGCTTTTGCCGATGAAATCGGAGTTCCTTTCATGGAGACTAGTGCGAAAGATGCGACAAACGTGGAACAGGCATTCATGGCGATGTCGGCATCCATCAAAGAGAGGTTGTTAATTATACATAGACATTTTTATAATTGTATCATCTCATATTTTAGATAAAAATAAAATTCTCTGTGGTTATGAACATGAGATTTGAACTCCAGCAAGTGATCACAGCGTGCTTTTAGAGACTATGTTGCGAAAAGATATATAGAAAAGGGAATGAAACAGACTGATTGATGCTGCAGTGTTCAAATTGAAAAGAGATTGATCTGTGGTTTGGATGCAGAATGGCAAGCCAACCAGCTGGGAACAGTGCAAGACCGCCTACAGTGCAGATCAGAGGACAGCCTGTTGCCCAGAAGAATGGCTGCTGCTCAACTTGACTGCCTAAGCCATTCCATCATCTTGAAAAAAGTGTTTTGCTTAAACTTGCTTCGTAATGTCTGGTCTGTAATTAATCTCATTGGTACTTTGGCTGGCTGTTATTCTCTTTGCGCATCCTCTTTCCTTACCTCACAACTCTTTCCAACATTATGCGTTTTCATGGCTGCCTTTAGTGACGACGATATATTTTTTTGATAATTAAACTCCACTTGCAAAACTCTTCTTCGACATCTACGTATGTAGTAGATGTTCTGTAGAAAAGTGATAGACAAAAATAAACTTACTCAAAAGAGAAACACATTGAATAAATATCATGAAAGTTCAAAATAGCAGTTTCCTGCAGACTTGGAACCAATAATAGCAACACTTGTTCTTTGTCGTTAACCTCTCTTTTAATATGCGCAGCGTAGGTATAATAAAACTTTGCAAAGCAGTAACATCCGGAATACAGCTTGTGTGCATTACACATACATACACATACATACATACATATCCGTCTGGACAAAGAGTCGTATCTAGTGTTGGTGGCGGAGGAGGAGGCGTTCCAGTTGGTGGAGCAGAGCCTTCAAGGCAGCGTGGTCTTGTCGCATCCTCTGCAACCGATCCTCAACCATAATCATCTCCTCCCTCAGGAAATGCATTCTCTTCTCCAGCCATCCCACACTCTCCCCGATTCCATCCTTGTCGTAGCTGTAATATTCCCTCCCCACCTGCACTTGCTCAGGTCCTCTCTTCAACAGCACCACTATCGTCACCTGCGTCCCACACTTTCCACTTCTCAGCATCTTCCTATTTCTCTCTCACACCAAAATATTCATTAAAACAAATACCTGCATCAGTAGGATCACTGCAAACGCTATTACTAATGCCTGCCTTGTCCCGCTTTGCCGCTTCACAAATGATGTCACATTCGCCAATGCTTCCCTTAGGATATTCACTACCCCTCCTCCTCCTCCTCCCGCCATCTCCTCCCTCTGCTCTTCCCTTTCAGATACTCTTTCTTCCGTTGCTGATAGCACCGCACCCTCCTCGCTCAACTTGATCCCTGTGTCAGACCACTATGTTTTCAGCCAGCTTTCTACATGGGGAAAAAGGCTTCTCTAAATCGTTGCCACTCTACAGCACTAACCTTCTTGGTTCTCCAGCTTCTTCTGCTTCAACAGTTCATGTGCCTCCAAGTATAATCATTACAAAGTATATAATTTAGATTAGAAGCCTGCATAAACTGAAAGAACAAATTGTTTACCCAATGGCTACACAAGTACCATTCTTATCCATGTTGCATACGCTTCTCTAATCTCTTCCAAAGTAGACTGCACTATTTTTCCTGCAAAAACTCATAAATGGATCAATTATCAGGCCAGACCCAACAACCATGAATTCTGAGTGTTGAGAAGCATAGAATAAACAAGGTGCAAGAGTTCAAGGACAAAACAAGCTAAAATGAGACTAAACAAACCTTTCCACACTGTTCTTTTAGAGAAGGCCACATTGATATAGACATCCAATATACAACCTTCTATAGAGTCTCTGCATTCTCTTTTCACATCCCAAACCCCCTGGAATCAGGCAAAGGTAACATATTCACCTTTAATAAACAGATCACTCAGCAAACCACTAACAGCATTAGATGTAAATTTCTTCCTACCTCTACAGTAAAGTAATCTGCATAAGGCACATCGGTGATCTCTTGTGATGTTTCAATAACCAGATGGCTACCCAAATAGTGACAATATCAGACAACAGAGAATACGCATGCATTTGCAGGGTCATTAAAAAGTGGGATTCGCTTCAAAACAAAGCTGCATATTTAATCCATACCTATCTCTGTACATTCGAAATTTCTGTGACTCCTGGCAGCCACCAAACTTTGCACCTTTAAAAGGAATCCAACAGTCATGCATACCAATATTTGAGAGAAGAAATGTAACTGAATATGTCTAAAATAAATAAAAATATAAATAAATATTACCAAAATAAATTTTAATCGGATGCTGAAATGAGACATTGCGAGTGTGTCCAAGCTTTTCATGAGGTTGCCAAGAGGTACACCTAAACTCTGCGTATACAAAGATGTCTTCTGATTAAAAAATAAAACACCGACAGAGAGAAAAATATACGAATCAACTAACGCTAGCAACAAACGATTTCATCACTTATAGTTCTACCTTTATCTCCACAAATTTTATGGAAAGATTCAACAAAATTGACAGCACGATCTGAGAAAAACAATCTAAAGAACTCTTCTACTGGAATCTGCAAGCAAAAAGTAAACTCTAGTTAGGTACAAACGAAACTTCTGCATTCAGTTAATGCTTATATTCTCTTAAATTTGAGTTGTAACAGTTCCATAAATTTCTCTATCCCATAAGTCAAAGAAAGTGACATTACCGAGAACTTTGCCTCTGCTACCTTCGTAAAATCAGATGATACTGCATGCAAGAAAAAGAAAATTTGAGTGGTGAATTTGAAAGATAACAAGAAAAGAGATCACAGTAACCAAAAAGATGGATGAGAGAGCATGTGTGCATAAACGAAATAACCGGTTCAGCAGGAAAATAGGGTTCCAGACAGGGTGCAAGCTTGCTGGGACAAAATGAGAACTAGTGTACCACTTAACCATCAAGAGGCAAGAAAATATAAAAGTGAGGAAGGACATCAACTACATTTTGGTGCATTTAAGTCTTCAGGCTTCAAGTTCAAAGTATTGGTTGAAGAAGAAGCCACAATATCTACAACTGATTCTGCGTGCAGTTGAGCATTTACAGAAGAAGGTGAAACGCCATTTTGAGTAGTAACAGGAAGACTGCAACTGCCTGAGAGATGAGGAGTTTCATCCCTGTGAAGTGAAAATAGTGGGGCGTGAAGCAGTTAGTTACAGCAACCAGGTAGACCATATGGAAGCGGTCAAAGTACCTTGATGGGGAATCTAGTTCACTCGCCAAATCCATGGTAGTGAGTGCCCTTTTAACAGCTCCATCATTTAACTGGTTGTTGGACTCAGATAAAGAATCCTGAAGGGTAAAGCTGAGGAAGATGAGCAGAAAGAAACAAGAAAGAAGCTGGAAAGAAGCCTTAAGCAGTATTGAAAGCCGTTGGGTCACCTGAATCTCGCCTTCTGCTTTGACAGCAGTACCATATTCCAACCATCCATCATGGATAAGCTTGAAAGCTTCATCGCGGGAAAGAAATGATGCAAAAAAGTACTGCAAAAGAATGGGCTTCTAGAATCAGGACAGAGGCAACAACCAATATCGAGTTGAGACGATGAGGGAAAGAGAAGTTGTGAGTACCTTCTTTCCTCCAGCTAAAATCTCTATGGCATTGGGAAAAATACCAGCAGTCTTTGCTCGTTTAACACAAGAGATTTCTGCAAATGGAATGATTTTCTGCACCACGAGTTGAGATCAACACCGAGAAGGAAAAGCACTCAGTGGAGACAAGTAGGGAGTGAAAAAGGTGAAGCGAGTACCTTGGTCTCATAGCCAAAGATGTTGGAGTAAAAGCAGATATAATGAATGAAGAGGTACATATGACCCTGCAAAAAGAAATATATAACGAGTATAAAGCTTCAAGGAAGGCCCAGCGATATTAGGATGTGAGCTCCGGAAAGAAGAGAAGTACCTGCAGAAGAATACTCTCCTGACAAGCACAGTTGAAATCTTGAACAAGGACCTACACGTAAGATGGTCAGTAGAGGGATCTGGAGAGGAGGCTTTGGTCACCGACGGGGAAGATTGTAGCAGCAAACAAACACTTACTTCGTCAGCTGGAAGCCGAAATAATTGCCGATACTCTTCACTCCTCGATACGACTTCGGACTAGAAGAAGGAGAAGAAGAAGAAGAAGAAGAAGATGAAGAAAAGAAGAATCCAGACCAAAATACAAGATAATCAATTGAAACTCGATGTTCCAAGAATAAAGGAAACAAGTCAAAATGAACCTGATTTTCACCACCACGACTAGGGCTTGGAGCAGAAGTGGAAGGGTCATGGCGATCAGGTGAGCCGCTAGAGCGTGATCCGTCGGGGGACGATGGTGAGGGATCGAAAACGACCTCCGGGGAAGCGAATCCAGAAGCAGATGAATTCTTCGTCATGACAGTCTCCGGAACGGAAGCTGTAGAAAGCATCGCCATGAGGTAGAGGGAGAGAGAGAGTAAAACGAAAAAGGTTGTTGAGGAGAAAAGGAAAGTGTTCCAAGGCTGAGCTTCGACTTTGGCGGTCGTTGGGTGCGGCGTACGACGTCGACGTCAACGTCAACGGCAATAAAGTCAAAAAGGATCGACGAATTTGGGCTCACGTGATTTATTGGCCCATTGCTTGGTACATTTAGTGGGCCATAGTTTTAGGTGCACATTTAGTGGGCCATAGATTTAGGTGCCTCTCGAAAGATTTTTTTACATTTAGTGGGCCATAGATTTAGGTGCCTCTCGAAAGATTTTTTTACATTTAGTGGGCCATACATTTAGGTGCCTCTCGAAAGATTTTTTTTTAGTGTCGGATAAAAACAACGACAAGGTTGAGACGATAAATCCTAAAGCAAGCAAGCAGTGAAGTGATGAAAAATATACAGCTGAATAATAGTAATAGAGACTCTAGTGTGAGAGAAGCTTAAAAAAGAAACACTTGGGGACGCCTCCTTAGTTGATGGAGTAGGAACGAGAACAGACGGTGTGGAGAGAGTCAGTGAAGAGAGATGAGAAGCTGGTCAAGGCCTGGAAGACATTGGGCAGGCCCGTTTGAAGATTGTTGAGAGTCATGGCCCGTGTCACCTCCACAGCCTTGACGTGCCTCATCACCTCATCCTCCACCTGCCTCTGACACGCCGCCAGCTCTGACTTCTTCTCAGACAGCGGGTCCCGTGCGTCCAGGGCCTCCGGTCCAGGGCCTATCCCGACCGTCGAGTAGGCCTGGTAGTACTTCCTCTCTATGCTCCTCAGTGATGACGCCTTCTTCTCCAGCTCCTTTCCTGCACTCTCCGTGCGTTTCTTCATCTTCACCTCTTCCCCCTGCTTTATCGATATCACATGGACCACGTTTACAAAGCTCTTTATGGCCTCCGACGCCACCGTGTCAGGCACACGCTCCAGGCTCAGCTTCCACTCTTCACACAAGGCAAACGAGTCTGACCGCTGCTTCTTTTCGTCCTCGTTGCTCAGGGGAACCAGGCTGAGCTTGAACCAGGCGTGGAGGGAGCTTATGAACTCCCTTTGGAATTTGATGATGCGGCAGAAGCTCGAGTGCCACAAGGAGACAGCTGACTCTAGGTCCCGCGTCACCTGCCGGTGTACTTCTGATGTTGACTCACCTCTCTCTGTCTGGCTGATCAGGCCACGGACTTGCTGGACGATGTTGTTCTGGATTTCGTGGTACTCGTGCATTGACTTCCACATGTACATTAATCTGCATTTGCGGTGGTTAGAGACGCTAACAAGCTGTATGTTTACAGACTAAACCAGCCACCAAGGAACAAAATGACTGACCCGTGGCAGAGTTCAACAAGCTGAGGCACAAGGTCAGTGTCCCGGAGGCGGAGAATGGCACTCGACGTGGTGAAAACAGCTTCTGAAGTAACAATGATCAGTGATTGCAATCTGGTGATGGAAGTTTTAGTCTTGTCTAGCTTGGAGTCATCGCCTCCCTTGTACTCCTGACTCTGCAACGCAGACAGCTTCTTCTCGTGCTCAATCTTAACTCCTTCTCTTGCCTAATTTGCATTCACAAGTTCAATAGGTTGGAAAACCCCAGAACCAGAAGAAGGAAATAGCAAATGTACCTTGACATCCTCATAAAGCTTCTTCTCCCAGGCGAGGAGTCGGTCTAGAGTGGAGCAGAGGCTCCTGAGGCCGGATTGATCATTCAGGGTAGAGGCGTCGAGCTCGTATTTCACTGCCAATGGCGGTTTAGAGGTCCAGCTAGCGCTCAAGTTGCTGAAGACGCTGCTTGAATGATACACCGTCTCTGAAAGAGAGACACGCAGAGAGATATGAAATAAAGCAATTCTCAAGGCATAATCTACAAGACTGGAGAAGTTGACCTACTCCTCAGCTTGCCGAAGCTGCGGTCGAGCTCAGCACGGCCCATCTCAAGCATGGCGGAGACCTGGTCCCCAGCGGAGGCAGCCTTGTCGAAGTAGTGCTGAACGGCGTCGAGGATCTCCTTCAGATCCTTGTGCCTTACCACCATTCCGGAACAGGTGGTAGCCTCGTCGGCGTTGGCTATCCCGTGTTCATGGTGCTGATTCACAGGCTCTGCGGGAGCATGCGACTCAAGACCGGATCTGGAAGCGTTAGTTTCGCGGTCCCCATCTCCGTCAGAGGAAGTGGTGGCGGTAAAGCGGTCGTGGTCGTCGCCCCATTCGCTGCAGTGAACTTCCTCGCGGTCAGTTTCTGCGTGGCTTGGTGGAGGCTGCTTGTGGCGAGCCTTGCGTTCAAAGAACTCAGAGTCGGGGGGAGAGGGAGGGTAGAAATTCTCCCAGTTCCACGCGGAGGAAGCTTGGGACGGAGAGCGGGAGTACTGCTGAGCAGTTGGATAGAAAGACCTACTTGTCAGATTAGACCTCTCGCTGACCGGAGAGCAAGATGGAGACGACTCCGACAGAATGTGGGGAAGCCTAGGCTGTGGATGTGACGGTTTCCGCCGCCGAGGGAGGTCGTGAGGATGGGGTTTTCGGGAAGGAACACGTGGAGCATCGTCGTTGGACGGGCGGAGAAAAACAGCGGGGGTGTTTTCGCTGACAACGAGGGACTCGCCGGAGGCAAAGGAGGAAAGGGCGGAGCCGGTGAGACGAAGGGATCGGCAATAGTCAGAGTGAGCGGCGGCGAGATGGTGACGGGCATACACGGCGTCCTTCATAAAACGGCGGCGCTCCTTGCAGCGACGGACGGTGTCCTCACTGTCGAGCTTGGAGGCTGTGCATCCCATTTCTCCCCCAGAGTCTTGTTTCTTTCTTTCTCCAAACACACACTCTCACTCTTTCTATCTCTGTCTTTTCGGCTTTTTAATTTTTTTCAAAAACTTTTGTTCCTTTCCAACAAAAATAAAAATATAACTATAATAAATTTTCCCCCACCGAAAGAAGAAAAAGAGGATTATAGAGTGGTTTCTTGACCGAGTCACCGAGGATTCTTTTGTATGGGCCGATTCATTGACAGACACAGGGTTATTATTGGAAATTTTCAAATTCGGAAGCTTTGCATTGTCATTGTCTTGGTATGAAAACGATAGAGAGGAGAATACAACCAAAAATCTCGAAGCAATTTTGTTTGATAAACAATTTTCTTATTCCACACCATGTTTCCTTTGCACCAGTTGCGATTGAACAAAACCCATCCCCACTTTTTTTTTTTTTTTAAGGTGACACTGCCGATGACGCGCTGATGCTTTCAGCGCCTCCTTCTCTAGTGAAACCGAAATCCCCAAAGATCCCCTGCGCAAAACAGAATGCTCTTTATCAACACTTTCCCCCAAACCTCATCATACACCAAATACTTGAGCTCGTCTCATGAACGTACCATTGCGTCATTGACGGCATATGTGACACAGTAATGTTCCTGTTGAAAACAAAACCATGATCAGATCTTTACCTACACACTAGCGAAGATTCAAGACCAATCATCTTTTGTCCTTTTTTTTTATACTTGAGTTAATAAGGTGGAGACGAACTTGCCTGCATCATGTGCCACTCTTCAAATTCGTCAAACAACTCCAATCTCTCGATCCTAGAAGCACAACTATCTAATTTAAGTAAAGTGTCCAAGACAAGTAGAACTGAAGGAACAACGTAGCCAAAAAAGGATAAAAGAGAAAAGAAAAGAGAAAACACGATATAGAAAGAAGTCACGGGCAACAACATTTCTTAGGTACTTCCTGACAATTTGAACTTCTCCGAAATAGTTCAGGCCAGAGACTATATATGAATAACATAATGCAGTTACGCACTTACCTGCGTTTGTCTTGAGTATCAACAAAGCTACCATACACTTTTAGCATGTCCCAGGCAACAGCTCTCTGATACGCCAGAACAGAGAATAGAGTAAGATACGAGAAGCTATATATTATACATTATACTTGAAAGTTAGCCCTGCGTTCATCAGAGAATGCACATTATTCTAGCTACAACAAGTCAGCAAATTATCAAGACCAAAACGAAAGACTGAAAACTGCACCATGGTACTTTGAACCAGAAACGGTTTGAAATTCAATATAATGTCATCTTGATACCCTATCGCCACATCATAAACAAAAGAATTATACAGGAATTGCCAATGGCCTGCATAGGCTTTTAAACCCTCAAATCCTTGCATACTTGCAATTCAAATTTAAAGTTGCAAGTCGAACTGTTTGGCAACTCAATGCGAGATTGCCGCCATGAATACAAATATCAGATTCAGACTGCATTAAATTATCATGAAATGTTAACCGCAAAGCGCACCTGCCATCCATTGTCAAGAAACAACCTCTCCTTAGCAATTAAAGTCGGCGATGCATCAATGCTTAAGAGTGCGCAACCCCGACTCTGAAGCAAAGAACACCGTTAAATTGATCAATACAATATGTACACAAGTGTCAATATTGTGATATTTCAATATTTTATTAGATTTAACATAGTTTTGCCAAAAAAAAAAAAAACAACAACAAGTTAAGCTCTCATGAAAATGTAGTAGCTGCAACAAGAGTACACATTATTACCTCCAAATTTCTAATCATTTGATGTCCAAATGCATCATCTGGATGGATCTGCAAACAGAGACCCAACGAGTTAGCTACGCAGACAGTAAGATTCATATCTGCGGTATTATGCAGACAAAGAAGATCAGAGTTGAAAACTAGATAGAAAAAACATGCCAGAAAACCTGCTCATATAGGAAAAACACTGCAGTTGAAAACGTTTCTGAGGCCCAATTGACAATGGCACGGCTTGAATCTGGGTCCAGATATATCAAAACACATTCTGCAATAATAAATGTCGGCAGACTGATAATGATATTAGGGATCAAGCTGGTTTGTCATCAGTGAGCATCTGGTAGCACATATTTTGAACCCGGGCTGAGGTTCAAAAATATGTCATATCAGTGAGTATTAACATAAAAACAATATGTTCATGCGTACCTTGGATCCATATCCGCAAATGATATAACATCTCTTAGTTTTGGTATATCACGCAGGTCAACTGGAAGTAACTTGTAATGATCACTGAGCACTTGGCCTTCCTCTGCAGAAGAAAACATAGAGTAAGCCACAAAAAGCAGAAGCCAACGCAATGAAAGAAGAAGAACAATATGAGCAATAGCTGGAGTAGATATCACATAGCAAAAAGGTCTCTCACCAACAGAAATAGAGGCATTTGTTCCAAGTTTGTCCCTCAGCTGGCTGGAGTTTTGTATAACAGCAGCCTTCTTACTTGTCACCTAACGCAAGAAGCAAACCCAGTAAGGCACTCAGTAGACCTGATGAATACTTTTTTCAGCAGTCGACAAGTGAAATCAAATCAGTGACAAAACGGGTACCTCCTTAAAATCCAGTTCCACATACAGGTTGGGCCCTTTACTTTCATCCTACGAAATGGGAAAACCCCACACATAAACCGGACAACAAATAAGCAGGAGGAATCAGTAAACCTGGAAACGGGAAACTGAAAATACGTGAGCTATAAAAGCGAGAGAAGACGCACCAGCAACTGAAAATACGTAGTATCAAAGCCAGCTCCGAGTGACAGAATCTGTTTCTTGGGTTGGGAACTTTTGCCACTTTCCAGAAACTGAGACATAAGCTTTCGGAAGGCAGCCCAGCGGGAAAAGTAGCCTAGGGAATCCAGAAGCAGTAGGGTCAGGTCAGCTCCTCCAAACCAACATGACCCCGTAGCAATAAGAATTACCTCGGTTTATTATCGGAGATCTTCGAACAGGTCTTTTCACAAAGAGATGAACATAGTCGTCTTTCATATATCCTTTTTTGACACACGACCTTCGAAATCCACAAACAACTAATAAACATACACAAGAGCGGCCTAATTCGAAATTTACGGGTCAGAAGAGAGAAGTAGCGTACAGTTTACTGGCGGATGCATCGTCGTTTGTAGCCTGCACAGCTGCTCTGTTGCTGCGGGATTCCGCCGGCGGAGTCGCCATATCTTCCGATCAATCCCTTTACCACGGGACACACGCGCAAATGGTGGTTCCTGCTGCTCTTCTGCGTGTGGACCCATTTGGGCTCCAATATGAGATCAATCTTTATTTTGGGCCTTGGCCCAATAAGTACGTTTGGAGAGAATTCTTCTTCTTCTATATATACAGTCGCCGAGGAAATCTACAAGAATTAAAAACACCACAGCGTCAATAAAAAGAGAAGAACAAGTCTCTCCCCTTTCTCTCTATCGGACTGGAAAACCCTAAACACCGGACCCCGAAAGCAATTTGATTCATCGGGTTTGTTTGTTTGCTTGTTTTTTGTGTTAAAACTCCACCGATGCACGCTTCGATTGCTGATTTAAGTTTCTGTAATCGTAGTGCGTGAGTGATGGATATCGAGCAGAAGCAGGTGGATATAATTGAGCAGCTCGTTCACCGAGCTTCTTCATGCAAAGTCGAGGCCCTGGTGCCACTCATAATCGAAGCTACGTCGCATCCTTCTCTATTCGCCTTCTCCGAGATTTTGGCTCTACCCAATGTTGCTCAGGTCTTTCCGAAACTATTTCTTTCTTTACTCTTTGTCATCCATTATGCTTTGATTTTGGGACCTAACTCGCCGATCTAGGGCTTCTCCTGCTTGCTTTAGGAAAGCGACTTCTCTGTTGTTTTTCCATTATTTTTATGGGGTTTCGTGGTGGTGTTTTCTTGTTTGCTAAAACGTGTTTGTTGTGTAGAAATCAGTGAGTTAGTAATCTTACTAGGTTTCTCCTAATGTTGCATTTATTGGTCTCTTAAACTCTTAACAACGCATTGCAGCTTGAAGGAACCACAAATTCCGTCTACTTGGATGTTCTACGGCTGTTTGCCCATGGCACCTGGGGTGACTACAAATGTACGTCTAGAACCTGTGATTGTTTCGATTCGTTTTGACTTATGGATGTGTTTTTCCACATATTCTTATACTATCTATGAACCAAACTCTAGGCAATGCTAGCCGTATTCCTCAGTTATCTCCTGACCAAATTCTAAAGCTGAAGCAGCTCACTGTGCTTACCCTTGCGGAGTCAAACAAGGTACCACTTTTTTGTCCTTAATCAACACTGCTTATTTTGGTTCCTGATTCTGCTCTGTTATGTACGATGTTCCATTATCTATTCGATTATTATCTATGCTCAGTCTACTTAGTGTGTTTCCCTATCTTTTCCACATGGACCTCATTCTGCTTGTTCATTACTTAATTTTTAAATAGGTATTGCCCTATGATACTCTGATGGTCGAGTTAGATGTCACCAATGTCCGTGAACTCGAGGATTTTCTTATCAATGAGTGCATGTACGCGGTGAGTACTCTTTCCGAGTAATCTCTATTTTTTATTTACCACCAAGTTGCACAAATGTGGTGCTGATGTACTAAACTTTTCAGGGTATAGTTAGAGGAAAACTGGATCAGTTGAAAAGATGTTTCGAGGTTTGTTTTGTCTCATCCCCCTATATAACCGTTGTGCTTTTTGTTTAAACTTATGAACACATCGTTAAGTTTCATATATCTTGGAATCATGCAGGTTCTATTCGCAGCTGGTAGGGATCTAAGGCCAGGACAACTAGGGAATATGTTACACACAATGTCAACCTGGTAGTTACTTTAATCTAGCTTTCTACTTCCCCAGAACTGTTTTGCGCTCGATTTCTATTTGATAGAACCCGTACATGGTGCTACAAGATATGACAAGAATGATATACGTCCTCGACCTACTCTTGAGTTCTACGTGAATTGTCCTTTTTTAATGAAACAGTCTCTGCCTTGCTTGTTTTAATGAAACAGACTGTTAATGTGTTGGCGCAAATTTATGTGTAGGTTGAACACATCAGAAAATCTGCTCGTTTCAATTCAAGACAAGATAAAATGGGCGGACAATATGAGTGAGATGGACAAAAAGCATCGTAAGGAGGCAGAAGAAGTGGTGGAAGAAGTGAAAAAGTCTCTGTCCATGAAGGTCAGTGATACATGTGATGGGTTTGGAAGCCTAAGGGCTTCACTATTCCCTACTAAGTATTTAATGTAACTAATAATGGGTTTAGTAGATTCATGGTTATTTTTATGTAACTATGAGTTAGAGCCCAGTTAGCTTTTCTGTCCTATATCTTGAGAGTGGGTTTATCAAGAATTTAGTTCATTGCAAGGGGAAGGGGAGAGACTCCATTAAGAAATCTCTCAAGGTCTCTCAGCTTTGTAATTGAAGTAGGAAAATAGATTAAAAAGCTGTTTTTCTAAATGTTGAGTGAGATGGCTGTGGCAGGTTCTTCTTTGATGGTTAACAATTGCATTCGTGGTGTGGCAATAGAACTTACAATATAAACATTTGGTATGAAGTTGTATAGACAGAGACCATTGTAGACGGCTGCTGTGTTACATTCTAGTGTAGTGTTAAAGAATGGACCAAACAGATAGAGGAAGTGAAGTGTATGGATGCACTGATCCTTGTTATGACTGGAGTGAAAACAAGGTTTTTGTGCTTTGATAAAATGAAATGTAGAGTATTGTGAAATTGTGATTTGGGAAGGGTAATGGTCGATGTAGTCTTACTTACATTGTGGGCAGGGGGATATTGACAGCAGAGGGCATAAAGAGATGTTCGGGGAACCAAGTGGAGTGATGGACTACGAAGAAGATGGAATCCGACCAAAGAGGTAACATTGTTGCTCTGATATATGAGACAAGGCCTGTTCAAGTATGAGATGCTATAATACAAAGTAGAAAGGAGATGATATAACTTATGCATGTTTTGGAACGCAGGAGGAGGCATCCGGTGCTAAGGTAGAGAGAGGAGAAGGGTTTTGTAATGTTGGTGACGGACAAACCATTTACCATTTACCATTTACCATTTACCGAGAGTAGATTTAATGATGATGATTTTGGGGAAACTTACCTAATGTAAGCCCACTTTTGCTTCTCGTAGCGGATATTTTTGTTATTTGTGGCCTTTTATTTCAACTTGTATAAACTCCTCTCTCAGTTCTCTCTCTCTTTCTCTCTCTTTTTCTCTCTCTTTCTCTCTCTCTCTCTCTCTCTCTCTCTCTCTCTCTCTCAACTACAAATTTAGCGATTGTTGTTGGCCCAAAACGATATGAATAGAGAACCATGTGGGTTAGATTGATGGTTACATAAAAGTTGGGAGTCTCTAAATCAAAATTTTAAAAAGGTTAGCAAGGTGGTGGGGTCATATACCATGGGCATGTCATGATATATTTAATTATCATTATGATCCCGATCCTCTGCTTTTCACATTCGGGATTGTTTTTTTCGTTAAGCTGCTAGCTTATGCTTGATATTCGGCCTCATAAGAGTGAGTACACACGCTTTGAGTTTTTTTTTGTTTTTAAAGAGTTAATCATCATAACACAATTCCCTTTGTAAATAAATATTTAGAACTTTTGTACAAAGGGAGGGACACAAGTGCATTTGCGTCGAGTCATACTCTGCAACTGATGATGAACAAGGACTAGTCTCCTTGCTGATGATTTGAGCCATAACTCATAAGCATGAGATGTTTGCAAATGCATTACAAACTCAACCCACACTCTGCTGGAATGCAGTGTTTTGAGACTCATCATACCCAGCCAGATCTGACTCTGTTCATCAAAACCTGACAACACCTTTTACAAAAACATTACTAGCAATATTTTAAGTTTGACTTTGTTTTTATTCACCATATAATTGATATCTTAGCAATAACATACGATGTTGCAAGTAAATCAAGAGAGCAAATGGGGAGAGGGGAGGCTGAGGCAAGTCTATTGGAAACCCAATCTCACATTCATTGACAGTAGAAATGCCAATACATGAGAAAGGTGTAAGCTGGCTAGGGAATGTAATGGGTTTTTGAAGTGAGGTGGAATTGGATTTGAATGGTGATTCTATCTCCGACGAGGAAACCTTTGGAAGGGTCGTGCAGATCCACAAGAGACATGAAACGTTGGAATCCCAGTGACGGCACATTTCGAGAGTACCATTTGGCGACTGCAAGCAACAACAGATTCGTAAAGATAATAAACAAAGGAAAAAGGAAAGCAAGACTCTTACGCTGCCTCTGGATGTTGTTGGAAGGGTTTGTGTTGAGGACTCGGATGCTGGCTTTGGCGTAAACCTTCTCATTCACTCGGAGGCTCTTGGTGTCTGATAACTCCAAGTATATCGACAAGTAGTTACGCCATCCATCCCCGTCTCCTCTCGGCGCCACTCTCACTTTCCTGCATAATCAAAAAGTTACTCTCTCCCCTCCAAAACCCTCATCAATAATTTGTTGCTCACCAGTAGTTACTCCCGGCAACGGAGAAGTCATCGGAGTAGACGAACTTGGACTCTTCCAGTCGAGAGAAGTGCAACATCCTCCATGTGAAGTTTCCCTTTTCAGGGTTGTCGTAAAAGGAGAGTCGTTCCGAGTTGTGGTATGGTTTCAAGACAATGACCTCAGCTCCAAACTGGCACTTGTCGCCCACAAGGTACCCATTCTGCTCGTTCAACAAGGTCGACAATTGTATCAATTTCCCTATTCCCCACTCTGTTTTCGCTGCGTCGAATCTCTGCACTGCCGTCTCTGCACCACCACCATTAATGAATCAACATTCCATGACTATGCTATTATCATAATAAAACAACAACAAAAAAGCCTTGACTCACCCTCCACCACCAAGTACTTGTTCCTGGGCTTAATCTGCACGAAGAAGCTGATTTTGGTGTGAACCTCCCAGCCTTGGGGCGAGGAGCTTGGGTTGTGTAGTTTCAAATAGAGAGAGATATGATCTGCCCCATTGTCTCTAGTGTTACCACTCGGGTACAGTGTCAGTGTCCTGTTACCACCAGGCCACACCAATCAAGCATATGACAAATTCATTATTAAAACAATAATAATAATATGTTCCTTGTAGACATACCAATTGTAACCACCGGACCGAAACACATCAGATTCGTAGGTCTCGGCGCCAGTGCTGACCAATTTGGAATAGGAGTCGAGGTTTAGAGCGTAAGTGGAAGGAGGGGCATCCCTGAAACCCCTGGTGATGGAATTGTTGCTGCCATTGAGCAAAGGCACCATCAGCTGAACCAAGACAAGACATGACAAGAGGCAGATCAACGGAGCTTTTAAGTACTTGTTCTTCTTCTTCCCATCTTCTTCCAACAACATCATCCTCATCCTTCCAGGCAGCCACTGCTGTTTACTTACTTGCTTATTTTACTCTAGTAATCAAAATATAGTAATGATTATTCTTTCTTTGAGGCTCATATTCTTATAGATAAAAAGGGAGTGCGTTAGTTACAGAGAGGCCGTTTCTTTAGTTTTCATATTGAACACGTGCTCATCTTGTCTTAACTACTCCCGTCGATCCCTAAATAATTCTCAAAAGGGGCCACCTTAACTTTTAACAAGAGCAAGTGAGAAAGGAGACTTTTTTTTTTGCAAAATATGTTTATGAATCTTGAAATATAATTAAACCTGAAATTTTATCTAGAGTAGAGTATTGTTGTTACAAAGGTGGTACATTAAATTTTTTGAAAAGCAGAAGCTAATGAGAGTTGTCCGAGACCCAACCGGAGACCATTCCGTCGTCAACGGGCTTGAGACCACCACAGGATCTGGCGACCGATTCAAAGAGCTTCTCAATCTCAGGCGCACACCTGATGAAGGCTTGTTTCCAGAAGCCATATCTTGGATTCTTGATGAGCTCAATGAATGTGATTAGGAGTCCCCATGGATGCGGCCGGTTCACAATTAGCCGTTCCAACAACACTCTTGTTATCTGCTCCTGTATGATCTCCTGTTTCATTCGTATAATAATTCAATTAGATCCCCACATGCCCAATACTAAACACAACAAGACTCTTCCAGAGGCAAAAAGTGACCCTCTCACCTGGTCAGACTCGAAGAAGAGATAGAGCATGATGAAGGAGAAGTAATGAGTGTGGTTGTTGGGATATCGAAGCTGGTTGGCTATTGCATTAAGGAACAAGTACCGCCCTTCCGTATCCAGTTCCATACTTAGATACTTGAACATCTGCAACGCCACCACATTTTGAGCCTGTGTCTCCTGTGTCTCGCCCGCCTGTAGCTGCTGAATAGCCTGTTGTTATAAAAGAAAATATGTATTACTTTAGCAGGCAGACCCATTTTAGTAAACGAGGCTTTAAATAGCACGTATTAGGTCCTTAGACCCCTACCTGCATTCCAGTATATAGCACAAGCGAGTTGATCAATGGTACGCTGTAACGGGTTCCAGCTGAGCTTGCCTCGCTGGACGAGAGAAGTAGCTTCTGCTTCAACTCACTTAGGAAAGTTGAATTCTGTTGCCTCGACTGCAGCAAAACAAATTTGTTTTGAGTATTTCCTGATAAAATAAATCCGAAGGGTGGAATAAGTCATCAAATGAAAAAAATTACCGTAAGATACTCGTCCACGTCATTCTTCATTTGCTTTGCTTTTAGCGCAGCATCAACCTCAGATAGGATACAGGGTGATTCTACTATCTCAGGCAACAAATCAATCTGCAGTAAACACGATAAATCAGCCTACACGGAATATCTTTAACTTCATAATATGAACATGATCCGCTCTTTGCTGTCAACTCCAACCTTTAGGTTTGGGGTAGAAGGATCTGGAAGCCTCATGTTCCGTGGAAACGAACTGAGAATAATATTTCGCATTTGTATGCAACTTGAAGGAATCACATCACAGAAAGTAAAATGATAATCGCAGAGGAACTCCGGGAAGTCATGTAGCAGCACCAGCAACACTCTCAATGTCCCTTTGTACAGAAATTGAACCTACATAATTGATAAACAAACAAGAGAGAGACCACTTTAAGTTACCATCAACTATATCCGTAGTGTTCAATGCAGAAAGTACAGGAGAGTAAAAGGCACAAACTGGTCCTCCGAGTTCAGCATTTCTCAAAAACGGCTCAAGAAACTGGAGTAAGTCCACTAGCAGGCGTTGAACATATGGCCAACCCTTCTGGCCATTAACTGTAAGTAGCTTGGGCATGAAGCTTCTGTGGCTGACCAGCTCTAGCCATGCAAAGCTGGATATTTAACAAGAACCTCAGTAGAGAAAAAGAATTATAAAATACAATTGATCAATCAAAGAAAAGAAGACGCATATTTCAACCACATGAATCATAGATTCTGACAGGTTCCCTTTTAATAAAAGCATCACCAGAAACAGGTTTCTGTCGTAACCTGAAAGCGGGAATATTAAGAGGCTGCAGCGCGTGAAATGCATTGGCAAAAGCTGTGAGAACCTGCAACAAACGATGGATGTTAGTTATAGCAATGAATAGAGTAACTACTTCAAGGAAAACAAAACGCACCTGAAAGTTTGCGCCATCAGTCCCTGGATCCAGGGAACACAAGTCCAGCAGCCAGTTGATGAACAATCTAAAATATGGTCTTGGATTGAGAGATGTCTTTTTATCTTCTGCGTCCTTTTGAATAGATCTCACAGTGACAGCCATGATCTGCAATCAGTAATCAATATCAAACCCACTCACCTTTTCACCAGTAATATTAAAAGTCGGATTTATTTCCACTAAAAAGTTTCTGTCCCCTTACCTCCGAAAGAAGAAACAGCTTGCTGCTAGACTCCTGTTCAGGGAAATACTGAACACGTTGTCATAAGAAACAGAAACAAACAAAAAAAGCTTAGTCGGCAATGTATCTGGACTTAATTCTGTATGTTGCACGCCAAAAAAAAAATTCAAGAGCATTTACCTTCAAGATTGAAAAAACAAGCTTTGCATAAATATCAATAATAAGGAATGATAGACTCTGAGCTTGCTGAGGAGATTGCACAGGGCCAGCTTCAGAAGATATACAATGAGTGACAGAAAGTTCCTAAACAACGGAACACCCATGTTAATAATGACGCCTCTCAAGATTTTGAAAGTGCTATGATAAGAAATCTTAAAGGTTAAAGTCACCAGAAGAATTCGGAAAAAACTCTCTGTTGTATCATCTCCCTTAAGTAGTCCTGTCTGATGCAAATGCAAAACATACTGTGAACAAGCGGTTTCATTTGCACCGGAAACCTCGCAGATTTGATACCAATTTCTAAAAAGAGTGGACACCTGCGGAGCCAATACAACACACCAAAAAAAAAGATAAACAACGAGCGCGAGAGATGAATGCAGCAACAGAAAACTTAAGAGATAACAAAATATGTAAACACATATCTAGAAAGATAACAATACATAGCATTAAAGTGGAAAATTTATGAAGAAAAACATGCATATTAAATGATAATAGCTTCACAAAAGCGTTTCTTTTGAAACCGTTAGTAGTAGCTTGCAAGTTGAATATTCTGATGCAAAATATCAGCTTTTGATGTAATATATTGCAAGTGCAAACTTTCGATTTATGCAATTCCCGATTAACCAACAAAAACACGAAACTTTATCATCTACATTAAGTAATGAAAGGTATAAAATGCAGAGAAAATACCCGAGTTCGGAACCCTGCGGGATCCGAATCGACATATTCCAAGCCGGTATTCTCTTCTGTGTTAGTGATAGTATTGCACACAACCTGACAACAAAGCTAAAATGTGAAATGAATTTTACAGTCTCGTTACAAGTAACGTTCGGTAATGAAATCATCTGAAACCTTTTCATCCTTTGATTGCCTATCATTGTTCTCATTTCCGGTTGCACAATCAGAGGTACCAGCTGTGTTAGTAACTGGATTTCGTATGACGTCAATTAGTTGTGGCAATAACTCAGGAGATCCGGATTTTGAGGCAAGCTACATCCAAAACAAGGAAAAAATAAATTCTTAAACATGTAAAAAATATCAGCATAAAACAATATTTGAACCTAACCACGATAACAATCAGTAAGTTAATTCCCAAATACCTAGTTCTATTTTTAAAAGAGGTATTATTAATAATAGAACAAGAATATGCGAGATTTCAACCTTTGCCAACGCATCAACAAGACTGTGGAGCTCTGAAATGACACTCGACTCCTCAGTGACCAAGGATTGCAGTAGAGAAATAGCAAAGTCAGTAGCACTCTCTGCACAGCAAACAAATTGTTAGCTACGTTCACTGACCACAAGATAATACAAGTACACAAGGACATAAACAAGTATTTGCTGTTCAGCATACTGTTTCTCCCTCCATCAAGATGCTTAGCCATGTGGACGTTGTACTCCGCTAGGTTCAGCAACTCGCGTTGGATAAGACCGATAGTAATATCTTTGTTAAGCTTCCGCTCCTCCTCTGAATAAATCACCTGTATCAAGAAGTTCCAAGAAATTTACATAATTATAACAAGAAATGAACAAATCTTATATATATATATATATATATATATATGTGATTTGAGGATAGTTCTAGTCATATTATCAGTAGCTCCAACTACAGGAAATAGGCTCGATCAAATACGTATATGAAATGTCAGGAATTATTGGCATATTTTTGGAGAAATATCAGAAGCAACAGAACCAAAACACATAAAAAAAGAGCGAAAAAAAGTAAAGGTATGAGGCTTAGATCTTGGAAAGGTTGTAAACATACCCAGCTAGTGAGTTCTTTGACAACACGCTTGCAAACATCACGAATAGCCACCAGAATTGCTAGGTTAGCACTGACGTGAAGGTTACTTGATGCGTTATCATAAAGAGCTTTGAAAGCTTTTTGAGCGACAGCCAAAGCTGCTTGATCTCTACTTATACATCTGAGGATGATTTCAGGAACTTCAGAAACAACAGCCTGAAAAATCAAAGAGATCTGCAGCAGTTATATAACTGATATATGATGAAACCAGATAGGCATCAATTGGAAAACCCCACAAAAACAATTTCCCGAAATTAAGAAACGTTTTAAACTTTAACTACAATTCCATATAGGATGAAACCAGATAGGCATCAATTGGACAACCCCACAAAAACATTTCCCGAAATTAAGAAACGTTTTAAACTTTAACTACAATTCCATTTATTCTAGGTGAACATAAATTAATAACGATTCTGCACAATCTAGCCACTTAGGCACTAGGAAATCAAGTACCTGAATTTCATCATCTCCTGCATTGTTAGCCACTAAGTCTTCCATCTGAAACCGTTTCAAGAAGTCAACTACAAAAGATATAGAGCGGCCAAAAAAAAACTTACCAGTGGAAAAAACATAATAGCCACGTTACTAACCTTCTGAGTAACAATTTCATATTTATCCAGTGCATCTCTTGTGGACAGAGAAGGCTGTGTGATATTATTTACACCAAGACGGTCCATGGTAGCAGTTGAAGTCAATGTCTGCAATGATGTTCCAGTTTCCTTGGGTATAAATAAGAAGCACAAATTAGTAAATCAATATACACCTAAGCGGGTCAAAATATCAAAACACTCAGTAATCTCACTTTCATTGCAGTGTCAGAGGATTCAACGAGGCTCAGTTCAGAGGTCGAAAGGGAATTAGAGAACTGAAGACCGGCTGTGTCACCTGCTTGATCAACTTGTGAGCTTTGAACACAAGCAAGATGAAATGCCAGCGTATCAGTTGTGAAATACGAGGGAAGAAATGCAAACAGAATCTATCAATCTGTGACAGCAAAGCACCTCAAAAGTGAAACTGGAGTAGATTCAAAACCCTCCACGGAAATATCTGATGGCCGGGGGACCAAATCCATCCGAGCGTTTCCAGCACTGGTCAAAAAGTCCGAACCGTTTTTTACTGATACTGGACCATAACCACTACCAAGCCCAACATCGCCAGATGAGCTTGAAGCAGCAGGTAAGCCATGAGAAGTTTGGACTGACTGCTTTTGCCAAGGAAGTTGAACGAAATCCTGAAAATGCACAAGTATCGGTTAGTCATACAAACACGAAGCATACAGAGCCAACTACCTGTTTAAAACAACACCTCATAAACTCGCTGCTGAGACACGGACAATTGTCCTGGTTTTGGGCGGAGCGACTCTGGTATAAAACTGACAGAATTTTGCGATAGCATGTTTGGATCAAAATTGGAGGATCCAGCACCATCTCTATGCTTTCTTCGTAACAACAATTGCTGGGCAATGTCCGCATCAATAGTTTGTATAGCCTGCACAGAAATAAATATATAACCGAACTTTATAGCAAGGCTCAATAAATAAATAAAATTATTAACTGGAAGTGCGTACAATCCATTCTAAAGCTAAACTGTTAGTTTTTTTCAATCAATAAAATTAGATGATTGAACAGAAATTAAGCGGGATTTACACTTTTTAACACAAACCTTCTCGGTAGCCGCCTGTTCAATGGCAGCACAACCCAAATCAAGGTTGTCATTGGTGACAAGTTGCACAATTTGTTCAAGAGCTTCATTTGCAATACTCAGACCCTGGAGCGAATTCCGTAGATGACCAGATATTGAAGTGCGCAGGGGTTCCTACAATTACAAGAGGCAAAAACAATGAAGGAAAAATAGAGATGGTTGGAGTAGACTCAACACACATGGCAAAAATATTATGGCATGAATGTAAACAAGATGAAAAACCTTGCATGTCACATGTGCCAAACTCCCAGCTAAACTCGCAACCATCAAGTGAGCTGCGTTATATATACGTGTCTCATCTGGTTCCAAGGCATAATCCTGTAGTCAAAAAAGAAAAATAAATCAAAAAATAAGATCAAACCCCTTGAGATTTTCTGTTCTAAGAACCAACAAGAGATGCCGCAAAATATAAATGGACTTTGAAAATCTGAGCTAGAGACTGACGCTTGTGATAAATGGGATTTAAATAGTTTCAGTTGTGGAGTTGAGCGAATGGGAGGTAAAAACAAGGATTTGCGACAAGAAGCTTAAAAGAAAAAAGGGTCGTGCAAAAATAAAATAAAACAGGCAAGTTTAGATTGGCCAACCTTCAGCACAAGCTCTTTTGTTGTTTGGCAAGCAATACAAACACTTCGCTGAACAATACCAGGCACGATCTCCTTGATAGCTCTGTCCATGGCAAGTGGTACCACTCTGACAATGGAAAAAAAGTTTAGTGTGTCAAATAAAATACCTTCAATGACAAGCATACTGATTTCACAAGTAGGAGATCATCAGTCACAAACCTCTGAAATGGAAAGTGTATACCAAATGCGCTTAATTTCTGATTGATAACAACATGATTTCCAATATTGGGAAGTGCTGCTGAGAGCTGCTGGCCATCATATTAACAGGAGAAAGGGTATGAACCAAGCATATATATAATAACTTCGAACGAAATTCATAAAATGAAATTCGTACCTGGCTAATAGAAAACGATGGGGATGGAGTTGACTGGAACAGTCCTTGAGGTGACGGGAGCTGATCAGACATGCCCAGAGTTGCCACGTTTTCGTCTTCCATCAAAGTATTAGTATAAACACGTTGAGGGGGTACATACTGAAAGGAAAAAGCAAGGGGATAAGTATTGTTAAGAACAAAAAACTGACACTATAGGTCAATAACAAAAATTACACATGAAATAACCTGTGATAATAATTTTGAGGGGGCGTCTGTATTAGGTGGACTTGCAACGTCAAGAGGTAGGTCTATTGGCTTTAGAGGAGAAACTGTTTTAGGCTCCGGAATCATCTTCGGTTGAGATATATGTGTTACTCCAAGATCTTTGTTGCTAAAATCAGGATTCCCATCAACTTCTCTCTTCCGATCCTTTAGAAGGGAGGTTGGCGACACTTCCTTCAGATCAACACTAAGGTTCTTGAATAAAACCTGAAGATAAAGGCGAGATAAAAACAAACATTGAATACACAAAGAGAAAAGATTTCAAGCACGTGTTGATGGTCTCATCTTTCAAAAATCCTTATTAAAACTGGAAACCTCTATGTCAAACTTCAGATTCATTTTTAGGTTTGGCATTGAATAGATCTCAGCGAGTAACCCGAGTATAGCCATGGTCCAAGGATTGGGAGGCTGATACGCAATACTGTTTTGGCATGGCTCCAGAACCTGCAGTGGGCAAAAATTAGAACTCAGGACATCAACCCTGGAACAGCTAGGAAAACTAATCAACCACCACCAACCTTTGACGTGAATGGAATGACTGCTATCATCAACCCTTTTTCATATGCCTGCAAATGGAGAAGAAAAACGAAAATTCACTATCTACAAATTGACACCGTTATTACAAAAGAACGAGATCAATTTTGAAGGAAAATAGCAGCAAATACCTCCACAATCAAGGATTTTGGATCTATTTCTCGCGCCCTTAAAACATGATTCCTTCCAATTGTCAACTTTCCCAGCCAGCTTCCTAAATTTTTAAGCAGAGATCGCTCCTCCGAACTTGACTTTATGAGCTCTGAACCCAAAAGAACCTTCAAAACAAGGAAATTAAGAAAATAAAAATTTACTAAACAAAAAGAAGACCCATCGCAGCAAATCATTTATGTGGAGGAATGTTTACCTTGCAATTTTCGTAAGTATTTTGAAGTATCTCCTGAAACAACAGCTTGGAATCAACTTTGTCCAAGAACTTCAAGTACAAATCATGAAAATTGGGCTCGATGCTCGCTCTATCAGATATAAAACAAATGCCGGAAAACAATAAGAAAAAAAGACGGGAAAACCTCACATAAATTAAGAACATAAAAACACAAATGATACCGTTTCATAACCATATACTGCGCGAACCAAGGATAGTACTGTTGAGGCAAAATCTCAGCAAACTCTTTCCCTTTAGATTCAATGTTCGCTGTAGAGATATTATTGATTATGAAAGAAATTTTGTCTTGAACATCTGAAGGTGGAGCCTGGAATAAAAGAAGACTTATTCTTGTCATTCATACTAAACAGTTGCCAGTTGGTATATTGACAATTCATTATTCAATGTAGCCAAAAGCAAAAAAAATCCAAATGTAAACGCACAACACAGCAAAGTACCTCTATTGCGTTTTCCCTTCTCTCAGCAGCTGCAACCAGGGTTTCTATGTTCAAAGCAGAGCCAAACCCTGCAAAACTCGGATATTAGTAACATTTCTTCACTTTTATAAGGCAAGAACTATATAATCTATCATAAATCAAAAAATAGTTATAAAATTAAGTAAACAGGAGATTACTCGTCGAAGTGGCTCCACGAGCTGGGCGAACAAAACCGGCCGAGGTTGATGAAGAAGTTGAAATGCCAGGATTCTGCAAGAGTAACTAGCGAGATGAAATGGAAACTTCTCCCACCGCCATGAAATAAAATACAAGAGAAAGTCATCACCTTAGGAATGGCAGAAACATCAGCGGAAGTGGTAGATGACGAGGGCAGAAGTGGCTTTGCCTCGTTCGATGGTGCACTTAGCATTTTGCTGCGATCATCTATATGCACTTCATTTTTCTGTTGAGGCTGTACAGGAGAAGGGAGATGTACTACAGATTGGCCAATTCCAGAGGCACTCAACTTTCAACATAAAGAATAGAAAAAAAACAATGTGTTAACTTCATTCTCGCCTTAAATTTTCGGAAAGTCAAGTTATGGTCGAAAAGATGTAGGCCAACCCAGACCACGAGAAGTTTACAGTATTTACATAACAGCTAAAGAGCTAAAAAAAAACTTAAGGCATGAGACTAGAAACATAAAGGACGAAGTACTTTTCTTTCCCCTTTTCACTAGATAACTTTAGCGAATCTGATCTCTTGTTTAGAACAATCGCAGAATCATCTTCTAAGAATATATAAAATAGCTAAAAACGGCAAGACAAGTTTTTATAAGGAGTAGATATCAAGATAGACGGCAAGACAACAATGGTAAGACGAGTAGCGCAGTCACTCAAAAGACAACTTTTATATAAATAATATACCTCTCCATTTCCAGGGAAAAGCTGTGAGGGACCAGGGTGCGAAACAGAGGCATCTGATTCTAAATTACCAGATGATACCCTTGAAAGTGCTTGTTCAATAACAGTGACTAGCTCAGGGTGAGTGCTACGCAGGTGAGATATTTGCAAAATATGGTTGCAGTATTGCGGCAATTCAACCAAACGATTCACAAACTGTTCCAGAGCTTTGCTTCCAAAGAGAAACATCTGCATGAATCAGGAAAGAAAGAAGATGACATCTCACAGTAAAAGGTCCGGACACAGAAATAAATCACAAAAGAATCCATACTTCTGAATAAATTACAAAAGAATCCATACTTTTGAATCTGCAGGCTTACGCAAAGAATCCAAGACTAGACGCAGGGCCATCCCGAGTGTGAGGGAACTTATAAGCTGGTGCTTGATAACAGAACCTGAGAATTTTACAAGTCACAACAGAATTAAGAGAATGTATCGACAGCAATACAAAATTGAAGAGAGATAATCAAACAACATGTCACTGGTAATTTTCAAATTCAAGAAAGCCTTCTGAAACACCATCTTCTATGTCAAACTTGCCAAGAGGTTGCCCCAGTGTTAGTAATAAATTTAGAGAGCTAGACACATTAGCATGACCAGTTAAATGAAATTTTGGTATCCTCGCCCATAGTAAGAACATCCTTTACAAGAGTCACTCACCAAAGAGGATGGAGGCGATTTTTAGCTGTCTCTCAGGATACTTGGGGAAAAACCGATATTCCTCGAACAAATTAGCAATCATGCATTCAAAAATTGATTTTTCCCTGTCATAAGAAAAAACCAACCACGTTGACGCATGAGGAGCCAGGCAAACATGATAATATAAATTGGATTTCTCAAATAGGTAAAGTTTTTCATAAACAAACCTTTGAACCAACGAGTCCTTGTATCGGGAAAGCATTTGAACCATTGCATCGACACTCAACTGACCAGAAAACATTTGATGGAAATAAGCGTTTGCTTCTGCCTCAACGTCATCCCCATATGCATTGGAAGCTGATGAATCTTTAGCCTCCCCATTCTGCAGTTTCGAATTACAATTCAAAATTGCTGCATTGACCTTTTCTATCTCTTCGACCAGTTGAGATGAGGTAATCACATTATCATGAGCTTTTAAAACCTGCAATACATGTTCACACATATTAATCTCAATAGATATGAGCAATAGACGAGTCAGATACGAAGCCAACGAGGTCGCTAACTAACTTTCAAAAGGGAAGTCGTAGCATCCAAATGAAGATCTGATAAAGGATCAGAAGGATGAAAATGTTTGGAAGTAAAATCCTCTGGTTCGCTAAAATGCACACTCTTCACAAATTTGAGACATTCCTGGAATATTGAAAACATAAATTTAGATGCTAAATACCATCTTCTCATCTCTAAAGGAATTACAGTAATAGAACTTTGATTGTGAAAAAAAATACTTTACCTCGGCAAAGAGGTCCTTATACACATATAGACAGCTTGGCAACCAGTTCTCAATGTCCAAATAACCTCTCAGTGAGGCAAGGACTGCCAATCTGATGCTGAATGAGACTGGAACCGATTCTAAAACAACAGAGAGAATCTGAAATAAATGGACAAAAACATCCAATGATTAGTTCAAAAACACAAAAACTGTTTTAAGAAACAAAACAGATTAGTGAGACAAAATGAGCCACCGCCACAAATTTTAATTACAACATATTCACCTTAAGCTCATGGCAGATTTCAATTATTCTGAGTATGCTGTCTGCTTTAAGATTTTGGGATTTTATAAGCCCCCACAGAACGAGTTCAGCATTTTGGTGCCAGAGATTAAGGATAAATCCACTATCCAGGGAATTCGTTATTATTACTGGAAGAATGGCAGAAACCACCTCTCGCTGGATGAGATTATAGGCAGTCTGCAACAACAGAATTAACATACTTAGCCAAACAAAAAAAGTCAAGATTACGAGCATAGATCATCAAAGACCAGTCATGGAGAATTACTTTGATGTGTGTCATTCCAAGAAGCAAGGTTCTAGGACAATGTGTAAGTGGATACTGGAGCAACGAACTAACAAAAGCCGTATGACCTCTCTCCGCTAGTTGGCATAGCACATCTAAGAGATCGATAGATAGCCATGCTTGATTGGAAAGTCCTAATTGTTGTTCATGGCTGTGCAAGTTATTGTCAATATAGACCTGGAAAACAGATGGTCAGAATAGTGACAGTATCAAGGAAGAACAACGCTAAACACAGGCTTGTGGTATCTCACCAGCTTCCTTGGAGAATGCATAAAGGTGAATACTTCTGGAGGGGCTGCTATAGCATGCTTGAGAAAAGATAATTGGCCTTTCATATTTATCCAGACAGAACCGCATACAACATCAAGAGGAAACGGCTCCTGCAAGAATAAGTTTAACACCCTCAAACAACAGTGGAAGTGGAAACAACATAGTGAAAATTTTCAACAGTCAAATTAGTCAGCTTGAGAACACACCTTGCAGGCAGTTTTATATAGGCGCATGAAAAACGAGAAAGACTCCATATTAGGGATGTCAAAACCATCATGGTCGAGATTCTCGATTACTTTCCTCCAGCTTGTGCCAGGGGCCTGCTTTAGCAGAACAAATTAAGAGCATGAACCATTTATCATTTGACATTTAAACTAGATTCTTCATTAGATACATTGATAGGAGAAAGATCAATTATACACACTAGTCGCACACAAAAAAAAAAGATTACTACAAAGACTGAAATGAAGTTTCGAAGCCAACAATGACGTTGATTACAGAAGTATAAGGGGCTGTAGATAACTTACAAGCTGCTTGATTGTCTCAATTAGAATGTCAACATTCCATGACTTTGGCGTGGGAACTTCAGGTGGAATGCCGCAACCAAGGGCCAGACTGAATGTTGAAAAGGTGGTGTGATTATCTTCAAGATCAGCAAATGTACGAACAACATTACCAAGAATTCTTGAGATAGTAGCCTCTCTTAGTGGTGCAAAACTAGACAAGATCTCTTTGCATTGTTGGGCATCAGCAGTGAACCCACAACCTAATTCTCCCATGAGATCTCCAACAGCAATTTCCTTGTCGATATCAGCTAAGATAGCATCGATCTCGTTTTCAGTAGAATCAGTGTGAAAATCCATGCTCCTACAGCAGAAGAGAAAAAGCGGTGAGAGTCACAATCAGTGCGTATGGATAGAAAAGGGATAAGAGACAAAAGCAACTGATAAGCAGCACCTGAAAACATCAGCTTCGTGAACTTCTTGAGAAAGGATAGGCGATAGAGCAAAAGAGAAATCATCTCTGGGTTGAGCAGAAGACAAAAACTGTATGAAGGAATCCAAATTCCTGGAGAGGTCTTCAGATTTCTGGAGAAACAAAATAACATTCTGAACTTGCTCAGTTGACTCAATCTGGCCAGCATTGGTACACAGTTGGTCAATCTGGGCCAGCAACAAGTTTCGTCCTAGAAAAAGGAAAGACGAAAGAGGCATAAACAGAGAGGTAAACCGAAGAGATGTGAGAAGTAATAGACGGGGAGAAACAAGCCCTACCAATTGTCTTTGCATCAGAAGTTTGAAAATCGACGAGGGCCAAAGCAAAGCTAATTTTCTCAGAGTGTGAAAAGTTCAATGAATTTGTCAAATCATCCACAAATTCTTCAGTGACCTCAACATCTTTGAGTGCGTGAGAAAGCAGGGAACCGAGATTTGAGTTTTTCATCACACGTTTGAACACCGAGGAGACTACTTTCTCGAGCTGCAACGTATTAGGATGGCTTTTCCGGGCGGTGAAATAATCGAGGCATGTCTTGAGAACTGGAAGACTAGTCTCAGATCCATTGTCAACCAACTGCAGTGAGAAAAGGCAAGGGATCAGTAGGGAGCCCAGAACACAATTCTCAGAAAACTGATTTCAATGCCCAGGTAAGAGACAGAGATGAACAATTACAAAGGAAACAGAGAGCCGCGTGAAGTGATTTACTAGTTAAAACGCTACAAAGAGAGGAGGCTACAACCTGACAGATCTCTTGGGCGGCTGAGTCGACGTCGGAATCATGAAAGCCCTCGAGCAAGAACCGGGTATGGCCGGCGACCTTGGACGGGATCATCAGCATGGCGATCCGAGATCCGAAATGCTTGGTAGGGTAAGAGAAGGACGAGATGGGTGTTTAGGGTAAGCAGCTAGGGATTCACAACGCTCTCGAAGAAGATCCGCTTGGAAGATAGATTAGATTAGAGAGATTTTGATCGTTCCATGTCTGCGATTTTGCCACATATATATTTCGAAGACCGCCATTGCTAAGCCCATTTCTATCAATAATCCCTTATTGGGCCTCCCATTTACTAAGCCCGTTTTGTTTTGTCCCCGAATCTTTTCCCTCCAGCCCACTCCTTTGTTTTGGGCCTCCCATCATTACTGTGAAATGAAATTGGTAACCAACCAATATATCACTGTGAAATTAGTATATTTCCATCTACATCTATCAAATTTCCATGTGTGTCGTATCATACAATAACAGCGTTAATACAAACCACTAGGCTGGTCGATAAATGTATAATTTATTTGATTTTACTTGAGAATACAATTATCATCAAACTTCCACTTGTTGATTGCCCACTAACTCGAGGACTTTGTGATGTCTGTCTTTGAAACCCAACAAAGCAAAGCTCCTTTCTGTGAGTTTATTTATTTGTTTGTGCTGTGGATTCCTCCTGCCTGCCTATCTACTTGGTGCGGATCATTTTCACTTGAGCAAAAGCATCTTGAAGCCTTTCTTCGACTTCATTATTGGTTTCTTTTCAAATATACGACCATCATCATTTTGATTTGGAACTTTTAACCAGTAGATAGAAATCTAAAGTAATCGAGAGGTAGGGTTGTCCACTTGTCTCGAATGATTAGATTTAATTATTTACGAGGAAAAACATTGATGTGCAACTTTGTCACGAAAGACAGTTGGTGTATTGGGTTCAAACTAAAGAATGGGAAAGAGGACAACTACTTTAGTGGTTGTGGCAAAATGATGAAGGAAAAGAATTTCCTCCAAAATGGGGATCTTGAGGACACTACAAGCAAAGGATCACTTGGGCCCATTTCAAAGATATATCTCCATTCACATGTTTTATCCTAAGTCACACATGATTTTTGTTTGGCCGTGCCCCCTCCATCCCAAAGTACACTCTGCACTTTGGAGAGGTAAGAAGCTCAAAATTCGAGTTAAGGAATACTTTAACTTGAATCATCATGTACTATTCATTGCCGTATCCGCAGGCGTAGACGATTTACATGGTGATGGGCCATGGGCTTTATTTAAACGGGTCCAGAAGAAGACACGTGGCACGCATGCCTCTGGTCTTTCTTTCCTTTTTGGCCAGCATATCCTCTACACTTGCAAGTTCCTGTTAAGCTACCAATACCAAATACTAATATATGCATGTCGGCCAATCTCTTTTATTCCGAAATCAAACACACCCACTGACACTGACACTGACACTGACACTGTTTGAAGCGTTATTTCCTCTATCGTGGCTTATATAAATCTTCTGATTCTGTAAAATGTTTACAAGTTTCTTTTTTTTTTTTAATCTTTCTTAGCGCTCCATATTCTTGATGATAGGTAAGTAAAAACGAGGAAGGGTGGATGTTAATTGTTGATTAAGAAACGCAAAAATACGATGAGAAGATAGGGGGCATGTGTTTAACATGGCCAACCAAACTCCAAAACTATCGCCTGAAATCTCCCACGTGGACCACGCTCCGACCCATTAGATTCGAAGCTAAGGAAGGAAACCACCCGGAACTTCAGATCACCGTTGATCTTGTCTCCCCTCCGATTCTCCAGTCACGTGATTGGTGCGTGTAATCTACGCACACATCATATTTGTAGACTGTGTCTCTCTTTGATGTTGCAAGTCGTCGAGTCGCATCAAGGTTGCCTTCTTGTTTAATTCCCACAGATAAATAAACAAACCGCATTAAATATGGTAAAACCAAACAATAAATGTGTACCAAATCGCATTAAACCTAACCCTCCTCATTTAACTCATCCCAATCCATCGACGTAATCTCATCTTCACTTAAATAAACATTTACCCTGCAAAACCAATAAGTATCCACTAAGAAACAAAAACCAAGTATTCAAGTATTATAAAGTATAAACTACTAGTATTTGAGAAAAAAAAAAAAAAAAAAAAAAGTAATCAAGTATTCCAACTAACGACCAGAAGTGGACCCTACAAAAACTTCATCGTGTACATTGCTAGTGTCCGATCCAACGAAAAGGGGTATGCAACTAAGTATAATTGTATATACACATTTTTGGGTTTTAAAAGGAATGTATCAAAAATAAGTATAATTGTATATACACATTTTTGGGTTTTAAAAGGAATGTATCAAAAAAAGGTATATATCAACACTATTTTATCTACAGAAAAAAAAAGAGAAGTTGGATTAGAGCAAAAAGGAAATAATGAGAAAGAAATTGAACAGTTTTAAGAGATAAATCAGAAAAAAAAAAAAATATATATATATATATATATAAAAAAAAGTAAAGAGGAGTAATAAAGGAGAAAATTGCCATTTTATAAAGATGCATTTCGGACGGATATTTCTCAAAGTAAATCAAAGTGCCGTTGTCAAACTAGAAGTAAAAGAAAATAGAACACACAAAGGAGTGACAATACTGTCATTTCACAAAACTCCCCAATTTAAGGTTGGCCCTGAAAACGACTGCAAGCAAACCTCTGGATAGAGAGATAATTAGAGGGTAGCTTGGCTTGTGGGGAATAAATAGTCCAACATCATCGCCTTCATCTAATTCTCTACAAATTAAAAAACTTCAAATCTCTCTCTCTCTCTCTCTCTCCCTCTCTCTTTCTAAGGTAACTGAGATTGTGAAGATCATGGAGAGAGTGTGTTGCATGTGCGGTGACGTCGGGTTTTCCGACAAGCTCTTCCGCTGCGGGCACTGCCGTAACCGTTTCCAACATTCGTAAGTAGCTTCTCATATAGTCACATATATATATATATATAGTCGTGGAATGATCATATTAATGAATGGATTTATTGATTATAATAGCTATTGTAGCAACTACTACAGCGAGTTTGCGGAGCCGACCGAGATTTGCGATTGGTGCCAGAGCGACGACAGGAAGCTGAGCAGCATCGATAAACCTGGTAGTTCTTCTTCTTCAAAGAAGGCTTCTTCCTCCGTACATCACGAGAGCGAGTTCACAAACCGATCGGAGTATTCATCCAATGGCGGGATAAAGCATAACAACAACCGTCACGATCAAGTGACCAAGACCGTCGCAGGAGGTGGAGTGCCGTCGCCTAGGACGGCCACACGAAGGTACAAGCTTCTCAAGGATGTCATGTGTTAAACGTATATCAAACGTAACAAACATGGAAGAGAGGTATTAGGAAACTTTTATCATATACTGCTCCTTGGAGACAGTACTGTATTTAAATAATACTATATATATATATATATTTATGTATAATCTAGCCACCGTCGAAATTTGAGAGAACACAACAAGAACAAAAAACGCATTTTTATTCATCTTTTCCCCTTTTCTTTATGTAGTATATATATAAAATATGTGTGTGTTTGGCGTGAGCTTGTAATTTTTTAGTTATCAGCAAAAGATAATTAAATAATTCTGTACGTTCCGTGAAAGTCTTTTTTTCTCTAAAAAGTAAAACCTTTCGTAAAAGTCTTTATCATTGACGTACGTCTATACAGGAAATGATTTTCGAAGTTTCATTAAACACCATTAATTGATGCGAGTAACAAAAGTCATCGCGGTGAATCATAATAAAAATAAATGCAATCCTGATTGTAAAAAAAAAGTGGTGGGTGTGCATACATACACACGTGGGTGTCTGCGCATATATATGTATATAACCAACCGGGGTACGTGATTGACACTTTGGAATGGGAATTAATGTGTCGACAAATGGAATATATGCATACAAACACGAACGGTGGGGAAGAAACAGAGAATGTGTACTACAATTACTTCATTAATCGGAGCCGTAAAGGCCACCTATTATATGTAATAACTAAGGAGGGCCTTCTTGTGTTTTAATACATCGACTACGATTAATTTGCTTTGATTATGTTCTTACGCTAAAATTATTGAATGTACCGTTTAATCTATTTTGAATAGTGATATCTTCGTTTTCAAAATATTCTACATAGGTGATTCGGATCAGTTCCGATTAATTCCATAAATGTGCAAGATGCAAGTGGAGGAAGAGAAGCTCACACTTGTTACGTTTATTTTGTACCTCTACTTTGCCGTAGGCGCGCGTTTCCATTATATATAAGGGACATTAAGAAAGCCTACGTACCTATTGTTATTAAGAAACTGCAATAGAAGCAAAAGAGTTTGATGTGTAGTAGAAACAGTCCGTTTGCTCCAGGAGGAGGTTCTATAAACATAAGAAAAAACATTTCTAGCCCTACAAAATAATCTAGGTATATGCGATGTATACTTATATAGGCGATGCGTTATTGCGTGTGCTGCGATCCATCATAAACATAAACAGTAACCTAGTACTCCGTCCTCGAGATATATATATCAAAATGTCCTCCTTCCTAGCAGTTTTGATTTTTTTTTGTAAACGGGGGTTTAATATTACATCTGTGTGTGTCCGGAATGGGTTGGGCCATTAGTTGGGCTTTTTCATTTCCACTCATACGCACAGCGGAGCGGTTAGTGCCAGCAAAGCAGCTACGCAACGGAATCAAATTGATGGGCCAGTAATGTATATCTAGTCATCCAACACAAACGTGACACGTGTGCTTGGAATTAGGGGAACCATGGCCATGTCCTTGTAACGGCGTCGTATGTATACATAACACACACTAATGCATAAGTGAGTTTATTCCCTTTTTCATCAATCTCATGCTCAGACACACACAAGACTCCGCGAGTTTACTAATTCACTAGACAGAGGTTATGTTATGTATGAAAAAAGTGTGTAACTAAATCGAGTATAATAAAAAGACGGCCACTAGATCCACATTTTTGGCTTGCAAGTTCCACGTCCAACCATCGATTCTTGTGGGGGTCTCTACTCTCTAGCATTTATATCACAACCAGTGAAAATGAAAATAGTACTCCGTGGGGGTGCAAATCACGTGGTTAATTAATTAAATTTAACAAACAATTGTACTATGATATTCATGAGCTTCAAAACGGGGGACAAGGAGAAATTGTAGTCCTATAAAATCCTTTTAAACTTGAAAAAGGGAACCACGTGGCCTTCATCGATCAGTCACTTTCTAAAATTTGGTTTGCTGTAGTTTTCTAGGAAAATTCCAGCAGCACCATCAGACAAAATGGCAGAGAGTCAGTCAATAATTCAGTTCCCCTAAATGAATAAACGATGAACGAACCACCATGCACCAGTACGCTCCCCGGTCTTTGCTTTTTTCACACCAGTATAAAAGGCATTTTATTAATAATCAATCAATACCCAAAATTCAATTTTAATTCGACCGAGCGAGAGCTGTTAGTTACTAGTAATAACTTAAATCCTTTTGACTGCGTACGTTAAAGAAGGAGAAGATGAAGGAAAACAACACTTTTAAAACAGTTAAGAAAAAACATTACATGACCATAGACCGACTAATTAAGATGGTAACAGCAACAAAACAACAACGTACTAACTAATCATCAGCAGCTGGAGAAGAACATTGAATTCGAAGAGGAAGACGCTGACGTGGAAGAGGACGCTGTTGTTTGGAACTGCCTTTGCCGGAAACATTCCAAGGAAATTGTAGGCGGCGAGAGAAGCGTATTGGACGGAGACGGCTTTACCCCCGAATCGTTCGGCGACTCTGAGTTTGAACAAAGCGCAGACATATTTGTGTTGAGTTAATGATCAGAAATGTAAGACTAATTATAATAGTTAATTTGGAAAATGGATGAGAGAGAGAGAGAGAGAGGTAATGGAGTACTTGGAGTGGTGGCAATATCCGGAGTGGATCTGCCGCTGTCGTGAGTGATGGATGCCGACTGGTGACATTTACGACGGCGGCGGTTATGGTCAGCTAGGCGCTTACGGCAGCTGCGTTTCCCGTTGTCGAATTCCGACAGCAAATGGAACCTGTAAATCACTGATTGATTAGTTTGAAAATATACACTACTCCAATAAATTAAAAGGGTAAAAAAAAGTTGGAGAGAGCGCCATCGGGATCACCCACACACAGGGGGGTACGTACTCTCTCTTCAATGATTGTGACGAGAGAGAATTACTAACTAATCAAAGGCTATTTCGGTCATTTACCAAAGCTAATCAAATTTATTATCCTAATAAATCTCTCTTTCTAACTAGGAACACAGAGAACATCATCATTAAGATGTAAGCATGTGTACGGACGAAGCATGGTCCATGGATTCTAACAACAAAGGTAAAGGCGTACGGACACGAGGCCTATAGCTAAACGAATCATACTAAGGTGGGATCTTCAGGGGACAAAACTCCTTACCTGCTACACTGCTGGCAAAAGCGCTGGCTGAGCCCGGCCGCCACAACCGTCGAAGCTTTTGAGTGGTATTCGCACACTTTGTGGCGGCGGTGATAGTGTTTCGCGTGGCTCAGATCCGCGTTGCATCCCTCCGCTTGGCACCGTGGTGTGCTCAGCGAGTTTCCCATTCCCAGCTCACCGGGTCGAGACCGCCGGTACAGCCGGCTCACGAAGTCGTCGTCGGCGGCGGAGAAGTAAGTGCGGCCCCCCAGATTTAGGCCGATCCTGTTGGACGTGAAATCGAGCGGCCGAGAGACGTCGACCTCGGTCTTGGGAATGAGGAAGTTGTAGGATGGCCCTGATCCTGAACCGGTCTGGTCGAAGGAGAAGAGGGGTGAAGCAGAAGAGTGGGTGTGGTAGATGGAATCGGATGTGGCGTAAGGATGAGTGGTGGTGGTGCGAGGGTCGTAGTAGGAGTGAAGAAACTGGTTGGTGGTGATATGACCATTATAGACGGTCGTCAGATGTTGTTGGTTAGAGAAGGAAGAGAGGAGCGGTGGTGGAGAAATGTTGTAAGCCGACGAGTGGTGATGGGACGGGTCGAAAATGGGCAAGGCTCGGGTCGGGTCTGGCTCCTGGTGATGTCGATCTTCTCCGGATAACATCATCGCCGAGGGGTTGTCCCATTCGTAGTCCAACATGTTCCAAGAATAGTATTGAGGAGATCCCGAGGAAGATCTTTTTCTGTGCTACAATTTAACAAAAGCGAAAGAGAAGAAGAGAGAGGGCTAATAAAGGAAGGGGAGAGGAGACATGTCGGTGCGGAATAGGTTATGGAGTGGTTTTAATGGAGTGAAAGCAAGCGACGTACTATGCCTCTATTAGAATCAGAGTCTTTCTCCCTCTGCCAACAGAGATATGACTGGATGAGAGAGTGTCGAAAAACCCTAACTTTCTATTTGGGGGAGGTTCTCTCCAGCGCTCCCTCTCTCAATTTTCTCTCGTTATCTCCAAAAGGCTTTTACTTTATTTATTTTATTTGTATTTAACAAAACGAGGCGGGTTGATCTTCAAAAGGAATATGTATATACAAACATAAAATAAAAAAAATAAAAAAAGTATTGTGTCTTGTCCTACTTATAAAGTGAAGAAAGGAACTCGTCACATGGGTCGTGAAGCTCCCATGTCCAGTGTGAGTGTCTGTGCCTTTTCATTAATCTTAATGTACCAAACATCAATCATATGCGCTTTACTCCTTTCTAATTGTACCGTAATCTGAACCCAACTGTGTGATCTCTCTATTGTAGTGTAGTATATATATATATATATATATATATGATGGCTAGAGCCTCTAATTGATCTTGATTTGACAAATACTTGTAAAGTAAGTACGTGGAACAAATGTTAGTGACACTGAATTCTATAAGTTGTATACAGGCTCCTCTGTTTTATGTACATGTGAACATTTTCAACAAATATATTCAAAAAAAGGAAAAAATAGAAGAAAGAACTGTGATCGTGTGGTTAAGGATGAAGGGTGGGTGTAAACGCGTTTGTTCTATTTATTAATTATGATGGACCCCACGTCTGCTGCTGGGCCACTCTGTTTCCAACATTTTCATTTTTTCTTCTTCATAAAACAGATATATATAGATATAGCCGTTTCGTTTACAGTATATAATAATATAGTGGTGGTATTTTGAAGCGAACAAAATACCAAAATATAAAAAAAAAAGGTCCCCTCGTCAAATGAAATGTGTACACGTAGAGTCATAAGTATGTTTTGAGGAGCAAAGAAATATACGTCTTTTTAAATACTCGGAAAAAGAGTAGGGGAGGAAGACGCCAAGAAGGTACTGTGAAATGCTGTTGGGGTTTAGAAAGACAGGATGGCAGTCCCGTAAATAAGCGGGAAAGTGAAGGTGGATCGTTTAAGGGAAGACAGAGTGACCGATCGTATCTGCTACGTACTCCTCCCTATTCTCTTCGCTCGCTCCCTCACGCGCCCACGCCCATCGACGGCTCATATTCAGCGCTGACACGTGGCTTCTCGGGGGAGAGAGTAAGGCAGGCGCGAGTGCGAGATGGCAATGTGTCCAAAATAAACTTGGGAGTGGGCCCCATTAGGTGCCAAAAGGCTGCCATCGACGTTGACCCAAACGTACGGACTGTCTATTATCCTGTGTTTGTAGTTTTTACTTTCTTCTCTTCATATTTTACTATCACATATATAAATGTGTGTATGACTTGGTTGATTCATACCTACAATTAATGTGTTCTTGTTACTGTGTTCACAATATCCATATTTATACTATTAATTAGCTATTTCTAACAATTTTCCATGCTTGTACTCAACAAATTCCCACCCAACATACGCATGGATGCCTTTTTGAAAAATCTCAATCAGTCTACATAGGCGTTACAGTTGATAATAGACCCCAAAAAATCCCTTATCTGTTATATCTGGTTTTGTAGTGCACGTATGAGTGAATATGCTACTTCACAATCAAGTCAATGACATAATTAAGATAACCGATATTGTAATTATATGAGAAGCGTGGAAGCTTGGTACTGTATATACCATCATGTATCATGAGGATTAAAAACTTGAATACATTTTTTACCACATAAAAGAAACAAACGAAAACAAGAAAGGGTGAATAAGAACAGAGAAAAAGACGAAGAAGAGGAAGAGGATAATGCTACACCAAACGTGTTGCCTTGTCAACATCTCTTAATTGAGAAACCACTTACTCACTCGCTTGTCTAAATATGTTCTCTTCCACTAAATATAGCATAGCGTCAGATTTTAAATTACCGTGAAAGAATATTGTTTGTATATACATGCACGCGTGTGTCAAATGCGTGACCATTTGTATGGGCCATTTCTCTAGTTGGGCCTTATGATAGCCTGAATAGTTGTATAGCCCATTTAGTCATTTTGATTGGGCTTCATGTTTTGTTAAAAGTTAAACCGCCGCCGTAGTCCCTGCTTCCACATTTGACGGCCGGTCTCTGCAACTTTCTTCCTCGATGGTTCCTGGTGCAGGACTCCATGCTCTGTTTGTGTCCAAGTGTGAACGTCCTGTGCGGTATCGATTCCTTTCCTTGTGCTTATTGATTTGCTGCTTCTCTCGAAAACTGCTCTTTTCGAAGCTAAAATCAATCCGATCCTCACAGGTTTCTACCAGCTATCGGACCCAAAGTTTGTAACCAAGCATCGAAATCGTCGACCAAATCAAAACTCGCCAGGTCCATGGCGCTTGCTGTGAACTCGAAACCGTGGTCAGACGAAGTGGAGTCGTCACTCTCATCTCTTCATCCACCCGAATCCCTCTCCAGAACCGCCTTTCTCCAGACCCTACGCCTCATCAAGATCCCTGCCGATGGTCTTCGCTTCTTTGACTGGGTTTCCGACAAGGGGTTTACTCACAAAGAGCAGTCTTTTTTCCTCATGCTGGAGTTCCTAGGTCGAGCTCGGAATCTCAACGCTGCTCGGAATTTCTTGTTTTCCATCGAGAAAAGGTCTAGCGGCTGCGTTAAGCTCGAGGAGCGCTACTTCAACAGCTTGATAAGGAGCTACGGAAACGCTGGGCTGTTCCAGGAAGCAGTGAAGCTGTTCGAGACCATGAAGAAGATGGGCGTCTCGCCTTCGGTTGTTACGTTCAACAGTCTCTTGGCGATTTTGCTCAGGCGTGGCAAGACTGGTATGGCCCACGATGTGTTCGACGAAATGCGTCGTACATACGGGGTTACCCCAGATTCTTACACCTTTAACATATTGATAAGCGGGTTTTGTAAGAATTCCATGGTGGATGAAGCCTTTAGGGTTTTTAAGGAAATGGAGTCGTACAAATGCAATCCCGATGTTGTTACATATAACACCATCATCGATGGGTTATGCAGAGCCGGGAAGGTGAAGACTGCGCATAATGTTTTGAATGGAATGATGAAGAAAGCAACGGATGTGCATCCCAACATTGTTAGTTACACCACTCTGGTGCGAGGGTATTGTATGAAGCAGGAAACCGATGAAGCGTTGGCTGTGTTTCATGAATTGCTGAGTAGAGGGCTCAAACCCAATGCTGTCACTTACAATACTCTGATTAAGGGACTCTCGGAGGCTCAGAGGTATGATGAGATCAAACAAATTTTGAATGGAGGGGATAATACATTTACCACTTTTGCTCCCGATGCCTGCACTTTTAATATATTGATCAAAGCCCACTGTGATGCTGGACATCTGGATGCAGCGATGAAGGTGTTCCAAGAAATGGTGAATATGAAGTTGCATCCTGATTCAGCTTCGTATAGTGTTTTGATTCGTACTTTGTGCCTGCGACACGAATTTGATAGAGCCGCCACACTGTTCAGTGAGTTATTTGAGAAGGAAGTATTGTTAGGAAAGGATGGATGCAAGCCTCTTGCTGCAGCTTATAACCCAATGTTCGAGTATTTATGTGCCAATGGGAAAACGAAACAAGCCGAGAAAGTTTTTAGGCAGCTAATGAAAAGAGGGGTGCAAGATCCACCCTCTTACAGGACTTTGATCAGGGGTCACTGCAGAGAAGGTAAATTCAAGGCTGCTTACGAGCTGGTGGTTCTAATGCTCAGGCGGGAATTTGTGCCTGATCTTGAAACCTACGAGTTATTGATTGATGGACTATTGAAGATAGGTGAAGCTCTTCTTGCTCACGATGCCCTACAGAGGATGCTAAGGAGCTCTTATCTTCCGGTCGCAACCACTTTCCATTCCGTACTTGCAGAACTTGTGAAAAGGAGATTTGCTAACGAGTCTTTCGGCTTCATTAGGCTAATGCTGGAAAAAGGAATAAGACAGAACATTGATCTTTCAACGGATGCTGTCAGATTGCTTTTTAGCAGTGCTCAGAAGGACAAGGCATTTCTGATTGTTAGGTTGCTTTATGATAACGGGTATGTGGCGAAGATGGAAGACTTGCTTGATTTCCTCTGCGAGAATAGAAAACTGCTTGATGCGCATAGGCTTGTTCTGTTTTGTCTGGAAAAGAGTCAAATGGTAGATATCGGCACATGCAACAGAGTCATAGAAGGACTATGTAAGGATAAGAGACACTCTGAAGCGTTTAGTTTGTACAACGAATTGGTTGAATTAGGAAACCACCAACAGCTTAGCTGCCACGTGGCTTTGAGAAATTCCTTAGAAGCTGCTGGGAAGTTGGACGAACTTCAGTTTGTGTCAAAGAGGATGACTACACGGGGAAAGAAGGCAGATGATTGCTATGGACTAGAACAAGGAATATCATCATAAATCTTCTTGACCCAGTTGGAGCAATATTGATAAAGATTTATTCAAGTCCCGGTTGTTTGGCATGAATCTCTTTGTTTCCTGGTAAAGCGGGTTCCTTCTCTCTGTGATCCATTATACTCCATCTTGTGTAATAATAATATTATCCAATTCAACAACTTTCTTTTTATTGTTTCTGATACAGGTGTCTATGGATGTTTCAACTCTCTGTTCCTAACTTTCACCTTCATGAGACCTATTACTTCAGCAGAAAAGAAAAATAAAAGGTTTTGTTGGCTCTTTCATGGCCTTTTTTGCATTTCTAACCAACACAGGCCAAAGGATCACCAAACCCTAATAAAATAAGCAGTACTCTCTTTCCATGATCCTCACTCATCAACACCAAACTCTCTCCAAGAAAACCTCAACCCTTCCTTTATAAGCCTTTGCCCGTTTGTTGATATTCTGCATCCACCGCCTTTCTTCTCAACAGTCAACTGAGTTTGCTTACATTTGCACCTCAAAAGGGATGTCGAATTCTGGGATGAATGGTGTTGAGAAGCAAAGCAGCATAGCCACAAGGCGTGTAGCTACTCCCGGGAAGGCCACAGTGCTGGCTCTTGGCAAGGCCTTCCCAAGCCAAGTGGTTCCTCAGGAGAATCTCGTGGAGGGATTTCTACGCGACACCAAATGTGATGACACCTTTATCAAAGAGAAGCTGGAACACTTGTGTAAGCCTCACTCTCTTTATATATAATACAGCTATGCTGTCTACTGTGAAATGCTGAAGCTCGGTAATGTTTTGTGCTGTTGTATAGGCAAAACCACAACCGTGAAGACGCGTTACACAGTGTTGTCACGAGAGATACTCGATAGATACCCTGAGCTAACAACAGAGGGCACACCAACAATCAAGCAAAGGCTGGAAATTGCTAACGAGGCGGTTGTGGAAATGGCACTGGAGGCCAGTTTGGGTTGCATCAAGGAATGGGGAAGGCCAGTGGGAGACATCACTCACATTGTCTACGTTTCCTCAAGCGAGATCCGATTACCCGGTGGTGACCTGTACCTCTCTGCAAAACTAGGCCTGAGGAATGACGTGAACAGAGTGATGCTGTATTTTCTGGGATGCTACGGAGGCGTGACAGGCCTCCGCGTGGCGAAAGACATTGCTGAGAACAACCCGGGGAGCCGTGTTCTGCTCACAACCTCTGAAACCACCATTCTAGGGTTCCGTCCACCAAACAAAGCTCGTCCTTACGACTTGGTCGGGGCTGCTCTGTTTGGAGATGGTGCAGCTGCAGTGATGATCGGAGCAGACCCGAGAGAGTGCGAAGCTCCCTTCATGGAGCTGCACTACGCTGTTCAGCAGTTCTTGCCGGGGACACAGAACGTGATCGACGGGAGGTTGACGGAGGAAGGCATAAACTTCAAGCTAGGACGAGACCTCCCGCAGAAGATAGAAGAGAACATAGAAGAGTTCTGCAAGAAGCTGATGGGAAAGGCGGGTGATGAATCCATGGAGTTCAATGACATGTTCTGGGCTGTGCATCCAGGAGGGCCTGCGATTCTGAACCGCCTGGAGACAAAGCTGAAGCTGGAGGGAGAGAAGCTAGAGAGCAGCAGAAGGGCGTTGAGGGATTACGGGAACGTGAGCAGCAACACCATACTGTATGTGATGGAGTATGTGAGAGATGAGCTGAAAAAGAAAGGCGACGCCGCACAAGAGTGGGGACTTGGGTTAGCTTTCGGACCTGGAATCACTTTCGAAGGCCTTCTCATCCGCAGCCTCGCCTCTCCCTAGTTTCATAACATATAAATTCTATTGTAAGCCGTAAGTTAAAAGTGTTGAATTTGATTAATAGCATCATGAAATGAGCATTGTTAAACCACCACATGGCACATCTCTCTCTCTCTCTCTCGATATATAATAATAATAGCATGTGATGTAATGTGACTAAGAAGAGAATGTTGGAAAAAGTCAAAAGCAGCACCACGTGTCATTAAAGCAAGGACTCATCTACTTGGAACCACAAAAACAACGAGACACCAAACCCATTACTTCCACTAAAAACAAGGGCTTTCTCCTTTTTAATTCACCAACCCAACACTTACACACACACACACATCGAGCAATGAATTCATCATCATGCCTTGATTTCGTCATGTTCAGTCGCGGACAACACGATGATGACAACGTGTCACGTCGTCCATGGAAGAGGGAGAGATCCACTCATCTTAACTTGTCTCCGAACGAAGACGAAGAGCTCGCCAACTGTCTTGTGCTGTTGTCCAATTCAGGGGATGCTTATAATGATAATAACAATGGACATAACAAGCACGGACATGGTAAGGGCAAAACCGTAAAAAAACAGAAAACCGCACAGGTGTTCCAATGCAAAGCTTGCAAGAAGGTGTTTGCGTCGCATCAGGCGTTGGGGGGACACAGGGCAAGCCACAAGAAAGTGAAGGGTTGTTTCGCGTCTCAAGATAAAGAAGAGGAAGAAGAAGAGGAATACAAAGAGGACGACGATGAGGAGGAAGAGGAGGAGGACGATGAGGAGGAAGCAGACAAATCAACGGCTCACATAGCAAGAAAGAGATCCAACGCTCACGAATGCACCATCTGTCATCGCGTATTCTCATCGGGACAAGCCTTGGGAGGCCACAAGAGATGTCACTGGTTGACACCTTCCAATTATCTTCGGATGACGCCAATACATGATTCTGCCGGAAGATCTCAGCCGCTAGATCAACCATCTCTAGATCTCAACTTAGCTTGCCAAGAGTATTCCGTTGATCCAACGGTCATGAGCGTAGGGATGATTGGGAGAGATGGTGGTGGTAGTGGCACTAGTCACAACGCTACTTCGTCGTCATGGTTAAAACTCGCAAGTGGTGATTGGTCTTGACCTAGACTGACTAATTTATTCAAGTTGCTAATTATATTCCTTCGTTTATATTCTTTACATACAATTAAAGTCCATTAATTAATTATAGAGTTGTATGAATTTTATATATTAATATATATATATATATATATATATATACGCTTAACGCCATTTCAGTGCTAGCGTTTTAGAGAGCCATAGCTTTGCTTTAGCTGCCCCAATATATCCATCCATGTTTAAACATCCATTTAAACTAAGCAAACGTCAATTAATACACAGGCGTCGATGACTTACGAATGTTTTTTCTAATTTTGTTTCTTTGTAGTCTTCAAGAGTGACATAAGTTACTTGTTTGGCCATCAGGAACGAAAAAAAAAAAATGCTGTACAAATCTGTGTCGATATATAGACTTAACAAATAAAAAAGAAAATCCGAGATCACATATAAATGAATCAAAACAAGTCTTGTGATAGATAAACAACAAAATATTGCAATATTAATGACCAAAACGCTCTTACTAGACCGAAAACGCATGAACATTAGTCAACGAAACTGATAAATTTGGTGGGTCTTAATTTAAGCACGATTGCAAAGGACCATTTCTCTCAATGCGATTCTATATGTATACCAATAGATATAGTTTTGGAAAAGTGGTTGGTTTTGAACTTTTTGACTTTAGCAAGTTTTGATCAAACAAGAAGCCAACTATCAGCTGAAAACTAGGATTATCGGTGGAAAAATCAGATTAACGTCAGCTGTTATTAAATCTCTCTTTGAAAAGATGTCAAGCAAAGTATATGGTTCTTTGTACCAGTCAAAAGATCTTTAATCAATTAAGTTGAAGACATGTATGAGTATGGTGTAGGGTATTATGATTTTCTAAGCAGCAGTTGACACATATATAAGCTCACTTTTTAAAACAAATAAACTCTGGCATAGTCTGTAGACAAATGATCTCGTTAGTATGAAACATTTATCTTTGCATTACCGGGGAACTCTTCTTCTGCTGTATGTGTTTCACATCAGAGAAGTACCTTTCTACTTTATATGGACGGATCATATAACCTTTCGTAACAAAATGGAGCTTAATGTTAGGTGAGCTTATTGGAAAATACCAAACTGAATAATAATAATAGCAGCATTCATCAGATAGGTTCACTTCACACCCAAATAGAATGTAAATAAATGAAAAGAGAGAGAGAAAAGGAAATTACAAATAGTCAACATGAAGCTGCGAGTGAAAATGAGTACTTTAGGAGGCGGGAAGTCAGCAGTTTCGCTGTACGTGTCAATGTGTGATTTGAAGCGAGTTGGTGTATTTGCCACAGACATACTTTTGAAAATTTGGTAATTACTCAATTTTGAAAGGGTTGTTCGTCGTTACAAGTTACAACAAGCATCAACACTTATATGTTTTTAATGCTTTTACCAAAAATACCCTTACTAAAACTTTCTATCAACGTATGATATTTTCAGTTACAGTGTAATCTTCATTAAGTTTTCAGCAATACATATATACTGAACTGAAATTTAAAGAGTCCTATTAAAAATCATAAGATTTTTGGCCAAATAGAAGGATACTTTTGGAAATATAGGAAAAAGTCAGCGGGAGGAATAAATAGGGAAATAAAAGTCGCATGTTACATGTTTGATCAACCGCTCTTCGCTTCATCAATACTCTTTTTTCCTTTTCTTTCTACTCCAACACTATATATATAAACAAATAACAAACATTTTGGACAGAAGAAACAAATAATTATAGAGATTTATATTTATGTTTACAGGTCTTTCTTTAGCCGTTTCGATATATATATATATATATATATTAAAAGAAATTAAACTGCTTTGGTCGATATTCTTAAGTATCCCATTAACACTAGTACGCAATAATACCCTCTTCTTTTCTAATTAATTAAAAAAAGAAAAGAAAACCTTTTATTGTTGTAGGGAGTTCGTATATATTAGCTTAGGTGTTGGTGGAAGAGTGCTTGTAACCTACTCCGACTTCTTCACTGCCTTTATCTCTCTCTCTCTCTCTCTCTCTGGAAATGGAAGAGAAGCATAAGTGTAAGCTATGTTGGAAGAGCTTCGCTAACAGAAGGGCTTTGGGAGGTCACATGAGGTCTCACATGCTTCATCATCCTCTCCCGAGTCAACTCGATCCCCACCCCGAGTCAGCTTCGTCTTCCATGGCGGATCCAGGGTTTGCTCTCCAGGACAGAGAGAGTGAAACCGAATCGTCCAAAAATCCGACCCGTAAGCGATCTAGACTTAACCGGAGTTCCATCTACGTCTCATCCAGACGTCATCAAAAACCCGAAGAAGAAGAGACAAATAAAATAGCAGCAGCAGATATCAAGACGATGGAGGTTGGTCTTAAAACGAGTCAAGAACTCAGTGAGTCGTGTACCGAGCAGGAACCGGTGAGCTCGGTATCTGACGCAGCGATAGCGGAAGAAGACGTGGCCTTTAGTCTGATGATGCTATCGAGAGACAAGTGGGAGGAGGAGAGTGATGGTGAGATCAGATGGGAGAAGAAGAAGATGAAGTGGTTCGAGTGCGAGACTTGCAAGAAAGTGTTTAAGTCGTATCAGGCGTTGGGTGGCCACAGAGCAAGCCATAAGAAGAAGAGAGCTCTTGAAGGCTCTTCTTCTTCTTCTGCGATTCTTGTATCAGACGAGAAGAAGAAGAAGAGGAGCAGTGGCCATGAATGTCCAATCTGTTTGAAGGTTTTCTCATCTGGCCAAGCCCTCGGAGGTCACAAAAGATCTCACGCCACCCCCGCCGGATTAGACAATAATTCTCCGGCGAAAAGACGAATGATTAGCTTCATAGATCTCAATCTCCCGGCGCCTTCGGAGGAAGAAGACTTGGTCTCTTCCGTTTTCAATGCGTGAGTTGGTGATCAGAATAGTGGTCTACTTTTCTCATTTTGGAACCAGAGAACATTCTGTGAAATTCCTCCACCGATCTAAGTGGTTTGTTCAAAGTGTATTTTTTGATGTATATGATGGGTCAAACATGTGACAAGAACACAAGAAAGAAAATCAGCCAAATCATGTGACATCATTGCAGCGTGAGTGGTTGTTGCTCAAGTGTGTTTCGTAATGCAATGCCCAAATTTATATCACCTTTTGAACCAAAAAGACAATATATATGACATAGAGACCCCTCACTTTTTTTTGACACCATAAAAGCAACCTTAAAGGCCTTTCTGTTTTAGTTTATTCGCCTTACGAATTATCAGATTTGATTTGATCGCGCTGATAGTAGCTAACCGCTAATATGAATATATGAATATGAATATGAATATGAACACAAAGGTCTGACGTCAGTTACAAGTAACCTTGCCAAATTTCGTATTTTGAACTCTGATTTTTGTTATCATTTGACTTGTTTCATGTTAAATTTGTGGTGTATTTGATTGAATATTTTCGTTATTTATTTGATTGAATCGTTAAAAATGATAAAAATAAAAATAAAAAAATAAAAGAATCAAGGAGAAGCAAGAAAATCAACAAGTCAATGTGTATGCTGGTCGATTAGTAGACTCTTTGTCTCTAAATTGCAACAAAACTAACCATTTTTCTTTCTCCTAAAAGGATTTTCAACTTCACCAGTACTGTGGATTGAAGGGCTGAGCAGGAGCCACTGTAATGTCTTTCTCCGACAGCAGTTTCAGCTTCTGCGAAAACAGTTGCAAGATTCTTTAAGATTCTCTATAAACCAGTCTTCCATAGATCATCAACTGTTAAAAAAAGGAGGGACACGGGGTTTTTGTGTGTGTTACCGTGATGTATCGTGGAGGATCGTCGAAGCTCGTGGAGCCTAGTACCACTTCTCTCCTCAAACTGCTTGTCAACTTGTGGCAAACTCGGAGCTGTCCAAAAAACAAAAACAAAAAAGACTCACAATGCTGACACGAGATTTGATAAAAGTAGTAACATGGAACATCATTCACTCAGCTCGGCCTTGTCTGTATGTATACCTCGGATCTAGTTGCCCCACCGATAATGAATACAAAGATGCGTTGGCCCAGCTTCTTCAAGTCCGTAGAAGCGCTTTTCAACACTGAGTCACTGTGTAGGAAGAAAGCAAAGCTTCTAAAAAATGGGAACAGAAGAGAAGAAAGAGAAATCAATATTGCAAACTAGAGTGGTTGCCTGGAATATCCATCGTCAGAGGAAGAAGGACGAGCCCAAGTTGCAGTTCGTCTTGATCTCATAGAGTGAGGGGTGGCTTTACGCTCAGGAACCGCTGTAGGAGCAGAAGCCTTCCTCACGGATCCTGTTCTGGCTTGTTCGCTCTCCTCCTTGTGGCTTGATTGGTTCATGCATAGATAGTCGCTTTTAGATAGATCGCCTTTCACGAGCTTCTCAAGTAGCTCCTGCAACAGAAACAAAACATCGTTTTAGTGAAAATGCCAGCGATCAGACGGGTGTCGGTGCTCATCTACCTCGATCATAGGATAAAACCGGAATAGTTGCCATGTTTCTTCGTCACCAGACCGATCTTTCCTGTTTGCTTGTTTTGTCTATGCATTGCCAAGAGAGATTCTCATTTGGTGATGAACGTACATAAATTAAACCAAAAATTGTTTCCCTGTCTGGTAATACCTTTCCGGCGTCAAATTTGAGGGAGAAACTACCGGACTTGGTCTTGTTTTCAGGAGATCCGGCAATCAATTGCATGTTGCTTATAACCTTCATATCCACGGGGGATAACCTAGCGAGCTGATTGATAAAACATGTATAGTATTATTAGCAAAGGCTACTGATGCATGATGCATTTCAAAAAGCGTAAGCGTCTCTCTATCACCCCAAAAGCTACCTGCATTAGCTTTACCCCCTTGTCACCTTCGAACTTCTCTGGGTACACTGTCGCATAAATCATCAATAGTCGTAACTTGTTTTCCGGGTTTGTGTCCTGCATTTCGTTACACTTTTGTCAACACACTAAAGGGCATCAATCATTGCAGCTTATGACATTTCTCGTCTTGTTTCAAACCATTTCACCTGATTTGTCCTCAGAAAATTGATAACGTCCTTGGCACCTGCGTCTCCAAAAACAAGATCTTGTTCCAGCTGCCCCAGATCCCTAAGTCCCGTGTCTCTGATTATTCTGTTTATTTTTCCAGCTAGCTGATTTTTTTTATATTATTAACCAAAAAAAGAAACTGTTTACAGATGATCCCTGCAGATTCTCAAACTCTGTTTGATACAATTTAATGGCGAGACAAACCTCTACATGAGTGGATAGTTTATCAACTTGTTCTCCATATTGTGGCAAAGCCTGAACTATTTTCTGCAGATCACGAGTAGACAGCTCGCTACCGTCTCTGCGTCACATTAGGCTAACGTTTAACCATACATATCTCAACTGGCTGTTAAGATAAATTCGTCTGAGCACTGACCTTGATCTCATTTGTGCGGCTTTGTTCTTTGAGGCGAAGTTGGTCATTTTCTCATGCAAACGCTCGCTGGCCTGATTATTGGAGCAAAAAGATGGTATCAGCAAGGTGAGCTGTCGAGGGAAAGATAGAATGGTTCATAATTTGCGTTATACATCTGCTATATGCGTGTGACGAAGCTCAAGCCACACTGGATCATGATCTTCAAGCACTATCTCCTTTTTCTCCGGAGGCCCACCAGTTTTGCTGGGAACCTATTAGCATATGGCACAAAATACAGCAAGAGGGAACCACAGAAAAGGAAAGTGAGACCAGAAAAGAAAAAGAGTTACCTCAATAACATGTTTATTCCCCTCCATATCAAGCAAATCATGGCACATAGCATCATAGGTCCATTCATGTATGATAGGAGCGATCTGCAGTTACATTTAACTCTGTTGAGAAGCAATCTATCAATGATATTTGAGATGTAAGGAGTATGGATAATAGATGAACCTGATCCACTGATCTATCCACAATGAGCAGCTCACAGGTTTCGGCCTGGGGGAAGTTGGGAATGGCTTTATATTTTGAGATACAGTCCCAAATAGCAGCAGCAAGCTTTGACGGAACCAAGTCCCGTGGTGCTGTGGACTTAGCAGCTCGATACCGAACAAAGGGTAGTTCCTAAGAAGGCATAATAATAATAACAGAGACGCCATAAGGCCGTCCATCATTGATTTGGCTCAGAGAGTCCATATATCAGCGATTCTAGTTGTGCAGAAGAGAGAGAATTTACCTTCAATGAAGCAAAGACGGTAGAAATTCTAGTTGCCATCATATTCAAACAGATATTAAAATGGCGTGAGTTCTCAGCATCTTCAGCATAGAGCGTTTCCAAGGCTTGCTCATGATCAGTTAAAAAACCCTGAGTGAAAGGTAAGATGATAATAAGAGAGAGAGAGAGAGAGAGAGAAACCATAAGTAGAAGGGAGTAAAGAATACCTGATTATCTATGGGGAAGTACTCCATGTTCATCTGAAGGAACCACATGAGGATCAGCATATATATAGTCTTAACAATTAGTAGGAACAGGAGTGATGATAAATAAATGGTGGAAAGTGAATACCTCTCTTAAAGCACCAATGCGTGGCAATACACTAGAATCACTTTTGATGTGATTGACCAATTCTTTGGGGATAGTTGAGCTGAAGAAGATGTATGCCCTGGAAAGAGGAAAGAAGGAATCACATGGAATGCAGAGAGGAAAGGCTGAGGAGAGAATGTTGACTGCTTACATCCTGTACAAGGGTTCCCTCCCAGACATGTCTGATAGAAACATAACAATGCTGCGGCAACAGTTTTTGTTCAGAATAAGACAAGAGCCTGCAGATATATATATATATACTGTATGAAGGGAAGAGAAAAAGGAAAGGGAAAGGAGGTACTTCTCTTTGGTAGGTTGGATAAAGTAGATGGCGTCCATGCCAGGCATTGGTTCCCTTCTCTTAAAAAGTTCTTCTACCACTGAGATGTGTCATCAGTATTATTGATTGTGATCATCAAATTGCTGTGCAATGAAGAAGAAGAAGAAGAAGGGTTTCTGTATCTTACAGGAAATGCCTTGATCTGTGATATCTGCCATTTTGCAAGACTGAGACATGACTTTTACCGTAACTCTGTCCATGATCAGTATCTGCCTCCCCCACCAAGAAAAGACAAACTCAATTCAATTCAATGAAGGAGACAATAATGAATTCGAGGGAGAGAGAATTGGACCTTCCAAGCTTTTGAATCCCCTGTTTTCGTAGATCCAAGCATCTCGTGTAGCAACCCTGAAACCATATAATAACCCCATTAGCCTCCTACAAAATGCATGCATGCAACAGAGAGAGAGAGGGAGAGAGATTACTGTCGCGGCTGATCTGGCGGAAGAACTTGTGATCTCCGCCGTCGCGGGCATGAGAGGATGAGGGCTCTGAGTCGGAGGAAGACATTGATGGAAACCGGCAGCGAGAGAGGAGAGGAGGATCGGAGGAAGAAGAAGATGGAGAGAGACGAGTGTAGTTTCATTTTTGAAAGAGGGAGAGAGGAAGAGACGGAGGAGAGTGAGGAATTCTTTTGAACGTAATGTATGGCTCACCTCACAATTACATCTTTCGCTATTAATAGCCGTATTCGTATGTATCTTCTTTTATGGTTTCATCCTATGTAATAAGTTCATGGAAAATCATAGTATTAAACTCTGAATTTTGATGAACTTATTACATATGGCTGTGTAAGATGGTGTGTTTTGCTGCTTGCTTGGTCTTGTTTGCAATCTTTCTTGTCTAATTTTAGTGCTTCTATTTTGATTTATGTTGCCTGAATATCATCATCTCACACTAAAATAATACGCTCATCTGTGCTTAGTTAGTAACATTTTCTCTGTAAACTATCAACCCCCTTGGAAATTCGAGTACATGATAATATCAGAGATGCAATCTCGCATTTTTCTTCTCTATGCTCATCAATCTTCATGTGTGCCAATCAATATACACTATAAGAGGAAAGACGAAAAAAAAGAAGAAGCAAAATGGATCAAGCGGCAACTTTCTTCCCGCCCTTGTAGTAACCAAGATACCATCTTACAAACTTGTGGAGACCTGCCTGCAAATCCGTTGTTGGCTTGTACCCCAGCTCCCTCTGCGCGGAACTGATATTGGCATGTGTGAACTGCACATCACCGTTCCTCGGCAACTTCATCATGTTCCTCTTGGCTTTCACCTTCAGCAATCTCTCCAGTATACTCACCAGCTCTGTCACCGGAACCGGAGATGTGTTCCCCAGATTGAAAACCCTTAGCTGGGCCTTTCCACGCTTCTTACCACCACTCCCTGTGCTCTTCTCCGCCGTGTCTAGCGCCCCCAAACACCCCTTGACTATGTCGTCGATGTACGTGAAGTCCCTTGCCACCGTCCCGTGATTGGCTCCTTCGAATATGGAAATGGGTTTCCCTTTGAGGATGTCTCTGGTGAAGAAGAAGTAGGCCATGTCTGGTCTTCCCCACGGGCCATACACCGTGAAAAACCTCAGGCCTGTGAGGGAGAGCCCATAGATGTGGTTGTAGCTGTGGGCCATCTCTTCTCCGGCTTTCTTGGTCGCAGCGTAGAGACTCGCTGGCTGGTCCGTGCGGTCTTTCTCCGAGAAGGGCACTTTCGTGTTCAGTCCGTAGACTGAGCTCGAGGACGCCCACACGATCGCCGGCTGAGGATTGGCGGATTTGCAAACTTCGAGGAGGTTAACGAAGCCGGCGATGTTGCTGTGGACGTAGGAGCTCGGATTCTCCATGGCGTATCTGACGCCGGCTTGAGCCGCCAGATGCATGACGTGAGTGAAAGGGACGACCTCGAAGAGCTTCCTCAGCAGCGACAAATCGTTGATGTCCCCTTCCACGATGAACACTCCGCTTCGCTCCAGGAGGGCTTGCCTCGATCTCTTGAGCGACGTCTCGTAGTAGTCGTTGAAGTTGTCGAGCCCTAGAACGCCGTCGCCGCGGCGTTTCAGGGCGGCCGAGACGTGCGTTCCCACGAATCCGGCGGCTCCGGTAACGAGAACGGAGAGTCCGTTGCGGGTGCGAACACGGGCGGAGGATCTGACCCGTTTCTCCCAGTCGGGGCCGCCCCAGGTGGAGGTGCGAAGAGAGCGGCGAGAGGAAACCGGAGATCGGTAGAAGAAGATGAAGATCAATCCGAGAAAGACGAGCGACCAAAAAGCAAGCTTGGCGGCTGAAGATTGCCACCGCGAACGGTGGAAGTAGGGAGATTTATCCATCTTGAACTTCCCAGGCGTCGAAGGAATATCGTCCAGATGCGACATTTGTTGGTAAATTCCCGGAAATGCAGAGGAGCTTCAAAAGTCCAGAATCCAGATTCCCACTAGATCTCAGCCTACAACAGGGATTTAATTTAAAATTTTTAATTAAATCCCTGCTTGCTTGGAAGGACTAATGGAAAAAGAAACAAAAAGCTCTGGGGAGGGCGATAATGGCGTCGGAGAATCTTCTGGTTTCTTGGAAGGATGGGTTGTTCGGTTGGCGTATATAGTGCCTCCGGATTCAAAGGGAAGATCAACAATATTCTTTTCTTTCTATTTTTTATTTATTTCAAAATTCGAAAACAATGCACAAGCAAGAAATTGGAGTCAAAGCAGTAAACTGTAACTATTGTTGGTTGACTTCCTCTTTAAAACAGTACTTCTTCGGGTCGATTAAATGAGATTAGCGCTATGATTATCGTGCTTGGTTGCGACTTGCGAATGATGGTTTTATCAGAGCCAGCATCTGTATCTGTTACTTTTTTTTTTATTTTTTTTTTGTTGTTGTTGTTAAAGGATCTGTTAATGTTAATTGGAGTATTATCTTTTACTTTATTTACGAAATGTTTGACAATTGGATCAGGACCAACTGGTCTTCCTATATAAGAGGGGGATGTGAGATTAACTTGGTAAATATGGTAGTTATATGTTCTCAAAAAAAAAAAAAATGGTAGTTATGTTATGTATGTTTAGGTACAGTCCAACGTCTTGACGTGGAATTATAAATGATAGATCCAATATAATTAACGAATATATCATCTCTAAACTAAAAGGTTAACTTAATTTGAAAGCTGATATTCCCATGGGGGTATAAAAGCAAAGAGTAGTCTTGAAGAAAAATTATACGTGCATCTTAACATACATATGGTATATCATCATGCCCCACACCTCCGTTGCCTTCACTTGAATTTATTTCTTGAGTTGCTTTATCTATCACCCTATATAAATTCCAGTGACCAAAATATTTTAAAATTGTTATCTCTGAAACATATTTATTACCAATTGAGAGAAATACATGGAAAAACAGCATGGGACCGCCCAAGCCATGTGATTTAAGAAATGACGAAAGACACGGATACGTGTATACATACATATGACTACCATACATTTTGTTCTACCGGTCTGGGCATCAGTTTCCATACTTCATTTAAGTCTCGGTAATCAAATTATATAGTACTATTATTATCTCTTGAGGGTGCCAAATTATAGGGTTCTTGGTTTATGATTATACAAGTTAGTCATTACTCATTATTAATGACAGATAGATGCCAATATTAGGACATGATAAAAGACCGATGATAATGGTCTCAACGTAATACGCTCTTGTCTCAAAACATACATCAAATCATTAGATTGTTAATTATCCAATAAAATTTAAATCACTGAACAAAAAATTTGTATTATTTTGGGCCAGTACAGATGTTGTTGACCTTGTATATCATTTTAAGATTCACCGGATCGTGCTCGGGTCGGTAGAGAGAAAACAAAATTATTTGTCATAAGAATATACTAAATACTTTATGGTAAAAACCCAAAACAATGTACATCAAACATGTAGTCAAAGTTGAATAAATTCACCGACAAATATTAGTTTAGTCACATATTCCAAACGTACTATATAGACTGTACCGGATAATAATAGGCTTTATTGTCACTGCGAGTGGGCTTATTAAGCCCATAATTAGTATTGGAAGAAAAATCGCAGTCCTTTGAACTTGGAAGAACCCCAAAAAGAAGATGACATTCACTTGCGAAATCGAGAAAAGATGAAATTGGGGGATTAGGGCTCTTAATTTGTCGAAACAACTTTGATTCAGAGAAAAATGGGAAGCCTTGCGAAGGCGTACTGTCACCAGATGCACCACAGCATCCCCTTTCACCATTACAGACCTTCAAACCTTCAAAACCCCATCTCTCTGTTCGCCATCACATCTCCTTCAGACCCATACCCTCAGAGCCCTGACAACCAACAGCAAACCCAATTCAGCGGCGGCCGCTTCATCATCCCCACCGTCGCGGTCGCTGCCTCCGCCTGGTTCTTCCTGCGCCTCCACCAGAGCCCTCCAATCGTCACCGCTCCTCCTTTGCAGCAGCTCGAATTGGTGGAGGAAGGTGCAATCACAGAGCTCCCTTTGCAGCACAAGCCGGGTCATGTAAAAGCTCTTCACTTTTACAAAATCGAGCCAGGCACTGTCTTGAAACTGATTGACGTGTACGACTCGGATAACTACGAGTCGTTGAAAGCCCGGATTCGTCTGTCGGCCGAGTGGCTAGAAACGGCGAGGAGGGAACTGAAGGAGAGAGACCCGGGTCGGGTCATGGAGTATTCGCAGGTGGTTGATGAGCTCATGGAGATTCTGAGGGATATGGAGGTTTACGTTGACAAATGCGAGAGGGAGAAAGTTAAGGGTTACCTGAGATCCTGCAATCGCTTGCTTGCTCGTGTGAGGAGAATGGAAGCTCAGATTCTGAATGCCCTCAAAGACGATGAACAAGGAGGAGAGACTTAGCAAGGTCATTGCCCTTTTGTTTCCTCAAAGGTGCTTTTTTTTTTTTTTTTTTCCTTTATCGTGAAATGAGAGTTATGTTTTGTTTCTATGAATCTATGTATGCTCCATTAGGTCCGTAGGATGTAAATAGGTGAACTCTCAAGTTTTTTATTTATGTATCTGTGCGAACATAAGTTACTGAGCATTGCTGCTATTCATTTGCAGACCGTGAGTACAGGCTTCTGATTTGGATTCCGATCTGATTCAGACTCAAGCTTGCATGGTTCACTGCAACGACAGTAACCTTCATATCGTGTTATGTGATATTAATAGGGTGAGACCGCTTTATTTGCGGCTACATGATTGGTCAGGTCACATACCTTATGTGCAATGGCGCTTGCTGTTGTCGGATATTAGAGACCAGTTATGGACAATAGGATCAATGACCCAACCAAGAAGGAACATGTATATTGGATAGCACAAAGTTTGAGACAATTCACAACCCAAACCACTTGGGCTCAAATGCGGATATATCTGGCTTATTTATTGACACAGATAACGATGCCCCCTTTTCTTCGCCGTTCACAAATAAGTATTTCAATTTCTAAGAATATTTATTCAATACGGTGTATGAAAATTAATTTAAATCGCTTCAGAAAGAACAATAAATATAGAGTTGTATGCAAAATAATGTTTGGTAGAGCAAAGAGATAGTCAAATCTCATATTTAGTTACACGGAATTGAAACCACTAATCGGAGAGTTGTCTCTAAACCTTATAAACCAACTATTTCAAAAGAAGTAGACACAAAGCTGAAAATTGAAATCATGTCTTTAAAACGTAGAATGAGCTAACTAGAGGCACTGTAAGCAAATTTGTTGGAAAAAACATAAAGTAGAAACTATGGAGCCAAGCCTAAAAAACGTTATGTTTCTCTTTTTGTGATAATCCAAACCGATTTACTATTTCATCTTGTATATCCATTTATTGGAGGAGCAATATCATATGTTTTACTCTATACTGCATATGCAATTTCTTTTTCAATAGGTTTGGTTTTATGGATCGATATGGTTAGTATTGGAGTGGGGTTATCTACGATTTTCTTTGTAGTGTACTACGTATGTGATCTCTCATGGTTTATCGGAATCTCTATTATATGCATATTATTTTCATGCTACTATTCATTTGGCAGTTTACCTGAAATAGAATTGCAAGAATCACTACAATTACTTAAGAAGATAAATGAAAAACATTTGGTGAAAATACATGAGAGTATATGTAATGACAGTTTACTATTTGTTTCTAAATCTACGGGTATGTAATGACTATTGTGTAGAAGTTGGTTTCTACATAATTAACTTGTATTTCTGTCTGTTATAGTTGATCATTTTCTATATGAACTAAATGAACAGCTGAATGACTTTAAATATCAGATGCGTTCTCTTAGTTCTAAAACACAATAATGATTTATATTAGGAGGAGAACGTAGATTTTAAGATTTTCAACCACTTTGCTGGCTTTAACCAACTATATTGATTCTAGTTGACATAGTTGGTCAAAATTTGTACTAATGTGTTTATTAATTTGGAAAAGTTTATAAGTTTTCTATACCTGACTTCAACTTTTACTTTCTCTTTTAGTTCCTATACGCTCTATATATAATATAACATGTTATATATAATAAGATGATACAAAATAAAAATGAATCCCAAGATAGCATTTAAATAAATATACCAAATCCTAAACGAGTGGTGGTTAAAGAATCATCTTGAATCAAAGCAAAAATAGCAACAACTAGTGAAATGAATAAAGTCCAACACACGAGTGATATCTCAAGAAGAAAAAAAAAAAAGACGAAACGCTGAATAGGATTTAAAGAAACCATGTAGACGTTGAGGAAAAAAGACAGTCTATCAAATGAGCAAGATGGCCAGATTTAGTGACAAAATCAGACTCCAACTTCCCTTAGGCTTAAACATAAGATAAAAGAAGATGATGTGGCCACTCACATCTTTTAAGCAGGTCGACAAACACATTAGTTTAGAAAATCTGAAAAATCAGCAATGAGCACAAAATGCATCACTATTGACTAGACAACACTCCCGAGGTCACCCTGCTCCCGCATGCTATTTATTTACCCAATAATGCATCACTAATTGAGTAGACGACAACTCCAGATTAATGCGCTAAACATACCTAATGATAAAACCAAGTATTGGGCCACATAATTTATTGTTCCGATTAGGTCATATTACACATGTATATGTATATAAGGCGTCGGTCGTCGAATCGGAACAACAAATTATATGGCCCAATATATATATATATACGGTCCAATAACCTATTTTACAACTTCAAAGTTTCTTGACACCAAGTCTGCGTTTCCACAAGGTATCTTCCATCTACATGCAACACAAATATATGAATGCATGAGAAATACAAATTGAACGAGTAAGCCGAGTTTATCCAGCACTGGTTCCATGAACTGGAAAGATGCCGAGAGCAGTTTCTCGGAAAAGACGACAAGCTTCTACAGGCTCTTGTGTTCGATTGGTCAAAGTCAAAACTTCTTCAGGGGATGAACATAGTATTAGTATACCTATCTTGCCAACCAAGCCATCCACATAGCAAAAGACCAAGAGGATTTTAACTTTTGTTACGACCAACCCACGTCAGGCAATTGAAGAATCTTCACTTCCTTATATTAGTGGATAATTTTCTGAATCGCTGTTGTATCTCATTATTGCTGCAATTTGATTCCGCTCCCTTTACTTGAGTAATATTTTTGGTAATGGAATCTTTTTTATACATCAAAAAAGTCGGAACCACAAAAAAACGACAGAATGAAAATAAGAAAATCATGCTATTTTGGTGGGCGGACAAACGATACGCAGTGCAGGCCCCCTTCGTAGAAACAGCACAGCCTGTAGTGTATCCCGTTTTGCATGCAATCAAGTGAATGAATCCCCAAATCTTCTAATCAAGCCGGTGGTGTAGATGAAAATTCCCTGAGAACCAACTCAACTTGTTCAACAACACCAAGCCTCTTAAACCACCGAGCCAACACAGCAGAAGCTTCTTTCCCAGCCATTACAGAGTCTTTCTCCAGCTCAACTAAGAACTCTAAAGCTTCATTTAGCTTTCCTTCCTTCTCATACGCAGCCAATACAAGAGCCACACACTTGTCACTCGCTTTGATTCCCGCTTTTATCATGTTCTCAAACGCCAAACGTGCATTCTGGCTCTGACCCGAGACACTGTATGCGTTTATGAGCAGTGCACACAGCTTTACATCAGGAGTAATCCCCGCGATTTGAACCGCACCAAAAACCCGCTTGGCTCCTTCCGCGTCTCCACCCATGGAGTAGGCTCTCAACAATGCCTTGTAAACCTCTCTTCCCGCACATATATCTTGGGAGTCCATTTCTCCGAGCAAAGCCTCTCCTCTCTCGGGCGCGCCAGCTCTGATGTAGGCCATAATCATTGAACCGTAGGATCGATAGTCTAGAGCTTCCCCAAGCAATTTGATCTCGTTGAAAGTTTCTTCAGCCAACTGGTGATGGCCTGCCTTGCTGTACAACTGAACCATCGCAGTTAGTGTCACTTGGTCAATGAGAAAGCCCCTGTCTTTCATAGCAACAAGAGTTTTTTCCGCGCCAACCACTTGGTTTAGCTTCCCATAGTAGTGGATGATCTTGGTATAGTCACGGGCGTTTGCTTCAAAGGAATCCTCGAGCAGGGAGAATTCAGCCACCTAAGGATATGTTACACACACAAAACGAAAAAGAAGTTGAATGGATTGAACTTAGCCAAGAATGTGACCATCGAAGAGCAATCTAGTACCACGATTTATGCTGAAATTTCCAAAGATCGAAACAAGTACCTTGATATAAAATGGAGACTCAAGATTCTTCAACTCCTTCAGAAGAGAAAGCCAGTCAGCTCTAGTGGGTTTCATCCTCCTAACCCAAGCAGCTAACAAATCGCAAAAACTGCCCTTTTCACTGGAGAAGCAGATAATCTGCCTCATAAGCGATTGACAACGTTTTGACATTTTAATAGGAATCCGAGTGATTGCCTCGTCTTGTTCTTCTGTCAGATTCAGGCCAACATCAACCCAACTAAACCCAGGGCGTTGTTCTGTATCTCCTTCCTTCTCTACGACCTTACCAGTCATCATCATACCCGCACTACATTTGCAACCAAAACGCCTACTTTGACGAGGATCCACAAACATGCGACGGTATAGCTTATGGCTTACAATCACAAATGGGCATTCCAAGCCGAAGCTCAACACTGCGCTGTAGCTATAAATTCCCATTACAGACCTCGGGAACAAAACAAAAATCCGACTGTTTACTTTCACAGGAATCGGATTTCAGAATCGCGAACAAGCGTACGATTCATGTACCTCAAAATTGCCTAAGGATCATAGAAATACAGAACTGGGCAGAGAAACTGGAGACGGAGAGATGAACGAAGCTAAAGCTCATAGATTAGACCTGACCTGTGGAGAAGAATCGTAGTAGCTCTTTGCTCTGCTCTCCTCTACTCCTGGCGGATAGACACTCCACTACAAATGACTGCTTCACTGTGGGCCTTTGTTGGGCTGACAACAAAGGACTATATGGGCAGCCATTTAAATTATGGCCCGTTTAAGGCTCATATCAATTTCATAAATTGTATTTTTGTTTTTCCCGGTTTCGTAAGAGAACATTGTCAAATTACAATGCTAGGTTTATTTGTTCAGGACTCATGTCCTTTTTTTTGTAAGATGTAATTCTTCTACCACCGAATTTAACAATTGATATTCAAACAAAACAAATCCTTTCTGTTTTTCAAGGGCAATAATGTGAAAAACAATTAGCCAATTGTTTGAAAATTCACTGAGCCTCCTGCTTGCGTGGGAAACCACATGGACATCTCTTCATCATCGGCATAATCTCCAAGATTTTTATCGACAGGCTTGATGATGCAGTTTGCAGGTGCAGGCTGATCTTCAAGGGTGATTCCACAAACTATTGTCTTACATGTAAGATGATTTTACTAAAAAATTGTTTTCACGGATATATTCTCCTAAGGGATGAATTTTACGACTTTTGTTATCACTACCAATTTTTTTTTTTTTTATACAACATAAATCTGGTTTGTCCTTCTTGCTGATGGAAAAATTAGAAGAAAAGAATAAAAAGGAAGTGGCCGGGAAGCATGACCGGAGTCCACCGGGACTGTCAACAGATACTGATTTCCTCGTTTACAAAATACCTTATATACCCTCGAATTCGCAGGTATTAATCGCTTCGACTAGAAGAAACATACCAAGGATATTTAAGTCATTTAAGGCAATCCTTTGAAATCCACATTGGGAGAGGAGAGGGCGATCCGAATCTGGCTTCTCCGGTTCTACATTATTATTTACTTCACTGAAGCTCACTTTTTTTTCTATTTGGTTTGTTTGATTCTCTCTTTTCTCCTTAGCTAACCCCTGGTGGTCAGATTCGGGAGAAGTTGTTATCTCCTTCTTCTCTGGCTACATATTCTCTTGTCATAGATCTGAATTGGTGAGTCGTTGAGCTCCCCGACGAATCTGGAATGGCTTCTACGGAAGTCGATTCCCGCTTAGGTCGAGTTGTGATCCCTGCTTTGGACAAGGTCATTAAGAACGCCTCATGGCGAAAGCACTCCAAGCTCGCCCACGAGTGCAAATCCGTCATCGAACGCCTCAGATCGCCGGATATTTCTTCTCCTCTCGCTGACCCTGAATCTGGATCCTCCCTTCCTGGACCGCTTCACGACGGAGGAGCCGCCGAATACTCTCTCGCCGAGTCGGAGGTCATCCTCAGCCCTCTTATTAACGCCTCCGGTACCGGCGTTCTCAAGATCGTCGATCCGGCCGTTGATTGCATCCAGAAGCTGATTGCACATGGCTACGTTCGCGGTGAGGCGGACCCCACCGGCGGTCCCGAGGCGCTACTCCTTTCCAAGCTCATTGAAACCATCTGCAAATGTCACGAGCTGGATGACGAAGGACTCGAGCTGCTCCTGCTGAAGACGCTCTTAACTGCTGTTACATCTATTTCGCTCAGGATCCATGGAGATTCTTTGCTACAAATCGTTAGGACTTGTTACGGTATCTACTTAGGAAGCCGAAACGCGGTTAATCAGGCCACGGCTAAAGCCTCGCTGGTGCAGATGTCTGTTATTGTCTTCAGAAGAATGGAGGCAGATTCATCCACAGTCCCGATTCAGCCCATCGTCGTCGCCGAGCTCATGGAGCCGTCGGACAAATCTGAATCAGACCCATCCACGACGCAGTCCGTTCAAGGCTTCATTACCAAAATCATGCAGGATATTGACGGAGTGTTCCATTCATCTAACGCCAAGGGCACCTTCGGAGGCCACGACGGGGCCTTCGAGACTTCATTGCCTGGGACTGCGAATCCAACAGATTTGCTGGATTCTACGGATAAGGATATGTTGGATGCCAAGTACTGGGAGATCAGTATGTACAAGTCGGCCCTCGAGGGAAGAAAGGGAGAGCTGGCCGATGGAGAGGTGGAGAAAGACGATGATTCTGAGGTTCAGATTGGTAATAAGCTGAGAAGAGACGCCTTCTTGGTATTCAGGGCACTTTGCAAGCTGTCCATGAAGACGCCTCCAAAGGAAGATCCTGAGTTGATGAGAGGGAAGATTGTGGCTCTCGAGTTATTGAAGATTCTGCTGGAGAATGCCGGTGCTGTCTTTAGAACCAGCGATAGGTTTGTTGTCTTGCTTATCTTCTTCCATTATTATTTATAGGCCATTATATTAGTTAGTTTGTAATGCTATCTCTAACTTCAGTTTTCTCCCCTAATCTTTTAACATTGGAGGTTGCAAATTTATCTCCATCTGCTTGATAGTTGCTTTGGGCAAGGATGTTATGTAGTCGGTGTTTTTTTTTCTTTTCTAAAATAGTTGGCATCCATTCATGATGAAACAGGTTCTTAGGCGCCATCAAGCAGTATCTGTGTCTCTCCTTGCTGAAGAATAGTGCTTCAAATCTTATGATCATTTTCCAGCTTTCCTGCTCCATTTTACTTAGCTTAGTTTCGAGATTTCGTGCTGGGCTGAAGGCAGAGATTGGGGTGTTCTTCCCTATGATTGTTCTAAGAGTGTTAGAGAACGTTTCTCAGCCTGATTTTCAACAGAAGATGATAGTGCTTCGGTTCCTGGACAAGCTCTGCGTTGATTCACAGATTTTGGTAGATATCTTCATCAACTACGATTGCGATGTCAACTCATCCAATATTTTTGAGAGGTATGCATTGATAGGTTAGGAAACCTCATTGTTGTGACAATTATCATGTGCCCTGAATCTGTTCTTTGTTTGTGGTATAAGAGCTGAGATCAACAGCTATTTGAAGTGACATTCATTTCCGTGTTTTTTTTATCTGTACCTTGTGTTTAGGATGGTCAATGGTCTCCTTAAAACAGCTCAAGGAGTGCCCCCGGGTACAGTTACTACCTTGTTGCCACCTCAGGAAGCAGCCATGAAACTTGAAGCCATGAAGTGCTTAGTTGCTGTTTTGAGGTCCATGGGAGACTGGGTGAATAAGCAGTTGCGTCTTCCAGATCCTTATTCAGCAAAAATACTAGAAACTGACGATAGAAATCTTGAAGAAGGGAGCCATCCGGTGGAAAACGGTAAGGGGGATGGGGGCCATGGAGGTTTTGAAAGATCAGAGTCTCAGTCTGAATTGTCCAGTGGGACTTCTGATGCCTTAGCAATAGAGCAGCGCCGAGCTTACAAGCTTGAACTTCAGGTAAAAATTTACCTAAAATTTGATTCGGTGTTTATTTTCTTTTGTGTCAGTCTTTCAGCTAAAGACTGATTTGGTTTCATTAATGGCAGGAAGGTATTTCTATTTTCAACCAGAAACCTAAGAAAGGCATTGAATTTCTAATCAAGGCAAACAAGGTGGGGAACTCACCAGAGGAAATAGCAGCTTTTCTAAAAGATGCATCAGGATTGAACAAGACTTTGGTAGGGGATTATCTCGGGGAAAGAGAAGACCTATCCCTTAAAGTGATGCATGCATATGTGGATTCTTTCGAGTTTCAAGGCATGGAATTTGATGAGGCTATTCGAGCCTTTCTCCGGGGATTTAGGCTGCCAGGAGAAGCACAAAAAATCGATCGCATCATGGAAAAGTTTGCAGAGCGGTACTGTAAATGTAACCCGAAGGCTTTTTCTAGCGCTGATACAGCATACGTCCTCGCTTACTCGGTCATTTTGCTCAACACAGATGCACATAATCCTATGGTGAAGAGCAAGGTACATGTTTTTAGCTGGTTCGCGTAGAACCTTAGTGATATCCCTCTTTAGGAAGATCCTAGTCCAATCTACTTTGAAGCTTGTGGTACAATGCTTAAACAATGTAACTCATTTCTTAAGTTTTCAATTACAACTTGCAGATGACAGCTGACGGTTTTATCAGAAATAATCGTGGTATAGATGATGGAAAAGACTTGCCTGAGGAATATCTACGTGCATTATACGAAAGGATATCTAGAAATGAGATAAAGATGAAGGATGATGGTTTGGGTCCACAACAAAAGCAGCCGGCAAACTCAAGTCGATTACTTGGGCTGGATACTATCTTAAATATTGTTGTTCCTAGGCGTGGTGAAGATATGTACATGGAGACTAGTGATGATCTTATCAGACATATGCAAGAGAGGTTTAAAGAAAAAGCTCGCAAATCTGAGTAAGAAGCTTACTTATCCGTGTTTTTTTTTTAATTTGCACTCTGTTGTGCAGTGGTCTGTTTCATGCTGATTCTTCTTCCATTCATTTCTCTCTTGGGCATAATTCATCTTATCTTTTGATAGTCGCTCTTTGGGAGTTGGTAGTTGGCCATTTCAACACTGCTCTTATTGTTACGCCTATTTTAGATTTAACCATGATGTTTCTACTTGGAGTTACCCGAAAAAGTGTATCTCGGGTTTTTGATTTTTGTTTTCCACTGTAGGTCAGTTTATTATGCAGCCTCGGATGTAGTTATACTCAGATTTATGGTTGAGGTGTGTTGGGCTCCTATGCTGGCTGCTTTCAGTGTTCCACTTGACCAGAGTGATGATGCAGTTATTACAACATTATGTCTGGAGGGTTTCCACCATGCTATCCACGTCACTTCTGTAATGTCCTTAAAGACGCACAGAGATGCTTTTGTGACTTCACTAGCAAAATTTACTTCTCTCCACTCTCCTGCTGATATCAAGCAGAAAAACATTGAAGCCATAAAGGTTAGATTCCTTTTCCTCAACTTCTTTCCTTTTTCAGGGTACAAAATGAGTTATGGGAAATCTCATTTAAGTTTTATTCTTTGATGAACTACGATCTCCATCTGTTTGTTGAACTGAGTTGGGTACTTTGAATTATACGAAGTGACTTTTATGGATGAACTGTTTTCGTTTGTTCACTGATAGGCGATAGTCAAACTGGCAGAGGAAGAAGGTAACTATCTACAAGATGCTTGGGAGCATATATTGACATGTGTTTCTCGGTTTGAACATCTTCATCTCTTGGGGGAAGGAGCGCCTCCTGATGCCACTTTCTTTGCATTTCCTCAAACTGAGTCAGGAAACTCTCCACTGGCTAAGTCAAATTTAGTACCTGCAGTTAAAGAAAGAGCACCTGGAAAACTTCAGTATGCTGCTTCTGCTGTGATAAGGGGTTCCTACGATGGTTCCGGTGTTGCTAGCAAGGCTTCTAATACGGTGACATCTGAACAGATGAACAACCTGATATCTAATCTGAACTTGCTAGAACAGGTTGGCGACATGAGTCGGATATTCACACGTAGTCAGAGATTGAACAGTGAAGCCATAATTGACTTTGTTAAAGCCCTGTGCAAAGTTTCCATGGATGAACTACGATCTCCATCTGATCCACGAGTCTTCAGCCTTACAAAGATTGTGGAAATAGCGTAAGGATCAATCTTTCATTCACAGTATCTGTTGTGTTTTGGTCAAAATATCTCTTGTTTATGATCTGTTGGATGCAATGGCAGGCACTATAACATGAACCGTATAAGACTTGTCTGGTCCAGCATCTGGCATGTGCTCTCTGATTTCTTTGTGGCTATTGGCTGTTCTGATAACCTCTCCATTGCTATCTTCGCTATGGATTCCTTGCGCCAGCTGTCTATGAAGTTCTTAGAGCGGGAAGAGCTGGCAAATTATAACTTCCAAAATGAATTTATGAAGCCTTTTGTTGTTGTCATGCGCAAAAGTGGTGCTGTTGAGATCAGGGAATTGATTATACGATGTGTCTCACAGATGGTTTTATCCCGTGTTAACAATGTCAAGTCGGGATGGAAGAGCATGTTCATGGTATTTTATCTATCAAGCACCCAACTCTTACTTTGATGTCTATCGAAGTTTTTGATGACAGATGTACTTACTGAAATCTTTTTGCTCTTGCAGATTTTCACGACAGCAGCACACGATGCACATAGAAATATAGTGTTCCTGTCTTTTGAAATGGTTGAAAAGATCATCCGAGACTACTTCCCACACATCACGGAGACAGAGACAACCACCTTCACAGACTGTGTGAATTGCCTTGTTGCGTTCACCAATAGTAAATTTGAGAAAGATATCAGTCTCCAAGCCATTGCTTTAATTCAGTATTGCGCGAGAAAACTTGCTGAAGGCTATGTCGGTTCATCATTGAAGAGGAACCTTCCATCTTCTCCACAGGGAGGAAAACAAGACAGTGGAAAATTTTTGGAAAGCGATGAACATTTATATTCTTGGTTTCCCTTGTTAGCTGGTAAGCGTGATCTTCTTTTTTTTTTTGTTTTGGCAGCACCTATATTTTTGCATTTACTCCTGTAATTCTCAGCGCCCTAATTTTCTGTTTTCCTTGCCGTACAGGTTTATCTGAACTTAGTTTCGACCCAAGAGCAGAAATTAGGAAGGTTGCATTGAAAGTCCTGTTTGATACTCTGCGGAACCATGGTGACCATTTCAGTCTGTCGTTATGGGAACGGGTTTTCGAGTCTGTTTTATTTCGGATATTTGACTATGTGCGTCAGGACGTTGACCCGTCCGGTGAGGATTCAACTGATGAGAGAGGTTACAATGGGGAAGACGGCCAAGAGTCTTGGCTCTACGAGACATGCTCATTGGCTCTACAGCTAGTCGTAGACCTCTTTGTGAATTTCTACAAGACAGTTAACCCTCTTCTCAAGAAGGTACTGATGCTATTCGTAAGCTTGATAAAACGTCCTCACCAAAGTCTTGCTGGTGCGGGTATTGCTGCGCTCGTACGTCTGATGAGAGACGTTGGTCATCAATTCTCAGACGAACAATGGATCGAGGTTGTGTCATGTATTAAAGAAGCAGCATATGCCACATCCCCTGACTTGTCATACGTGACCAGAGAAGATGTGACGGAGGGCGTAAGCAATGAGGATGAAGCAAGTGATAATTCGGAAGACAAACTGAGAAGAAGAAACAGGCAGCTTCATGCTGCCGTAGCAGAGGCCAAATCCAAAGCCTCAATTCAGATTTTTGTGATTCAGGTCAGTCAAGTCTCTCAGCCTCAAGCGTGGATATAGTAGACACAAACATATAATCAAGCGTAGATATGGTATAATAAAATCTTATATGTTTGTGGTGTATAATATGCAGGCGGTAGCAGAGATCTACAACATGTACCGTGCGTCTCTCACAGCCAATCACATGTTGATGCTCTTTGAGGCTATGCACGGCATCGCATCCAACGCTCACAAAATCAACGCCGATCCAGTCTTGCGTAGGAAGCTCCAGGAGCTTGGGGGGTCGTCCCCTGAGTCCCAAGAAGCTCCTCTGCTCCGCCTGGAGAACGAATCTTTCCAGACATGTATGACCTTCTTAGACAACCTCATCGCAGACCAGCCTTTGGGTTACGAGGAGGCGGAGATAGAAAGCCACCTCATAAGCCTCTGCAGGGAGGTGTTGGAGTTCTACATAGACATTTCATGTTCCAAGGAGCAGTCGTCTAGATGGGTGGTTCCCTCAGGGTCGGGAAAACGCAAGGAGCTAACCGCGCGGGCCCCGCTAGTGGTGGCTGCGATCCAGACACTGGGAAACATGGGAGAGTCGCTTTTCAAGAAGAACTTACCGGAGTTGTTTCCTCTGATAGCGACGTTGATTAGCTGTGAACATGGCTCAGGAGGAGAGGTGCAAGTAGCTCTTAGTGATATGCTTCAGACATCAATGGGACCTCTTCTCCTCCGCTCTTGCTGCTAATTGTAAGATTTGTATACTCTCTCTCTCTCTCTCTCCTTCATTTTCTTTCTTTTTAAATCACATTTGCTTCTTTTCCTTTCGTTCAGTAGCGTTCACGAGAGTTGTGGTCCTTTTTCTTATATGTAAATTGTAATATTAGACAGAAAGTCTGTTTTATTGACACGTGGCACAAATAAGTCGAGCAAACTATATATTTTTATTTTTTTGAGGTTGAAATGAATCGCGCGCAACATGATTTTACAACAAGGCAAGGCCTGAACTAACAAGAAAATGAAATATTAAGTTTGAAAAAATGGATTCTTGTTGATGCGATATATAATATCTCCAAAGTCAAAAGTGGATGCCGAGGCGGCGGATCTCAGAACGGAAGACGGGGCTGGAAGAGAGAGTACGATGAGCCAAACTTCGAATGTCTTCTCTTGAGCATTCCTTTGATATCCTCACCAGTTCCCATAACGCTCCTCCGCTTATCATCTCCTTGGCATTCACCTCTGCACCAACCCCGACCAAACATATAAATTCATCATCTAATGTCAAAATGCAGTCAGTCACTATATATAAGACAAGGATGGCACGAACCATGCTGTGCCAAATGGCATAAAGCGAGCTCTATGTGGCGCCTGATTGGTGCAGCTTCATCGTTCGCATGTTGTACAATCCACGGAAGCGCTCCGTCTTCTATCAGCAGTGATCTTCCACTCTTCACACCTGAGAATCAAATAAAAATCTTCACATTAGCCTGAGAAAATTAATTAGTATACTCCAAAGAGCGTTTCCCTTTACCACCTTGCGATGTTGCTCGGGATTCACACTTTGCAAAGTTGGCAATCCCCCGAGCCACCTGAGCTAGAACATCCGGATGTCCGCATCTCACCATTCCTAGCAACGCTTTTATTCCACCATCCGACCATAGTCTTGCCTGAAGTTTGTCTGCCAAACCAACATTTGTTTCACTAATTGGTCCACAGAGATCCATTCGTCTTTATCAACAAAAACAATGTCGCATGTTATTTTTTACCGTTGCCACAGAGATTAGCAATTGCTCCAGCAACCATGCGTAAGGTCTGTGGATCCTCTGCATCTGCAGCTGTTAAAGATAGCAAGCTGATTCCACCTTGGTCCACAATCAGCTGTTGACTCACTTCTGTTACCCCACAAGCAAACAAAATACTAAAGCTCATCACTACTGCGTTTCTGCTTTCACCGTCTGTCTAGCCACTCAATAGTGATCAGCAACAGTTAAGAGTTTTACCGTTCATTGCGAGATTGGCAATTGCACCCGCGGCAACTCTTCGGACAGTCTCATCTTCGTAACTTCTGAGAAGCATCAGCAATGATGTAAGACCTCCAGCTTCAACGATCTTTTCCTGATTTGCCTCTGCTTATCAGAAACCCCAACAAAATAAGAAAACTGTGAGAACCTACGAGCAAAACAAATATAAAAGTTGAACCTCAGAAATGATTTTTACGAGTGAGCAATAGTTACCTTCAGCTGCTAGATTGGCCACAACTTTCACAGCATGAATTCGGATGTTTGCATCATCTGACTCGAGCAATTGCAAGATCTTTTGCAGACCCACTGTTTCAAAGAGTACGTAACATTTTAAGAACCGCAAAGACAGTTTGTACACACTCTGGTTCATACATTTTAGAGTAAATTTCCATTACCTTGTTCACATAGTGTAGCAAATGGTGCCTTCTGTCCGTTCACAGATTCTCTTGCTTGGGAATGACGTGATGGTAACGAGTCAGTGCCAGTGCCAGAGTATGAATTGCCGGAGGCACCTCTGTCCAAGCATCTTCTCATCTGGAAGATTACACTCAACTATTAGATGGCAAATTCATGAGACTCAAGGTTGGATCAAAATTATTACCAACATACTGTTGTTATCAAGTACAAGAAGCAGGCTAATAGGTGACATCTAATACGTGCCTCATATTCACTACAGCTAGATCAAAGGAGACCTATTGCTGTACAGCAGTTTAAGGAGACCTATACGAATAATGAATTTGTAAAATTTGTACCTGGTCAGCTTCAAAAGTAAGCTGCACAAGTTGACTTCGTAATATGGTGACCTCTTCTTCAAGTTTCTTTTTCTGAAGAGCCTCATCCTCTAGCAGTTTTTGTAGTCTTGATATTCCAGCATCTTCACCTTCCTAAAACGCCAGAGAGTTTGGTCATATAGTATCTAAGGTGTTGAATCATTGAGAGCGGATGAGAAGTTAAAGACTGCGTACCCCTGATCTTGTCTTCAGTGTTGACTGGCTTTTAAGTTTGTTAACTTCCTCTTCAGCTGCCTTCCTTAACTTTATCTCATTCTCAAGTGATTCTTTTAGCTTAGTGAGTTCACTTGCTGTAACAACCCCATTGACCTTCAAAATAATATTTATTGGTTAAAGATGCGCACTCCCATCACCTGAAAAGCAGATGAGAGTTATGTGGGCAAGTACCTCTCCATTACGTTTACCACTCTCATGGTTCCGCTGGTTCGATATCAGTTTTTCTTCAAGCTTCTTAACTGACTCCATATATTCCATTTGACACTTTAGCTTTTCCTTCTGTAAACAGAATATTAGATTTAGTTACCCGATTTCGGAAGTTACTGAAACAAAACACGGATATGTAACCATTTTTTCTGAATTTTCTTTTTCAGATCCTCTTGCATTATTGAAACAAAACACGGGTATATATTTTGCATTAACTAACCTCTAAGGCCTCTGCAAAGTTCTTTTCAACTTCTGATATACGATTTTCTGCCTGTCTATTTATTCTCTCCACATCATCATCAAATGCCTTCAGCTGCCTCTCGTTTTCAGCAATCACCTTATCCAGTTGGACCTCAAGTTTCTTGGATAAACTCTTGTAATCAAATTCTTCTTTTATCTTTAACATATTCTCTACTTTCATTGCCTGCCCAAGATATAAAATACGTAACGCATTTGAAAATGTCTCAACAGACTTCTACATTACGGGTTGGGTTAAGTTAGTGAAAACCCACCCTTTGACCAAATAATATAGTACTTGTTGTCTCTCCTCTATGACGCGGAGAGGGACCAATTGTCACAATTAGGGATGTTCTTGCTGTGCCTGAAACGCAACAACAGATATACGTTAATGATAACACAGAGAAGCAAAAATATATAAGGAACTCCGAATTCAAGACACCATGACTTAGCATATGAACAAGAATGTATAAAGATAACTAACCACCAAATGAATCTCTCAGCAAGCGAGTAAGTTTTGAATCACGAAGTGGAACATGAGGGCTATTCTCAGCTATAGCATTTATGCATTTCCCTAAAGCACTAAGTGAGAGATTAATGGATTTAGCTTCCTCCAGCATGTGCCCTTCGCTGCCTGAATTGCGAGTAAGAAGGTGAAAACGAGCAATCCCATAAGGTGGAGAGAATAACGAAGAAGTGTGTAAAGCTGTTTTTGTACAAGAGCTTTGATTATCAGAGGTTTATACCAGACTTATGAACACGTTCAGAGCCAGCAAGATCTACTAGAACAAGCTTGCTTCTTCTGATTAGTGGCTTTGATGGTCTGACAAAGTGAGAAGAGTTCTCCAATTCATTTGAGGCCGAATCCTCGTTTTCCACCACTGACCTCTTTACATGCACCTGAACTATTGATTATGCATCAACTCAACATAACGATAGAGAAGAAGGGAAGGAAGTGTCAGAGAAAGGATAAAAAAGAGGTGAATTACCATGAGAATTGCATGACTTCGAGAAGATTCAGTATTCAGCTTAGTGTTGGCTGCAACTCGATGTGTTTCCCCAAGCTGAAGTAGCTCAAGGAAATTCTGCTGGTTCCTGATCTCTACATGGGTGGCACCTGGCAAGGAGACATCTCCAGTTTTGGGGTCCTCGACAATTGCAATATTGTCATTGGTTGGGTCAAGGAGATCTTGGATGGTCTCCATATAAAGCTGGGCAAAAGGAAACAGCATAAACAGAAGAAGGCAAAGAATTTGCAAACAAAATAAAGTTGGGAAAGGGAAGGAACCTGTAGATATGAGACAGAGACAGAATCAGTCTCTAGAGAAGTCCCTCCCATGATATCTTCCATTGAACGAACCATGATACCACGAGCGGCAGTATCTTCGTCCCCTAATCTCCCAAGGGTAAAAGTCTTTCCAGTACCCGTCTGACCATAGGCCATCACGGTTCCATTGTAACCCTCAAGAACACTCTAAAAACGAAATAGCAATTCAGAGTGAAGACAGCGCTCGAGGGAGACGAAAGCATGAATGAGGAAAAGAAACAAACCTCTACAACAGGCTTGGCAACCACTTGGTAGACTCGCTTCTGTGAAGCAGCTTCGGTAAGCACCTCATCGAACTCGTACGTCTCCGTATCCCAATTGTTTTTCCTGAGCTTCAACCTTTTAAGCTAACACAGGAGAAGAAGAAGAAGCAGTGATTAACATCGACCTGGGAGTAACAATTATGTAACAAGGAAGTGGAGACAAACCTCAGGCTGCAACTCAACGCAATCAGCGAAATCAGCATCTGCCACCGACTCATCTGCATTTCGAGGCCGTAATCTTACAGCCACTCGAACTCTCCCAGGCACTGTCAAAGAATACAATCAACAGAGTTTCTTCACTAACAAAAACTGACACAGCTCCAGTAAAAGCTTGCATTTCAAATCGCATCTGAGTGAGTGATAATAACGGACCTCCATTGTCTCCGCCGGAAGCTCCTCCTCCCAGAGAAGCGGAAGAGTTCCGACGGGGAGCAGGCGCCGACGAAGGAATCCTGGATTTGAAAGAAGACGATCTGAGATTGGAGGAATTGGCTCCAGGGATCGGTCTCATGGATCCTCTACTCGCACCATTTCTCGAAGACGCCATGGCATACGCTATCTAATAATCCAAGTCTTCTCTACCTCCAGAGTCGTCGAGACGGCGGTTTATGCAAACTGAAGAAATTAAAATTCAAAACAAGGAATGATGCTGAGGGCTTTTTTTCTTCAATTTTGGGGATTTTCCATTTTCTTTTACATTTGTTTGATAAATAAAAATAAAACAGTGATGATGGGGGAGGAGGAGGAGGATGGCGGGGCCCACTCGTTTGTATTTGAATGAAGACAGAGACAGTCGTTGAGTTAAATGGGTCCCACTGTGTCAAAAAAGAGTACGGCCTTTTACCTTCTTACCCTCACCAAAGGTGGCCGCTTTAATTGCGCCGAACGGGTCGGCTTGATGGTATTGCCAAAAGACTGAATTACCCCTACAAAGTGATTCCTTCACACTGGATTCGGATCTTGGTCCAGTTTGGCTGAGCCCATTTATAATATATGCTAGGCCTCCATGAACTTTGATGGCCTGTCGTGGAATCCTGTCTAAAGCGATATTTTCAAAATTTGGCCACATAACTAAAATTTTAAAATCGAGTGATGATGATGGTTGGACATTTGTGAACTTCAAACTTCGATGATGATGATGGTGAGAACGTGGTAAATAAGGCGTCACCTGACTCATACTAGACAAAATATTGTGTGCAAAGTGTAATAATAACAGGGGAACCCTAGTAGATCCGGTACAAACTTTTTAATAAGTGAAACTAGTTCAGTCTGAATGTGCATATCAGCTCTACCGAAACAATACGGCTTGGTTCGATTCTGCAACATATGACTTAAGCAGCAAGTGGATTGGCATGGACAGTGATACGGTTCAGCCTTATCTCAGCAAGCGGCCTATCTCCAGGACCGGTTTGAGTCTGCACAACCACATGATTCAAATGATTAGATGAGTGTTGTTAAAGAAATTCAGATCAACAAATCCTGCTCCTGGCTTCAATTCACCAATAACTCAAAACCGTTACTCCCAAGAGGTTGGTTTTTTTACCTTTTCCATAATGTCAAGCACTTCGAAGCCATGAATGACTTTGCCGAAGATGGTGTATGATCCATTGAGATGCGGTTGTTTTGCATAGGTGATGAAGAACTGACTTCCGTTTGTGTTTGGGCCACTGTTTGCCATTGAGAGCATCCCTCTTGCATTGTGCTGCATGAGAGAGAGAATAGCATAAGCCAAATTATCAAGAACAAACACACGACATTGATTCAGTCAAAAGGAACACATATACTCAATTCTAATCTCGTACATGTTCTAAAAACTGAAAGTATGAGGAAATAAGCTCAAGATACCTTAAGGGACTCTCGAATCTCATCATTGAATTTCTTTCCCCAGATGCTAGTTCCTCCTTTCCCGGTCCCAGTTGGGTCTCCTCCTTGAATCATGAACCCTTTGATATTTCTGTGAAATATAGTACCATCATAGTAGCCACTAGCACATAGAGCCAAAAAGTTCTGCAACAAAATTGTATATGATAGCTAAAGGTTAAGTTCACAACTCCATCAATGCCAATGTCACAGAAAGATGTTGAACCTAAACACAAATTCGGCTGGCAGGGAAAAGAAACTCCCCCAATCATCATAAGATTCAAACAACCTTAATTTTTGGATTTTAAGAACTCAGCAGAGATAAACAATCCAGGACTAGAAAAATCATATAAATTTTTGGTCGACATAATTCTAAAGAAGACAAGACCAATCGAAAGAGGTTACCTCAGCACTCTTGGGAACCTCGTCACAGAAGATCTCACACTTGATATCACCCAGATTCGTGTGCAAAGTTACTGACTGCGCGCACAACACCGAGACGAAGAATAACTCAACAGTATCCATACAAATACACCAAAAACATAAACAAATACAAAAAACGACGTCTTACCATTGATGCGACGATGCTTGGAAACGCCAAACTCGAAACCACCGGAGCTTTCTTGTTCGATGCTTTTGTTCGTTCGAGAGATTTTTCTTCCGTCTCGTCTTGTGGGTTTTGGGCACTTTATGGCACATATAGACCGACCAATGAAAGCCCATAAGTAAAAATGTCCACATGGACAAGCCCAACCCAGCTTAAACAGACCAATTGACACCCCTATATATGGGCCACGTTAACAAGACCGTGGGTCCATTAAGAAAATAATAAACGGCGTCACTTTGATTAGTTAGCGTTCAAACCCATTGTGTTTGGATGTGTTAGAAAATCAGTCATCTCCAATCCCGCTAATCCATGGCGACCGACGCGCCCTCTTCCGCCGCCGCCACCACCGTCAGTGAGATTGTGAACGCGGACTATAAACTGCCTCGATCAATATTTGACTTGACAGCGGGTTTCTTTGACTCGTGTCGGTTGATGAATCCTTCGGTCCGCCTTGGACATGTGGTTTCACCCGCTTTCGATCCGGAGGCGGAGGAGAAGAGTTCCAAGGACGGCGTGATTTTGGATAGATGGACCTGTAATACTTGTAAAACTGACTTCGTATCTCTTCAGGATCAACGCTCGCACTTCAAGTCGGACATTCATCGCCTTAACGTAAACTCCCTATCCTTTCCTCCGCTGATGTTTGTCGAAGTTTATTGGATAATTGTGTTTAATCATTCGATATGATTTGGTAGATCAAGCTGAGTGTTGCTGGAAAGGCTATTTTGAAAGAAGAAGATGTTGATGAGCTGACATCTGAGTCGGTCCAGGACTATGATGTGTCTAGTATCTCAGGTTCTGAGGACGAAGCTGAGGCAAGGCCCTTTGATGCTCAAAAGGGTATTGACAAAAAGAAGCTGTTTGTTCGTCTTCAGAGTGGTGAGAAAGTTTCTGTCTGGAGATGCTTAATCATGGACGAGGCTGAAAGGGTTTCATACGGGAATGACATGGAAGTTTCTGTTAATGATCGTGGCGAGGATGAAGTGACTGAGAGGTTGAGAAATTTGATTCGAGAGAATACGGATGGCATGCTAATGCGCGTCGTGTTGCTTGCTAGTGGCGGCCACTTTGCCGGCACTGTCTTTAATGGAAAGTCCGTTGTGGCTCATAAGACATTCCACAGGTACGTCTGTCTCTTGACGTTGCTGTTTCTATATTTTTAGTTTGAAACATTCATTTGTGACTCAAAACAAATATGATATCTGCAACATTTAGCTTCTCTGGTTCTTGTGCAAATGGGGATTCTTGTTGTCCTTTAATTCCCTTTGCCATGTGTAGATACGTTGTAAGAGCCAAGGCTGGTAAAAAGCAGTCCACAAAAGATGGAAGCGGGAGAAGTATACACTCTGCCGGAGCCTCACTTCGTCGTTATAACGAACTTGCTTTGAAAAAGGTTCCTCTCTGACCTTGCGGGCAATTCTAATCATTGGCTAACTCTAATCATCCTTTTTCGACTTTGTTAGGATATTCAAGAGCTTCTTGCTAGCTGGAAGCCTTATTTTGATGGCGCTTCTTGTGTTTTTGTCCATGCTCCCTCAAGCAGTAGGCTGTTGCTTTTCAATGGAAGCAAACCATATTTCAGCAGCCAAAACTGCGCCGTACGAAACGTTCCATTTGCTATCCGGCGGCCAACCTTCAAAGAATCACAGCGTATATATAACCAGTTGACACAGGTTGCATATGTAACTGAGGAGATTTTTGTAAACCCACCAGAGAAAGCCAAGGCTAAGATTGTGGTGTGCTCCCACACTGAGGAATCTGGCGAAATCTTAAGGCAGGAAGAGCCTGGTGAAACTTCGTCTACCAGCATAATCTTAGGTGAACCAAATCTTTCAGAAAGTGATCTCGGGGATGGAGTTACTGGTACGTCAACTCCATTACACGAAGCTGCCAAATCTGGTGATTGTGAGAGAGTTGTGGAGTTGTTGGAGGAGGGTATGGATCCTTGTGCTAAGGATGAAAGAGGCAGAACACCGTACATGCTTGCAAATGAGAAGGAAGTGAGAAACACTTTCAGACGGTTTATGGCGTCAAACCTTGAAAAATGGAATTGGCATGATGCTAAAGTACCCAGCCCGCTCACCAAAGAGATGGAGGAGTCTCAAGCTGCCAAGCAGGTACTTTGCATTGATTTGTTATTTCGTGGCTTCAGAAGTTTGGTAAGGATTACGCATCAGGCAAACATAGTCCGACTAAGTTGTGATTGTTCAGGGAGAGAAAGACGCCAAGAAGAAAGCAAGAGCAAAAGAATTGAAGAAACTACGGAAAGCCCGAGAAAAGAAGGCTCAAGTAACGTTTTAATCAGTGTCTTATTCAAGACAAAGCGAGACAGTTGAACTTTTGAACCTAACCCTCCTGTTTTGCAGGCGGAAGCTGCGCAGGCTGAGAAGGAGAAACCGATCTCTAAAGTGGTGAGCTTCACAAACTTTGTATCTACTGTATATAGTATCTGAGTCTGATGTCTAAGGAGAAGTGACGTCAACATGAAATTTGTAACAGGAGGAAGTGAGGAGAGCAATGGCGGCCGAGAGGGAAAAAAGAGCAGCGGCTGCAGAAAGACGGATGGCATCACTTAACATTGAAAGCAGCAGCTCAACGACAAGAACAATGTCATCATCGGATGACGTGTGCTCATATTGTCATGTTTCATTGGCCGGCAAGGTTCCGTTTCACCGTTATAACCACAAGTATTGCAGTACGTCATGTATGCATCTTCACCCTGAGATTATACAAGAAAGGTGACAAGTAACCGCAAGCTGTATGAGAGTCGTCCACCATCAAAAAGGTTTTAGGTTTTATTTTGACAACTTTCATCTCCAAGTGTTACCTCACTATTGTCAGCGATTAATATACAGTACAACGATTTCATAAAGAAAAATTTGTCACTCTCAGTTATATATAATCCCTTAGGTTTGAATTTGATATCGGATTACGATATAATAAAATAAAACCTTTTTAAAATCTTGCAATCAATGAGATAGTCACAAAACATTCCCTAAGATATAAAAATGTAATACTCAATGATCAGAGGAGAGGGTTAAGTGAAGGGCATGCTCTGCTTCCTTCAACAACAGTCTTGTGAGCTGTTTCTGCCCTCGACGGTACACCACACTTGACCATTTGTTTCTGCTCATTGTCCTTCTCCCATCCTCCAACTCCCTATATCACACATATAATTTCAACCAAAATATTTAAACATGTCCACAGAGATTTGCGTACCCTATTTCTCTGACATTGTACCTCGGCTGTTCGTGGCTCTCCAAGACGCATGCCTCCTCAAGGATACAAGCATCTCCTTCCTCACTGCCCGAATTCTCTTCCAGCTTCATCATCCTGTCACCACAAAATTGCACATCACTTGAGTTGATCCCACAATCAAACAACTCGCTTAGGTGACAAATTCAACTCGCTTACTTTGCATTAAGGAGATCCACAAGTAACTGCAAAGCTCCAGAATCCCCGCATGCTTCCCATACCGCCATCCTCACCTCAGTTTCACAAGGTTGCTCGTCTGGTCTTGACTCTACAAGCTTTCGGCAGGAAAACAAAATACTTTTTTCTTAATTGTCAGCAATATGGAGTGATCAAGTGGAAGACAAACTGTTGATATTAGCTACTTATCCCAACTCACTACTTTCACTAGTGGAAGTATCTTTGTAGGATTTGGGTTGAAGAGATGACACAATGAAAAAAAAAAAGAGGGGGTGAGTGATCATACCTCTTCAAGCATAGCTGAGACCTTGTAGATCTCATCTTCTTTCATGGCAATGGTCCTCAAGCCAGTCATGAAATCTTCTGGGAAAATTAGTTTGTTCATATAGGAGGGCCTCTTACGCTGCCCAGACCAACTGAAATTACAGGGTCTCTCTGTTTCCTTCTTATCGCTTTCTCTGACTTTCGATGTGCTTTGTGGCAAAAACCCATGATCCAGGAGCGATTTTGGCAGGAGACACCGGAGTTGAGCTTTCTGCAATGAGAGAGCTCAACAGTTACATATTAAATTAAAATTCAGTGTATTAAACATACTTAGTCGTTTATGTTCTATACTGTGAGGGGAAAAAAAACAAAAAACAAAATAGTGCAAAGACTTGTATTGCTAACCTGGGCTTCAAGAAGCTGTCCCTTAGAATCAGAAAACGGGATACTCGGAATCGCCTCGACAGGATAATGTACCTGAATAAATCCCATTGTTATTCCTAACAAAATTGACGAGCATCTTCTTGATCTCTAAGCATCCTCACTATAGATCACTGGTTGAAAAGTAAGGAACTTGGAAACGGGAAGCCAATATTACCATGACATAATCATCTGGATTGTTCTCTATCACAAATCCGTACAGGTAAAGAAGCTCCTGCATACACCAAGAAGGCACGCCACTCAAACAAAGTACCATATGTGATCATTTACAAACGAAAATTTAACTGGAAAACAAACAGGATCACTCAATTTTATTTTCCATTGAAGCTGCCAGCAACTGCAAAAATGTCTTACCTCGTTTCCTTTGTTACCATAACTGATCGAGATCTCCTTGTTTGGGGTAGGATTTTGTGCAACTGTTCAATTTACAGAATTTTGGCACCTTAGTTTTCCACATACAGATCAAAAAGAAGAGAAGGAGGAATATTCAAGGCAACGCAAACAAATTTTGGCCAACCGGAGAGAAGGTACATGGAGAAAGGAACTCTAGATACTGATCCGGTCCCATCAACTTCCCAAGTCGCCATAGGCTTCAAATCTATACTGCCATTACCATAGTTAATTATATCATATCCGGAAATACTCATTAACCACATACACTTAATGGGACAGAGAAACCAAAATAGATAACCATAGTCTCTATTCGACGAAAAAAAAATTAAAAAATAGGCATACCATGGTTGCAAAAGTCAATGCCGGGAACAAGCCCCTCAACCCACAGAGTATCTCCAGGTCCTACAGATGCCGCACCAGGGAGTGGAGCCTGAATATCTACCCATCAGAAAATAACGAATCTGGTGAAGTTTAAGTTACAGGCGACAAGGATAAAGAAGAAAAACAAGGCATTTCACATAGAATTCAGTAAATGACTTGCCTTTTTCCTCAACTGAATTCACTTCAGGTGTATGACTTGTTGATGGGCATTCCCCAACATCTTCCTGGCTTTGTGGAAACACGAAAGAATGTGGAAGAGGAATATTCAAGGCTCGACTCCAGAATACAGAATTAGCCCTGGCGTAACGAAAAAACGGGTTTTAAGAGCCCTTTTCAGTACACTAAACTTTTGGTTCTACTAAAAATAAATGAAAAAAAGCACTAGCCAACATACCAGAGAAAATGTTCAAAGGAGACCTCGCTGCACGAAAAGAGAAAGAAAACAAAATATGATTAGCTCGCCATCAATGAACAAGAACTTGATCTAAAGTGGCGTAGATATGTTTCAAGTCTTGTTAACCTTTCAGAATCGCCATCCAAAATAAGAAGCTTTTTCACCAGGCCCTCCACTTTGTCATGGAAAAGTGAGAGCAACTTCTTCTTCTGAAAAAGGCAGTCATGAATTCATCAGGGTGATCGCCTTGTGGGTGGTGGTCATAAGAGAAACAAATTAGAGATAGATATTGGAACAAATGTCCCAAGATTTACCTGTAACTCGGTTGCGTGATACAAGTTTGTCCCTTTCAGCTCAACCATCTCATCATCGGAAAACCAAAGAGGATTGCCAAATCGAGTGGGAAGCATATCAAGATACCTACCACATCATGAAAATTAGGCTTATTAGTGGTGATCAATGATTTAAACTAAATCTCTTCAAATGAACGAGAGACAAACTGAACTTACGGCTTCCAAGAAGAGTTTTTACGAAGACGCTCCAAAGTGAGGAACAGAATTATCAGGAAGCGGTCATCTACTTCTCCCTGTTCGAACATTTTCTGACACTCTGGACCAAGGAGAGGGTCCTGAAGAACTCTCATAGGGGTGATGGCCAGATCAAGCGGAACAACAAGCAAAACATCTGTAAATTTCCACACATACGGTGATTTTATTCCCCAGCAGGAAAATGATCTATTGTAAGTTTTCGAAGCAGATAAGCGAATCGTACTTACCATCGGAAGTTTCAGTGAAGCTGGAGGCGAAAATGCCAAATCCTTTTCGGGAATCGGAATAGTTGATGTTGCAGCCTCTTAACTCAGCTCCATTCACCTGAAACAAATATCGAAACCCATGTGAGCTACAAAGAAGAAGGAACACACAAATGACTCGACTAAATTCCGTCGTTTCCCGTAAAAGAGAGGGAATAAACCTGAAGCCAGTCTAGGAACAGTTCGAGTCTCGCTTTTGCTTCTGATATCCCCATTGTCGTGAGTAGGTCAATTCTCCGGCCAAGATCAAAAACGCCGGCGAGAGGGTCTTTTAATCTTACATTTAGAAAACCCCATAACGAACGCTCAAAACGATGTCGTAGCCCGTATGATAGATTAATAACCCACATATAATTTGCAGTTTTGAAAAATAAAAGCACAGAGATATTATGTTAAGTTGAATAATAAAATATACAGAGAAGAGAACCCAACCAATTGAACCAAACCCGAAGAACCGGCGTGAAGTCCCTGGTTTAACTAACTCTCTCTTCCATACGCCAAAATCAGAAAAAAGCTTTGAGATTGGCAGCGAGAGAGAGAAGAGAAAGAGAAAGGTCGAAGAAGCAGTACCGATGGCGTCGGATTTGCCGGAGGCAACAGTACAGAACATTCTGGACCAAGAGTCTCTTAAATGGGTTTTCGTCGGAGGGAAAGGAGGTGTCGGGAAGACGACATGCAGCTCTATTCTCGCAATTTGTCTCGCCAGTGTTCGATCCTCCGTTCTCATCATCTCCACCGACCCGGCTCACAATCTTAGTGATGCGTTTCAGCAACGCTTCACTAAATCGCCTACTTTGGTTCAAGGCTTCTCCAATCTCTTTGCCATGGTATCATGCTTTCTCCCCCGATCTCCCTTCCTAGATCCTAGTGGTTGGATTAGAGGGCAATTTGGTACTTCGATTTGATCTTATTATCAATTAGGGTTCTTACCTGACTTTGTTGGATCGATTTTGAGGTGGAAATCAGTAATCTAGGTTTAGTGCTTGCATAGATTCTGGATGATTTGGAAATTGTATTCTTCATATGAATTCGACGTATCTGTGGTATGGGTTCGTTTTGGCGGAAATTTTGTCCATGAATGATTGTTAAAATTGAAGCCTGGTTATGTCAATTCGAACAGGAATTGTTGGGGGGTTTTCTTTCTCTTCTGGGTCGCCTCTAATAGAAAGGCTTGATGATGAGTTTATGGCTAATCTTCTAAAGTTCTTGTTTGCTTTTCTCAGGAGGTGGATCCTACCGTCGAAACTGATGACATGGCTGGTCCAGAAGGGATGGACAGTTTATTCTCTGATTTGGCAAATGCGATCCCTGGAATTGATGAGGCAATGAGTTTTGCTGAGATGTTGAAGTAAATGTTACACTCACCATACTGTTTTCTTTCTCTAACAATTTACTGTCATTATCAAAGTCACGTTTTGACATGCTTATGTTTCCTTAGGTTGGTGCAAACAATGGATTATGCAACTATTGTGTTTGACACTGCTCCAACTGGGCATACTCTCCGCCTGTTACAGTTTCCTGCCACACTAGAAAAGGGACTTTCGAAGTTGATGTCGTTGAAGAGTAGATTCGGTGGCTTGATGAATCAGGCATGTATTCAAGCTTGTGTAACTCAATATGATTGTGATAATTGTTGCTCTCTAGAGGATCTTCTTTGGTTGGTCTTTGGCTGATTTTTTCAAGGAACTGGTTGGTATTGCAGATGAGTCGTATGTTTGGCATAGAGGATGAGTTTGGGGAGGATGCCCTGTTGGGAAGACTCGAAGGCTTGAAAGATGTGATTGAACAAGTAAATAGGCAATTTAAAGACCCGGTAACATTCTCTCAATTGCTTCTTTTTTCAGTACTCGTGACAGCTTCTTGATTCTGTTTATAGTTTTATATCACTGTACAATTCCTATACCTGTAACAATTTTTCCGCATTTGTGGTTACTTCCATCTGTGTATTTGACAGCATGCATCTGCATTGGTGAATTCTGATTCTGCAATTTGACAAACGCAGGATATGACAACGTTCGTTTGTGTCTGCATCCCTGAGTTCTTGTCTCTCTATGAAACCGAGAGATTAGTTCAGGAACTCGCAAAGTTTGAGATCGACACGCATAACATTATCATCAACCAAGTACTATACGACGATGAAGGTGGCTGCTTTTTGCGGATGTTTTTTCGACTTGTTTAAAGTACAAATTTAACGACTATTTCTCACTTGCATCTGCTAGATGTGGAGTCCAAGTTGCTTAGAGCAAGGATGAGGATGCAGCAAAAGTATCTTGATCAGTTTTATATGCTGTACGATGACTTCAATATCACAAAACTTCCTCTACTTCCGGAAGAGGTAAGATCGCATGAGACTCCGAAGATAATTGAATCGATCCAAAACCAAAACGAGATACTGAGAGTTAAACGTGTTGTGGATGTTTGAATCACAGGTCACAGGGGTTGAAGCCTTAAAGGCGTTCTCGCATAAGTTCTTGACGCCGTACCACCCCACCACAAGCAGAGGCAATGTAGAAGAGACGGAGCGGAAAGTACACACATTGCGTTTGCAGCTGAAAGCAGCTGAAGAAGAACTCGAACGGATCAAGAGTGGCTAAAGATATATAACGCTTTGTTCATCCCTTTCAATCTTAAGTTTCTTTCCCGACAAGATTCTTGGAACTCACTTGCTTTCTACATGGCGTCTTTCATTGAGTTTCTGTTTTGAGCAATATTTATAGGTGGAAAATTATGAGGTTTTTTCTTCTTCTCAATGTGTTTCTGTCTAGTTCGGTCACCTGGCAAAGAAACTCTTTAGAGGACAGGGGATCTTTTTATCTTCCTTCATTGTTATGCAGTGGGTTTATTTTTCAGTTGTAATAACCAAAGACTACGTTTTTATAAAGCATACATATAGAGATACCCATGAATCGTTTTATTTTAATGTATTGCTTTACATAATGCGTGAAGTTAAATCATTTTGTGAACCTTCCTCTATCCAATTTTCAATTCACAAGAAATAGTAATAATATCCACAAAAAATGCTATAAATCAAATGGTTAGATTCTCTTGTATGGCTATGAAGGATCCGACAACGTTACCTCCGACGTCCGGGAACGCCTCACTCCCGGGAAGTGGTCGGACTTTGCCTTTCCGATCGACTTCCACTGGATACTTTAGCAGATGTCCTCTCATGTCTGAGACTTCTTCAGCTGCAAACTGTTTCCAGTTTCTCTCCGCCATTGTTCTCACTTTCCTTACACATTCTATACTCTCCGGTTGCGTGAAACAGTCATCTAGTGTTGCCATATGCTCTGCCCAAAGCGACATTCTGTATCCATAGATCTGCACCAGGAAACAATAAAAAGATCCAAACTCTAGAGCCGGAGAAAAATAACAATTCGTAATTCCTATGTGGTTACCTGACCCCTTGGACCAGATTGTTTCCTTGCCCACGTATGCTGAGGCTGATAAGCTCCCATTGCAATCTCTGTGTCTCTTGTGCCTTCCATTGATCTTTGGTTAATGTTTGCGGATCCAATCACTACGTATTCGTCATCTACTACCATCCCTTTCGAGTGAACATAGATCATAAATCTTCTGCTTTTCCGACTCAATGCCTGCGACACCATCATCGTTTCTTCAACAACATGAACAAGTTAAGCAGAGGGCAGCCTCGAGTTCAGTTACCTGAGGAGTGTTTGCGTTGCTTGGACTTCCTGTTCCCGAGTTGTCGATTCCGTCCACCATTTCCCTGTTGCCAAGACAAAAGAAATTGAGGTAATCTTGTGGGGAGAATGCTCCCTCAAGCCCGGTCTCCACTAACGCCTTGTAGATAGTCTCGTACATCATCTGCATTGTCTTGTGCTGCAACGATGAATGATAACACTGACATTCAGTTTCCATAAAATCGTTCAATCATATTGATCAAGAATATATACCTACTAGTTTCTACTTAGCTATGTGATTTCTGGTTTGAGAAAACGCAAGGCAGGTTTTGGCTTAGACCAGCACACAATACCTGCCAATAGAGAATCCTCTGGGTAGCAGCACCGGTTGGAACACCTTCTGGCCACATTGGAATGACAATGTATGCAGCAAACCGTTCATTTGCCCTTATCTTTTCAGCTATCTTCAACGCAATTTCCATTGGAATCAAATTATTCGCACCTACGCCAACAACATTTGTATATATCAATGCTAAGAGCCAATGTAACTACAGGATAAAAAAAGCCAAGGAGAGACATATAACCAAACCTATGTCCTTGTGCGCATTCCAGTTGTAGGAAGACCCAATGAAATACTGATTCTCAATATATATGAAGTGTTGGGCTGCACGAATGGCCTTGACATACGCTGTGTGTATGCTCATATCAATGAGCACGTTCTTCCCACACACCAAGTTCTATCCACGACAAAAACCTTTTTATGGATTACTTTTTTGAAATATTTTATGACATCCAAACATAATGGTAGCTAAAGATTCCACTGATTTTTCAACTCACCTTGCATGTAGCATCTTTTGGATCCTTTGGAAAACCTTTCACAGAGTTTGAATCGATTGAACGGAAAATCTGTATCAAACCAGAAAAACATCAGCTCAGCGTAATATGAACCATGACTATATTCCCTCCATAAAATACTCAGCCTCTCTCAGGTCTTCTTCTAGACATTAACAGTTTTGATGTTCTTACCTGAACATGCCAGGCCTCGGGATCGTTCTCACGAACAGTAGGAGTATCAGAAACTCCTAATATATCTGGAATCCTATCGATCCTCAGCAACGCATCGTCATAGGAAGTCTTAAACTTCTTGATCCCGCTAGGCTTTGCAGCCTTCAACCATCTCTCCTCGAAGTTGGTCAGCACATCATACGCAGCCGGTCCATCGATCTTACTGTGTAAGTCATGCCACGGCTCTCTTGGACATCCGGAAAGGTTTCCCTGATGAAATGATGACATTTTTTAAAAAATCATCTATCTGGTTCTGTAGGACTCAACGAAAGCACATCTATTGAAGAAAAGCAAATTAAGCCAGGACAAAGACTAAAGAATCAATGTCAAAGTATACCACTTGAACAAGTATAAGAATCTATTTCAATGAAAAAGAACGGATTTCGCTCCTAGCTACCGTTCAAGGTAACTGCTTACTAAGTAATTGCCAAGAAAGCTATTTAAGATTCTAAAACGAACGAGGATATTAAAAAAAAAAAACTGTACCGTAAAAGTTGGGTTGTGAAAATCATCTTTATGAACTGTCAGTAATGTCCTGAACAACGGGTGTTGAGGAGTGTCATACCGGCCGTCGCACAGATCAAGCCCACCGACAAAAGCTACAATTTTCCTTCGGTTAGCACCAGCATCGGCATCCACTATTACGTTTTTTTGGTGATGTGTATAGATTGTCCCAACTTCCTGGTGGACTAACTTCATTAGAAGCCGGATTTAACGAAAAATAAAAGGAAAAAGGAAGTAAAAGTCTATACCCTCTGCTTGACCCAGCTATGTCGCTTTCCAGCATTACGGGGGCAGAGCAGGACTTGAACAGAGGAGTGCTTGAAAAAACGGCGTGTCTCCTCATCATGGGTTGCCATAACGCCATCCTGCCAAGTTGAGTCAAAAGATAAAACTAATATGAGACGCCAAATATTTGACAAGCCGTGCCAATTATATATCTCGAAATGAAGTAGCAGTAGTTACTACATGAAACAAGCTTTTTCTTAAATACTAAATTTGAAGATCATCTGAGTTATACAAGGAAGACTGTTCTATATCAAAAGGAAGAAATGTCATGAAACCAGAGCTAGAAAATAAAGAAGAAGAAAACAAAAAGAAATGGCTGCTACACGTACTGTTTTATAACCCAAGATGCTACGTGAAGTTGGGTCATCCCAAATCAAAAGCAGGACTCTGACGCCTTCTTGGGACTTTGATCTTAGGAGCTCACCAAGAGAACATTCCGACGCCGGGCCTGCTTTATCCCGGAGCAGCCTAACTTTGTGCCACACTGACCAACCCGTGATATAAATCAAACGCCTTGCCTGGCGTATGGCATCAAACATATCATGCCAACACTTGCCGTGCTGGTAAGACATTCCATTGTCTAGTCTTAAACCAGGGAGCATCCCTTCAGGGACATGTGCGTCTTGGTACAATGTGACAGTTCCGCCTTTTCTAAGCGGAAAATATGTTCCAGGCACCCCTTGGTAATCAGGACCTGCACCAACTCCATGGTGATAAACACTGAGTTTCTCCATGGGAGTGTACTGGATGGATAGTGATAAACTCGCCCCTGGTTTGCAAGGCTTGCCACTACTGCTTAGGATCGGATAGGTTCCTTCCATTTTAGCCCCTGAGTATATCTGTTCCACGGGGATCGTAACCAATCCTATAAGCTGCGAGCCCACGACATCACTGTCTTTAACAACGAAATGAACTTCTGCAGCATGATGAGCGACGGGAACATAAAAATGTTGCATCCAAACAGGATTCTCGCTGTTGCTCATGACATAGGTCCTTCCGATGACGGCACCAGCGACTGAGACGGAGACGTAAGGATCACTGGTAATCTTCCTGGAAAGCTGGCCTTCGATTTTGCCAGGCAACCTTCCAAACATGTCACCGAGAGTCTTGTGGAACATATCCATGTTGGGGAGGTTGTTGGCATGATAGATCCAGATATCCAAATTGCCATGCAACAGGAGGACCTTCAAGGAGCCTTTACCAAAGGGAGTCATCTGCATATGTGAAGTTGAGGAATCAACTCGGTCCAGGACTGGGAGATGAGAGTTGCTTGGAAATGAGCAGTTAGGGTAACGATACAATTGCCAGGAGTGGTTGTCAGAAATGTGGAGAGCATCCAGGGGGGGATAAGAGTTGCTCGGACTAGCATGAGCGGAAGGGAGACAGTCTTGGCGATGATAGGCTTGAGTTTTGGGAGGCTCGTCAGAAGATGATAGGCTTGGGTATAGGGGAGGCTCTTGATGCGAATAGTGACCATAGTTGCCCTGCGGCTGTTGAAGAGGGTAAGGAGAAGGTTGGCGTTGGTAGTCGAAAGAATGGCGGGGATACTCTGGAGGAGCCGACAGAGATTGTGGCTTGTGGGAGTAGTCCAGTGGGCCAGAATGTGAGCCTGAAGCGTGCTGATGAAGAGCATATGACGGTGGTGGTGGTGGTGGGTATGGATAATAAGGGGGTGCTGCTGCTGCTTGGTACGCCTCCGAGCTATATGGGTAGGGTGGGTATGGGTATGGGTACTGACCCCCGTAAGGGTACGGATATCGTGACTGACCATAATTCTCCATTTTCCTCACTGCGCCAAAACAGTTGAAAAAGCAATCAATTACTCATACTGTGTCTACTTACAAATCAAGCCATAAACGACCCCATAATCTACGAGACATCAGCGATCAATAGCGAAAGAAACCAGAATATTGTTTTTTTTTTTTATCCTCGAATAATGATTTGTGTCTCTTCAATTACTAGACGGATTATGACGATAACTTTACAGATGCCGACAAAATTTTCATGAAATTGGAAAAACTTACCCTCGCCGAAGCTGAGAAATGGTGGGACCAAACGGATTCGTCGGACAAGAAACGAAAGCGTTTTTTTGGTTTTTTCTTCCTCCTGACGATGACGATGACGTTGATGCAGAAAACGGGCTATTCCAGGTTCCCCGGTTGCATATATTTCGCGCTATGCCACGTGTACTCTCCTCCTTTTTGGTCCAATCCACCAATACTGTGTCTTGTGTGTCTATAATATAATATTGCCAATCCAATCCACCAATATTCTCTATTTAAATTCTTTTCGATTAGCATTTATTTCCCGCATTTCATTTCATTAAAATATGTTTGGCAATTTATGTATGCATTTTCTTAGAAGGACTGTGTGTGCATTTAATTAAACGTCTACAAGTTGATCCCAACAAACCATGTTTAAAAGACGAATCAATATATATATATATATATATTTTGTTATGCCATATGTGTTATTCAAAATCTTACAAGTTACGGTAAGCTTTTGTTCATCAACATTTTAAAAATCAGAGAATTGAGTTCCTTGATTTATATATATATTTTGTACTATATAAAAACCATAGTTTACTCCCACGTTACCGCGATGGGGCTTCTGACCTTATACTGGTCACACATCCAAACCAAAGAGCCAAAGGAAGAAGATGAATTTCTGGAAGCTTCCACAACGAACGACACCGTATAACTCAACCTCTCTCGAACCTTTTGGAACTTTAGAACCTTGGGCTCCACCCTCACCTTCACACCTTTGGGTTCCTCAACGTGAGCCATATACTCACACGCCGGTGACCCAACGTTCGTCACTGTCCTCTTATAATATCTCACCGTTTTCGACCCCGCGCCATTCACCAAGTTCACCGCGAACGACGGATAGTTCAACTCACCGGGACTAGCTGGACACGTGTACTTGGTGCCGGAGAACAATAGTATCCTCTCGCTCGTGTAATTTAAGCTGCACAGGTAGTTTAGATAGTCGACGGTTGAGAGATCGTATACCAGTCCAGGATCTACCGCTCGCGCAGGGTCCACGTGTCCCGAGCCAAAATCGAACGCTGTGGCCGCCGCATTGGCTCCCGCCCCCATATCTCCGATTGGTTGGTTCCTGTTGTCGGTGGTCCTCGCCGTCGTCAGTAGCGCCGATTTGATCATCGCCGGTGACCAATCGCCGTGAACGGATTTTATTAGTGCCGCGATTCCGCTGACGTGGGGACAAGCCATGGACGTTCCGGAGATGATGTTGAATTGGACGCGCCTCGGATCGGATCTGAGGAGGCTGGGGCTCGAGAACGGCGACCATCCGGCGAGGATGTTCAAGCCGGGAGCCGAAATGTCCGGTTTCACAATTTCCGGCCCGGCGACACTGGGTCCCCTGGATGAGAACGCGGCGACGATCGGAGCGGTTGCCCCGTACGCGGTTCCTCTGAATCGAATAGTTGCGACAGTGGAGTTTGCCGCACCGCCGGCGGCAAGATACTTCAGCAAGATTTTGCCGTCGGAAAATCCGATTGAAACCGCCGGTAAAACGTGAGGATCAGCTAGGAGCTCCTCTCCTTCCGTCTCTCTGCTCACGAGAAGCATCGCAACTCCGCCGTTCCGCTTGACCTCTTCCCCCTTGGCCGTTCTGCCGCTGGCTCCTCTTAAGCAAATGACGATTTTACCCTCGACGAGTTCTCTCTTGAGCGAGTTCCCAACACAGAACTCGGCCCCCCTTCCTCCGCCGGCCGTTCTGTTAAACGCTAGTGGCAGGTTCTTAAAGCTTTTCCCTTTGTACAAGGACGATCCGACTAACTTCTTACCGGTGCCGATCCGGACAATCGCCGGAAACGTCCTGTCCGTATAACTAGCAGCAACGGTCATCAACCACGGAGCCCCGTTACTCACAGTGGATTTGGCTGGGCCAGAGTTACCCGCAGAGCAAGAAACGAAAATGTTCTTCTGCATCGCTCCAAACCCAGCGATGGCGACCGGGTCCACGTAAAAAGGGCGTGAAGAACCACCCAGCGAGAGAGAGATCACATCGACACCGTCTGAAATGGCTCGGTCAATGGCTGCTAATACGTCGGTGTTGGCACAACCTAAGGCCCAACAGGCTTTGTAAGCAGCGATCCTTGAACTAAACCTCATCCCTGAAGCGAAATCGCCTTTCGCTTGCCCGAAATAACTTGCTTTCGGGACTATGTCTCCAGCTGCAGTTGAGGCCGTATGCGTCCCGTGTCCTTGTGCGTCTCGTGCCGACCTATACATATATTCAGGCTTTTTTTGTTGTTATAAAGATGACAACCAAAAACTCTTTAACAAAAGCATAAAAATACACAAAGGTGTACTGTTGTTACTAAGATTACGTTTTGTATGGATCTTGATTATAAACTGTCCGTGTTTATCAATTCAATAATACTACGTTAACTACTCAAAAGATTTGTTTTAAGTTGCCAAGTAATTCAAGTACAGTATAAACTCTCAATTTAAAATTAAAAGTTACTGTAAATTAACGAAAGCATTCTAAAATTTAATCATTTTATCGATTTGCAAACCATGTTCGGCTCAACGTCGTGGTCAACAACATTTAAAAGTACGTTAATCATCCTTTTGTAATTTAATCGTGTTAAATTTTGCATGATATTTAAAGTTCAAAGTTTTTTCTTCGTATTATTGACATTGACAAATAGAGACTAAACAACGTGAGATCAATATACAATATATGATCATTTGTTCTTCCACCATCTAACCTGAAATCAGTGGTTTCATTGATTTTACCAACGATGGATTCGTAGCCTTTGTAATACGCGGCAGCTCCAATGATCTTCTTGTTACATGTCGAAGAAGAGAAGTTTGTGCCTTCATCGCAGGAACCTCTCCATCTAGACGGGACCGGGGGCATGTGCGTGTCTCGGAAGCTCACGTGCTCTGGCGAGATCCCTGTGTCCACAAGGCCGATGATAACGTCCGACGCTAGACTCGTCTCGTTCCAAAGTCCGATCCCAAACCCGAGACCAAGAAACTCGTGAGAATGTGTTGTGTGTAGGGATAAGAGCTCGTCTGGATACGCCGAGATAAACCCTTCTGTGTTCTTCACTGTTTCGAGCTGGTCGTCGGTGAGAGTCGCGGAGAAACCGGACATGGCATTTTCGTATATATAGTGAATCTCGGGGAGCGAAAAGTCATCGTCATCAAGGTTCTCTGTTTGGAGTGAATTCAAAAGCGAAGTTACGATGTGTTTTGTATCGCTTTTGACAGTGTGGATCACGTAGGTTTGTTTGAGGGACGAAGCATCTGACGTGAAGAAGAGGAAAAAGAAGGAGAGGAAGATTAATGACCTGACGAACATCATGGGATGGTTGTCGTTAAAAGGAAATGAGAGCATTAAAGAAGTTGATGTATCTATGATTCTTACGACGCGTCTCTATGTGTATATAACACATAAAGATATGTGTGACGTGTGAATACTGTGAGCTGTGTGAGCTGAGGAAAATGTGACTCTATATAGGTAAGGAAAAAAATAAAAATTAAAAATTAGGTGATGTTAATTTGTAACTGTCGCTATTGTGTGGTTCTTATGCGGGTCCGTCTGTTACTTAAATGTTGCTTTACGAGTTGTGGGTTCATTTATATTTTACCAATAAAAGCAAACATATATACAAGCTAGATTAATATCACTTTCGAAGAGTATAATAAAATATTTGCCTAACAGAATTAATGGCGCGTAACAAGGAATAAGTATTTTAACCTTTGATGCGTAGTCCGTAAAATACTTAGCTGGATTCTGCATATTTTCACACATAATCTGTGCGTGTGTGTGTGTGCGCATAATTGTGAATTATGCTCATCTTGCAAAATCGATAAAACAATAATTTAATCTTTCCACTGCACATAATCTTTCACATTTATCCAAAAATAAAAGAGTCGCTGGAATGACTTATACTCTAAAAAAACGAAAAACCAAGTCGTGATTTTTTTTTAATATGTTATCGCGTAATCATGACTTCTAGTTCCACAATGGTATATATATGTAGTTGCACTAAGACATTTGCTTAATTTACGAAACACAGTTTTACTATTGTGCCTATAAAACTAATAAAAGCATTAAGATTTCGATACTTGACAATTGTATGCTTGTGTAGTGTAAACTCAAATAATCTATCAGTTTATGAGTTTAGGTTAGACAAATATAATAATAGGTAGAAAGAGAAAAGAGGGAAACAGGTAGTAGTTTTGATATTTGAAGAAGGAGGACGGGGATGCGTCTCCCACCGCCGGTAGGTGACATTAAATGAGCGGGACAATGTCATAATAATTGGGGCGTGACTTAATATTTGTACATTTTTATTTACTGACCATATATATGATTCATTCCAAATCATTGCTTGTTCACACTTGAGTCACCCTCTCACACAGAGAATCTCCTTTGTCTTGGCTTTGAAGCCAAGTTGGAACACGTAAGCGACGACTAACATTGCTACTTTTTTAGTTTCTTCCCTCCTATGTTCATAGAGAGATATTCATCGTATCTTCTCATTTAATTCAATACATTAAAGAAATGATGTATATAATAATATACACCAATGCGGAAGGGAAAAAAAAATATATATATAACATCGAATAATAGGTTCTTATATAGATTGTCTCTTGGGAAGATATATTTATACTTGTACATTTGAACAATTCATCTATTTTTTTTTTGTTTTTATAAAAACTAAGAATTTGGCCTGCACGCATCTGCAGGCATAGACAATTTAAAAAAATTAATTACATAAATATAATATCTAAATTGTTATAAATATTTTAATTTTTATAATATATAAAAAATTAGGTAGAGCAATTAAATTATAGGCCCTAATAGCAAAATATAGTATAATTTTAACTAAACCTTTTATTATAATAAAACGCCTATTTTATTATGTTAAAGGGCCAAATGGGTTAGACCCGTGGATAGCTGGTTGAGCGGATTACCTGCTGCGGATTTGCGGGTCATGCATATATAGCTGCAAATTTCATCATCTACTTCGTCTTCTATTAATTTTCTTCAATTTATCCAGTTATTTAGCCTCTAAATTCTCTAAGACTTCTTTGTATAAAACAAATATTTGAACTAAAATAAATTAAACACAGAAAATTATTTAAATTTAAATATATTCCAATTTCTCTTTGTATATTTGTTTAGCTTCTGTTTCGTGTGGACAACAAAAATGAGTTCTTTAGTTAAACATTGTTAGATTAATGTTACTTTGGATTATATAGTCGGTGCATGTGATGAAGACAATTCTCATAATTTTTATACAATTTGATGATACAATTAATGTTGCTTTGGATTATATTGCGCAAAAACAATCTCAAGAAGACTGTTAAAAGTAGATAATCATACTTCAGTTAACAAAACGTGGTATACTCTAACTTCTCTTTGTATATTTGTTTAGCTTCTGTTTTGTGTGGACAACAAAAAAAAATTCTTTAGTTAAACATTAATTGTTAGATTAATGTTACTTTAGATTATATAGTCGGTGCATGTGATGAAGATATAATTTTTATACAATTTAACTTGTACAAATCTGTGCATGTAATAAAAAAATATAACATATGTTTTGTGCATGTGATAAAAAATGACAGTTTACAATTTATATTAATAATTAAATATTTTATATTTTTTAGTTTTCATAAAATAATTATTTGAACTAAAATAAATTAAAACACATAAATTTTTTTTGTCATGTCATAATCCATATGTGTTAGCAAATGCCATGTCACTTTACATCATCATTACACATCATCATTTCCAGGTCACATTTAATTAGGTTAGATTAATGTTTTTAACCAATAAAATTAAAACAAATTAGCATATTTCATTAAACTACATTGTCAATTAATAGGTAGAGGATTTCTTATGCTAATTTGCATATCATATCTATTTATATAGTTTTCTTGGTAGAGTCAATCAACAAAGCCCGTCTAGCTCAGTTGGTAGAGCGCAAGGCTCTTAACCTTGTGGTCGTGGGTTCGAGCCCCACGGTGGGCGCAGTGTTTTAAATGTCCTTTTTGTTTATATTTTACTTTTTTAGAAACTTAATAGGCTCCTACAAATGATTGGGCTTACAAAATAGAAAACCCACTTAAAAGGAGCCCATAACTGGCCACCTTTTTTGTTTATATTTTACTTTTTTAGAAACTTAATGGGCTCCTACAGATGATTGGGCTTACAAAATAGAAAACCCACTTAAAAGGAGCCCATAACTGGCCACCTTTTTTGTTTATATTTTACTTTTTAGAAACTTAATGGGCTCCTACAAATGATTGGGCTTACAAAATAGAAAACCCACTTAAAAGGAGCCCATAAGCGTGGCGGGTTATGATTCCTTATATAGATCAGATAGGCACAAGCGAATACTCCATAACGGTAAGAAATTAAGAATTGCCCTTGCGACTTCCCCTGTGTATACACGATTCTTCTCCTCGCTTTGTGGGTTCGGCGATTTGGATGTACGGTGTCGTCTTCCGCTTGTTAATTACGGCAGTTTATGGGTGTGGGAGGGAAGTTCTGGGATTTGCTGAGGCCTTATGCTCGACATGAAGGGTTTCACTATCTCAGAGATAAACGGGTTGCTGTTGATCTTTCCTTCTGGATCATTCAGCACGAGACTGCCGTTAAGGGCTTCGTCCTTAAACCTCACCTCAGGCTCACTTTCTTCCGAACAATCAACCTCTTCTCCAAGGTCCCATTTTTCTTTGAATCGCTGGTTCTCTTGTCTTCCTATTGTTATCCTTCAATTGATTTTCCGAACTTGGCTTCCTAGTCTTTTTAGGCCTCATGCCCTCTTTCTGGGGATGTGGGTTTTCGAAATTTCGGTTCTGCTTCCTTGATTTTTCGGTCGAGATGATCATAATGCGGTTTAGGGTTTTGCAGTTTGGAGCGTACCCAGTTTTCGTGGTCGATGGAACACCTTCACCATTAAAATCTCAGGCGAGAATCTCCCGGTTTTTCCGATCTTCGGGAATTGATACTTCGAGTCTACCTGCGGTCAAAGACGGCGTCCCGGTTGAGAGAAATAAGCTGTTTTGTGAATGGGTTCGGGAATGTGTGGTAAGTTGCCTTGATGCTACTCTCGTGTTCGCATTCTCCTTTTCTTATTATGAATTTTTGGCTTCTGCAGGAGCTACTTAAGTTGCTGGGGATCCCGGTTCTGCAAGCAGAAGGCGAGGCTGAAGCTCTCTGTGCACAACTGAATAGTGAAGGTTATGTGGATGCTTGCATTACTCCTGATAGCGATGCTTTCCTCTTTGGTGCTAAGTGCGTTATCAAGGCCATCAAGCCTAATTCTAGAGTAAGTCTTCTTCATTCGTAAACTCTGTATTAGTCTGACCCCGGTAATGGCATTTTTTTACCCGTGAGATGGCATTGTGTGTAGGAGCCATTTGAGTGCTACCATATGTCAGATATTGAAGCTGGCCTCGGTCTACAGCGGAAACACTTGATAGCCATGTCTCTATTGGTTGGAAACGACTATGATTCAGGTGGTGTTCTTGGTATTGGCGTGGATAAAGCCCTTCGCGTTGTCCGTGTGTTCTCTGAAGACGAGATACTCGAAAGGTATAATCCGTAAGCTTATATCTCTCTTTTGTGTGTGTGTGGTCATTTCTTGAACGTACGTCTTGAGATATTCCGTGTAGACTACAGGACATTGGAAAAGGGTTGAAACCTGCAGTTGATGGTGGAATCAAATCTGTGTATAGTGGGGACGAATCCCGCTCCGAGATGAAGAGAAGGCATCCTCACTGTTCTCGATGTGGACACCCGGGCAGCAAGAGAACTCATTTTAAGTCCTCTTGTGAGCATTGCAGTTGTGATAGTGGTTGCATTGAAAAACCATTGGAGTTTAGATGTGAGTGCTCCTTTTGTTCCAAGGATCGAGATTTGAAGGAACGGAAGAAAACCGAGAATTGGTGGATCAAAGTCTGTGATAAGATTGCTCTAGTGCCAGGATTTCCCAACAGAGAGGTTATTGAGCTCTATCTATCTGATGGTTTCACAGGTATGAAATGGCTTTATAACTTCGTTTCCGTATTACACGATCCTTATTCTGATTCCTAAATCATTATGAAACAGAAGATGGCTCTTCAATGTCTTGGGGAACTCCTGATTCTGAAATGCTAGTGGATTTCATGGTTTTCAAACTGCATTGGGACCCGGCTTATGTTAGAAAAATGTTGCTTCCGATGTTGTCGACCATTTATCTAAGAGAAAGGGCAGGAAACAACACGGGAAATCCATTGTTAAATGACCAATACGAATTTCATTCAATCAAGTGCATTAAAACTAGATATGGGCATCAGTCCTTTGTGGTAAGGTGGAGAAAACCCATATCTACAAGTGGTGTTACTCCGGGTGAGGCAGAAGGATCGATTGATGTATGGGAGGAAGAAGTGGTTGAAGACGAGGAGTGTGTTGATCCGTTAGATGGGTTAAATGAGCCACAAGTGCTGCACGATAACAGTGAAAGCTTCTTGCTAACTGATGAATGCATAGGGCTTGTTCAGTCTGCTTTCCCTGTTGAGACAGAGCCTTTCCTGCGTGAGAAGGTAATGAATGGTTCTGTGTCTATAGATATGGTTTTTTGATCCCCTTTTGCCTGCTTGGCTTATTGTTTTTGTTAACGGTCAGAAACTGCGAGAGACGAAAAAGAAGAATGTTTCTGAAGAGGCAGCATCATCATCATCATCACCAAGATCAACAACAATGGGTGTACAAAGAAGTATTACCGATTTCTACCGTTCAACGAAAGCAGCACCAGCTGAGAGTATTGACACAGGAGGGAGCTCGAGAGCTTCTTCTACTGAAAAGAAGAGACAAGCAACTTCTACTAGTAGCCTTCCAAAGTCTGTAAGGCGTCGTCTTTTGTTTGATTAGAACATCTTCATTCTTAGTAGACCCAGTGTTTGGTCTGTATATTATAAACGAACCATCTGTTCGGTCTTCCCATTGAGTAAAAAAAAACAAACTCTCTCTTTTTTTTCAAAAACGAACGAGTTTTACTAAGTAAAAAGGAAACTGGTGCTGCCCAGGGTCGAACTGGAGACCTTTTGCGTGTAAGGCAAACGTGATAACCACTACACCACAGCACCTTGTACTATAAATTAGAATAGTGAAATTATATAGCAACTTTATTTGATTAATTGGAAACAGAACATCGGTCCATTTGAACAAAACAGAGGAAGTGAGAGAGCAAAACTGAAAGGTCTTATCGGGAGGAAAGAGGATGAGTGTGGTAACATCATCGAGCTTCAATTTCAAATCACTCTCGCCCTCGCCCACTCGACCGTTTCCGTCATGGATAAACAACGGAGACACTTCTCCCTCACTGTTGTTATTGAGGGAAATCTCCGCCTCTTTCTCACGGCGGAGCGCAAATAGCTTCCTGAAGAAGGTGTCATGCGCCAAGAGCCCAGATGATTACCACGCAACCCTCAAATCTCTCAACTCTCGAGGCCGGTTTCCCAGAAAATCTCTTGGCCAGGTTCTCTCTTTCTCTGTGATGATTATTTGCGTCCTTGTGGCAAATGGTCGAACACCTTGTGCCCATGTTTAGCTAAGTGGAATGATTGAAACCTTTTGTTTGTGTAACAGCATTACATGCTGAATTCGGATATTAATCATCAGCTAGCGGCTGCTGCTAATGTGAAAGAAGGAGACTTTGTGTTAGAGATTGGCCCTGGGACTGGCTCTTTAACCAATGTTCTTCTCAATTTGGGCGCTACGGTTCTTGCCATCGACAAGGTTTGCTACACACTCCCACGCCATTCTTTGTTTTGTTTGTTTATTTGCTGCAGATGTTGCTACTGATTTTGCTTCTGGATCTTTAGGATCCTCATATGGTGGATTTGGTCAGAGAAAGATTCGCAGGTTCTGACAAGTTCAAGGTACCCAGCAACTTTTGTGGTTGCTCTCTGATGTTGTAGTTTTCTAAAAAAAAAAAGGATTATTAAAAGGGATTTCTGGGCATTCTTCATTTGTAGGTTTTGCAAGAGGATTTTGTCAAGTCTCACATCCGTTCTCACATGCTCTCCATTTTAGAGGGTTCAGATTCTGCTCTTGCGAAGGTCACAAGTTTCTCTTTGGCTCACTTTGCTCTAACTCAGCATCACAGGTTGATTGTTGACACCAATGGACATCAATGCAGGTTGTTTCCAACTTACCTTTTAATATAAGTACTGATGTTGTCAAGCTTCTACTTCCTATGGGTGACATCTTCTCAGAAGTTGTTCTCTTACTCCAGGTAAAGCAGCAACAGTTGTTCTCCTTGTTTTCAATGGATCATCTCAAATGCTATATCAAATGTGTCAATATTTTTATTTGGCTAATATTAGGATGAGGCAGCTTTGCGATTGGTTGAGCCAGCATTGCGAACATCTGAATACCGACCCATCAACATCTTGGTCAACTTCTATTCCGGTGCTTGTTCCATGATTGCCATTTTAATCTTGTGATCGTTAATGTAGCCTATTTTTGCTGAGAAACTGTGTAACCTCCTTTTGTTTCAAGAACCGGAATACAACTTCAGAGTTCCTAGGGAAAACTTCTTCCCTCAGCCCAAGGTAGATTCTCCAAACTTTTGCGTCACAAGAAGAAAAATATCAGTACTGTTACATATACATGACGGCTTTTCCTCTTCTGTTCCTTGCAGGTTGACGCCGCTGTTGTAACATTCAAACTGAAGCATCCGAAGGACTATCCCGATGTCTCTTCCACCAAAAGCTTCTTCTCTTTGGTACCTAAAACTCTCTTCAGTCTCCTTCTTAGATTTTTTAACATCAAAACATCTGAATCTTCTTCCACAACAGGTGAACTCTGCATTCAATGGAAAGAGAAAAATGTTGAGGAAGTCCCTTCAGCACATATCGTCATCACTTGAGATCGAAAAAGCTCTTGGAGTTGCAGGTCTTCCGGTCACTGTGAGTACTCTCTCTGATGACTTTGGTTGAGTCTTAGGGAGCAGTGTACGCAAAACTCCTATCTTAATAACCGGCTTGTTAGTGAACTTGTCTCTAGGTTTGCAAATTATTAGTCAGTTTCAATACTCACAACTTTCACTCATATGTTTTTGTTCTACTATCTCGCAGTCAAGGCCTGAAGAGCTTACCTTGGGGGATTTTGTCAAGTTGCATAATGTAATCGCTAGAGAATAGGACCAACGAGAAGGACCGTAAGTATCCATGTTTTGTCACCTGAGAACAAAGCAGCATGAGGAGGACGTGACTCGAGGCAGATCAAGCTGTCGATGCAGATGACACTGAATATTATTCCGGAAGAAGAATATGAGCAATCCTTATATAATCAAGAATCAGGACCAAGTCTTGTTCTTGTCGAATTATCTGTCTTTGATCATCTTTGTAATGTAAATTGTTGATTTGTAATCCCAAAATGATAGTGTCTTTACAATCACAAACAGTCCAGAATTTAATTTACAGTACGAGATCATCATCCATGAAATTGGTAGATAAGATCCAAAGCTCTCAACTTGGAGGCATGTGGATCGAAATCATACCCATACTCACGGCTACTTCTCTCTTCCGTCGCCGAAGTCTCCACCAAGGCCGACGATGGTGACAGTGGCCGCTTGGCTCTCTTGTTCCTAATGAAACACTCTCTCATCTTCTCCTCCACCTTCTCCACCGCCGAATCTCTCTTCTCAGCCTCGCCGTTCCCCTCTTCCTCCCCTAATTGCATCGGTTCGACGGAGGAGAGAGACTTCTCAGCTGCCGCCGGTGGAATGGTGGATAGGAAGGCGGAGAGGCGGTGGTGGGCTGTGCGGAGAGAGGAGGAGATTTGGAGGAGCTGGTTTTGTTCCACGGCGGTTCCGATTTGCTGCGCCACGAGAGTTGCTTGCTCCAGCGATGATATCAGCTCAGCTAATTGCTCTGTAGTTCCCATTATCTCTCTCTATGACTCTCTCTCCAGAGATTTTGTGTCAGATTCTGTATGACTCTGTTACGTCACAGCGGCGGGTAGCAGAGTTTGGTCGGAGGAGGAAACCGATGATGTAGTGTACTGTGTATATCTGTGTATGTAAATACTGCTTTAATGTTAGGGCCTCTTATCTATAATGGGCTTTGATGTATGTGTATATCTGTAGTCTTGTTTGTAGTTTTTCGCTAGGGCCCTTCAATCTGTTTTGCAATACAAGACAAACAAACCCACTTATAAAATTTCAAACCCAATTACATATCCATGATTTGTTGACAATGAAAAGTTACGGTACATTAGTGGTACTATATTGTAAGTATTTCAAAATACTGTAACATTAACATGAAGGTCAAGAAAGGTTATGAATTATGATCGTATGGCCTTATTTAATCATTTACATTGCATGTAACTTTTTTTCTTTTTTCGAGACGTTATCTTTGTAATGAATAAAGTGTCCTTTGTGTGTGTGTGTGTGTGAGAGAGTTTGAGCGAGGGTATATATATTTGAATATTTCTGCATTTTCTTTTCGACACCTATATATTTTTGCATTTAATGATCTGAAAAAGAAGGACTAGTTTAAAAGAGACATCACATGGGCCATGGGCCAAGTTATATTCAAACTATCGCATATTCATGCACCCCCCTCAAAGAAGTGTATATCCATCATAATCTAAAATTATCCAAAAAACCTAGTTCTGCTTTTGCTGATCCAAGAGTTTACAATTCTGATTTTAAATATACTCGTTGTCAGTATATTATTATTCAGGTTCTATATTTAATAATAATTCACAGATTTTTGTTTTTTATATGGTCAAATACGACGGGAATCATGTCACGTGAAGCACCATTTAGAAAATACCAATTAATTTACAGCTCTGTTTGTATGACAAATAAGCAACTCTTGAAAATTTCAGTAATTACGTAGAGACTGTAGTTATTCCGGAAAAAGATCAATGACATAACAATTTTGATTCTATTTATAAAGCATACTGAAGGTAAGTAAGTGGGGCCAAAGTCCATAGCTCACGCGACTCACACATGCTATGTCTGGCATTTTTGTAATATCACTAAACTACAAGCACATTGTTGTAAATTAAGAATCCTTAGATTCAAATTCTCAGCTACACGTGGCACAGTTTAGTCACGTAAAAGCAGGTAATAATATATTCTGAGCTCAGTTTAACCAGATCGAACGGTCCTACAATAAGACACGTCAACTGCGTGTAACGTTATACTAAAAGAGAACCAGATCTAACGGCCAAACTGAATCTATTAGGATCAATTACAGCCGTTGGATCCCAATAGAAAGTTACCGCTTTTGAGGGCGTAGGGCTTTCTTGGGAGGGGAATCTCAGTGACAGATCGACCGGACACTGTAGCTTTTTATTTTGTTTCTATAATTTTGTCAACTGGTTTAATTCGCTAAGTCGTGAAAAAAGGAGTATTTATTTTATTTTATTTTATTTATTCCAGAATCGGATCTGTACACTCTCACTCTCTCTCTCTGCGCTTCAATGTCCCTTTAATATATCTCTCTTTTTACCGTCTCTCTCTCTCTCTCTCTCTCTCTCTAAATTGTGTTTGTGATATTTGAATTTATTCAAATATTTAATCAAAAAAAAAGAAAAGAAAAAGAGGAGCAGGTGTTTGTTTTTTTCATCGTTTGGAGTTTGAGGACGAGAAGTCAGCAGTTTTGTGTTTGTATTTTTGCAAGGTTTCAACAGCTCCGCTTTAGTTTCTTCATTACAGAACATATTTTTGGTAAGTAAGTATTGGGATTATTCATGAGAAAACAATGTTCTCATCTCTTAACTTTTGTGATGTCGTCTCGCATAATTGCTTTATCATTGACTGTTTATAAATTAACTCACACCGGTAAATTTTCTACTTCGTTCTGATTCAAAGCAGAAGAAAACAATTATAAAGTTCCAAATTTCTGATTGAATCTTTGCCGTCTACTTCTCATTCCTGAGCTTTTTCTGCTTTCTGGGTTTAAAATAAGACCTTTAAAAGTTCAATCTTTTTTATTTTTTTTTGGTCTTTTTGATTCTTTGTAACGAAAGATGATAATTAGATTGAGATTCTGAATCTCCGAGGCGGGTTCTTTACGGTTGATGTTTATAGTCACAAGAAAAAAAAGGCGAAAGTGAGGATAAAAAGTAGTGATCACAAACTCATAATTGGTTCATTTATTGCTTTTTCTTTTGCAAGGTTAATTAATTGCTTAATCATCGATAGAGACAATATGGTGATTTGTTTTCTTCTCTTTTGTGGGATTCTTTTCTAGAATTCTCATATCTCATATCTCTGGTCTAAGTGGTCTTCTGTTCTTTAATTAGATTCTTTTGTGATTTGTTTTTCTTTACCTCAGATATTTGACTTGATCAGTACCGCATAATTCTACAACGCTTGCTTATCATCTACACGTATACTTACAGAATCTCTCTCTGAATCTCAGAGTTCAAGTTTTGGCTGGCGTTTCACAAGTCAGGTCAACCACTAAACCAAAGGTAAACGAAAAGATCCCTTTTAAGATCATCCTTGATTAAAATTTGGGCTTGTTGTTTCAAAAGCCTTAAAGCCACTCTGTATCTAAGATTGATGCTTACTACAAGTTACAAGTGGTGTCTAATGAATAGAGAGACAAAGACTTGGCATTGACTTCTCTTCAAAGAAAAGTCTGCGATTAACTTGGATCCTCAGCCAGATTTTTCCTTTTGGTCACTATCATCAACAAATTGATTCACTCTTATTAAAAAGTTTCTGCATTGACGATGATGGTTCTTGTAGAGTGAATATATATTCCGTGGCTGTGAATGAGTCTCGCTGTGTTATTCATATTCTTATGATTTTATATTGGGGAGAACATTTAATGAGTAAGCATCTAGAAACCACTCGAAATGATATGTCGTGGGGAAAGTTCATATTTTTGATTCAGTTAGATGTTGTTTTCATCTTTAACCAATTTATTTTTTTCTACTCTCATGTCATCGTGTGTTCCATAAATTTTGTTTTTGATCTCTTTTTAATATCCAAGTACAATTAATCAGATTCGTGATCTGAAATTTTCAGTACAGAGAAGCTGAGGGATCTGGAGGAAGAGCCCTGGCGACAGTTCACTTTCAGATGAGGTAAAGCTGCATTCATTTTTCATGTTGGAGTTAAAAGAAGATCATCATGACTCAGAGATGTACAAGGTTTTATGTTTTTCTCTCTTCAGGTTTCATTAGCACTTGATCAGACCCAGATGGAGAAGTGACAATAGCTTATTGGATGGGAACAATGGCAGAATTAGGAAGCATGGGAAAGTTCGGAGGCATGGCAGAAGAGCAGATAGCGATGGACAAGCAATCAGCAGAAGAATGGCTTTCGCGGGTCAATTCGCTCATACCATCGGCCATCAGCAAAGCGAAAGCGGTTAACAATTTCAGAGGAAGGTGGAAGGCGATCATCTTGAAGATGGAGCAGATCCCAGGCTGTTTATCTGACCTCTCAAGCCACCCTTGCTTCTCCAAGAACAAGCTCTGCAACGAGCAGTTGCAATCTGTGGCTAAGACGCTGAGCGACGTGATGGAGCTTGCCGAGCTGTGTTCAGCCGACAAGCACGAAGGGAAGCTGCGGATGCAGAGCAACCTGGATGCCTTGTCCGCAAAACTGGATTTGAATCTGAGAGACTGTATGGTCTTGATCAAGACCGGAGTTCTCGGCGAAGCTACACTGCCTCTCTACATCTCAAGTTCATCGGATACACCCAGAATCTCCAGTTTAAAAGAACTTCTGGCGAGGCTCCAGATCGGTCACTTGGAATCAAAGCACAGTGCCCTCGAAAACCTCCTCCGCGTAATGCAGGAGGATGAAAAGATGGTTATGCCTTTGATCGGACGAGCCAACGTAGCAGCTTTAGTTCAGCTGTTAACAGCAACCTCCACAAGAATCAGGGAAAAAGCGGTCAACCTCATCAGTGTATTAGCGGAATCAGGACACTGCGACGATTGGCTCATCTCCGAAGGTGTATTGCCTCCTCTTGTGAGGCTAATCGAATCAGGAAGTCTTGAGACCAAAGAGAAAGCTGCGATTGCGATCCAGAGGCTGTCCGTGACAGAGGAAAACGCACGGGAAATCGCAGGACACGGCGGAATCACGCCACTGATCTATCTCTGCAAAACGGGAGATTCCGTGTCACAAGCTGCGTCTGCAGCTGCGCTGAAGAACATCTCAGCAGTTTCAGAGCTGAGACAGTTACTTACGGAAGAAGGAATGGTTGGAGTCTCAATCCATCTCCTAAACCATGGGATACTGTTAGGATCAAGAGAACACATGGCCGAGTGTTTGCAGAACCTCACTGCAGCGAGCGAAGCTCTACGCGAAGCCATTGTTTCAGAAGGCGGAGTCCCGAGTCTCTTGGCTTATCTCGACGGTCCGTTGCCGCAAGAACCGGCCGTAACGGCGCTGAGAAATCTAATCCCGTCGGTGAATTCAGAGACATGGGCCGCTCTCAATTTGCTTCCACGATTAGCCAACGTGCTCAAGTCAGGATCTTTAGGCGCGCAACAAGCAGCAGCATCGGCGATATGCCGGTTCGCTTGTTCGCCGGAGACGAAGAGGCTAGTGGGAGAATCCGGGTGCGTTCCGGGGATCGTGAAGCTCCTGGAATCGAAATCCAACGGATGTAGGGAAGCGGCAGCTCAAGCGATCGCCGGATTGGTGACGGAGGGAAAAATTCGGCGGGAGTTGAGGGAAGACGGGAAGAGTGTGACGAATCTAGTGATGTTGCTTGATTCGAACCCTGGAAACACGGCGAAGAAGTACGCCGTGGCGGGGCTTTTGGGATTGTCGGGGAGCGACAAGAGTAAGAAAGTGATGGTTTCGTACGGAGCAATAGGGTATCTGAAGAAGCTGTCGGAAATGGAAGTAATCGGCGCCGACAAGCTTCTCGAGAAGCTTGAAAGAGGAAAGCTGAGAAGCTTCTTTCATCGGTGAAGAAGAAGAGTGTAGTAAGGTCGGGATGTAAGTTAATGTATGTATTATGGCCTCTTCAAACTTTATCGAAAAGCCCATTGGGTAGTTTCTCTTATGCTAATGAGTATTAGGCTTTTTATTCGATGTAAAGCCCATTATTCGATGCTAATCAGTATTGGGCTTTTTATTCGATGCAAAGCCCATTATTCGATGCTAATGAGTGTTTGGGCTATATATTATGAAATTAATCATCATTTAGGAGCCAAGAAGGCAAGAACTAATGTGTGAATTGGTGGTAATCGACAATTTTGTAGGCTGCGAAATTCTTCTCGATGTGTTTTCTTTCTATTATAAAACACACTGTACTCAAAGTTCTGTGCACGTCTATGAGACCGAGATAAATGGTCAACGTGATCAACGGCCAGGAATAGATCATATCCTGTGGCGGCTTCACTACTTCATTTGGCAGAAGGAAGGATTTTTATGTCCTTTAGTTATAATCGGAGTCTCTCTATTTTTAGCTGTTTCTTCATACTCGATTCCTCTTTCCGATCTGTAGGAGAATATTCGTAAAGGTAATTATATTCTTGGATCTCAAAGTCTCTTCTCTTTCGTCTGTCTTGTGAATTCCATTTTATGAATCTGTGTTTGTAAAGTTTGATTTGATAATCACTTTGGGTAAGGGGAAATTCTGTTATGCTCCTTTAGCCGGTATGATACTAATAATCTTAGGGCTTTTACTTAGACTTTTGGCTTCTCCAGAAAATTTCATATCAAAAGTCGGAATCTTTTGCTCGACCCAGATGAGATTTTGTGGTCTTGGATTCATGTGATTTTGATGTCTTGTTTGGGATCTCTTAACATAGAACCAAAATTGGTGTGAAGGTTGTTGGTGGTGAGCTTGAAGATGAGTAGCCTTGAGACGACGAGAGCTGAGCTTGGTTTGGTCGTAGTGTATTTGAATAAAGCGGAGGCGAGAGACAAGATTTGTCGAGCAATTCAGTACGGATCCAAGTTCCTGAGTGATGGACAACCTGGCACTGCTCAAACTGTTGACAAGTCCACCAGCTTGGCTAGGAAGGTCTTCCGTCTCTTCAAGGTTGCTTTCTTCTTCTTCTCCTTTTTTTTGGTAATTTCACTTTGCAATAAGCTCTGAATAGTGAGTGTTGTTACTGTGTTGCAGTTTGTGAATGATCTTCACGCTCTCATCAGCCCTGTTCCCAAAGGGACTCCACTCCCTCTTGCTCTGCTGGGAAAGGTAAGAGTTGTTAGAACTTTTGTTTCTATCCCGCACCACCTTGACTCGTCTGATGAGTTCATGTCGTGATTTTGGGCAGTCCAAAAACGCGTTGCTGTCCACGTTCTTGTTCCTGGACCAAATAGTGTGGCTTGGCAGGACTGGGATTTACAAGGTGAGGACAAGTCTGCATGATAAGAGACTTATTTTCTCGGGTTAAACTGAGGTTTCTGTTTGTTGTTCTGAACCTGCTGCTCTGCCACAGGACAAAGAACGCGCTGAGCTTCTTGGACGCATATCCCTCTTCTGTTGGATGGGTTCTTCCGTCTGCACATCCTTGGTCGAGGTTTGTTCACTCTGTTTCTTATGCCGCACGACTCTGTATAATTTTTAATTATGTCACTATGTTTAGATTGGGGAGCTTGGTAGGCTCTCTGCATCAATTAAGAAGTTAGAAAAGGAGATGGGGAGCAAGGATAAGCACCAAGTAAGCTTCCTCAAGATTGATTCTCTTCTTTTTCTAAAAGGACTAGTGAAGAGGAAACTATGCTGATTCTGATATAACATTGCGCAGAGCGAGCAATACCGTGCGAAACTACAGAAGTCAAACGAGAGGTCATTAGCTCTGATCAAAGCTGGGATGGATACAGTTGTTGCGTTCGGATTGCTTCAGTTGGCCCCAAAGAAAGTCACTCCCCGAGTCACAGGCGCTTTCGGTTTCGCCTCCTCTCTTATCTCCTGTTATCAGGTAATCTTTTTTTTTTAATAATTTTTAAAAAAACATTTTGCTTTGATGTGGGGACAATTATTCAATGACTAAAGCCATAAAAAAAAACAATTCTCGTTTGTGCAGTTATTGCCATCGCATCCCAAGTCTAAGACGGTTTGAGAAAGGAAGACCGTAGTTTCCTGTACGGATGTTCCATCGTTTGGTTTTGTCTCTCTGAATTACTTCGTGTGTTTGATTTGTCTTAATGCTGTTTGTTAGATTTTGTGTTGGATAGAATAATAATACACGTTGAACAGAAGAAAAACGTTTCAGTCTGTTTAGTAAAAAAGAAAACAGATAATGTGTCAAATCTCGAGTAATGTGCTACAATAATAAACAACGAGACCTTGAAAATGATTATTGTATTTAAGCATCATCATCAATAAAAAGGTAGCTTCGAAAAACGCGCGATGTAATCTGTGTCAAATTCACAAACTAAGGTTTTAGGCGCTGCTTGATCCATCTTCTTATTCGTCAGTGATTGTTTGAACGATTCGTCGAAGTTGGAAAACCATCGTCGCAGTTCTGCTTTCGTCTCTGGCTTCGTTGCGATCATCGGCCTCTTCTGATTCCTCTTCCTCGTATCTCTTGCTCGCTTTCGCTCAGATTTCTCGGTTTGCTTCATCTTCCGACTCGCAACGGATAACGCCGAAGACAAGGACGCCAGATTGAGTGTCTTCTTCTCCTTCTCCTCGGCAGCATCTATGGCGTCGATCGCATGCTTCAGAGTGCCTAGATTGAACGGCGAATAATCGTCGTTGTTGTTCCGCCGCCTGGCTATGGCGGTTCTCTTAGTTTCCGGCTTCATTGACGGCGGAGTGTCCGACTGAGAAGAAGACAACGAGACTTAGGGCATTATAATATATAATATACAGTACAACTAATTCGAGCTTCAATGGGCCCTTCTGATGGCCCAATAACAAAAACGTCGGCTCCGAACGACATCGTTTTCATAGAATAATAACAATATTCTAGACCGAGTGTGCTCTTTCTGCTTCACCATTGAGAAAAAAATGTGGCATTTGGAACTCGAAATATATGAAGCTAGAGAGGAAGATAACTTTTTGAAACAGTAAACCGAAAAGGTCTTAGTGGTTGGGAATGATAGATAATACAATGTTCTAGACCGAGAACACACACACAACATTGTTGGAGTCAGAAGTTGGAGACATGAGTGCGATCAAAGAAAAGACCAGATGGGTGTCCATCAGGGACCAAAGCCAGTTTCAGTGGACTCGCAGCACCTTCTTCAACCGTGAGAATCCCAGTGTTGAAATTGATATCGGTGTTAACGAAACCAGGACAAACACTATTGATGATGAATGATTTGTTTTGCTTAGCCAACACTCTGGTCAATGCTATCACTCCAGCTTTTGATAGTATGTATCCAGACATTACTGTTGGCCAACCTTTGGCTTCTAGTGACCCTTCTCTGTAATCCTTGAGGTACTCCTCCATCACTTCATCTATTCTCTCTTCCGTTAGATTCTCAGCATCACTCAGCACTCCTTTTGCCCATTCGTTTGACACATTCTGTAGTCATTAAACCTTTTTTGTATTACTAATCCCAGGCCCGGCCTAAGAGTTTATTGACGACTAGAGAGATGAAGATCGTACCTCTAACTTCCCCATGGTGGAAGCAATGCTGACGATTCTTGGGGAATCAGAAGATTGAAGGAGAGGGATCATGGCCTCGCACATTCGCTTTACCCCGTAGTAGTTTGTCTTTATACACTCCTCGACTATCTCATATGTATCGCTCATTATCTTTGAGATATCCGTAGGTGCACCAGCCTGTACTCACCCATTTATATGTAAGACTAGCCTTCCTTCTCAAGCTTCTGCAACATCTCTTATAGAAGTACATCTCCATATCCTAAGTGAAGTTTAGAAACTGTACCTCCGCGATCTGAGCTTTGAGAACGTCGACTTTAACATCTGCCCCTCCAACTCCGGCATTATTAACCTGGAGACATACCAACCAAGATATCAGGACGTAGTTGCTATTTCCAGACATGACCACTTAAGGTTTAGCACTGAAACCGGATCAGATCCCGATTCACTAGTGTGATCAATTGCAAATGATTTAAGATCCGAGAGTGAAACTGATTGCAACCAATATTAATTAGTCACCATCTAAATCGGAACAAAATTAGAACAGATTGATGGAGGAAACGATTCAAGAAACTTACCAGGATATCGAGTTTACCCAAGTGGGTCTTAACAAAACCAGCGAGAGAAGCGATGCTGTCTGGATTGGAGACATCGAGAAGGTGAAAGGCGATGGCTTGATCAGAAAAACCATTCTCTCTCTTGAGCTTCTCGACAGCTTCAAGACCCTTCTTCTCATCTCTCGCTGTTAGAATCACAGTCATCCCTGTCTTAGCAAGTTGCCTGCAAATCTCAAATCCAATGCCTTTGTTCGAACCAGTAACAACTGCAACTCTGCACACATAAACAGAGGAAGCAAACCATCATTTGAAATTCTTGATTAGAGAGAGGAAGCACAAACAAACCTTGAGTCTGCCATCGAATTCATGAAATGGCTCAAAAGTCAAAGGAGCTATCTTCTTGCAATAACTTAAAAATATTTCAGTTTAGATATATATTTCTATTTCTTTTGTATCGATCTAAGTTTCAACTAAAAAGATAAGGATAAATAAGCATCCTCACATGAAAGTCACCGCTAACTTTTACATTCTATATATATCCGAAGCATCAAAGGTCATTTTGTCGCCAAAAAAAATTGAGTTTTTGAATTTCATATTTACAGATATAGGAAAGAGCTGCTAATTTCAAAACACTTGGACAAGAACACAGGGACACTCCACCTTTTGATAGTATGTATCCTGGCATTACTGGCCAACCTTTGGCTCCTAATGACCCTTCTCTGTAATCCTTGAGGTACTCCTCCATCGGTCTTTCCCAAACTGCAAGATATAATGTTTGCATCACTACGATATTAAGAAATGTTATCCTGTCAAAATGCTTCATTTCCAGTAATTTAAAGCGAAATGAAGCAAAAGTAATTGAACGGAGTCTAAACTAACCTATCGTTCCGGAATTAACTTGTGTAGCTCTGAGACTCTGAGCATTGCCGCCCATAGAAACAAATGGAATAAAGACCTTACATGTAGCATTTCAAGAAAAAAAAAACATAGATACTTATCTAACAAACAAATATAAGTAAATTAAAATTTTATCTAATTAAATCGAAAATCTAAGTATTAAAAACTAACAAAATAGTGAAAAGACAAAGGAAACTTGTGGCACCTCTAACAATCTTACAAGACAGGATATCCAAATCTAATTTGTTTTCACATTTATGCAGTTTTTAAACACCTAGATTCTCTATTTAATCTAACAACATAAAATCTTATTGTAAATAATCTAAGTAAATAATAGCATCATTACCTTTATAAGTCTCTCCTAAAGTATTACCGCAATTGAAATAACTTAACAAAGACCTCACAAGCAGTATCTCCAACAAAAAATAAATATAGTCAGATGCCTATCAAACAGACAAATATGAGTAAACTAAAACTTTATCTAACTAAATTGAAAATCTGAGTTAAAAACTAACAAAATAGTGAAAAGACAAAAAAAACTTGTGACATCTCTAACGATCTTATAAGACAGGATGCCCAAATCTAATTTGTTTTACAATTATGTAGTTTTTAAACACCAGATTTTCTAATTAATCTAACAAGATTTAATTATAAGTTATTTGAGCTAGAATAAAAACATTACCTTTTTAGCCTCTCCTCCTAGTGGAATATTCAGATAGACTAGTCAAAGAATCTCTCTCTTCTTTGCTTCTCATGACTTTGAATGTTACCTGGACAATAAATACACCAAACTTAACAAACGGAACAAGTTTATGTTTCAGCAAATATATACACCAAGCTTAACAAACAGAACAAGTTTATGTTTCATCAGATCAGAACACAATCACAAGCCATCAATTCATAACTAAAATCCAGAAATAAATAACACTAACCATAACCTATAATTCACAGAACTGGACCACATTTCTAAACAAACAGCAAACCCAATTTTACAGATAACAAGCTAGAATTTCAAAACCACGATGGAAGGAAACTGATTTCAAAACACAAAGAAGCATGATTTCGAGAACATTTCAAAGAAACCATAAATTAAAGTGCGTAAGGTGTCGGTGGAATGGGTTAGGAACAGTAGCGCTTCGTATTCAAGTTTCAAACAAGTCGCTAAAATCTAAAATTCTGAAAGAATGAAAAATTTGATAAAAGAAGGAATCGGGTGATTGGGGGTTACCGATAGGAATAAAGTAGGGAGGAAAATATCGAAAGGTGCTTAATTTCACAGGATCTGGTGACGGAAACTGACAGTTGCGGCTGCGAAACCGACGGAGACGCTTCACGAGACAGAGACTGACGGAGACGGAAACCGACGGAGATGCTTCACGAGAAGGAGACCGACGGAGACGCTCTCCTTCACGAGACGGAACTGACGAAGACGCTCTCCTTCACGATCGGAGACCGACGGAGACGCTCTCTTTCACGAGCGAAGACCGATAGGAATCGGGTAATTGGGGTTTACAGTTGCGGCTGCAAAGACCGACGGAGACGCTCTCCTTTACGAGCGGAAACCGGTTTTGTAAACATTCTCTCTGTATTTATAAGCTTCGTGTGGTCCCAACGGTCCGATTTTTTTTAATGTTCCTCTCTCAACGGACTTCTTTGGGCGAGATTTGTTTAATTACAACAGAAGCCGTCAGGTTCTTTTTTATGTAGCCGTCCGGTTATTTTTTCTCATCTCTCGCAGTTATCCCAGTTTTAGCAAGTTGCCTGCAAATCTAGCTCCTTCTTGAACTCATTGGTTAAATCACTATTCTACTAGACTATGCTGTGTTTCGGCGTCAAAAGAAAATCGGTTTTCGTGTATGACGCACGTGAAAATGCAGAGAGAGAGAGAGAGATATGTACTCAACATACAAAAATATGTCTCGTATCATTTTCCATGAAAGAAACTAGCACCCAAAAAAAATGGCCACCACAAGAAGGTGAAATCTGTTCTTGTTCTTGCCAGAATGAAAGAAACGCCATCAGATCGCGAGTGACCCTCCTTCGATTGTCTGGTTATCGTCAGATGCATCCGACGGTTGAGCTTTAGGCTTACTCGTCGTCCTCGAAAAACCGTAGCCCAGAGAGCTTCCGCTTGCTTCACATAGCTGCCATTACCATTTTACATATCCCATTACATATCCAACCATACCAAAACCAGATTCTGTGATTACTGTATACATTAAAAAGATGGATTTGATCAAAAAAATGATTGATACGCACCTCCGTTAGTTCAGACAGGTGGCGGGTTCTGAACTCGTTGATCGTGTTTGCGATTTCCGATGTCGGTAATTTGGCCTGACAAGGTTTTAACCCCAAACAGAATGATCAACACTGTTAATTCTATGTTTAGGATTACTTCCACAATCCACAGACACGAAAATCAATATGTTTTACCTGAGCAAGAACAGCAGCTGCCAACTGCAGACTTGGCTCCAGAGTCTCCGGGACAACCTACGAGTATTTTGTGATCGAGAGATGTTTTTATTAGTGTCCGATCAACAAAGCATATGTCTTATGTAGTGGAAATTGAATGGGGGTTTGTGAGCATTACAGCAGTAGCACCGGCTTTCTCTAGATTGAGACCATGAACAACGTCGTGTGCACGGACAAAGGTCTTGACGTTGGGGTAGTACTTGCTCAGAGCCCAGACACATCTGTAATTAGCTCCTGGTGCGTCCAAGGCAACCACCGCAGCACATGCTCTCTCGGCTCCAATTTTGTGCAGAACCTGTTTGCTTGCACAAGCCAAGTAAATTTTAACTGCTGGTATAATATAGTCTATAATATAGTCTGTGACTGTTTCGTGAATCTTCTTTTTCTGTACCTCTCTACTACCGGCGTCTCCAAAATAAACAGGAAGATCCAAGGAACGCGCGATAGTCACTCTTTCACTGCAAACAAATATGAGGTTTTCAGGTAAGCAGAGAATGCGCGGAAGAGTAATTGGAAATTGGCTGGCGCAATACAGACAGTCTAATTTAAATCAGAACACATGACACATTGAGATCACATTTTAACCTCAATACTTTACTTGGACAATACAGGAAATGAATCTGCGATGTTATGTTACCTGCTGACATCCAGGGCGACGAATGGGATAAGTCTTTCTGAGAGAAGCTGAGCAATTATCTGGAAGTAACAGACAGAAAATAGCAAAGAAGTTTAGAAACTCCGAGATATCATGTAGATCAGACTATCACACAGAGGTTCCAGAGCATAAAATAAAGAAGTTCAGATAATTATAAACCTGGCCAACTCGTCCAAACCCACATATGATTATGTGATCCTGCAAATCATCTGTCTGCAAGATAAAATCAAAAACGAAAAAGAGGATTAGGATAGTCTTTTAATGATTTCACCAACCAAAGAATCTGTGAGCTTCAGAGCGGCGACACTGAAGTCTATTAACGTATCATCAAGATTCCTACCTCGCTTTCAACCGGCAACAAACTTCGAACATCATGCAACTCAAACCGGGATGCAATTAACTGGCCACCAGCAGCTAACCAAGGTGTGATAGCCATTGATATTCCCACCACAAGAAACAGCAACGAAGATAACTGAGGTGACATTATACCCTGGAACAGTGGAAATAAACATCTGTCTAAGGAAAATTTTTAGTTTTCAAGAAGCATCGGTGCTTATTGACCTTATTGGGAAAAGCAAAAAAAGACATCAGGTTGATAACAAACCTGATTGACAGCTTCTCCGAAAGCAACAAATGCAAACTCTCCGCCTGGAGCCAGAAGAAGACCCGCTCTAATTGCAGATATGATTGAGATGCCGAACAATTTGCCCATGATCACGAGTAATATAGTCTTGCCCACTATCAAAAGTCCCAAAGTTCCCATTACGACAGGAAAGTTAGAGAGTAGAAGTTTCGGATCAATAGACATGCCAACCTGAAATGAGTGGAACTCTTCTTGTTAGTTTTGTGCATGTGATTACTGATTACAGTTGAAAGAAACACCAGAATCTTGAGAGAGCATAAAAATACATTTTCTGTTCCCATCAACAATCTTTTGACTCTTTTCAGAAATGATAAAGTTGTTTGAAAGATCATAAATTACCGTCATGAAGAAGAGTCCCAGCAGAAGGCCACGATATGGAGCAATATCTGATTCTACTTGCAACGAAAATTCTGTCTCCGCAAGGAGTAAACCAGCCAGAAACGCTCCTAATGCCATGGAAAGTCCAGCCTAGTTTATATAAACGAGAAAGTTTAGCAGAAAAGAAAAAATGGCATGGCGGAATAAATGCAAATGGCCTAATAACAAAAAGACCAAGGTCATACCCTAGCTGTCAGTAAACTAGTCCCAAGAATAACAAGAAGTGTGTTAGCAGAGAATATCTCGGCGTTTCGATTTTCTGCAACTTGCTTGTAGATTGGTCGAAGAAGCTGTGTGCCACAAGAGAGTCATCAATGCCTTGGATTATAACTCCAGAGGACTAAATAAATTAGTACCCGAAGAAGCAGTAAACATTCATGATAAGGTCATGAAAACATGCCTCTTCCTTTTGTAGCAAATCTAAAACATTTCACCTCACAACTTTGGTAATTAACTTATTTTTATATCAAAAAGTTAAAGTATCTGAGACTTACAAGACGACCACCAGCAATAATGGCAGTAATAGCAACTGCTGCTTTGACTGCAGCAAGTCCAAGAGCTTCGGCGATAGCTTGAAACCCAATCTGAGAACAGCAGTCAGAAACTTAGCATTTTACCACTGATACTATCTGGCATTCTAGCATTTACAACCAGTATTAGCAAAAGACAACCAACAACGTTTCTTCTTACGAGAGCAGCAAATAACTAATCAAACCTCTTACTTAGATAATTGCCAACACATAGCATTGAACACAAAAGCAAACCGTACTCACGAAAAAAGGAACCCTAGAGATGAGCTTACCCCTCCTTTCGATGAATTAGGTGAAATAAGTGGGATGAGAATCAGTAGAACAACTACAGCTAGATCCTGCGAAGAAAAATATAACAAAATGATGAGAAACTCCCAGCATAGATGTACTTATATATGTGAAGATTAACTCTCTTTTAAAACGACCTGAAAAAGCAAGACGGAAAATGTAGCCCGCCCATGTCTAGATGTACTCTCACCCCGTTCTTGTAGAACCTGAAAACCAAATACATTGTTTCTGTTCAACCAATTGGTAGCTTAATTGCATACAAAACAAAATGAAAGGACTGTTACAAATACCGTTCATTAAGATCTCTGTCTGAATACAGCCAAAAATGTTACCTGAAGGACAACAGCAGTGGAGGACAGTGCCAGGCCGTTTCCAATAACTATTGCCGCTGGACCAGCCTGACCAGCAACATAATGGGCAATCAATCCAACTACTGCTGCTGTCACCAGAACCTAAATTACAACAATACAAGTGTATATTAGAGAACATAGACACAGAAACATCAACCAGGCACGTACTATTGTTGATCTTCAAATAATCAACTCACCTGAGCGGAGCCTAATCCAAAAACATACTTCTTCATGGAACTCAGTCTTTCAACAGATAGCTGTCAAATCAAAAGAAAACAAAATTTTGGCTCTTCTTCAAAAAACAGTTCAAAAGCAAAAGCACAGCATACACATATATCATATAGTGTACCTCAAGACCAATGTTGAAAAGCAAGAAAACAACGCCAAATTCTGCGATGGCCTTGGTTGCATGCACATTACGGATTATCGAAAGACCATAAGGACCAATCAGAATTCCAGCTGCTAAATACCCAAGAACAGGGCTGCCTATACATTGCAGCAGATGAAGTCATTAATACAGCACATATATCTCTATGCAACAGCAAAAAAATCCTACTTACCTCCAGGAATTTTCTGAAATAGAGGCACAAATATGACGCTTGCCAGCAGTAACCACAAAAAATCAAGAAGGGAAGCTTCTTCCTCATTGACCTTAAGATTGCAGAAATTTCAGTATCAAATGCACAGTCCATACAATTTGCTTGGGACTTTGAAAAAGAACAAGAACAATCATTCCTACCTCCTGGTGAGGAATCATCTCAAGAATTTTCTTGATTCTCTTTGGAAGTTTTTGCATTTGACGGATCAACGGTTTCTTACTGGAAGACACATCATCTGTACTAGTGCTGATAATATCTGGCTGTTGAAGCAGCTGATTGTTCCCCCCTACTCCATTGGAGTATAATGTCAGTCTGGAACGAATAAGAAGCTCATAATTAACAAAAAGCTATGTACTATAATGATCCTTTCAAATAATGATGAAACGAAGAGTAGATTTTGAAACTGACCCTGCTCCAAGAAGGGCAACCCCAAGAACTAGCTTGGGCCATTGCTGTTTGACAGAAGCAACCAGACTCGCAAACACTGTCGTGTTCCCATCTGGATTGGAAGAGAAGAAAGATGCAGAAAAGAAACGGGAGGATTTATTAAACGATGCCTTGGGAGTATTAGGAGAAGAACCCTCTTTTGGGAGATCTTTCTGTGTTTCCTGTTTTTTCGTCGGAACAACAATCTTTGGCTTTTCAGAATCTGCTTCGACCACTTTAGAAGGCTCGACACTTGGCTTTCCATTCTCATGATCACTTGAATCATGAGGCTGAGCTAATTTATGAGCCGTGTGACCAACTTTATCAGGCACAAGATCAGCTATGTTCTGCACCGCTGATAGATCTTCATCTACTGGTGATTCTCTTTCAACCTGGTGGCTAACATCTTCAATATTACTTGAGAGTACCACCTCGTCCTGGAGGGGAGTTTCTTCTGGGGCCTGGGAGATGAATAGAGACTTCTCTGCTTTCTGCAATGCAATCTCTGCATCGTTAACGCGTTGAGTAGCCTCAAGCTCAAATGCTACAGCTTGTTCAGCCAATTTCATGATATTTGCGACATCCTCCTCGGCTTTCAAGGCACTGATCTGTATTGTCTCAGCCAATTCATTCAACTTGTCGACTTCCTTCTGCAGCTCGTCTTTTTTGCTCAGCAAACCACTCAGTTGGGCCTCACAATTAGCTAAATTCACTTGGCATTCTTTAATGTCATCCTTGGCAGCTAAAATGGCTTCCTCTTTATCGTCAACATCATCTATTTTCTCAGACGCTTCTGAAATACCGTTACCTCCACCTACATCAAGTGATTCCACTACAACCTGAAGCCTTGCTTCAGCCAGAGATAACGCCATAGTAGCCTTCTGAACAGCTTCTTTGGCCACAGATTCTTCATCAACCGTATCTCGCATCACATCGAGGGTTTTGTTGACCTCATCCCAAACACTAGCCGCTTGATCCTTGAGAGCAATCGCAGTTTCTGAGATCCTCTGAGCCTTTTCCTCGAACATGGTACTGTTGAGCCTAGCAACTTCCAATTCTCTGGTTGCCTTGTGTAGTAAAACCCTGAGTTCCTCCAAACTAGCAGCTTCATCTTTTTCTTCTCTCGAAGTAGCAGCTTCACTTTCGTCATTGCTTTCTGAAAACCCAGGGTTTGGATCAACGCCAGCAAGAGAATCATTACCATGACAATGTGACCTAAACCCGAAGGGGATAGGTTTAAATCGGCGGCCATAGCCAACGATTGGGTGCGAATGGCAGTAAAAGCTTCCAGTGAAACCGGCATTCAAAGGCGGAGTAGCGCTCTGTGCAACATTCTTCCTTAATCTAGAGCCCAAGTGCAGCACTCTCGTGTGATCCCAGAATCTAGTGCTGACTCGAACTTGTTTCGCATTTATCAACCGATTTGGCAAGCAGTAGTAACTCGCAGCATCACCACCATGAAGCAAACTCACACTAGACGCAGATTCCATGTCGAGTTAATCTACAAGAAGCCTCACTTTTATCCCGCAAATCGAAATTCCGAAAATCACATTCGGACTTGAAACGGATATAAAAAGAAATTCGGAGACTAACCGACCATGGAACTTCGGAGAGTAAGAAGCGGAGCCCCAAGGCTGATCAAAAATGGCTCCTCTGATATACTATTTGCTTCAGTTCCGTTTCAAAAGTTCTTCCCGTCTCTTCAAAATCGCCACCAACCTTTCATGGCAATCAAAAGGGGCTTTTCCAAGAAAACCCTTAAACTATACATCTTTTTGTAAATAGACCCATAATATAAACCTCCAAATTTCAAAATGACCCATACGTTGCAAAATTATCATTTCTAACCCTGCTGGACATCACCGATTATGGGAGATACTAATTATGGTTTTTTTGGGTTAAAAATAAAGTTATTGTTTCCAAAATAATAATTAGTGTTAGTCCATCCGTGACCATATTCATGGGATTCATCAACTACATATCATATCGTCTCCTATGTTTATTCTTTAGTTTGCACACAGAGAGATTCACATAATGGATATACAGCCATGTCAATCTCTCTCTACAAAATCTCACATAGAAATCCGCGAATAAGGACAAGAAATTCGATTCAGCTAGAGCTAATAATTCTTTAATGTACAACTGATCAAAAAGAACATAACATATGATCACTGCGCATGGTAAAACAGCAGCAATTCTTGTTATACATATATAAAAGAAACAGATGTTGGGAAGATATTGTTTGAAGATATGCTTTGTCTTTGGGTTCTGGAGGATGCTAAGAAATAGAGGCATTGGCTAACAGTTGGGTCTGCTTGTTGATTTTGCTATCACAGTTGTAAGTCTTGCTTTTGTTGCAACATATGAAAATATTCATATTTCCTTCTGGAAGTGTTCAAATCTGGTTCTTCTGAGATCGCAGACTTAACTCAAAGTGAGAGATATGTACTATTGAACATGAACATGTATGATGGATCGGACATACACCACGACTAAATATATATATATATATATGTTGAAGGGACATACCATTTTCCGTGAAAGAAGAAACTACCAGTACCAGCAAAAACATGGCCACCACAGAAGGTGACAACTGTTCTTCATCTTTACCAGAATGACGAAAAAAAGGTCATCAGATCGCGAGTGACCCTCCTTCGATTGTCTGGTTATCGTCAGATGCATCCGACGGTTGAGCTTTAGGCTTACTCGTCGTCCTCGAGAAACCGTAGCCCAGGGAGCTTCCACTTGCTTCACTTAGCTGCCATTACCATTATCCAATACAAATCAATCAGAGACCAAAATGGAAAAAAAAGCCCATGAGTTTGATCGAAAATGATACGCACCTCCGTTAGTTCAGACAGGTGGCGGGCTCTGAACTCATTGATCGTGTTTGCGATTTCTGATGTCGGTAGTTTGGCCTGACAAGGTTTCATCCCCACAAAATGATTATACAGTGTGTTTGGGATTATTTCCACTGACACGAAATCATTATGTATTACCTGAGCAAGAACAGCAGCTGCCAACTGTAGACTTGGCTCCAGAGTCTCCGGGACAACCTACGAGTTTTTGTGATCGAGCGATTTATTTATTAGTGTAGGATCAACAAAGCATATGTCTTATGTAGTGGAAATTGAATGGGGGTTTGTGAGCATTACAGCAGTAGCACCGGCTTTCTCTAGATTGAGACCATGAACAACGTCATGTGCACGGACAAAGGTCTTGACATTGGGGTAGTACTTGCTCAGAGCCCAGACACATCTGTAATTAGCTCCTGGTGCGTCCAAGGCAACCACAGCAGCACATGCTCTCTCAGCTCCAATTTTGTGCAGAACCTGTTTGCTTGCACAAGCAAAGTAAATTTTAAATGCTGGTATAGTATAGTCCGCGACTGTTTCATGAATCTTCTTCTTCCTGTACCTCTCTACTACCGGCGTCTCCAAAATAAACAGGAAGATCCATGGAACGCCCAACCGTCACTCTATCACTGTAAATAAAATATGACAGGGTTCAGAGGTATGGGAAACTGACTGGCGCAATACGAAACAGTCTTGAAACAAATACAGTATTTAGAAGCAGAGAGGTTGAAATGCGATCTCAGTGTGCACGGAAGTTGCTCATAGTGCTCACATTTTCGGTTTGATATGAGAACAAACTATCTGAAACCCAGTTTAACCCAATTTGATAGCCTATTCCACAAAAATGATACTTCGATAATAAGCGACGTTATGTTACCTGCTGACATCAAGGGCAACGAATGGGATAAGTCTTTCTGAGAGGAGCTGAGCAATTATCTGGAAGTAACAAATAGAAAATGGCCAAGACGTTAGAAACTCCGAGATATCCTGTCAAGCAGACTATCTCATGTAAAAAGCATAAAATGAAGAAGTTCAGATGACTCTAGACCTGACCAACTCGTCCAAATCCGCATATGATTATGTGATCCTGCAAATCATCCGTCTGCAAAATAAAATCAGACAAAAAAAAAAAAGAGGGATTGGACATCAGATAGCCTTGTAATGATTTCACCAACCAAAGAATCTGTGAGCTTCAGAACGACACTAAAGTCCATACACGTATGTATCATCAAGATTCCTACCTCGCTTTCAACCGGCAACAAACTTCGAACATCATGCAACTCAAACCGGGATGCAATTAACTGGCCACCAGCAGCTAACCAAGGTGTGATAGCCATTGAGATTCCCACCACAAGAAACAGCAACGAAGATAACTGAGGAGACATTATACCCTGGAAGAACAACCAATTTAAGGGTGTTAGGGAAAATTAAACAGTGGAAAAAAAAAAACATGTCTAACCGGAATACTATTCAAAGAGAGTTGCGAAAAGCAAAAAAAAAAACATCATGCTGGTAAGAAACCTGATTGACAGCTTCTCCGAAAGCGACAAATGCAAACTCTCCGCCTGGAGCGAGAAGAAGGCCGACTCTAATTGCAGATATGATTGAAATGCCGAACAATTTGCCCATGATCACAAGTAATAAAGTCTTGCCCACTATCAAGAGTCCCAAAGTTCCCATTACGACAGGGAAGTTAGAGAGTAGAAGTTTCGGATCAATAGACATGCCAACCTGAAATGAGGGGAACTCTTCTTGTTAGTTTCCGATCAACCTGAAGTACTTACATATGTTTATAGTTGAAAAAGAACATCATAAATTACCGTCATGAAGAAGAGACCCAGCAGAAGACCACGATATGGAGCAATATCTGATTCTACTTGCAGCGAAAATTCTGTCTCCGCAAGGAGTAAACCAGCCAGAAACGCTCCTAATGCCATGGAAAGGCCAGCCTGGTTTACAGCAACGAACAAATTTAGCAGAGGAGAAAGAATGCAAATGGCCAGATAACAAAAAGATCAAGGTCATACCCTAGCTGTCAGTAAACTAGTCCCAAGAATAACGAGAAGTGTGTTGGCAGAGAATATCTCGGCGTTTCGATTTTCTGCAATTTGCTTGTAGATTGGTCGAAGAAGCTGTGTGCCACAAGAGTGTCATCAATGCCATAGGATTATATGAATGAGTTCACAGAAAAGTATTAAGAGACATGTCAAATCTAAAACATGTCATATTTTGATATCTGGCATCTCAAAAATTTAAAGTATCTGAGACTTACAAGACGGCCACCAGCAATAATGGCAGTAATAGCAACTGCTGCTTTGACTGCAGCAAGTCCAAGAGCTTCGGCAATGGCTTGAAACCCAACCTGAGAACAGCAGTCAGAAACTTAGCATACTTTTTAGACATCCTTGAGTATATAAAAGTATCAGGCAAACAATCATTAGAGTAGAAAACAACAACGTTTCTTAAGAAAAGAGAAAAGGAACCCTAGAGATGAGTTTACCCCTCCTTTCGATGAATTAGGTGAAATAAGTGGGATGAGAATCAGTAGAACAACTACAGCTAGATCCTGATGAAGAAAAATTACAAAATGATGAGAATCTGTATAACAAAATGTATTTCTACACGCGAAGATGAACTCTCTTCTTAAACGACCTGAAAAAGCAAGACGGAAAATGTAGCCCGTCCATGTCTAGATGTACTCTCACCCCGTTCTTGTAGAACCTACAAAATAACAAAATGTGGACTGTTACAATTCCTTTGCTTAAGATCTCTATCTGAATACAACCAAAAATGTTACCTGAAGGACAACAGCAGTGGAGGACAGTGCCAGGCCGTTTCCAATAACTATTGCCGCTGGACCAGCCTGACCAGCAACATAATGGGCAATCAATCCAACTACTGCTGCTGTCACCAGAACCTAAATTACAACAATACAAGTGTATATTAGAGAACATAGACACAGAAACATCAACCAGGCACGTACTATTGTTGATCTTCAAATAATCAACTCACCTGAGAAGAGCCTAATCCAAAAACATACTTCTTCATGGAACTCAGTCTTTCAACAGATAGCTGTCAAATCAAAAGAAAACAAAATTTTGGCTCTTCTTCAAAATACAGTTCAAAAGCAAAAGCACAGCATACACATATATCATATAGTGTACCTCAAGACCAATGTTGAAAAGCAAGAAAACAACGCCAAATTCTGCGATGGCCTTGGTGGCGTGCACATTACGGATTATCGAAAGACCATAAGGACCAATTAAAATTCCAGCTGCTAAATACCCAAGAACAGGGCTGCCTATACATTGCAGCAGATTAAGTCAACAAGACAGGACATACATCTCTATGCAACAGCAAAAGAATCCTACTTACCTCCAGGAATTTTCTGAAATAGAGGCACAAATATGACGCTTGCCAGCAGTAACCACAAAAAATCAAGAAGGGAAGCTTCTTCCTCATTGACCTTAAGATTGCAGAAATTTCAGTATCAAATGCACAGTCCATACAATTTGCTTGGGACTTTGAAAAAGAACAAGAACAATCATTCCTACCTCCTGGTGAGGAATCATCCCAAGCATTTTCTTAATTCTCTTGGGAAGTTTTTGCATTTGACGGATCAACGGTTTCTTACTGGAAGACACATCATCTGTACTAGTGCTGATAACATCTGGCTGTTGAAGCAGCTGATTGTTCCCCCCTACTCCATTGGAGTATAATGTCAGTCTGGAACGAATAAGAAGCTCATAATTAACCAAAAGAGGGAATTAATGAACTAACATGATCCTTTCAAAAATGATGAAACGAAGAGTAAATTTTGAAACTGACCCTGCCCCAAGAAGTGCAACCCCAAGAACTAGCTTGGGCCATTGCTGTTTGACAGAAGCAACCAGACTCGCAAACACTGTCGTGGTCCCATCTGGATTGGAAGAGAAGAAAGATGCAGAAAAGAAACGGGAGGATTTATTAAACGATGCCTTGGGAGTATTAGGAGAAGAACCCTCTTTTGGGAGATCTTTCTGTGTTTCCTGTTTTTTCGTCGGAACAACAATCTTTGGCTTTTCAGAATCTGTTTCAATAACTTTAGAAGGCTCTACACTTGGCTTTCCATTCTCATGATCACTTGAATCATGAAGCTGAGTTAATTTTTGAGCCTTGTGACCAACTTTATCAGGCACAAGATCAGCTGTGTTCTGCAGCGCTGAAATATCTCCATCTACTGGTGATTCTCTTTCAACCTGGTGGCTAACATCTTCAATATTACTTGAGAGTACCACCTCATCCTGGAGAGGAGTTTCTTCTGGGGTCTGCGAGATGGATAGAGACTTCTCTGCTTTCTGCAATGCAATCTCTGCATCATTAACGCGTTGAGTAGCCTCAAGCTCAAATGCTACAGCTTGTTCAGCCAATTTCATGATATTTGCGACATCCTCCTCGGCTTTCAAGGCACTGATCTGTATATTCTCAGCAAATTCATTCAACTTGTCCACTTCCTTCTGTAGCTCGTCTTTTTTGCTCAGCAAACCACTCAGCTGGGCCTCACAATTAGCTAAATTCACTTGGCATTCTTTAATGTCATCATTGGCAGCTAGAATGGCTTCCTCTTTATCGTCAACATCATCTATTTTCTCAGAATCCTGAGAAGCTTCTGGAATACCATTACCTTCCTCCCCTGCTTCAACTAGAACCCGAAGCCTTGCTTCAGCCAAGGATAACGCCATAGTAGCCTTCTGAACAGCTTCTTTGGCCACAGATTCCTCATCAGCCGTATCTCGCATGACATCAAGGGTTTTGTTGACCTCATGCCAAGCACTAGTTGCCTCATCCTTGAGTGTTATCGCGGTCTCTGAGATCCTCTGAGCCTTTTCCTCGAACATGGTACTGTTGAGCCTAGCAACTTCCAATTCTTTGACTGCCTCGTGTAGTAACTCCCTGAGTTCCTCCAGACTGTCAGCTTCCTTTTCGGCTCTCACATCTTTTTCTCCTTTCAAAAGTGTAGCTTCGCTTTCAGAGTCATTACCAAGAGAACCATTACCTTGACAACTGATCCTAAATCCAAAGGGGATAGGTTTAGCTTGGCCAAGTATTGACTTTCGAGGAGGATGCAAATGACTCAAAGTGGCCCTTTGCGCTACATTCCTCCTCAATCGAGTACCTCTGGGACACAGTTTCGCACTAGTCAACCGATTCGGCAACAAGTAACTCACAGCATCCCCACCATGAAACAAACTCAGCCGCTGAATACTAAACGCAGATTCCATGTTGAATCAATATATCTATGAATATGCACACACGCATACGACACCTGTGGAGAAACACCAAGTTCCACTCGGAACTTGAAATCACACTCGGAACTGGACAACCAAAATCCGGAGAATGGGATATGAAATCTAAATAGCTCAACAGTCGCGAGAGAGAAGGAGACTAACTAATCGTGGAAAATGGAGTTTAGCGAGCTCATGAGTAATCCAAGTTGGAGTGGCTTCGTCTGATTATAAATTCTTCAGCCTTCAGAGCCGTTTCAACAGATTTTTTCCGTCGCTTCAATTTCTCCGGTCAAAGTTTCTCTCGTTTCTCGCCAACCAGACGAGGTAAGGCTCGTTTTTCCCGTTTCTAAATACAATTTTACGAAAACACCCTCTTATTGAATAATTGTATGATTCATATCATCCCATAACCAGTTGGTTTGATCAGGTTTTGATTCGGTACATACGTTCTTTTTTCTAACCGATCAGATATATTCTTCCAAAATGGGAAAGCATATTCTTTAGGAAATCATAAATAAATTTAAACCGAGTTCTAAAAATGCAGATTACAACAATATGCGAATCTCCCATCACCACCAGCAAGCATGTCGTAATCACACAATGGAAAATCAATCTTGTGTTGTCTTCGTGTGTAAATATTCAAAAAATAATGTATAACGAACAGATTAAAAAAAAAAAACGAAAAAATATAGTGTCTTCATATGGAAAAACAACTCATTACAAATAAGATCAAATATTTCGGTGCCACAACATTCAATTCAATCACTCACAAACTCACCCAAGAGACTTTTCAAGACTGTGATTCGCCATTTTCCTCCTTGGGCTCAACGGCGATGTCTTCGGTTGGCTCCGGCGGAAGAGTGTTGCCTGAGGCGGTGCGACGGTGGTTGGCGGCTTGGAGGACGTGAGCGTAGTTGCCTTTCTCGAGGAAGAGTTGGTTAAAGTGATGCCGGCAATAGAGGACGCCGTCTAAGGAGGCGTAGGAGGAGTGAGTCAGGGTGCAGCCACCGTGAGCGCACCGGAAACATGTCTTGTGGAAGCATTCTCCTTCCATTTGCACCTGTACTTGTACACACACCACGTCATTCAAAACTGAACCGGACTAAACCAACTGATTCCAGAGTTTTATTTGACCAAACTTTCTGAAATTGAATCGAATAGATCAAATCGAACAAAACCAAGAACCAGAATTCTGTTTTCATTTTAATTAATCAGACTTGTTTATAATTTAAAGTCATTCATATGTGTATTAATTGAACTTTTCGAACAAAACCGACCTGAAAGAACCGAATTTAATACAGTACTGTATACGGAAGTCGGGTGTAATCTAGAAAATCCGGGTATGTTTTAGGAGCAAGAACACTTGCAAATGCAGAATACAACACCGACTGACCTTTTCGAGAGGGTAAACAGTTTTCTCACAAGCAGCACACTTGTCTTGTGTTCCACAGAAGATGGAAGAGATCTTGCTGGGAGTCTTAGTCTGTAATATTGTTCAAATTCAATACATTCAAATACACAAACCCTATTGGTCAATCATAAAGAGAATGAAAATTAATGATGAACGTACCAGCTCTGGCTTCTCAGTTTTCCCTGGGAAAAGAAAGGAGTTTGTTTCAATCCTCACAATTCGAATGAAGAAAGAGGTAAAAAAAAAAAAGAGTTTCAATGTATTAAAGTATATGAACCTGGTTGAAAGTTTTTGCTGAAATTGCCAGATTCCTTGAAGAGTTGCTCAAAATGAGTCTTGCAGTACAAGACTCCGTCCATGGAGGAATAGTTGCTCATCTGCCATCAACAGATTTTTTTCCATACATAAATATCTCTATGGATACGGAAATATTGATATATAACATATTATACAATGTCATTATAATTTATGGCAATGGCATAATCACATAGAAAGATCTAAACACAAATTCTATAACAAGAAAAACTAGCGATCTCTTTCTTTTTTGGAGTGGGGACTCTCTAATGATGGTGTGCATAAGCATCATATTACCACAAGGGTTCCATTACAATGGGTGCATCTGAAGCAAGACTTGTGGTAAGGCATTCCTTCAATGGACAACATATCCACCACATAGACTGTCTTTTCGCAAGCGTTGCATTTGTCGAGAGTTCCTGTAAAAGACATTTTTTTTTCTTTTTGTGTTTTCTCCTTTTCTTTTGGGGTTGTTTCCTTCTCCAAGATCCTATATTGAGATCAGATAAAGTTTTGTTTTTCTTCTTTTTTTTTTATCAGATCAAGGGATCCTCTGAGGAAGTAATTAAAGAAGGAAACCCACGAAAAAAAAGAAATTAAGGATTCTTGTTTTTTGTTTTTGTTTTACCTCAGACAAAGGAGGAACCAGCGAAATTTGTGTCTTCTCTTTTATACGAAACGTTGTTGCAATTGTGAGGTTGTAACGGAGGAAGTTGAGCAATTTTGGGGTGGAAAAGTGATTGGAGTTGAGCAAAAGAAGGGTTTGTGGTTTCTGACAATTTCAACCCATTAAGGATGTTACTTTTAAGCCAACTGTCTCTGAGGTGGTGCAACCCATGTCAGATGTTTCAAAAACCTTCCGAGGAATATAACAACCTAACATTATACACATTAATATTCTCTTTCTCAAATAAAATATGCCTTTGAGACATTTTTGTATGCGTATATATCAAGATACCCGGTTGCAATTTGTTTTCTTTTTCTTTAAATAATGGATAAAGAGAAAGTGAAGCACCACTAAGTCGATTTCCTCTTCTGCAATATCTGTAGAACTAAAGTGTCGTTCAAGTCTCGTTTCATAAACATTACCCACACACATGATTAGAAAAATCTGTTATGTGTACTTTATTTTACTTTTTATAAAGGTAAAATAGTCTTATAACACAACTTGTTGACACAAGATGAGATCTGAGATTGTCTTTCCGTGTCGATCAATTCTTCTGGAGCAGTTGACTCCGCCGTCTAATATGTTCCGTACGACAACATTCAAAGCATGAATGCCTTTAACATCATATATCTCTACTGACACATTTTCGTCCATTGGTTTTGCATCCATCTCAAGATACGAAGAAGAGGTTGACAACAGAACTGACATCACTTTCTTTACCCATTGAGGAGTAATGATGAGTTTCAGGCGCTCCACGTCTGGGGAATGATGTGGGATTAGTGAGAAGTTTATGTCGTTTCCTTTATCACCAGCCCGGCTATGAGCAACAGAGTAGAGTGGGATCTTCTGGCCAGATGGAGCAGGAGAGCGATGTAATCCAGATGAATCCGTCCATTGATCGCCTCTCATTGTAAGGTTGTTTTCATTTTCCATAGGGATCTACTCATGGAAGCAATACCAAGGTGTTATATGGTTTACTTAGAAGTGCACATGTTATAGTAATTTCTTTTTAGTGTCTCATCTAAACACACACAGAATCGTCCATACACCACTAGACTGATTCACCAAAGGAATCTGAAATTCAGATCATGTTTATCTACTGGTCATCACAACTAGTTTAGTAAGTTCATTCTCACTAACCTTGCGGAGTTCCTCTCGCGCAACTTGAAAACGATGTTTGAGGATCTCTGACCCTGATGTGTTGGTGTGCTGAATCCCAGTTTTCCACATTACAGATTCGCGGCTCACCTGGATAACCAAACATATAATAACATCAGAAGCATTGAAATTGATTTATGCGAGGCCTTATTAATTTACAATTTCATGATGGGGAGAACATACCAAACGCTTTTCAAGAACAATCTCCATCTTATGTCCGGTACTGCATTTGATTACAAGCAGTCAAGTCAAACCAAAAAAAGACCATCCAGATCTGATATGCTCTCTTTACACAAATCAATACATTGAGATTGCCAAGATAAAGATTAACGTAAAGGAATTACCTAATTCCACCACCACCAGCTGGTCCGTTTGTATATAAAGCAGTAAACTCTTTCGTCAGCTGGACCGCATGTTCCTTGAGTTCGAAAAGACCATCCATACGTAATCTAATATCTCCACATAACTGCCCAGATGATTCAGCGCCGTTGCTTGTCGCCTTCAGGCTATCAACCCCAATTATATAAGAAAGAATACAGTGGTCCACACCAGGAATGGTTTCCCCCATCCAAGATCGAACCTGAAAGGAAAAACAGACTCATACAGGGCCAAATAATGCTACTACATCAAATACATTTTAACCATAGGCACACCAGAAACTCTGAGGCTTTAGCACGTTGCATAGATCCATGTCCTCCATAAGATATCTCTCCCCATCCTTTCCAACCACACTCCTGCAAAGAAAGTACGAATTATAGAACCAAACCCAGGTTGCTCTTCAGTATCAATCTAATCTTAACAGCATTTTCTATGGATAAACAACCTTTGGAATCAACCGCAAGAGTTTCTCAGGCACAGCAGTGTTAGCAGATGGTTTTGCTCCACTGCATTGTACTTTGCAGTCTGACAGGGGAAGGAAAGAAACGTCTCGAATATCAATTACCTACAAAGAAGGTTTTCAGATCATCTATTTCCATTGATGTTTCAGTTTTTTTTTTCTTCTAGATTGTGTACCTCCTCTAACTTACCACATCAGGTGTAATGTAGGCACTAGGATCAGCAATCTCATATAGCAGTTGCTCGGCGCAAGTACAGGTATTTAAAATTCCACCACTACCTTCAGCCTTTAGTACACATACTTTTCCGTCATAGCCAATTTCTGCATAAGGAAGTGACAAATCCTGGAGGAGAGGGAAAGCCATGTCTCTATGCTGGTCACCTAAAGAACATTGAAGGACGACATCACCATACCGATAATGATAAACAGCATCCCACTAATTCTTCCCTGCGCCAGTAAGAGTGAAACGCACCTGGATGCATGAAGTATCCACCAGTGAGCTGACAACCGCACTCCAGAAGGTGGCCCGCAAGGGTTCCCTGAGCTAGCAGCTCCAAGTCATTCCAATTCCAACCTAGTTCATAGATCTAACCACGCAACAGGGAAATGGTCAGATTAAATCGCCAAACAGGGAAGCCTCTTGAATCTAATTCAAGCCAAACAGGATAATCAGGGACTGGGTGTCTAATATAAGATATTTGGAGAGATAACAAGTCCTCACCATCGGTGCTAAAAACAAGGCAGCATCAGCCACTCTTGAAGTTATTATCACGTCTGGTTGGTATTTCTCGAGGCATTCAACAATAGGAGCTGCTCCAAGATAAGTGCTGGTACCCTTCAGCAAGGAGAATTAAAGTTCAGGTACCATACGATCAGGAGTTAGAGAACCAGAGTCCTACCCCGTCAGAGCAAAATCGACCACCAAAAGATGATCCAGAGCCTGAATAAGTGAATAATCAAAGACAAGGGTTAGATATACTTATTATGGCTTCAATACTCAGAACACAAACTATATCCCCCAAAGGGATGAGAGTAAACCTGTGTCAACAAGCACCTCATGTGCCACAGCCACGGAAATGGTGAGCCCTAATTCACTGGCTACCTCAAGAACTTTCTTCTGAGCCCCCGAGGGATCAACTACAAGAGCAAAACACGACAATGAAATTCAGAAGCAGATAGAGAAGAAGACTGGTGATTCGCAGCTCTTACTTGCGCCCATGTTGGTGATTATACAAGTGCCTTTCTCCACAGCCAAAGGTAGTAACAAACGCATCCACTCTGAAACTGGAAACACACAAGAGAAAGGGATACTTTTGAAGTTATACAAACATCCCTACCGATCGGCCAATGTACACCATAAACCAACCGAAACATACCACGAGGGTCGTAGCCGTCACCGCCAGATGCCATAGAGAGCCACCGATCGGCCAATGTTCGTTCGGCTAAGCACTCAAGGACAAGATAGTTAATCTCCTCTACTCGCTGAAGCAGTTTGAGAGCCGCCAATGGCCTATCGCCGCCGAATCCAGCACCACACCCGACGTAAACCGTCTCCTTTCGCCTCTCCGGATTCTCTCTCTGAAATTCAATCAAATCAATATCACACGTCTTCTTCTCAGCCAAAAAAAAGATAAGAGTTTTCTTACCAACTTTATCACACAATCGCAGAGATTCTGATTGCCGTCCGGGTTCGCCATGAAAGTAGAACGAGATGACGTAATTTCACGATTGATCAGAGACGTCGATCACCGATTGGGTAAGCCGAGGAATTTGAATTTTGGAGAGACGTGAAGGAAGCGAGTGGGCCGACTCAGTGAGTGTTTATGCTTATCCCATTTGAACTAACTTTTATTAACAGTGATGATGATACGGCTCCTAAACTTTGAACTATTTGCACTTAGGTCCCTGGCTTCCTTTATTTGCCACTGACTGGAAAATCAAAGCGGAGCAATGGACAAACGAATCTCCAGCGATTGGGGAGAGATCGTTTCAGAGAAGGTTATTTCGGCTTATATCTCTCTTCCCAAGAAGGGAAAACCTCAGGGACGTGAAGTCACCGTCTTATCCGCTTTCCTCGTCTCTTCTCCTTCCCATGGTCTCTTGCAATCTCTTATTTTCAGCCAATTTTTTGTTTTTGGGTTTTCGATTTTGAGCTTATTAGGGTTCGCGTGCAGACCCGGAAGTAATAGCGTTAGGGACGGGGACCAAGTGCGTTAGTCGGTCGCTGTTGAGTCCCCGTGGGGACATTGTGAACGATTCCCATGCCGAAGTTGTCGCCAGAAGAGCTCTGATGAGGTTCGTGACTGTGGCTCTGTGCCTCCTCCTCATCAATATCTAGTTTGCATATCCAAATCCGCATTGTAAAATGGTGGAATTTGTCAATTGCCAGGTTCTTCTACTCCGAGATTCAGCGGATGCGAGGGACTTCGGATAAGAGAAAGTGTTGTAACGAAGGCAAGCGTCAGAGAAATGATAGCCAAACAAGTTCGATACTGGAGTTCGACCCAAGCTGTCCTGGAGATGTGATGTTTAAGCTCAAGTCGGGGTGCCACTTGCATTTGTACATTTCTCAATTGCCATGTAATTTACTTCACTTTGCCTCCTTCGTTTTCGTTTCAAGAATGTCCTTATTCACATGTTTGTCACGTGTAGGTGGTTATGCTTCTACTAGTTCACCCTTGTATGCAATGAAAAAGATTCCATCAACACAAGTACATGAGTCATTGTTGTTAGATAAAGGCTCGTCGGGGCGTTCTGATGTTCCAGAGATAGGTAATTGCAACAAAGTTTTTGAACACTGCTGCCTGATACTTGCAACAATGTTATCTCCCCGCTTACCTTCCAGTTATTTAGCATATGGAGGATAGACTGATGTTGGTATCAGTTTACTTAGGATGTCTCCATTTCAGGTAACGCCCCACGAGTAACAGACATGGTACAAAGAAAACCTGGTCGTGGTGAAACAACACTCTCTGTTAGCTGTTCGGATAAGATTGCTCGATGGAATGTTCTTGGAGTTCAAGGTTTCTTCTCTAGTCTGTTAATGATTCTGCAAGCCCTTCTAAACTGTTATTTGCATCATGCATATATTTGATAATAAAAAAATTGCTGTGTCATTCGAGATTTGCTTATGGGAATCTTCTCTCTTTTTTTTTTTACTTCAGGGGCATTGCTTTGCCAAGTCCTTCAGCCTGTGTATATTTCTACCATCACTGTTGGACAATCCCTGCACTGTCCTTGCAATTTTTCTATGGCTGATCACTTGCGACGATCCTTGTATGAGAGGATCCTTCCATTATCGGATGAGCTACTTACTTCCTTCCGTTTGAACAAGGTTCATTAGCTGCTTTATTAGCAAGGTATCATGTGAATTGCAGTAGTTACTTGCAGATATTGTTCTAAGTCCTTTCCAGCCACTGTTTTTTGAAGCTCCAGTACCACCATCAGAATTTCAGCATTCAGAAACTGCTCAAGCTACCTTAACATGCGGGTTAGTTTTCTATGCTCTTAACTATTCATCACATGACATGTTTGCCTTTTCTTTGTTTCTTACAAGGTGCCTTGATTTATTTGTTCTCTTAGGTATTCCTTGTGTTGGAACCTCTCTGGCTTACACGAAGTTATTCTTGGAACAACCGGTAGAAAGCAAGGCACCTCAGCTAAAGGAGCTCTGTACCCGTCTACTCAGTCATCTATATGCAAGTAAGGGTGGGGGGAGCCTTGTTATCCAAGCATGACCTTGCTTATTTTGAGTTATGATTAGCCTCTGATATCATATTCTCAACTTTTCCTAGACAGCGGTTACTGGAACTATTCGTGAAAGAAACTCATGGACGCAACAGTGAGTCTTCCAAGTCAAAAGGATCTTACCGAGAACTGAAGGTTCGTGTGATGCTGATTCTTTTATGTTGCTTCATTCTGACATAACATACTAGAGTATATGAATCTCATAATGATTTACGTTTTTTTTTTGTTTTAATTCTATGCAGGACAAAGCTACGGATTACATTTTGATGTCAAAGATTTTTAAAGGAAAATATCCATTCAACAACTGGCTAACAAAACCCTTGAATTACGAGGATTTTTTTAATAAATTAGCGCGAGGTATGTCTTCCTACTTTCTTTGCATCATGTGTTCATTATCGTCAATAAGTTGCTCTAGTTTGACCGCTTCGTTTATGGTAGCAAAACAAGAAACTATTATTATGATTATTACGTTCCAAAAAAAAGTGTGCTGATACCTTGAATCACAGAAAACACAAAAGAGCGAAAGTAAAACGAAAAAAAGAAACAAACCAAGAAAACGAAAACAGAAAAAATGAATTTGACTGAAATTAATTAGAATGCGGCAAGTTCCCATTCAGAGATTGACTCGTCCTTTGATGATGTCGATGCTCATCTCGCTAGGATCTGTTGCTTGCAATTCAACTTGAATCCCATCTAATTCCCTCTTGAATCTGTCCTTTGAGCTTGCATACAACATCTTACTCCGCACTCTTGATGTATCAGGTGACCTGAAGCAGAGAGATGCCTCGATTATATAAGAAAAAAACGACATTTCAAGATCATAACAAGGGCAAGAAAGTTGTACCATGCGATGAAAAAGATTTTGCTCTTCTGGCAATTCTCAGGAGTGGTGAAATCGAAGTCATAGACAGCATATCGGCACTCGTTCTCAGGCATACAATTGGTGAAATCGTCGTAAGTTTTGTCTGGATCCCCAACCATATCGATCATAACTTGCTGAGCCTTCTCATCAATTTTGAACACAATGAACCTATAATTCCTCTTTGCTTTTAACTCCAAGAACTTGAGCTTGCACTCATCGCTCACGTGCATCCCAGACGCTGAATTAGCCTGCACACACACACACACACACGCGCGCATAGTCAACTAATATGATCACAACACATTTTATCATTGGCAATACCAGAGATTGATCAAATGAAATGAAGGAACATACCATGTTGTCTGCTTGAAATTGGGGATGGATTGATGATCCGAAACGAGAGAGGGTAGGGGGGGTTTTAGAGGATGAGAGGAAGAAGAAAGAAGTAGGTTGGGTTGGGTCATTAGGCTGGTCACGTCTTTAAACTAAGAACAAGACTTTGATGCTGTCACGTTGTGCCCATATTATATATCAGAGGGAGTCGTATAAATTTTTTTATCCACGCATACATGTGGCGAAGTTTGTTCCGGACATCATTGAGGTTTCATGATGTACATGTTTTTCTCTGTTTTTTATTAAATTTTTGACTTTTTCCTTCTTCCGGACCTTGCTACTTGCTTCTTTTTGTTTTTGTTTTTATTTTTGTGGGGGGTGCGGATCTAGTTAGAATTTAGCATAAAAAACAAGAGTTGGAATTAACAGAAAATTCGAGTTGGTCATTTTCTTATCATGAGTTTATCACTGATACTACGAATGTCAGTAGCCCAAAACGAAATAACTACTGGATCCAAAGCAAATCATTGAATAGATGCCAACAAAATAAAATAAAGAGCTCTTGTCCATTCAGAAAAAGCAACGATCAAAACGTTTTTTTTTGAACGGAGCCCAACAAAAGCCCATGTGTAAGTAAATAAAGGCCTATAAGTGAAACATGGTTTACAGCGGGAGGCAACGGGAAACATCTTCTTCGTTGCGAGATACCCACTTGCTTTCATATCCAAACATCAATCTAAAACACCAGGTTTTGTTTTCCCCAAGAAAACACCAACACAATTAATTTGTACGGTATGTGATAATCAATCGATTAATTGAATGGATTAGTGAAAGTCCGCGGCCGCTGACTGTTGACTGTTGCCCTTCTCCAACCAGAATATTAATCGACTTGTATATTATTTGACCGGAAAAAAAAGGTTCTTCTTACATATGATGACTGTGTTAGGCAGTGACTGAGATGTTCGTGAAACTTGCAATACAATTGTAATCCTCTGGGTATCCCGTTTGGTTTGGCTACTTCCACATCTGTTTGATTGGGATACGTCTCCATTTTGGGTGGAATTGCAGCTACGAGAAATAGGGATTCCATCGAAAAGTGTAAGTTTCGCTTCTTTCTTTAATTTGAATCAAATTTGCAAGTTGATCTTCTCTGGCGTTCTCACTGTCATTAGCCGAGTTGACTCGCCACAAGGGCACGACCTCTTTCTATACTAAACCCTGTCATTCTCACCTCCGTAATAGAAAGATTCATCTTTAATTTGATATCTCTCTGTAATTAATCAGTTTGAGATATTTCTCCAGGCACTACCGTTGTTGTTTATGAAGTGACCATTCCTTGACTGAAACGAACCGTCGATGGGAGGCCGAAGCTCTAAGATTGCTACACGTTGTTGGAATTCATCAGGCGAGACTCCTCTTCCTGACGCTCCTCATGTTGGTGAAGTCTCTCTTTGTTTGAACCACGAGCTCTCTTTTTTTTTTTGGCTTCATCGTGGCTCTTTTCTTGATCCATCTTATTTTTGTTTTTTTACCAAAAATTACAGAAAACGAAGACAAGTGCGAGGTAACAGATTTGCCGTCTTTTCGTGAATACACACTAGAACAGCTTAAGATCGCCACCTCCGGTTTCGCTTTGGAGAACGTTGTGTCTGAAGATGGAGTAACAGCTCCAAACGTCGTCTATAAAGGGAAACTGGAGAATCATAACAAGATTGCTATCAAGCGCTTTTCTCGAATGGCCTGGCCTGATCCACGCCAATTCCTGGTATGGTTTCAGATTTGTATCTAACCCCAGTTCTTGTTTCTCTTTAATGTTTTCCATCTCCAGGAAGAAGCAAGATCGGTTGGTCAGTTACACAGCAAAAGAATGGCCAATCTACTCGGTTGCTGCTGTGAAGGCGACGAGAGATTACTCGTGGCTGAGTTTATGCCCAATGAGACACTAGCCAAACACCTTTTCCACTGTAATAATAAACAAACAAAAAAACACAAAGCCTTTGATCAAGAATCTTTTGATGCTGTCTTAGTATTTGCTCAGCACTTAATTGCCTGCCAGGGGAAACACAGCCAATGAAATGGGCGATGCGACTTAGGGTCCTTCTGTACCTTTCAGAAGCTCTTGAGTACTGTAGTAACAGAGGACGCACGCTCTATCATGATCTTAATGCTTACAGAGTCTTATTTGACGAGGTGACTCCAGAAACTAACCGCTTACCATTTCTTGTTTATGCTCTATCCTCCACTGAAGCGTTTAGGGTTCTTTTGAAGGAATGCAATCCAAGACTTTCAACCTTTGGGTTAATAAAGAATAGTCGAGCTGGGAAAAGTTACACTACAAATCTTGCTTTTACCCCTCCCGAGTATCTACCAACTGGTAAAATTGCTTCTTTAAGGCATTTTATTCCAACGAAATGTGTATTTGATATTGAGATCAAGTGTATGTCGTTACAGGGAGAATCACAGCAGAGAGTGTGATTTACAGCTTTGGCACAATTCTGTTTGATCTTCTCACTGGAAAACATATCCCTCCTAGCCATGTTAGTAGCTACTATAATCATTTCTTGGATTCTCTTAACTAGTTGTCTCAGCCTTTTGTTGTGTGTTTTAGGCCCTTGATTTGATTCGAGACAGAAATGTTCAGACTCTGATCGATTCCTGCTTGGAGGGGCAATATTCCGACCGTGATGGCACGGAGCTAGTACGCATGGCATCTACTTGTCTTCAGTATGAAGCTCGTGAACGACCAAACATAAAAGTTTTGGGCGCTGCACTGATATCTCTTCAGAAAGACACAGAGGTACCGTCTCATGTTCTAATGGGTCTGCCTCAGAGTGGTACTTTTGTGTCACCTTTGTCTCCTTTCGGTGAGGCTTGTTCGAGAAAAGACCTGAACGCTGTGCTTGAGATCTTGGATGAAATTGGGTACAAAGATGATGAAGACGTAAGTCGGCAGGTTTTACGGTTATATGAAGTGTGAAATCAATAGGTAGTTAGAACCTTTTATGGTTCCCATCCCATCAAGGCTTATTGGGACTTGTTTAAATGCAGCTTTCGTTTCTGTGGACGGACCAGATGCAAGAGGCTGTAGACTCGAAGATTAAAGGCGACATTGCATTTAGAAGGAAAGAGTTTAGTGAAGCCATTGAGTTTTACACGCAGGTCTGACTTTCTTCCGCACTTGAATCTGTAGCAAAACCTTGCTCTTGAATCATGATGAGTCGACAATGTCCCTGACTATAAATGTTGTCCCAGTTTCTTGATTTGGGAATGATCTCGGCAACAGTCTATGTGCGGCGCAGTCTAAGTTACCTAATGAGTAAGATGGCGAAAGAAGCTTTAGAAGATGCAATGGAGGCCCAAGGCGTATCTCCTGTGTGGTACGTTGCATTGTATCTCCAGTCTGCTGCTCTTGCTGCCCTGGGAATGGACAAGGAATCCCAAATCGCACTTATTGAAGGATCCAACCTTGAAGCCAGAAAGATATCAGCTTCCACACACAAGTAACAATTTTGTGAAAAGATGAAGAAACGTGGATTACACCAAGCTAAAGGTGAATTCTTTGGCTAAAATTGATACATAAGAGGGATTTAGATGTTAAGCATTGAAGTAATCCATTGTCTCACAGTTGATACATAAGATAAAGAGTTTGGGATGTACGGACACCAACCAAAGTAAACGTGTATATTAAACAAACTCCTTCAAGAGCTATGCGTTGTTTATGACGTGTTGTGCAACTCGGCCTCTACCACGGCTGGGATAATTGGGTGAGAGCCTCTGTATTCTTCCTTGGACATTCCACAGTAAACAGCATCTGTGCCTCCATAGGTTACGAAGTTCCAGCCAAAAGCGGACCCTCCGACCACCGTGTCAGAGTTGTGCTGAACAGAGCTCGTCTCAGATGATCTCACTTCAGTAGTAATAGTACTATGATGAGGTGTTTGATTGGTCGCCTTTCCGTTGGGTAAGGACTCGCTCTTGGTTGCTTTTTCACGTTTGGGTGTTTCTCCAATCATCTCTTGGTACAGTTGAAGCATAAGCTTCATCTCTGCACAATTTCAAAATCAGCAAAAGTTGGGACTTTGTGTTGAGCTAAGTGAACATTCGAAAAAAAAAAACAAAAGCAAAGAGTGTACATATGAGCTCACTCTCTTGAATTTCAGTTGCTGCCTTGCAGTTCCTGAAGTCTGGAGTCCGTAGTAGCTGTAGTAACAGTTTTCAACTTGTTCAGATTTCGGTGTATGTTTAATTCCAGATAGAGAGAGTATTGGAATCTCCATCAAATTAGTACCTCGAGAACTTGAGGGCGAACATCTTTGACAAGGAGACGCAACTTGTAGTAGTTGGAGTTCTCGATCTGGAGGTTCCCTTCCAACGCTCGCTTCCGGCCCCTAGACGACGGATCCGTTGCAGCTATCAACGGAGGCGCAGGCACCTGAGCTCCTACATGTGCCTGAGCCGCGGCTCCAGGCGAGCTATCCAATTCCATCGCCGGCGAAGATCTCTCATCTGCGGCTGTAGGAAGCGAAAGATCTTGTGCTGCAAGATTTGAGGTAGCAGAAGGAGGAGGTTCAGCGATTTGAGTTGCCGTCAATGTCGATTTCTCCATTTTCAAAGGTTTTTCCAACCGCCCAATGAGATCTCCTCCATCAACGCTCCTTCCGACGGACACGAGCACGGGCGACGTCGTCGTGGTGAAGATATTTAACGGCCTTAATATATGCCCAATAGGCCCATCTATATTAAACGGCCTTAATATATGCCCATAGCCCATCTATATCTAACGGCCTTAATGTATGGGCCTTATAGTGAAGATAAAATTAAAAAACGGCACGAGTTCTTCTTAGGTTATAACTAAAACGGCTCGCAGTTTGTGCGGAACACCGAAAGTTGGTCTTGTGAACATTAATTTCTCCGTCTCTTGAAGCTCATTCTTGGCGTCCCAAGATGAATCCCCAAGTTGACAAGGTCGTGAGAATAACGACTATGGTGGCGACTGCTGTTGCTTCCTACTTCCTCCTTACCGCTGATTACGGTCCCGAGCCAAACGCTCTTGATCCTGTGAGTTCCGATTGCTTCCTCCTACGTCTTGCTCTTCTCTCACAATCTGTTTGTTTTTAATGAAATCTTGCAAGTTTCTGTAATCATGATCGCTCGTTTCTGTTTCATTCCATCGTCGTTGTTATCCTAACGGGCACAAATATCATCGTTTGGAGAATTAACAATTACAGAATGTCGTAGATAATTGCTAATTTGGCTCTCCCTCTCCTCGATTGGGGCTTGATCGAGTTAGTCGCTCTCTCCGATTAGGGCTTAATGGAGTTACCATCAGTAGGTTGGAATTGCTATTGGTTAGATCTCTTGCTAGGGTTGAAATTGGATGAGATCTTAGTGTTAACATAAAGAAATCAACAGGTTTCTGATCAAAGTCAAAATGGATTTTCACTTAAGAATTCTATCATCAGCTTTTGTTGTATTTGTAAGAATTTTTTGTTGAGCAGAGCAGTCTTCGATGAATGACTAGAGTGACTTCTTTCATTGCTCATTGTGTTTATCTGTTACTGTCAATGTTGAGTCCTAAAGAATGCTCATTTTCTCTCTCAAACACTTACCAATTTCTTATGATGACGACTCTGTCAAATCACAACATTTGAGTCTGTGATTCTTATTACGCAGATCAAGCAGAGAATAGTATCAGCGCAAGATTCTGTGAAAGAGTTCATCTTCCCATCAAAAAAGAACAAGTAACAACAATTCCAACCAGCAGTGTAAGATGTAGCTCAGCGTGTGATTGACCACTTTTTCCAATTCTGTTCATTGTCTCGTTTTATGGCTAGTAGATATGTTCATAATAACAAGTTAGATCATCATCTGTGGATTCCTTTCTTTTGGACCTAACTCAATTCCAAGAAATACATATCCCTTTTGCACTTATGAACGCTGGATTCATTCGAGGAAATGAATTGTGTCGACTTCTCTCTTTTCAGTAAGTATACATTCTTGTAAAATGTTCGCAAAGTAATCGTAAGCAAAAAGAAATAGAGAAGAATATTCAATTGATTACGGCGGAAATAAATATTCTTAAGCTTTTGGACTTCTGTGCCTGTTAAAGCGGAAACAAAGGACAAGTGGAATTTTCTACCTAACAAGCGCGACACACAGACACATCCCAAAGCCGTCCGATTAGAGACTAGCCCAAATCTGACGGTCTATACAGTAAACAAACACTGAACACAAAAAAATATCTAATGGCCGCTTCGCCGAATCGGCACACTCATTGACCATAAGCGATCTCGTGTTGCCGTAAACGCAGAACTGGGCGTTTGCGTTTTGCGGTCGGCGGCGGCAAAATTCTAATACGGTTTCTGCATGTACATGAACATATCCTGTAGCGGAAACATCTGATTACTCCCTCCTCCAAACGCGTTATCCACGGTGGCATCTATGTAATTATACCCAAAATCAAGGGTACTATTGTCCTTGGCAGCGGCCGACCAATCCAATTCCTTCCACTTGGGCTCGCTCTGAACCTCGCTCGTGAACTCCGGTGACACCACATGCTCCGAGCAACTCGACTCCGTCGTGTGCAGCTTTGGCACCGAATCCGACGTGTCGATAAACACGAAATCACTCGCGGCTTGTGGCGGCGGCGGAGGCATAGCCATATCCGTCAACCTGGGCTTCTCCTCCACGACTTCTTCGGTGACTCCGCCGTGAACCACCGCCGGTGGTGGTACTCGCCTCTCGATAGCTCCCTTTTTATTGTAAATCCGGCAAAGAACCCAATCATCCAGCTGAAAAAATTAACACAGTCGGATCAGACCAAAGAAACACAAGGAGATGCCAATAGATCTAGTTATCTTACTGACATACCCTGAGACTGTTCTTCTTCTTGCGAACCGATCGGTCAACGTCGGCGAGACGGTACTCGTGCATAATCCAATTGGTTTTCTCTCCTTTGGGAGCTTTTCCGGCGTAGAAAACCAGAGCTTTCTTAATCCCGACCGGTTTGGGAACTCCGATGGGTTTATCGGCTCCAGTGGCTTTCCAGTAACCAGAACCAGCCGAGCGGTTAGGACGAGAACCGTTGGGATATTTTCTGTCTCGGGGAGAGAAGAAATACCATTCCTTCTCACCATACAAGGCTAAACCTGTGGTTAAAAAACTGAGTAAGCAGAGAATCTCCGATTTAGATTCCAAAAACGAGAGATTAAAGTTAAAATTAAAAAAAAAAAAAAAAAAAAAAATACCAGGAAGCTCCCAGGGATCGTATTTGTAGAGATCGATCTCAGCGATGATCGGAACGGCGATAGACTGAGAGGCGCATTTGCGGCAGAGATAGTGCATGACGAGCTCTTCATCGGTAGGGTGAAATCGGAAGCCTGGAGGCAGCTGTAACTCTGACATTTTTCACCCTCTCTCTCTCTTTTTGATTTGCTGATGAGAATTGAGATTTGAGGGTTGTTGGATGGATCCCCTATCCTAATCCTCTCTGGTAAGCTCTGCTGAAACTTGAAACTTGGGAAGAAAGAGAGAAAAGTCAATTATATACGGAGAGGGGAAGGACACGTGTTGGGGATCTGGGACTTGTGTGGGGGAGAAGAAGAAGAGCTTCTAGAACAACACGTGGGTGGATGACGCTGCTGGGACACGTTTCGAAAGGAGAAGTCTGTTGCTGACGTGGCGATGAGGTGATGTTGTCACTGCTTACGTCTGTCCTCTTGCGGGTCCCACTCACTTGCCTCTAAAATCCAAATCCGACCGGTCCGATCCGACCGAACCTGGGGTCTATCTTATGGATTCTTCGTTTCCGGTCGGTGGATCTTTGGTCCCACTTCCTCCGTCACTTTTTTTTCCTTTTTCTTCTTGTCTTCTTGCAACAGTCCCAACGCCGACGATTAAACGGTAAATTAATATAACCAGCAGCTCTGTTAATAAAGATTTTGTATTAGCCTCCATTTTTACTGTTTTTTTATTTGTATGTTGTAGTGGATGCTCATTTGTTGTCCTAATCAGGTTGTTCTTAGTTTCTTACCCTGATGGCTTGAATATGGGTGCTGTTGACAATTATGCAACCGATTTGATTCTATGATTTTTACCTCAAGATGTGACACTCTATGTATTTGAAGACAAGACGAAAACCAAAATCAGCCCAACTTCTACGAAGAGTTTTCATCATTTGCAATCAGAGAAAGATGGTTTTCAAAGTAAAACAAGATCAGGCAGAGGTTACTGTCCTATGTAAGACAGGATATTCTTTGAGCTAAAGCCAACACGGAGAGATAGAAACTGCTCAGTCAGTATTAAGATTTATGCAAAAGCTTGACCCGAAAAGCAGAATTTAACGTCAGAATCAAGAGGAAAGTCTGTTATACTCACCACAGGAAATGCAGAGGTTTGTTAGATATAATATTTTATAATACAAAAAGAGAGACTTGCGTTGAGGAATGGATAAGATATTCCATCCAAAGGATTATCGGCAAGTGATACTTCTATTAGCGTCATCATAATTCTTAAGAGTCTCTCTTTATGACGAAAATCACTTTTTTGCTGAAAGTCATTTTCTCGGCAAGATAAATATTTTTTAAAAATGTGCAACTTTGAGGATGTCATCATACATAATTCATAAAACCCATTACATTCCAAGGAAATGGGTTTGTCTGATAATAAAAGAAACATCATTCTTATTAGGGAGGGACCAAAGGGCCTTTCGATGTCCCAAAAAACTTTCTCCTTTTATTCGTACGTTACTAACTTATTGTGGACCATTCAGAGCTTCGAAGTCACGGAGGGTTTAGCTTCTCTTAACAAGGCCTCTTGCGTTAACGATACAACCAGCTGTTTCACATATTTCCAACAATTGCATGTATACGAAATTATATTTCTATTTGACGCATTTTAGCAACTTGGATTTGATGCTTTGAAAAACATGTGCTAATTCTTGTGATTCATGTCTAAAAGAGAAGAGAGTACCTCTCCTTTTCTGTTGAACATCTGACCACTGACAAAACCCCTGGTCACGTCCGCGCTTGGACTCACAATCTGTAAGTGGGTGAATGTTAGACCGCAACACAAGTCTATCAACACTTGACATATTTCACATTTAATGTTCGGAAGAAGAAAAAAACAGAAAAACCTACCACAAAGAGCAACCAGTCATCAGCTCTTAGAGGTCGGTGAAACCACATCCTGTAAACCAATTGAGGGAAAGTGAGTAAGTTAATAATTATTGAAACAACGATTTGGGTAATGCCTCAGTGTTGAAAAGCTATAAATAACACCGACATACAAAACCTATACTTCACAAGAGAAGATAAAAACTTACGCATGGTCCAAGCTAAGTGCAGCAGATCTCAAGCCCTTTCTACGGTGAGGGTTCAAACTGACACTTGCAAATATTAAATCCGAAGCAAATGCGACCACACATCTGTATAACAATGTCGCTTGCCACATGGTCAGTTAGCTATGAATCATTAATCGAATTTCAGAAAGAACAGCATACCATCAATTTGTCAATGTTAATATAAGAAACTTTGAGCTTTTAAGGGTCTAACCCATAATCAAAAACCTATCAATCAGTGATCCTAAAACACCATCGATTCACTTGTCTCCAGTGATTATTTGCTTTAATAGTTAAAAGCGTTGTTACCAAATAAAATATAGCAGTGGGTTAGGTTGTTGCCCTGATTTACACAAATGAAGTAGATAGAGGGACTTACCGGTGCAAAGCCTGGTCATCAGAAAGCTTTCCCTTTGCTCTAAACCAATACCTTAATCTGCAAGAGGACTTTTGTCAGAAGAAAACAAACAATAAACACAATCTGAGGTAAGTGATGAGTTTCATGTATAATCACATGAACCAGGTTGGCCAGCTATGCTTGTCTATGATATAAATAGTTTATTCACGACTTGAGTGAGTTGTACACCTCGGTGGAGACTTTGTCTGGTTTGTTGAATTACTGGGATCACAAAACCGAATCTCTATAGGCCATGGAACAAAATTTGATGTTGCAACTTTGTTCCGGTAACTCCTGAAAGGAAGAAACAATTGGAAAGTGGTCCAACTTGAGCTTCTGAGATAATTTGTCAGACAATTAAAAACACTACCACTTACCTAGGTAGTTGGGGGTCAGTTATACGACGCTCACGCAACTCCTCTAGTGATAGAAGCTGCAGCAGATAGCGGTGAAAAGGAAAACCTTTACAATTTACTGAAATCCTTTAAAAATTGGAGGAAAATTTTACCGTATCAGGATCTGGCGCAGAGGGCATGATTGACTCCTGGTGTTCAAATCCCTGTTGCTCTTTCTACGAAACCAGTGAAAGAGATACTTTAAAAGCTAATTCCACAGTTCTTTTGAAGGCTATTCTCTCTTGATGGCAGACAGTAACCATCTTGAAAGGAATAAAAATGGAAAACCTGAAATGATGCCAACAATATGAATATGATATTCCCTTTCTGTATGGCATCTACTCTTCGGGTGGCAAAGTTGTTCCCATCACGTATGCGGTGAACTTGATATATAATGGGGACTGCAAGAGTTACAAACTATGATAATTAGATGGATTTAACGGCAGGCGTGGTTGCAATAGGGAAGAAACGCATAATTGCAAAGATCACACTGAAACAATGTTCATACTATCGAGATCTCCAACGAGAAGAAAATAAGAATGTAAACTGTGGACGATCTTCAGAAAATCAACAGTTTTTGATGCCGCAGCGAGTGCCTGCGAAATTTCGGTAAGAAGTGACTTAGAGGTTATGGTTACCACTGGCTGAAATGACACAGAAGAAGCTATGTGTATATGCGAAAGTGCACTAGATCAGCGAGGTTTATAGAGACATAATGTAACTTTACACCAGGAAATGTCATACCTGTCCCATAAATTGTCCTCCGAAAACCTTTCCAAATTTCGGAGCATCAGGTAGAGTGATCCCCCTGAAGATATTCAACTACAAGAAAGAAGCACATAGAATAAGTGATCCAACGCATTTCATTCACCAGCAAGGCAGAAACTTGATAAACGAAGCGCTGACAAGAACAATGGATAGATTAAATCGAAGGCATAAGAACCGAGAAGAAGGAAAGGACAGGAGTGGGATGTTCGTACTTCCAAAGGGTCCAGATGTAATATGCGTTCCACTAAAGAGCACTTGTCGACTTCCTTATCCGACTGCCAGATGGAATTTGTCTCAAGCAGGCGACAATGATCACGAGGCAACACCAAACATGTAAGCTGCAATGAGAGAGCGCGAGAGAAAGTTTACAGTCTTGTCGTTTGCATATCTTCAGCTCATATATGCAAAGAAGAGGTAGGTAGGTTTCAGCAATTATGTAGCAAATACGCAAAGAACCTCGGACGTAGCAATTAGGTCTGCTGAATGAACATGCGCGGAGATACCTGAAGAAACAAAAGCTCAAAGTATAAGAATCACCCAACCAAATGTTGAAGAATGGGCAGTCAAAAGGAATCGTCATCTCACCGTGGCCGAAGTAATCATATTTTTTCAAGAGAAACTCGGAACGGTTATCTTCTTCGGCAGTTCCGGAAACCTCAGCCTGCAAATCAAATAGAAACTTTGATGTCGCAGTCGGCCATGTATCAAGAACCTATAGATACATCATAGCTTGGAAAGTAGAAGAAGAAGAAAAACCTCTCCTGAGAAAATAATATAACATCCATCCCAAGCTTGGTCTTCACGAATCACATAATCCCCTTTCCCTGCGATACAACAACATAGCTTGAGGCAACACAGAATTGCTCTCTCTCTCTCTCTCTCTCTCTCTCAGAATCGTGGAGATTCACCAACCGTAGCGTTTCAACACAACAACTTGAGCGATTTTCTTTAGGGAAGAGCTAGGCAGCTTCTGAAGTAAGGGGACGTTTCCAAGGAACTCGACCACTGCAAAGCAAAGCAACAACACGGATCGGATATGCCGGAAATTGGGAAATCGGAGTACCTCAATTCTCGGCCAGTATACAAGTGTGTTACGCTATCGGCTTACCTGATTCAGTGTTCATGTCGGATTCGGTGTAGTCGGAAGAATTCGCCGGTTTAACTGTATTGTGTAGGAGAAAGATGGCCACAAAATATCGAAGGTCGATTCCTCCGACCTGGGCAATCATTGGGTGCCCTCCGGTTTACGTGGACTCTCTCATCCGGTCGTTGATTAACATTGATTAACAAAACAATAAAATCTTTAATTTACAAAAATTATTAATTAATCGATATTTTTAATCTATGAGGAAGCGCTTTCTAGTTTATTATTACAAATGAATTCAAAATTGTAAAAGTGATGCATAAATTCGGAATTATGACTATTATGAACAATGATACATAAATTTGAAATTTGTATATTTTTTTCAGTGTATTTTCCAATTACAAGTGCTCTTGGGGAAAACTTTTTAAGGTTTCGAATTTTAGGTGGGCCTATAATGGGCTTTAAGGGTTCTTAACGCAAATGAATTTGGAAAGGATAATAATATTTCAAACATGTCTCCAAAATACCACCATTAGTATAATGCACTTGTAACATAGTTTTTTCAGTCACTCTTAAACATACCCAACTCTGCAAGACTGCAACTCAACTTTTAGAAATGAAATTCCACGTTCATTTGTCTACATGTACAAATACAATGAATGATTTTGGACACTTGGTAGCTTTCAAATAATGGCAGTATGGCACACACGTTTGTATCACTAACCATGCAACATACGTTCTTCCTTACATTTTGAGATCATGTGCTATATTATAAAATTATGATCTAATTGCGAAACAAACTGATATATAATAAGCATGTATATTTTGACCTATTATTAGTTTTTGAGTTAATCGTGTGAGCTACATGGGTCCAAAGCTAAACCTCCGACCATGTGATAACCCGTTGACAAAACAAAAACAAACTATAAGTATAATTCTCGTTCATACACCGACCATATATTTTTCTGCCAACAAGTGGAAAAAAATATAACTCACACAGGTAATTAACTAAGGATATTTCCCAAAATAACTGTGTACTGTTAACTTTTCTTTTTATGATGGGGATAACAAGAATAAATGATTCTTTATGCTGTCAGTGAATAAATTAGTCATATAGTTATGAAACTAAGATTGATTCACAATGAAAAGAAAACCATAAAATATATCAGCAAGTAGTTCCATTCGTTCTCCAAGGAGCAGCCCCATGGCACCACAAAAGCTCTAATTGAAACGAAGGAAAAGCCTATTCACAAACAATCTCTACAGTACGATCAGTCATCCTTCCCATCGGACGGTCCACATTGGTCAACAATTGTTTTTTAGGTCGCCGGTATATTTGTGTAGAAAGCTTTAAAAGCCGAAAGCTTTTGTTATAAATAAAACGTTATAAAGATTCATTCAAAACGGTTCAAATATAAAGACAAATCTGCAGAAGCTTTAAAGGTAAATCAAATAAAGACCGTTGCTTCTTTTTTTGGTTTTGTTCTAGTTACGTTTTTTGAATTTCAGTAGTCAGTACCTTGATCGATATCAGCGAAAGGTTCAATAAACAAAATTTAGTTTTGTTAATCTCACTTGTGAACTTTTCGATAAATATTGCTGTGTTCAGAAATTCCTTTGTTCTGTTTTACTTTTTGATTTTGGCACGCCTAACGGTCTCTGCTTTTTTGCTTTAATATTCCTTTTATTTATTTGCTTTAGTGTAATATGGTCCTCAAAAATGACTTTACTGTTTGCTGTCTCGTTCAAATTTTGTGAATTCGATTCATATTCTAAGGCTTTACTGATAAACCACAACGAAAGTTTCAAGTTTCCGTTACATATTTCTCTCTGTTTTTGTCTTTCTCTCTTTCTACAGAATCAGAGATCAACTAAAAAAAGCAGAGGAATTTTCAGAAAACAGAGAAGATCAAGATGGCGAATCTGTCAAATCCTGATGAAAGCGAAGATATGGGTTCCATGGATCCAAATGAGCACTCGGCATCTGAAACTCCGGCTTACTCGACGATGAGCACAGATTCCTTTGCTTATCATCGAACATGTTCTGAAACCTCTGGAGGCTTTTCAGACCATATAGATGAAACCAGCAGTTTCTGCAGTGAAGTTTCTCCGTTTGATTGGCCTGTCTTAACCGAGTCCAATTCCACTAGGTCAAATTTTCTAAACGGCTTAGAAATGAAAGAGAAACAGAGTGAGTCTGGTGAGACTCTTGCAGTCCAAGAAATATCAGAACCAGGTTTTGTGCTCGCTCTGCCTCTCTCTTTCTCTGTTTCCACTTTTATCAGAATCTTGAAATTGTTCTTGGTTTTGTGCAGAACTTGATACGATGAAGGAAAGATTCTCGAAGCTTCTGCTTGGGGAAGATATGTCAGGAAGCGGCAAAGGTGTTTGCACCGCAGTGACTATCTCAAACGCCATAACCAATCTTTATGGTAACTAAAAACTCAGCCATACAATTTTTTCAGAGTTATCAATCCTGAGATGCTGTAGCTAATGTCTTGTGATTTTGAGGTTGCAGCTACTGTTTTTGGACAGAATCTAAGATTGGAGCCACTGGAGATGGAGAAAAAGACAATGTGGAAGAGAGAAATGAATTGCCTTCTCTCCGTATGTGACTACATATTCGAGTTTATCCCAAAGTCACAGAATCTAAGCAATGGAGCCACTGTTGAGGTAAAAGCAGGTTTACAATCGCAAAACTGAAGAATATACTCGATCCAAATTTAACATGGGGTTTTTGTGGGGTCAGGTTATGGAGAGCAGACCAAGAGCAGACATCTACATCAATTTGCCTGCACTCAGAAAACTAGATTCCATGCTTATGGTAGTTGACTCTATAACATTGGATATGATAGTTTTTGGGTCAGGTTTCTCATAGAAGGTCGGATTCTTTTTGCTGTACTATGCAGGAAGCATTGGATAGTTTTCAAAAGACAGAGTTTTGGTATGCAGAAGAAGGAAGCTTGTCAATGAAGTCAACACGTTCTGCAGCTGGATCATTCAGGAAAGTGATTGTACAGAGGAAAGAAGAGAAATGGTGGCTACCGGTTCCTCTAGTTCCATCCGAAGGTTTATCAGAGAAAGCAAGTAAGCAGCTCAAGAGCAAGAGAGAGAGCACTAATCAGATCCATAAAGCTGCCATGGCAATCAATAGCAGCATCCTCGGTGAAATGGATATCCCAGATTCCTACATGGCAACTCTCCCGAAGGTACTAAAAACCTAAATTGCAGTTTCATTTTCTTTGGATCCATCATGCATACTCTTTACATTTTTTTTCAAATTTTGCAGAGCGGAAAAGCGAGCACGGGAGATTCGATTTATCGTTGCATGACGAGTTCAGGCAAGTTTTTACCAGAGAAACTTCTAGATTCTCTCAAGATTGTGTCGGAGCATGAAGCGCTTCAGTTGGCAGACAAAGTAGAAGCTTCAATGTACACATGGAGACGCAAAGCTTGTCTTAACAATTCCAAGTCTTCATGGAATATGGTGAAAGATCTGATGTCAATGACAGAGAGGTCAGACAAGAACTATGTTTTGGCTGAGAGAGCAGAATCTCTGCTCTTTTGCTTGAAACAACGTTACCCAGAACTGTCTCAAACATCATTAGATATATGCAAGATTCATTACAACAAGGTAAGAAACGAACTGTGACATTAAGAATCATTTTTAGTGTTTTTGGCTACCATTTTTAAGAAGCGTTTGGTCTGGTCTGCAGGATGTTGGGAAAGCTGTGTTAGAGAGTTATTCAAGAGTTCTTGAAGGTTTAGCCTTTAACATAGTTGCTTGGATTGATGATGTTCTTTACGTAGACAAAACAATGAGAGGAGAAGAAGATACATGATTACTTAATTACTTGAAAAATATTTTCTGTTTCTCCCTTGTAATTAAATTTAGATCAAATCAAAGTAAAATCCAACCAAATGGCACACATCTATCAATATATCTCTCTGTTTTCCTCACAAACATACATTCAAAGACAAAAGGATCCTATCATATCATCATTCTACATTCCAAATCATAGAGGCCAAATCCTCTGTTTTCCAATATTGATTCTGTAATGACCTTATCTGTCTAACTTCCAAAGTGACAGATTTGTGATCATGTGATCTTCAAAAGTCAAGCATGAGTTGTTCCAATAGTTCATCTAGAATCAATTCACTAGTCTCGAAGCCAATGCACTCAAGGTCACATCTAATGTCTAACCAGTTTCTGGGAATAGACATGTCTTGTCTAATGATATGGTCCGTTGAGTGAGAAAATTGCAATGGAAAGAGACGACAACAAACTTCTTTCTGAAACTCCTGAACGATGCTCTCAGCACTAAATGAGAAGACTTGGGTTCTTCTAGGTTGAAGAACGGAAACCCATTGAGGAAAGCTGCAGAATTCGAAGAGAAGCACATTGATGCAGTCAAAGAGGAGCTCATGGTCAACACAGAGCTGACTTGGATAGAACGGTATGTTGCTGATCAAAGCCGGATTAAGAATCTGGTCAGAGAATTCCGTCTTCAGATACATCTCTTCCCAGCTTGAGTCTATTGCCTCCAAAACCTCTCTTACGTACTTAAACACTCTTTCTACTTCATCCATAGGAATATGATGATTGTTCTCTTGAATTTGGTTACACAAAGGTTGTCTCTTTGCTTCACCTGAGTTTTTTTTTTGAAGATGGGTCAATGTTAGGTTCATAACTAAAGAGTTTTAAGATCTAACTATTGGAGTTTCCATACCTGTTTCTGGACTGATTTCATATTCAAAGAATAGCGGCTCAACAGCTAAATTACATTCCTCGGTTGTATACATATTGTGAGATGGTGAGGCCACAGAGTGAAGACTCTCTTCATGGGAGGCCTGTCAGAAAAAAAAAAAAAAAAAACACAAGAGACCAAATAATTATTCTCTGTTTCTCCATCACAAAAATTGCATTAAGGTGTGAATCAAAAGTGGTACTTGCCTCTTTTAAGACCCCACCCTCTTCATCTCCATCATAAGCTTCAAATTGTGATATCTCAAAGTCAACAATCCGGTTCCTTTTTGATATGGAAGGGCTACCACCTTCACCTGGTGATGGTGCAGTTTCTATCTCTTTGATACTTATGGTATCATCTGCAGAGTGGTTAATTAATTGATAGTTACTGTATTCTAGAAAATGGAATGTATATATGATAAACTACCTGCAAATGTTTCAGACTTGTTGAAATCCTCTGAAGCAGATCTCGAAAGCACAGTGGGGCTTCTTCCTGGACTAGTGAAAGGAGATGAAAACTCGGAAAGCGAGACAGTCCTTGTTTGATCAGAATCTCCATTGTTTAACATCTCAGACAGATGTTCCTCCTCGTCATGGTGAGACCTCTTCTGAGATATTGAAGTGATCCGCTCCAGAAAGAAACGATCTTTAGTTGGTGATGCACTCCTCTGTAATCTTTTCTCCTTCCCCGATAATCTCTTGTCATGTTGCGGTTTCTCCATTTTGAACGAATGTTTCAGCTTCCTCATGATCTCAGAGAGAAACATATGCAAATTCTTGGCCTTGTTTCTTCTCATCAGAAGCGAATCTTCAGATGATTTTCGTGGTGATCTCTTCTTCGTTCCGAGGAAACCAGATTTCCATCCTGACTGATCTACCTCTCTTGTCTTTGAGTCCAGCTTTTCGATTGACATTTCAGATATAACAACTGAAGAAGGAACTGCGTTATGCAATACTCTCATACATATGATTATATTTACTTTACAATCTCACATCTTTTGGAAACAAACAACAAGATTTTAAAGGCAGAAGTTTTTTCTTTTACTTAGAATGAGAGGGGAAATATTATTGCTGACCGGTGAAATTCTTCAGCAACAAATTGATTGGTCACTGAATCTTCGTTTTTGTTTATAGATCTTAACAATCTACTGTTATTTAACATTCGCTTTACGTATTTAATATTTTACTATTTTGGTCGGAAAATATTTAAAGATTTTCATTCAAAACTTCAAAAAAAAAAAAAAAAAAGTAATCTATTCAAAGGCCAATACATAAGTTTCCAAAAAGAGGTCAAACCTTTTGGTAGTTGAATTGACAACTCGGGTAGGATTTGATTCTTTTGTCTTGGGGAATATGAATGTACAGGAGTTTACATTACTATTAGATAAGTCATGGATTTTTGGATACACCTAATTGAGTATCATTCGATTTTGAATACATCTCAAAAAAGTTTAATTAAAAACACTATCTAAAATGGAGCAAATCCGATTTCTTCAATTTTCTAGCGGGGCATCAGAGAAAATTCACTAAAAGTTTAGATAATTCACACTTGTGATAATGTATTCAATTGTAGTCATCTTTAAACATGCTTTACATAGAAATATAAAATAAAGGAGCGTGATTACTCCCTATATATATATACTTTACCTGATTGTTAGTTAATTATGATGGGGTTACCGAACTTCCTCTTTGTCCTCCTCGCTGTCCTAAGAAGCCTTTCAGTTTCCTTCTCTGCGTCCCAGTCGAAGTTAGCTCCTGAAGTGACAACAATACATATTTTCATAACACAGATCAGATCATTTTGCGGGAGTTCTCTCTATTGTCAAGTTTAGAGATTTTCGTACCTTTGGTGTTCCCGTTGAGCAAGCATGAGAAGCCTCCATCTATATCTTCATCTGAGTCTATGACAACGCTGCATTGTTCAAACTGCATTTGAATTGAATTGTGAGGAGGTTAAAACAAGTGTCCTTATTGATTCTAGCTGAGCAATTCGAGAATCCGACCCAATCACCTGCGTACGAGTGCCTTCAGGTTTTACTTGCTTTCTTGCTGCGTTCTTCTTGAATGTGCTCTGTCCTGGCTTCACCGTCTTCCAACATCCCACCTGTGTCTTTGGGGATACAGATGCTTTTACAGTTCTCGCTGGACTGTTACATTGCAAGACAACCATTTAGAACCTATCTGGGGTAACTAATGGTTTTGGTATAGAAAGGCTAAAGTAGCAAAGCGATGTATGACCTACTTTCTAAGAGGCTGCGGTTGTTTCGTTTTCAGTGTAGTATTACAAACGGCATTGCTCTGCAGCTGATTTTTGCACATTTGTTAGTAACAGCGGAGCTTGTAAACATCATGGAAAGAGAAAAGTGTTCACTGCGATAGAGCTACTTACCTTGGCCTGCTCAGGCAAGTTTTCCTTTGCCTGTTGTTTAACAAAATCCACATTAATTGCTGAAATGTAAGGCTTAGAGAGCAATGCGATGGAAAGCAGAATAAAAATACCTTTGCTGGTGATGCTTTTGGAATCTGAGCTATGATTGGCTCAGGCATCTTCAAGCTAGCCAAAACCTGTAAAAGATTTGGTAGTGGGAGTCAAAGCATTACATGTGCTCACAAGATTGACCACAGTTCAATAGGACATCAATCTTATCTAGACTCTTCTGAGATAGACCAGATACTTGAAACTTTTCTTTATAACGCCCATGTCGAACCTGAGACTCTCTGGTGAACGTGTGGCAGATTTCCCTTTGTATTCTCTGCAGAGCGGTTTCTACTTGCTCTGGGATAGCTGTTAGCATCAGCAATATTTTCTGTAGCTTCTCTTGATTGGGATCTTTGCTTAGTTCCTCCAAAATAGATTTAACAGCTCCATCAAGACTAGCTTTAACATCTGCATGATCCTTTATCTGTTACCCAATCAATCATTTCAATAAGATTAAATCTATTTGCATAAGGTCGATAAAGGAAGAAGGAAAGAACTGTAAATATTTGCTTTTACCAGCTGCTGAAGTGAAGTGTCTTGGAGAATCAACTTTTGCTGTATGCGTTCAGCTGCAGTAAACAAATGAGACTATAAAGTCAGCTACGTATTTATCGAGACCTTCACATGAACTATGGAGCAAATAATCTCAATCAGTGAATTTACTCTTGTCAAAACTACGTTCGCCAAAGAGTAAGATTAGCTAAGAAAAAATGCTTTTCCAAGCAAATGAACATCTAAGGGTATACACTTTCCTAACATCCTGGTCTCTTGCTATCCCATTTGGTTGACATGTACTTTAAGAACAGAGCGAATTTGGCATTATCATATATTGGTGGTGCTAACCTTGTGTGTTTGGTGTACTTAAAATCAGAGAATGATAGAACTCACTTTCAAGAAATACTTCTTTGGTTCCTCTGTTGGCTTGAATGATGTCACTCTGAATCGAATCCAAGATCATTGCGAACTTGCTCAGTGAAGTTTCCATCATCCCAAACCGTTGCTCAAGTTCTTCACCAATCTGAGCTACTCAGTGACAAATGAAGAAAAAAGTGGAACATATTAGGATCCACCCAGTGAAACTCAAAGGTTAAAATGTACATAAGCATATTGTTGTTTATCAAATTTTCATAGTAACACTATCAGAATTTAGAAAGAGCGGACTTACATTTAGAATCTCCGACTGAAGCAGAACTCCATCTTCTCGTGAGACCGCTGGAAGATCTAGAAGCAACCATCTGACTATCATCTCGTTTATGACTGATAGGGGGCAGGAAACTATTCTTCTTCAAAGAGAGATCTCTTTCCTGAGAACTAAATCTCTGTGGAGAAGGGAAAAGCAGCACAAAGCATGAAATCAAGACGAACTTAATTAACTTATCTTCTACGGAGGATAAATCAAGTCCCATGACTCTTAGATTGAGTTTCTAACCTGATCGAATAACGAGAGTTCTTCGACTGAGCTCTGAGTCATCTGAGAAAAGCAACCGCGCTGAGACGAAGGTCCCTGCGAGAAGGACTGCTGCGACTGCTGTGAACGAAGCTGCTGCTGCGATGCTTGTGCTTCTGACGGCCCAACACTCGATCTCCTTCTAAACAGAGAGTCCACACAGAAAGATGATTGCGAGAAAGAAACAACATACGCAATCAGTAGACAACACGAAAAACGAGAGAAATCAAATTGATCTCCATCGGATTTATCTTCACCTAATTTATCTTTCAAACCCAAAGGATTCTCTTGGGAATCGCTAAATCGGTTTCTGAGTAGATCAAACAAAATTTCCACATACAGATCGACAAACTAAACAAATCACCGACCGAGAAAAGAGCGGATGAATCCCAATAAACCCTAAACAGGCTGTGAATTCTCAAATCGACTTATGTAAATGTTCCTCGTGAAAGAGATAACGGGTAGAAGCGAAATCGTACCTTAAATTGGGAGGAAACACCGAAATTGAATTCAGATCGCAGGCTTTGTTGATATTCATCTTCATCGTATGATCCAACCCGTAGACGAGGATGCAGAGCTCTTCTTCAAATTGACGACTGTGATAAAACAACTAAAATGAAATTTAGAGGAGATGAAGAGAGAGAACTAAAACGGAATTTTGAATTTTAAACGATAGAGAAAGATTTGTTTGCCGTTGTGCATTTCCCGAATGGGTTGACGAAGCCCATATATTATGATGACCCATTGGCCTTTTCTACTAAGACTTCCGATAAATGGCAATTTAATTTAACAAATTGTATATATCTCAGTTTTATATAATTTGTTGACGACTTTGGTCTCTCGACGCGCTAAACTGATGTCACGATTTCAGAATTTGGAGCGGTGGAAGTCACGCGTCTGCAGTGCGCGTAAGAGTTCCATATCTTAATTGTAATCAAACCATATAGCTAATTCTACAAGATTGCAATGCCTAATAAGTAACAAACTTAAGTCGAACGTTGCATTTGCTTATTAACTTAATGCAAGACAAATTTGAACGTGAATGCAACACAACACACCAATCGCTAACGACGAAATATGCAATTATTTTTTCCTAGTGTTCAAAAAGAAAAAAAAAAGTGTGGTTACATATATAAGTCCAGTAGTTAATACACAAAATGACAAAACATTGTTTGCATTGTAGAACATCCTGTATTTAAATGTCAAAAAAAAAAAAAAATCCTGTATTTAAATGTTAAAAAAAAAAAGACATTTTGTATTTATTTTTGGTAAAAGAAATAATAGAATAAGAACCGGTAGGTAGTCAAGAGACTCAAGTCAACTCTTAAAAAAACAAAAACTGATGTTTGACACCGAAACCTTTTTATTTCTGACAATATTCCTGGAAACTTAATAAACAAGTGTTAAAAGCTCAACTGCTCGCTGGAATTAAATAATCGGACCCATGGGCGATTGACCGACGAATCAACACGTAAATGGTCCGAAACCTCCTTGCAATTTTGGTGCAAAAGATACCTTCATCTCTCTCTCTCTCTCTCAAGTCACTATATATTTACGCATTCATTATAACTACATCGTTGTATACCTTTGTTCATTAAAACAAAACAATCAAAAAACCATGGGAGAAATTCTGCATGATGACGCCATTTATGTCGCAGTGAATCAAGACGTTCGAGAAAGTAAATTAACTTTGTTATGGGCATTGAGGACTCTTCCCGTCAAAAGGCTTTGTCTTCTTCATGTTCATCTTCCATTTTCCTTGACCGCTTCTTGTGAGTATTTTAGATCAGAGTTGATCCATCTCTATTCTCTACGTTTGATTTTGCATTTGTTTCAGGGACGATTCAGTTATTAATATTAGATGAGTCGCTGGATGCTAATTTTTCTATGGGTTATATATAGTATTATATAGTATGCATCTAAAATATGTCTGTATGAACACACACACTGACACACATATAAAGTATTTCAAATACTCATCTGCGTGGTCTATCGATACAAATCACATGTACCAATCATCATGTGTCAGATTTTAAGATATAAGTACTAGTTTTGTTTTCATGCCAACGAAATTCTAGTTACTTTAATAAGAAACAATCAACATCCTAGCTTTAATAAAATTTTAGGAAAAGCGATAACCAATTTAGTTATAACTCGTGACCTACCACAGAAACAAACCACGACCCAGTTGTAGTTAGGCCACACCACACCTGATGTTTCGATTTTTTTCACCTATTTATTTTCTCCTCTGATCAAGAAGTTTAGGTTTTCTAACTCTAGTTAAAGATGTTTCAGGGCGATCGCAATAGCACTGGTGTCTGTTTACTCTGTTTTGCGGATGTTAGAATTGGAGTTTTACTCTGTTTTGAAATGGTCTTTAATTCGTGTATTATGTTTGTTCAGCAAGTGGGCTTGATGAGAGTGAGATCAATGCAATCCAAGAAGCAGAACTGAAATCTTCGTATGACAGCCTCCACAAGTACCGTGATATCTGCACAAGCAAAGGGGTACAATTACACTTATTAGCAATCAATGAATCCAAGCATAGAATCAAAAACTAGAGATGGGAACTACGCAGTACGCTATGTGTAGTCTATTTTCTATCAATTGGTTTTAGTCTGCTAGATGTAGTTCAATGAAATCCCAAGAAAAGCCAAAACACAAAGCAGACCCACGCTAGGATTTGATGATGCTAAAAGGAAACAGAAATCATGAAAAAGATTGATGGTAATTCTATATTGGTGCAGGTCAAGGAAGAAAATGTGGACGTATCAATAATCTCAGGACATGGTGTTGGTGAAGGGATAGTGGAACTCATCTATCGAAACAACATCAAGAAGCTCGTTATGGGAGCAGCAGCTGATCCTCACTATTCCAGGTAAGGAAAAATCGAGAACCGATCCATGTTTTGAAAGATAGAATATCTAGTTGAATCAGCAAATACAATAAACTCTCTTTGTCTTTGATTATGCAGGGGAATGTCTGTCACATCTAGAAAAGCAGAGTATGTGAGTCAACATGCACCTCGCTGCTGTAAGATGTGGTTCATCTGCAAAGGGAAACTCATCAAGAAAAGGTAAGTTTGAGGATCACACGTGTGTTGTGCGTATGTCTAATGTTAATCGCAAGTCTTAATAGAAAGTGTCTTGTACACTTACTTTTGTTTAACAGAGAAGGGAGGTTCGACCTTGGGAATCCATCAGATTCATTCTCAGAAGAATTCTATGATTCGGCTCAGGAACATAGCAAAGGAAGAAGAAGGGATGAACCTGAAAACGAGTCACATAAAGAACCTTCAGTAAGTCACAAATGTTAAGAAAATTATCCAAATGAGACATATTCATGAATTTTGGTTTCGCTTAGACAAAAAAAAAAAACAGAGTTCAGTATCAAGATTACCATTTGAGACTCTTTGTCTGTTGCATTTGAAACAGGAACCCGAGGAGGTATCACCAAAGAAAGTAAGGAAGGAACATGATGATACAAAAAGGAACGGGAGCGATGCAGACTCGAGCCCATGTCCTGTTTCCGACAAGCCTCCCGAAGACTTTCTCTGTCCCATTTCAATGGTTAGGGATCAAACCCTGCGTCTTGAATTATATCTCATGATTGAAACATGCATGTGTGCTTCTCTATTCTGCCCTTTGCTCATCAAACTAAATGTTGATACAATGTAGGAGATCATGCGAGATCCCCGTGTGGCAGCTGATGGCCACACCTACGAGGCAGAGGCAATCAACACTTGGATAAGGAGGGGAGGCCAAAACTCGCCAAAGACAGGGGCTAGGCTCGCCAGTCACACTCTTACCCCTAATTACACCCTTCGTTCAGTCATCAACGAGTGGCTGCAGCAGCACCCAAATTATCAACATTGATTATATATTAACCTAGGATGAATAAAAAATAAGATACATGTCGATTATCTTTTGATTTTTGGGAGTTTCTTCTTTGTGAGAAAAACAAAATATATGCTATCAAACTTCTGTATATACTGTTGTTAGACTCATTCTGTGAGCAACTAAAGCATCATCATCAATTTTATGTATAAAAAAGTTACCAAACTGGGCGGGAATGAGCCGATCGAGTCAACCCTTAAATGCTAACTAGTGGGTGAATTTATGCCCCACGGGCCGTTCATAAATGTGACGACTATTAGGCCCATCAAAAATTACTGTATCTCAAGCGCACGAAGAAGATCTGACCGTTCACTCCATAAGCTGACGTGTCGTAAGCTGCATCGTCGCTAATTGTACTTCAAAAAACATCTTCATTCTTCTTCTTCAGGTCAACCCCTTCATCGGACGCCGGCGCACTCGTAATGTAGCGGAGATTGGTCGGAGGTAAAAAGAGTCTGAACCGATATTTCTCATTAGCCACCCTAAACCAAAAAAATACCAGGCCTTCGATTTCTGATTCCCGGAATCAGATAGCTTCTCTGAGTTGACATTTAATTTTAAAAGGCCTAGATTTCCGTTCTTTATATTATTGTATGAAATGTGTCTTTTACGGTAAGAAATTCACAGATATTTGCTTAGTTGCATTTAATTAATTGTGAGCAATTGTGTGCCTCTCTCTCAAGTTATCAGTTAAGATCATATCTTTCGTTGTCATCACTCTTTTTCTCAGAAAATACTTTTAATGTTTTTAGTATTCACTTGTATTTTTAATAATAGTAGTTGACTAAGAAAATGGTCGGAAACATCTTCGCAATTATATAATACTTTAAATAATTGTGCTAGTGTTTTTGTGTGTCTTATCGTTTTGTTTTGGAAAAGAGAGAATTTGTCTCTGCGTATCCATTGAGAGAAAAGTAGAGAATCTATGGCAGAGGATTTGAATGACGATCCCGTTTATGTTGCAGTAAGCAAAGATGTTCGTGAAAGCAGATTGACTTTGAGATGGGCATTGAGGAATCTCCGAGTGAAAAAGCTTTACCTTCTTCATGTTCATCAACAGATTTCCATGAACCCTACATGTAAAAGCATCGCTTCTTCTCCTTCCTCCTTTTTTTTTTTTTGTGCCAAGAAACTTTGATCTGGGATGTAATAGTCCAACATATTCATTTTTTCTCTGTTTACATGGTTATGGATCACACGAAAAGATAGTTTTGATTAGTGAGTCAGATGGTCGCAGCTGGTAGAAATTGATGTTTTATCTTTACCTTGTCCTCAAGTTAATATATAAACATCTTAAGATTCTTGATCGTAGGATGTAAATTGGTCGCAGCTTGGTGTCTGGATTAGTGTTTATGTGTGGGTGTTACATAAAGCGGCTGATGATAGAAGAATATCAAGCTTTTTTAAGTTTCCTTTTATTTTCTTCTAATGTTGGATTTTTTGTCTGTGATTTCCAGCAAGTGGGCTAGAACAAAGCGAGATCGATGCAATCCAGGAGTCGGAACTGACAAGTACATATGAGAGCCTTCTCAAGTACCGTGATATCTGCGAAGCTGAAGGAGTGAGTGCTCTTCCAACTCTTGATTACATCATTAATGTCACATTAAGAAAGATCAGAATCTTGAACATTTAGTATGTATGCTTTGGGAATGTCATTGAATTGCTTATGTTGCAGGCTACCGAACAAGATGTGGATATATTCTGTAGCTTGGCAAATAATGTTGGGGAAGGGATTGTGGAACTCATCTATGAAAACAATATCAATAAGCTTATTATGGGAGCAGCTGCTGATTCCCACTACTTCGAGTAAGTAGTTGATGCATGAGAATCCTTCTGTTAAATAGCTATTCCTCTTTTGATGCATAAAATGAGCCTGGTCATATATTTTATTGATGATGCAGGGCCATGGTTAATATCACATCTACAAAAGCCAAGTATGTGACTAGCCACGCGCCTCATTGCTGTAAAATATGGCTTCTATGTAATGGGAACCTCATCCAAACGAGGTAAGTTGGAGGATTATACTTGTGCGTGTTTGTGAATGATTGTAAGACTAAGTGGTTTTTCTTCTTTTTTCAATGTTTACTAGGGAGGGACGGTTTGATTTTGGGGGTTCATCTCACACATCCTCCGAATCCTTAACCAGCCTTCACGACCTTGATTCTGCTCTGATACCATACGAGGAAGCAGGACGAGCTGAAGACGACGCCGCCGAGTCACATGCCCTGTCGCCACCTGAAAACCAATCAGTACGTAAAATTCAGTTTAGTCAGCACAGAGAATTTTGAATACCAGCATGGAGTATTTGATAGATGGATTATTCAGTGATCCAACATAACACACATGCATGTCTTAAAACCATAGTTTAGTGTCAAGTTTGCCATATGAGACTCTTGTGGTGGTGTTTTATATCTTCCAGTGTAAGGGATTCTCATTTATCCAATTTACACGCTTCTTTTAAACAGGCTGGAGGGTTTGAGACGATGTACTACGAGGAGCAGAGACGGAGATTAGAAATTGAGGAACTGAGGAGAGAAGAGGAGCGACAGCATGAGATGAGGCGTGAAAGAGAGGAATCACTCTCAAGTTCCTTTGGTGTCACTCAGATTCTGTACAACGAAGAAGTAAGTCGCAGGAGAATAGCGGAGGAGGAACTAAGCAGAGCGAAAGAAGAAATCGAGAACATGAAAAGGGTCCAAAAGGAACTCGAAGAACAGCTTTATATTGATTACCCCCGTCTGTTAGAAACGTTCCAGAAGGAGAGAGACGAAGCTATCAAAACAAGTGAAGAGCTTTTGAGACTTATAGACCTGGAGAAGGGTGAGTCATCATCACGTTCACCATCAACCCCGTTGCAGTGGTCTGTTTCCAACCAGCCTCCCCCATATTTCATCTGTCCCATCTCAATGGTCAGGACTCGAACCCGCCATCTAGAAAAAGCATATTTTTTTGTTCGGATCTTGACTTTGCTTCTGCTCCTATATTATATTCATTGCCAATTGCTCGTGAATGTAGGAGATTATGCAGAATCCCCATGTCGCAGCCGATGGTTACACTTATGAAGCAGATGAGTTCAAAAGCTGGCTCCGTCATGGAGGTGAACAGTCGCCGATGACAAACCTTAGGCTCGAGAATCACAACCTCACCCCAAATCTTGTTCTTCGTTCTGCTATTAACGATTGGTTGCAACAGCACCCGTATTTCTTTGATTTGCCTTAGATAAATATGATGTTTATTGTGTTGTGATTCAGTAAGCTTATATGGGATATGGAATGTGAAAAAAAACTAATAAAAAGTTGTTTATGCACTGGAATAACTATTGGAGAGCCGCTTTTTGCTTCAGTATTTAATATGCGTTGACTTTACTCTGTCCATCTTACAAAATCTGAAACGGTCAACAAGAAGAACATTGAGGGTCACCACTAATCACTGTTGGTCTCTTTCTGCCAGATGCTTCTTTGTTTCTCTGTTTTCACTTTCAGGGGGAAAAAAAGCCAGAAACACAAAGACGAAGAAAAAGGACGTCAATGGCGGAACTCATGGCCATGGGCAATGATGTTGTTCATGTTGCTGTGAAGAATGATGTCAGAGAGAGCAGATCGACTCTGGTTTGGGCTTTGAGGAACCTTGGCGCCAAGAAAGTCTGCATCCTCCATGTTTATCAGCCAAAAACTGCTTCTCCTGCTGGTAATTTTCATTATCTTCATGCCCCAACTGATTAATTACCAAGATTTATATGATCCACATGAAGCAATGTTACGTTTTAATACGTTAATTCTTGTTTAGCACGCAAGCTTGAAGAACTAGAGGCTATAATGTACGAAACATTACATGATTATTTTGACCTCTGTCAACAAGAAGGGGTATTGTTCTGTTGCCTTCTTATATTGTTATAGTCTTTCCCTTCTTGCTTTGAAATGATTGCATTTTCCCCTGATTCTTGATCTCTAATTAGGATGATTCAATGTGGAATGCGATTAAAACCTGATATTGGAACTCACTGTGATTGCAGGTGAATGAGGACAACATTTACATATCGTGTATAGAGATGAACGATGTGAAGCAGGGGATATTGGAACTCATCCATGAGAGCAAAATCAAAAAGCTCGTTATGGGGGCTGCATCAGATCATCATTATTCAGAGTACGTACTGGATAATCTGTTATAATATAAATCTCTACGCCCACTCGTGTTGACTTGGTGAGATTTTGCAGGAAGATGTTCGATCTCAAGTCCAGAAAGGCAAAGTATGTGTACCAACACGCGCCAAGCTCGTGCGAGGTTATGTTTATGTGTGATGGACATCTCATCTGCACAAAGTGGGTTTTGAAAACTCTCTCTACTTATGTTGTCTCTATCCTTGAAGAAATCACCTTATTATTTGTGTATATTAAATACTCAGGGAAGCCAGTCTTGAAGACCATATGGATGTTACAGAAGCCGAAGCTGAACAATCGAAACCGAAGCTCTATTCCTCTGCTTCACCAAAATGCTCTGCAGAATTGGTCTCTGCAATTGTAGCTTACATTGACACAAGGAGAGACAGGGACATGCTAGAGCCAACTGCATCAGAGGATCAATCTGTACGGTTTAAATATTTTAGGTATTGTGAATTAAGCTCGTACTGTTTCTGTGGTTTTTACTAAGTGAATGAAAGCTTTTGCAGGAAAGCGACAGGAATCAGCTGTATAGACAGCTTAAGCAAGCACTTATGGAAGTTGAGGAATCGAAAAGAGAAGCGTATGAAGAATGTGTCAGGCGGTTTAAAGCTGAAAATACCGCCGTTGAGGCCATTCGCACTGTAAAACAACCACACAAATCTATGATCTCAAAACATTGAGAATTTGTTTTTTTTTTTCCGCACTTAGAATTGTTTCCTTTTACTTTAAAGGCAAGAGAGTATGAAGCTATGTTCAATGAGGAAGCGAGACTAAGGAAAGAAGGTAAAGAAGCATTAGCAAAGCAGAGGAAAATGGTGGAGAAGACTAAACAAGAGAGGGACGACGCACTTACCATCATTCTGAATGGAAGAAAGCTATACAATGAGGAACTGAGACTCAGAGTTGAAGCTGAAGAGATGCTGGGGAAGGAGAAAGAAGAACACGAGAGAACTAAGAAGGAGATGGAAGAAGTGCGGGTCATTGTTAAGGACGGTACTGTCAGAAACAGAAAAAGCTTACAGAACTGAATGTTCTATTAGATGAGTGCTTGAATTTTCTGTTAAATTTAAATATTAGGGATGCAACTGTACAACGAGCAGCTGAGACAGAGGAAAGAGATGGAGGAATCAGTGAAGAGACAAGAGGAAGAGCTCGAGAAGACAAAGAAGGAGAAGGAAGAAGCCTGCTTGATAAGCAAGAACCTGATGCAGCTATATGAAGACGAGGTAATGAGACTTAAGATCAATTCAGAAACTTAGAAGTTGTAATCATCATATAAAAAAAAATCATTTTGACAGGTGAGGCAGAGGAAAGAAACAGAGGAGTTAGTGAAGAAAAGAAGAGAGGAGCTTGAGAAAGTGAGGAAGGAGAAAGAAGAAGCTTGCTCTGTAGGACAAAACTTCATGAGGCTATATGAAGAAGAAGCAAGACGTAGAAAAGGAACAGAGGAAGATCTCAGCAAGGTCGCTGCTGAGAAAGACGCAGCTAGCTCCGTCTGTTCAGAGATTCTGTTGCTTCTTCAGAGCTACACCCGCCGCCATGGAATGCCTTCTGGATTCTCTGATGAGGATTCCGTTACCCGTCAGCCTCCGTCGTATTTCATCTGCCCCATCTCGCAGGTACGTTGAATAGAACCCAAGCCAAACCGAACCTGAAAAAATCCTGAAATGTCTACTTCTAGATCGCTTCTGATTGATTTTTAAGACAATTTTGGGGTTTGATTGATTATAATTCGGAAACAGGAAACAGCTATATGTAGTTTTAATATTTTGGAAGTCAATGATCGTTTCAGGAAGTAATGCGAGAGCCTCGTGTCGCAGCCGATGGTTTCACCTACGAAGCAGAAGCCTTGAGAGAATGGCTCGACAATGGTCACGAGACTTCACCAATGACGAACCTGAAGCTCGCCCACAACAACCTTGTCCCTAACCACGCCCTTCGCTCCGCCATTCAAGAGTGGCTTCAACGAAACTCTTAAAAGAATCAATCTCTGGTTAGTGTTGTGAATGTCTTTAAAATCTCGACTTGATCATTTATGCATGTGTTTGTTAAAAAAATGTTGGTATTTGCAGTGGAATTCATAAAAACTGTTTGGTTAACAACTACAGCCTGAAAAATCCCATGTACAAAAATGCTTGCTGTTTTGCTCTACCTCGGAAACCCTGTCTGCCGCCAACACTTTCGAGAAACGACCTGTAGTGTTGTTTATCTTGGCGTTTCTAAAATCACGTCCCTTTCTATGGGCCAATCTAACCATCTTTTAACTAAACATGGCCCAACAAGGGTCCGTTAGAAAGTTTATGCACACGTGAATTTAGATCAGTATCGCGACGCGTGTACAAACAAACAAAAGGGTTTTCCTTTTAAAACGTGGGAGGGTATTATTGGCCATTAAACTGATCATAGTATGAGGTCGGCCACATAAGATTTTCGAATTATAATTATCTAATGGTATACTGTAACATGCCGTCTTGTCGGTACGGTTCATACGGATTCAATTTTAAAATTGATTAATATTAATTATATAACTTATATTTATTTTGCTTGCCGGTGATCGGTAGATTTGATGTACATATCGCATTCACGTTCCACGCGCAGCTTGTTCCACGCACACGCAGTTATCTCAGAATCTGCATCTTTTTGAAGAAGGGTAGTTCATTTCATTTGTCACTCGATTTATATGATTTTACTAGTTTTTTTCTTTTTGTTGAGCAAGAGCACTTGAGTTTTGACATACAGAAGATTAGCATTACTTTGACTTGAAATCGTTATTTTTTTTTTTCATTAACATGTCATCCTCGATAGTGTGGTGTATGACGTCATCGTAATGTATTGGATAATGTAAAGTAGTTTCATGACTTGATTGTATGATATACACAGCACTACATTTAAGGTTTCTACATAATTAATCAACTCATTTTTGTTGTCTGCTGTTTGTTTAGATAACACATATATTCATCATATAACACCAAATTATTAAATAATAATGATATAACAACATCTGACAATTTTTTTAGTTTTTCACCCGCAAGAACTACACCATTTAAAGTAAGCAATGGTTTTAATCATCTGTTGATGTTTGTTTTGGAGTATTTCATTTTGTTGCCATTCCGTTTATTACTCCACATGTTTGTATTTTACACGAACACGATTGTTTTGTTAATCGCGCCATCAACATGGAGGACTTTGATTTAATTAGAAAAGAAAAATATCGTACGGACAAAATAATTGAGATTAAAAAATGTACGAACTTCTAAGTTGTAATATGGAACGCGTCCCACGCGCGAAAGGTGAGAGAGAGTGGAATCAAAAAGTCAAAACCACCGATAAAACGCAAACGTTTTACGCTTACTTATCTCTAAAACGACACAACTTTTTTTCTCCTCCCTTTTTCATCTCTCTCTCTCCCACGAGAGTTTTTTCCCCCTCTCTCTCTCTCTCTCGTTCCTTGTACCTTCCTCCATTTTTCTCCATCTTTCCTCTTCCTTTATCTTGTACCTCCCTTCTTCTTCTCCTCCTTCGTTGCCATACCAATTTTGCGTATCTGTAGAGTCAAGTATGATCTCGCGAAGATCTTTGAGCTGTTTATTGTATGTACTCGGGTTGTTGTACAGTGCTAGTTTGGTTTCTGCTGGAGACATAGTTCACCACGATGACTCGCTTCCGCAGAGACCTGGTTGCAACAATAATTTCGTACTGGTGAGAAAATTGATCCAGTCAGCTTTCATTTGCTCGTTTCTCTTTGGTGATACAGTACTCAGCTGTTTGTGTAGTTTAGGTTTCTGTTGGAAAATAAGGTCTGAATTGATCTGTTGATTGCGTAATTTTGTTGTTCTCGCCCCTATATTCATTCTAGCAGCGGATAGAGAAATTGGGTGTACAGACTCTAGATGAGCTTTTTGGAATTTGTATGTAATCAAATACTTAAAAAGGGTGTTTGTTCACAGCTTAAGTAGAGCGAGTAAGCAATACCCATTGGCTTACCTATAGGATCGTTTCTTGTCTCATGGGTTTGCGTGCGTGTGAATACTAAAGCAAGGGCAAGTAATTGTTGTGGAATTCGATTTGATTTGAGGAAATGGGATATAGATCTGGAACTCTGCATTAAGCCAATTTGGTTTCCCTGTCATGTGACGTCTACGTTTGAACATAATTCCATGGACAGGTCAAAGTCCCAACTCGGGTGAACGGGACAGAAGACATGGAGTACGTTGGTGTTGGAGCCAGGTTTGGGCCAACCTTGGAATCAAAGGAGAAACATGCCACCCTCATAGAACTTGCTATTGCAGACCCTCCTGATTGTTGCAGCACGCCCAAAAACAAGGTTGAACATTTTTTTTTTTTAAAGTATTGTATGTAATAAATACTTCTTCTTTGTGTATTTCCAGCTTTAATTCTGGTTCATTCTCTTTTGGTAGCTTACTGGAGAGGTCATTCTTGTTCAGCGTGGTAATTGCAGTTTCACCACCAAAACAAAGGTAGCTGAAGCAGCTGGTGCCTCAGCCATTCTTATTATAAACAACAGCACAGGTAATCGACAGAACCTTGTCTGTAGATATTCCTTCCAGACAATTAGAATCTCTTGTTATCCTCTTGAGTTTTGCTAGGTTGAATGCTGTTTTTGCAGATCTTTTCAAGATGGTATGTGAGAAGGGTGAAAACGTTTTAGATATAAATATTCCTGTTGTTATGCTTCCTGTTGATGCTGGTAGGAGCCTGGAGGGTACCGTTCACAATAACTCCATAGGTAAATCCATTTTTACTTCACCACAGATTGGTCGTCTTCCTGAGTTATTATTGTCCTGTACCATATCTTATTCTAGTTTTCGCTCTCTTTTTTCATCCTTGTTGTTGTTGACTGTATTTGTTCAGTTACTTTGCAGCTCTACTCGCCGAAACGTCCAGCAGTTGATGTGGCTGAGGTCTTTCTTTGGCTTATGGCTGTTGGTACCATTTTATGTGCTTCTTATTGGTCTGCGTGGACCGCCAGAGAAGAAGCTATTGAGCAGGACAAGCTGCTGAAGGTGGCATACAAATATGTTTAAACTTTATATTGTGGAACCTTTTAAGGAAAATGAAGTCCTTTCTCTCAGGCTTTTGTTACAAATGGTAAACTGCAGGACGGGTCTGATGAACTTTTGCAGTTATCAACCACCAGCTCTAGAGGTGTTGTTGAGATCACTGTGATATCAGCAATTTTGTTTGTAGTGATTGCTTCGTGTTTCCTGATCATGCTCTACAAGCTTATGTCATACTGGTTTATAGAGGTGTTGGTGGTACTCTTTTGCATAGGTGGCGTAGAGGTCAGAACGTTTATCCTGTGACCAATTTGAATTCATAGCAATACATAGTTGAATTCACCCTGTTACTCAGATTGAAACTTTTATTGGTGCTATCAGGGGCTGCAAACTTGTTTGGTCGCATTCCTCTCATGGTATGTATATTTCTTCTTCCTTTAATTTTTGTTCTACAACTTTGGTAAATGCCTGCAGACATTTTCCACTCGTTAAAAAGAAGAAAGTGAGACTGACATTGGATTTATTATAGTTTCAGATGGTTCCGCCGCATTGGAGAATCATACGTCAAAGTTCCTTTCCTGGGTGCTGTCTCGTACTTGACACTGGCCGTTTGTCCCTTTTGCATAACATCTGCTGTTATCTGGGCAGTTTACCGCCAAAGATCTTTTGCTTGGATAGGGCAAGATATCCTTGTAAGCACGCCTTTCTATCAATCTCTTAACTGGTGTTTGGTTGACCATTGTATGTGTGTAACAAATGACAGAAGATAGCAGCTTAATGTTGCTCTTTTTCGCTGACAGGGAATCTCGCTGATAATCACGGTTCTTCAGATTGTCCGGGTGCCAAATCTTAAGGTAATAATAGCGTCTGTAGCCATCTAATACCCATCTTTAACAACAGTATTAGTTCATTCAAAATTTAATGTTAACAGGTTGGAGTTGTTCTTCTCAGCTGTGCCTTCATGTATGACATATTCTGGGTTTTTGTTTCAAAATGGTGGTTCCGTGAAAGCGTGATGATTGTGGTAAGTGTTTCCTTGCATTTCCATTTGCTCCACAATGATGTGTTTCTTTTTTGTGGAGAAATGATGGCCCATTGTCGCTTCTCAACCTACAGGTAGCCCGTGGTGACAAAAGTGGAGAGGACGGCATCCCAATGCTACTAAAGATCCCACGCATGTTTGACCCTTGGGGTGGCTACAGCATCATCGGATTTGGCGATATCATCTTACCAGGGCTGCTTGTAACTTTTGCACTGAGGTTTGCGCTTCTACAACCCCCTCACGCTTTATGAGCCAGCCAGAGTAGCGGTTCTGATCGATATAGTATTAATTTGCAGATACGACTGGCTGGCAAACAAGAGGCTCAAGTCAGGATACTTCCTTGGGACGATGTCTGCTTATGGTCTAGGTATGACTAGGGAAGATGAAACAAACAAGAAGTTTCCAGAATCTGTTATAACTTGATAATTACTTGTCTTTCTTTGTATTTCATCAATCACAGGTCTTCTCATAACGTACATTGCCCTAAACCTGATGGATGGACACGGTCAACCAGCTTTGCTTTACATCGTCCCATTCATACTTAGTAAGCCCTTCCTTGATTAGATATTTGGAAACCAAAAGCTTTGAAGCACATGGAATCTGAGAATGCTTGTGGCAATGTCAGGTACTTTGATAGTGTTAGGTCACAAGAGAGGAGACCTCAAGACCCTATGGACAACAGGGGAACCCGAGAGGCCATGTCCTCACGTTCGTCTGCAATCTTAAAAAACCCCCAACATCAGATCAGATGAAGATCAGATCCACATTCTCTCTAGTTTTATTGTTAATACACACTTGTTAGGTCTATATATATGTATCTCTACCTCCCTCCCTTACAGAACGAAACAGAGCAACTACACACCCTTTTGTCTTTTTTTACTCTTATTTAACCTCCACTTCTTACTTTCTTACGTCTTCCTCCTACTCCAAGAGAAAATGAATAGACTGGGTGATATTGTTTTTTATCCTATAGGCTATAAACCGACACAAATGTCTTTTTTTTTTATAAATTACTTAGTTGTCAAATTAGGATATACTATGTTTTTTTAAAAAAAAAATCTACTTGTTTATTTTGCAACAAACAAAAAGCAGCTCCTAGTTAAACAACTTTACCTTGCTTCTTTGGCGAGATTGTAGAGAAGGAAGATCCGATGGGATATTTACAATGTGTGTTTTGTTGACAGAAGTTATCATAAGAGAAAATGTGGTTAAACAGGTTGAAAGATGTAATGATCATTCACATCCTAATCTTCAATAGATTTTCATTTCAGATTTGATGATACTGGTATGCTTTTTCTTTTTTATGAACCTTTATCCCTTTAAAATCGCAATACTGGATTTATATATTTCTAAAAAGTTATCATCATCTACTTAAATATTAATGGTGATTTCTCCCTTTTTCTTTCGAATATTCGTTTTGTATATTATATATCTCCCGAGTTGTTTGTTAATATCCCACCCATACATACGTAAAGAAACTTTAATAATTCAATTGATGGTACGAAATGAGTCGCGATGAAGCAATACAATAGAGATTCTCGGTTGTAAAGAGTGTCTCCGATCATCGTACTGAAGCAACATCTTACCAACTTAAAACATTTGAGTGAAGGAAAGCAATTAAAAGAGAAAGCAGACCATCTCGCTAGTCGCTACTCGGTAAGATCCTCCTCCTCTACTCCGATTTTCGAATTTCTCTAACTGGCGATTGAAATCCTTTGCCGTTTTCCAACGATTAGTGAAAGGGTTTGAACCTCTCCGCTGGGGATTGTTATGTAGTTGGCCTTTACTAGATGATCGAGGAACCCTTTGTTGCGTGACTAGGTTTCAACCTCATTATCTGTTTTTTAATTTATTTATTTAAAGAAACCCTTTGTTGCGTGATTAGGTTTAGTTAGCCTCCTGGGCTGTGATTGAGAGTTTTAAGGTAAACTCTATAGTATGATTTAGTGGTGAAAGCCTTTCAATGCCATAGACACTGAGCTTTTGACTGTGAGTCTGTTGACAGTGTGAATGGGAGAAGCAGCAAAGGCGGCATTCCTCGGGGGTCTCGTTGTGACATTCAAGGAGCAAATGCACACTGATGTTGTCGTCAAATCTGGTGAAGAAGGTCCTCCCATACCCTCTCACAAAGCCGTCCTTGTAACACTTCTCTCTATCTCTGGTTTCCAAGTTACACTTGACATCATTGTATATCTAAACATTCTTCAAAGTATCTCTCTCTGTTGTTTTTCTCGCAGGCGGCAAGATCAAAGGTCTTCAGGAACATGCTAGATTCTGATGAATGCAAGACCGCTTCCGAGGAATCAATCACACTCCCTGATCTCAACCACGAAGAGCTCAAGTCTCTCCTCGAGTTCCTCTACAGCGGAAACTTGAAAGCTCCATACAACCAATACCGAGCTCTCTATCTGGCTGCTGATAAGTACGACATCTCACATCTGCAAGACGTGTGCCGAAACCATTTCATTGCGTCTCTCAGCTCGAGGAACGTCCTTGACATCCTTGAGCTCGCCAGTATTCCTTCTGATACCATCTTGAAAGACGCCGCCATCAATCATGTTGTCAAACATATGGAAGAAGTGGTTTTCCCCATGAAATACGAGACTTTTGTGCAGAGGAACCCTGATCTGGGCGTCGAGATCACTCGGGCTTTTCTTAGACTGACCAGACCTCAAACCAAAGACCTTGGACCTGCTGTCTCCTATTTCAACCCCCCTCACCCTCGCATGTACTGATGAACAAATCAGCTTCTGTAAGAGCATATTTGTCTCTCACTTGCCCGTTCTTTCCTTTTCTTTTCTTCTAAGAGTGTGATTTTCCTTACAAAAGACTTCTTTATAAATTTAGTAAAGTAAATCTGTTCTACTATATTCTTTTATTACTGTTGTGTCGGTTAGAATTATAATCAAACATATTGAGTGGCAGGGAAGAGCCATACTCAACTCTTACATGGCTGAATCACACATTACATATGGAGTGACAAAATGGAAATTTTAAATTTCGGTTTCATATATTGTATTTGGCGTCTTTGTCATTTACTGTCATGTTGGCAACACTCAATATGGTTTAATTCATTTTATCTAACATGAAAAAGAGAGAGAAAAAAACTTTCTGACCATTTTCTTTTATACGCCCAAGCTGTGGGATCATCAGAAAAGACAAAAAAAGCGCAGTCCGTTCTATGGGAAGCGACAAAAAAAAGAGAGTCTTCAAAGTAGAAAGACAGTTTTTGTCAATACAGCTCAACTACCATTTACTCTTCACTTAAGTCTCGACTTCATCTCCTAGATGAGTCAATATTAGTTGCGTACGTTTAAGGGATTAGTGTGCGCTGTCTTGTTTGTTTTCTGCCCTAATCAGCATGTTCCTCCATTTGTCTTTAAGACCAGCCGAAGTACGAGTTTCGTGGAACACCATCTTTCCCATTTCTAGGATTTTCCTCCATGGCATGTTCATGTTTGCTTCTGCTGCATATGTCTCTACTCCCACCTGAGCCAACACATATCAAACAACTGTTTTTTCTCCAATTCATATGAAAAGGAATCTAGCTAGTGTTTGATTATACCTTGAGCATTTCTTCTTCTTCGTACGTCCAAAGTATCCGCCTTCTCTGATTATAATTGCTGAAAAACGAGACGTCCCTGCAAATCCCCATGAGGTAGCCTTTGTACGTTCAATTTGGACATGAGAGAATATACAAGCACTCATCATGTTCCAGTGAATGAATGAAAAAGACCAACCTCACTGGCTTTGGCTTAGCCACTTTAGCTATCGGCTGGGTTACATCTTCTCCATTTTGGTCGTTGGTTGACTCACTTAACGAGAAACCCCTATCAATAGCTTTCAATACTACCCTTCCTCTCCTACTTGGCTTCTCATTCCGTCGGACATGGTCGTTTTCTTTCCCTGCACACGTATTGGCGCTAGTTTGATCCTGAGCTGTTTCATCATCATCAGTGTCTGTGAAGTTGTCTGTCGAAACCCTCTCTTGGGATCCTAATGCTTCTTCAACCTCGTCAATCACTTTATCCTCAGCTGATGGCAAGTTCTCACCTCTTGATTTATCAGAATCCTTGTCAGCTTGAACACGTTCCCCTTCGGATGAATAGGCATCAACCTCTCCAGGCTCTCCTTGTAAATCTTGATCACCTCCAACAACGTCTCTTGTGTCAACTGAGTGCTCTTGGATCCCATTCCCATCACCGGCTAATAAGGTTGTATCCTCTTGACTTTTGGGAACACTATCCTTTACTTCATCCCTGGTTATCATCTCTTTGGCTGCCTTTTCCTCCCCAAGTGCCTTCTCTTCCAGTAGTTTGGATTTGAGAGCTAGCGTGTTGAAGCAGCAATAAGGACAGTAAAAGGGCTTCGCAAGATCCTCCTCGGTACTACCCAGCTCAGCCTTCAGACACTCGATGTGGAATGAAAGAAGACAGTCAATCCCAGAACAACGGGAAACCCACTTGTCTGAAATATCACATACAATACAAGCTTCTAAGTTGAGCGATCCTCCACTACCATTCTCACTTGTCACAGGACAATGTCCCTCAAAAGTAACTGGAACCATCTCAACATCCGCATCACCGCCATATGTTCCATCCTGTGAGACAGAATTTATGAAGAATACATCAAACTTAAGAGCCTATTAAAGATATTCAAACTTGAGAATTAGCCCAACATAATCAAAACAAAACAGAGTTAAGCGGCAAACTGAAGCATCCATCAAATTAGTGAAGATTCTCGAATCAGAAGCTTTTCGACAGACCAAGTCTCAAAATCAGCCATCTCGAACAATTAAATCTACAAATAAGCCAAACATTCGCGAATTTCGAAGCTTATCAGATTTCATTCAGCAGCTAAAAAAAGGAAACGGAATGTTACAACTGAGTAACATCTTCCTACGGAATGATTGTGGGAAGAACAATGTCTAAACAAGAGAAGGGTGAATCGTAAGCCCAACCGGCTGTATTCGTTCAAGAGCTAGCGAAACTACAAAGCTCTCTGGTCACCACATGAAGAAATCGAAAGCTCTAGTAATTACCGGAAGGGATGGATAGGGATCGAGAGACTTGCGCAAAGACCTAACCGGAAACGATTTCGATCTCATCATCATCTTCTTCTGCTTCTACACTTTCTCTCGTGATCTGTGTAGACGAGAGTGATCCGTACAGGAATAGAAAGATGGGCTTTTGTCTTTCTCTCACTGCCTTTTGAAAGTTGAAACCAATGATCCCTTAATTCTCCGGCTCCAAAGGAAGGGACCATTTTTATTTTTATTTTTATTTTTACTTTTAAAATCAAATTGTCTGGTTTGTTTCTTGCCCCCTTTTTGTTTTCCTTTAAATTTCTAACTAGAAAAATAAACCAATCAAATCATATGAAGTATTTATTTCTACTCTCTGTTTCTAATTATAGGCACGTGGATTTGTCCAAACCGTCAACAAGTATATTCTTTAGTGCCGTTGGGAAAAATAAGCCAAATAAATTCATACTTTGTTAATTCAGTTTTCGTCAGTTTATGTTATTGTCTCGTTAGGATTTTTAATCAAACATGTTGTATAAGATTGGCAGGGAAAGAGTCAATATATTCTATTTAAATAAAGCTTTACTCAAATATTGTAGCTACGAAATTAATGACAAGAAATTTAAAATTTTGATACCTATATCTTTGGCTTCTTAATTATAACGTTTTGACAATAATGTTTGAGAATAAACAATAGATATATGGTTTTCATTTTATTCAAAGGTAAAGAATAGTAGTAATATATAGTTTGGAGACAGAGTCGTGGGGATGTAGCAGTAGTAACCTAAATTAATGAGCATCCTGAATAGGAGTAAGCGGCATTTTGCCACCGTAGATGTCTGGAAGTTGGGCTTCGTCGATGTTTTCAAGCAGAGTGGCAGTGAGTTTCTTGTTCTCCACGAAAACAATCTGCCAACAAAACAATACTGTTTTTAAAAAAAAAGTCCAAGTAGTAGTAACAAAACAAAACAGTCTCTCTGAAATTACCTTTTTCTTGGTGTTGCTGTCGATAATAGGGTATATAACTTTCCAGGCGGTCATGAAAACGTACGGGGCATGGACTATGTAGAGTTTGCCTAGTCTCTCTGGGTAGCAATCCTGAAGAGATCAAAAAAGAAAAGGTTTTATAAACCTTCATATTTTGGCTCAAAAACATAGAAAATGTGATAGGATGTAACCTGCAAAGTGGATAGAGCAGCAATGTAGCCCCGGACGTCACAATTAGAATATCCCCATCCTTGGAGATCTGCTATGGTTACAAATTTCTCTTGACCTCTTGGCATCCTAAGATTAATTTTTTTAAAAAAGAAAATTAACAATAATGCATTAGAGGCATGGTCTGATATATATAATTAACCATATAAAAGTTATCAATTGATAAATGAGAATAACCTTGCACATATCTTCTCCAGCGTGTAGACTACAAAACCTGCCCAAAAACATATACAAAGGAGAGGAAAAGTGAGGCAGGCAGGGATGGATGATTGAAACAGTAAGATACAAAATGGGTTGTTGACTCTCACGCTTGAACTCCTCGGGGTTGCCTTTGGAAGGGTTATGTCTGTTCCCAATGGCAACAACGATAGGTCGACCAGTCTTGTCATGACCCTGCATACACACTTTCTTGTGCGACAGATCATTCGCAATCTCTGTTTCCGGTATGTGGCCCTTCGGTAGAACGCTTCTTTTCCAAGTCAGGTACTTGAGGAACAGCGTTGAAGCCTTCTCAATGTCGTGGTCACGCGCCCGCAGAAACCTCCGTATCATCAGGTCATCCACCTCCTGCCCCCATATTCCAACCATCTCTCAATCATTAGGCATTATTAGGCAACAACTATAAGTATGCATTTTGCTTCCACAGTTTCTAATTGCCACTTTTTACTAAGTCAACCCAATTTTTGACCTTTTTTCGACAAAAATCGATTTGAACAAGATACAAATTCGCACGGACCTTAGTGTCGGGATCTTGTCTGTCGCAAAGAGCTCTCATGATTCCTACTTTGCTCCTCTCGATCTCATCTTCGATCAACGGCCCTTTCTCGTGCTCAGCTTCTGCTGCTGCTGCTGCTCCTACACTCACCGCCACTTGCAAAGAGTTCTCCTTCGTTTCCATTCCGGCGAGCGAGGAGCAGATCTCGAGATTGGTGAGAAAGTGAGAGAGGGAGAGAGAGAGCGCGGTTTCGATCGATCATAAATGAAGACAGCTGAAGGGGGGGAAAGTATCATTCAATACGGTTGGGCTGCTCTCCCCTTCGACGGCGACACCCACCTACTCGACTCATTTATTGACTTGTTCGTTCTACTAGTACACCTCACTGAGGAGGAAGACGATCTCGCCACTCAACTCTCAGCTATTGGGCCTCTCTTGGGCCTACCTGGGCCTATCTTGGGCCTGCGGGCTTCTAAAATGAACAAGCGAGGATCATATTCTTATATTTAAATTTTTAACCAATCAAATTGTTTAATGCTAGTGGTTTGACATCGAAAACATGCGCAACATGCATGTCTAGTGAGGTAGTTTCTATTTTGTTTATTAATTCATATATTTAAATAATTTAAATTCACGATTTTCAAAATATATATCGTATCTTCTTCATATCTTCCCACATGTATAAACGGGATCCGCTTCGTTGCAAAATACTACTTTTGCTGTCTTTTGATTGCAAATCATTGCTTAATGAGTAAATAATGCCAATGTAATACAAAATAATGCCAATGTAATTCATAATTAATTTATATACTGTTCGGTTCACGCCTCAAACAAAAAAAGATATTCGTCAATGTAAATTCTGCTCTAGATTATTGGATGAAATAAATTTAATGAAATGATATGTAGTGTACAACCAGAAGCAAGCGAATCGAGGATGTCACGGATATTTCATATTTGCTGGTGCCACGTTTCGAACTTATGTTGGTTTGATAGCTCTGTGACTCTGATCGTCATTAAAGGTGTTCTTGAATCTTAATCATCGATTAGTGTAGGTTTGGATTATTTTTTTGAAACCGGCTTGATAAACATTCTTTTGAAGCGTTTATGAATTCTGAAAATAGACTTTCAGCATAGTATAACAAACAGTTACAAAATAACATAATTATCGACAACATAGTTTTTAGATTTTATTTGTTTCGTTTGGTTGAATGGATTGAGAAAAACAAAGTAAGTGGGAGTAGGGAAACGAACATGTGATCACAGATAGCAAAACACATTTCTGAGCTGTTCCATCTTTTCATTGTATATAACTATATATGTAAATGGAAACTTAACTCCAATTTTTCTGTTTGACCAAAGAAATAACTCCAATTTCTCTTTCTACATATTTTTCTAATGTACGTGTTCGAGCTTGACCGTGAACTTTCCGAATTGAAAAAAACTCAGCAAATTTACAATTATATTATTTTGTCGTTATTGCAGGTAATACTTTTTTAGTCGACCAAAAAAAAATATACAGGTAATACTTTGTTAAAAAGATTTTAAAAAAATTCCAAGGCCCGGCACAATAGTCCAGACGATTTGCTTTTCATAAAGCAATCACTTCCCCACACACTTCTTAGTTCTTACCCTTTTTTCCTCCAACGGTCGGAAGTAATTGTTTTTTACCGTCGGCAAATCAAAAGTTATCCCATTTTGGTCAAAACGTAACATTTTTTTTTTTTTTTGCATTTTAACTTTTGTACATAGCCTGTAAAGCCTATACCATCCAAGAGAAATCGGGACCCACTTTATTTGTTGGCAAAACCTCAACGAAAAAAGACAACTCACAGAACTATATCACTCCATGATTAACTTTTGTTTTACATCTAAAACAATCATAGTTCCCTCCTGCTTCATACTTACGAGTTATATACATCTAAAACTATGCTGCTTCGGTGCATTAAGAAACACAAACAATTAAAAACAAAAAAATCTGCCGTCATGATAAAATTTAAAATTCGAGAAATGATAAATTAGCTCAGACATGCTATCTTTTGGGTTTAAAAGTATATATTTATATTTATAGTAATAAACAGAATTATTAGCGTGGGTTTTGTTACATGATTAAAGATCATAATGTCTCTATGTTTTATGAGGATCATCGTTATCCATGATTCCCTGTAACTTTCATTTAAAAACAAAAAGTCATATTTTCGAGACGTTAAATTCTCTCTCCTCTATAAAGCCACTCTTTAGCCACTCGCTATTATCCATTGCAGAAAAAGAAAAGCTCAGAAGAACTTTAACGTTTACAGAGAGAGAAATGGAAGGGAAAGAAGAGGATGTGAGAGTGGGAGCTAACAAGTTCCCAGAGAGGCAGCCGATAGGAACATCGGCTCAGACGGACAAGGACTACAAGGAGCCACCACCTGCGCCACTGTTCGAGCCAGGCGAGCTGAGTTCGTGGTCGTTCTGGAGAGCCGGGATCGCTGAGTTCATAGCCACGTTCCTCTTCCTGTACATCACAGTTCTGACAGTGATGGGAGTGAAGAGAGCCCCAAACATGTGTGCCTCTGTTGGAATCCAAGGCATTGCTTGGGCTTTTGGTGGCATGATCTTTGCCCTTGTCTACTGCACTGCTGGCATTTCTGGTAAATCAAACATCTCCTCCTTGGTTTCTTCGATGAAAGCATCTGCATAATTCTTCATGTTTTGAGTAAACAATATATTCTTCTGTTTTGGTTTTGTGTTATGAAGAAAGCACAAACACTTGATTTTGATGCCCTGCTTCACTGCTCTTTGTATGTGTTTCCAGGTGGACACATAAACCCAGCGGTGACATTCGGTCTCTTCTTGGCTCGGAAACTTTCTCTGACGAGAGCTGTCTTCTACATCGTGATGCAATGCCTCGGAGCCATCTGCGGCGCCGGAGTCGTCAAGGGTTTCCAGCCAACGCCGTACCAAACTCTCGGCGGCGGAGCCAACAGCGTCGCTCACGGCTACACCAAGGGATCCGGACTCGGCGCTGAGATCATCGGAACCTTCGTCCTTGTGTACACCGTCTTCTCCGCCACTGACGCCAAGAGAAGCGCTCGCGACTCCCACGTTCCGGTAATCCTCCCGATTCGTTTGTGTCTTTTCCTTTTGGGAAATTCGGTGTTATTAATTTGGGGGGGGAACTTGCAGATTTTGGCTCCGCTCCCAATCGGATTCGCTGTGTTCTTGGTTCACTTGGCGACGATTCCGATCACGGGAACCGGAATTAACCCAGCTCGGAGTCTTGGAGCTGCAATTATCTACAACAAGGACCACGCTTGGGACGACCACGTGAGCCCCATTCTCTATTACGAGATTCGGTTTGCCAATTCGGTCGATATGTTTATTGACTTTCGATTTTGATTCTGGTTGCAGTGGATTTTCTGGGTTGGGCCATTCATCGGAGCTGCTCTCGCGGCTCTCTACCACCAGCTTGTCATCAGAGCGATTCCTTTCAAGACCAGAACCTGATTTGCTGCCTTCTTCTTCTTCTCATCTTTGTTTCTTTTTTTGCGTTTCTTAATTTGGTGTTTCTGTACTGAGCCTCAAAATATTTGACAACTCGTTTATGTTTTATTTAATGATTTTGTTTGGGGTTCTCTATTTTCTTCTAAATGGGCTACCGTAAATGGGCTAAATTTTGCCTGCAATCCGATAAGATAATACATTACTATGGTTTAGCTTCGGTTTGGGCATAAATTTAGCCCATTTACAGTGGACCTCCGTCGGTCTAAATAATTTAGGCCTAGTATTGCCCTTTTTGCTATATATCTCGTATCAACATAATCTTCACACAAAATACTACATGTGGACAAGAAAAACTAATTACATTCTGATATTATCATCAACAAAAAGTTTTACACGAAATATTCTTGTCCAAGAAAGTTAAGTCGAAAAAGTCATAAATTGTTACGATGGATGGCCAACCAAGTTGAAAGAATACATTCTTGATTATTCTACAAGGTTTAACTAATCTCCTCAACGATTAGCGATTTTCTTCTCAGAAATTATATTTCAAGCACATACTATTACTACGTGTATTTATACTTCTATTTTCATGTTTCGGACTATATAAGAGATACGAAACGACGATACCCATATACGCATAATAATATATTAATGTATGTGCGTATGTAACGAACCCATAAGTATGACTCTATGTATGAATGCATGGCTCAAGGGCGATCCAACTCCCAACCATCTACCATTTTATTAATAATATCATTGACCATATTAGAAGAAACCAAAATCGTATTTAATTTTTTAGTTAAAGAAAAAAAAAAGGAGACTCAAGCTGACTAAAAATATGGTTAGTCGACAATGCTCAAGAAAATATTTTGACTTGTCTGAAACTACTAACCTGTGCTATCAATATGTATGTGACTTTAAGTTATAGCCATAGGTAAGTATACTCAGTTACATCTCACTCAATTAATTATACGGCATTCTACTTAGGTGAGCTACTAAGCTACTTTCTTTCATGTCAATCAACAAACAAAAAAAATACTTTTCTTTTGGTCCTTAATCGCGTGGCCCAAAGTACTTATTTTACACATTGATCCTCTATTGATAAAATTAACCAATTTTCAATATATTTACAGATACAATTACAAAAATTTAAGTGAATTACATACTGAATAGTATAACTCATAGGCATATTAATGGATCTGATAGTATAGCAAACATGAGACGTGAGTCGAAAGCGCTAATTATAAAATTTACAAATGTGAATAAAGTGAGAATGAGGGTTAATATTGTTAAAAGTAATAGTATGAGGATAAATTTGTAAAGAGGACACAGAGATTGGAGTGAAAGCTTAATTTGTCAGTTGAGCGATTAACCACTGGAATGCGTGCGCATTTAAAACAGAGAGCTTCCCTCTCTTTCTTTCCAAAAACAAAAGGGAAGGTTTATTATCAAGAAGAGAGAGAAAGAAAATGTCTCCGGCGAAGAAGAGCCGAAGCTTTCCTCCGTTATCAGAGTGTAAAACTGGAGAGTATGAATCGATCGCAGCGGATCTCGACGGGACTCTGCTTCTCTCGCGAAGCTCCTTCCCTTATTTCATGCTCGTCGCCATTGAAGCCGGCAGTCTCTTCCGTGGATTGATCCTCCTCCTATCTCTCCCGATCGTCATCATCGCTTATCTCTTCGTCTCCGAAGCTCTCGGAATCCAAATCCTCATCTACATCTCCTTCGCCGGAATCAAGATCCGCGACATCGAACTCGTCTCTCGCGCCGTTCTTCCACGGTACCGATCTCCGATCCATGTCTGCATATTCGCTCGATTTCCAGAGTTTTGTTGAGTTTGGGTCTTTTGTTAATTAATTAGGTTTTACGCGGCGGATGTGAGGAAGGACAGCTTTGAGGTGTTTGACAAGTGTAAGAGGAAGGTGGTGGTGACTGCGAATCCGATAGTGATGGTGGAGCCATTCGTGAAGGACTATCTGGGAGGAGACAAAGTTCTTGGAACAGAGATCCAAGTTAACCCCAAAACGATGAGAGCCACTGGTTTTGTGAAAAAGCCAGGCGTTCTTGTTGGTGACCTTAAGAGATTAGCCATCTTGAACGAGTTCGGCGACGAGTCACCGGATCTTGGCCTCGGTGACCGGACCTCCGATCACGATTTCATGTCCATTTGCAAGGTACGTCTTCACTATCTCTCGTTTGTTTTGCCTATCCAAAAACGCTTAATTTAGGTGGTAAATTAATTCGTAATCAAAGAAATAAATGCAGTAGGACCTATAAATGCCGCGTACGCCTTCACAAGATCTATTATTATTATTATTCACTCTTTCTCGCCCAAATGATTTTATTTACTTTGAATGTGTTATTATATAAACGCCTGAAAAAAAATTAGACTAATAAGTCTTACAGTGTTTTAGAAATATTTCTTTCTTTTTTTTGGTTGAACCGAACTATTTCTTTTTATTATACAAAACTCATATGCATACGTACATATATGTGAATCTAGGTTAGGAAAGTAAATCAGTAAACAGTGACAGAAAGTAGATATAGTGAGTTTTCATAAATGCGTCCAAACCTATCACCCAACCACACCATCCCCACATAAGTTGGACGGTCCATTAAATGAACCAAAACCCATTTTACTTTCAATATTTTACCAAACTTCTTACTATAATTGTGATAAGACAGTGATATAACGACTTGCTTTTTTCCTTAACAGGAAGGATACATGGTGCATGAGACCGAATCAGCCACAACAGTCCCCACAGAGCGTCTCAAGAACCGCATAATCTTCCACGACGGCCGTCTTGTCCAACGTCCGACGCCGTTGAACGCCTTGATCATTTACCTTTGGCTTCCGTTCGGCTTCATGCTCTCAGTCTTCCGCGTCTACTTCAACCTCCCTTTACCCGAACGCTTTGTTCGTTACACTTACGAGATCCTTGGGATTCACCTCACTATCCGTGGCCACCGTCCTCCGCCTCCTTCCCCCGGCACACCCGGAAACCTCTACGTCCTCAACCACCGCACCGCCCTTGACCCCATTATCATCGCCATTGCTCTCGGCCGTAAGATCTCATGCGTCACTTACAGTGTTTCTCGCCTCTCCCGCATGCTCTCACCCATCCCTGCCGTCGCTCTCACCCGAGACCGTGCCGCTGATGCTGCCCGCATGAGGAAACTCCTCGAGAAAGGTCATTACCATTATTATCCGGAACAGAGTAACTCTGTTTTTCTACATAATTGGTATCACAATCTCGAATCTGAGAAAACATATTACACTTGAATACATAATTGTTCTCGTTATCATCACATTATACAACATATCACCGGTCATATCATTTGTAGTGTCAGATACCTTTCGTATATAGAAAAGTAGAAAACGCTAATCTTTTATGCTCTTAGCTTTCTACACCTAATTTGTATCAGCACTATCGTTATAAGTCTTTTCCTATTTCCAACAGGTGATTTGGTGATCTGTCCTGAAGGCACGACTTGTAGAGAGCCATATCTACTAAGATTCAGTGCTCTATTCGCAGAGCTAAGCGACCGGATCGTGCCTGTAGCCATGAACTGTAAGCAGGGGATGTTCAACGGGACGACAGTGAGAGGTGTAAAATTCTGGGATCCTTACTTCTTCTTCATGAACCCTAGACCTAGCTACGAGGCCACTTTCTTGGACCGTCTGCCTGAAGAAATGACGGTAAACGGCGGAGGAAAGACTCCGTTCGAAGTTGCTAATTACGTTCAGAAGGTGATTGGGGATGTATTGGGATTCGAATGCACTGAACTTACAAGGAAGGATAAGTATCTGTTGCTTGGAGGCAACGACGGCAAGGTTGAGTCTATCAAGACCAAGTCCAAGGAGTAAAAACCCATTTTATTACCGTTTGCTAGTATTTTACTTGGGGTGAATTGAAGTTAGATCTTTTTAGTTTTCATGATTATTATTTTTTTTTTTTTATGAATATGCTCTAGACAATGAATTACATTTGAATTAATATAGTTTACTTTTCCTAATATTTTGGAATGATTAAAATTAGTATATACACTAAAATATAGTTTTAAATAGAGAAGATAAATAAATAAAACCCCAACTATTAGATACAAATCCTATAAAGTATATTGTCTTTCACAACTGTATTAATCACATGATCTTAGAAGAGTTTGTGCCTAAGTGGCTAAGTTGTATGCCATGGTATCAATTTTCTTCTTGATGATGGTATCAGAATGATATACCATTAACGGCATTCATCTCAAGCGAGAGCAACGGTATGATATCAACTGGCATGGAAATTTAAATGGTATGCCACAAAAGATATACACATTAGCAGATATGGGCATCTCTTTCCATACAACGTTAAGAAACTGATCTCTATATATAGTTTTCTTCCTAATATATATGTTGCAATTTGTACCCCATTATAAAACAGAAAGAGAAGTTAAAACTAAAATATGAAAAACTGTTTTTTTTTGTTTGTTATGCATAAAAAGCTAATGAAGAAATAAAACTTTTGAACAAAGGAGAATAGCTTGTGAGATGTATTACTCGAAGATGAAAGCTGATTTACTGATTTGATGACTTTACATGCACAGACCTGACCATTATATATTAGTTAAGAACAAATTTCTCTTCACCAAATCTTCAATATACACTCCCTAGAGCTTATTTTAGCATCACTTCTTCGTTGTAATCGTTGATTCAACTTCTTGATAAGATCATATTAACAGCCCTATTCAATAGACATCTAGTTTCTCTTTGTTTCCTTGTGAAAACTACAGCAATTCTCTTTTATTAATAATTTTTTTTTAACACACTTGTTAATTTACCAAGTAAAATGTAGTACTTATTTTTGGACTATATATATGCTCTGGTTACAAACTTACAATAATTTCGTTAAAAGAAAATCCAAAAGTTTACAAAAAAAGAAAACAACCCGGTAAATTACTAATTGGAGTATATATATGCTTACAGTTTCATATTGAACAGAAACCAATATCGTATTTCTATCCAATTGATTTCCTGGCATAAAAAATGTGTATGTATAAATCAGAGGCCTTATTGGGCCTCTTAAGCCACCGTAACACCCGTATTATAGTAAACGGTGACGCCTTCACCAGCGACGCCGTTACATTTGCCGTTAACGACACCGTCTCTCTTCGCCACCACTAGACTCTTGATGATTCCTTCGAGATCCCTCTTATGCAGATAAACCAGAAGTCCGTTCTTCATAAAGAGCGTCAACGACATCTTCTGTTCCACTCTGTGCCCCGGAACCACCGTGAGCCGGTGTCGGAGGAGCACCGCCGCCGCGATTGTCTTCATCTGAAGATACGCCAAGTCTTTTCCCAGGCAAATCCTTGGTCCGGCGTTGAATGCCACGAACCGGTATTGATCGTGATTGATGAATTTCCCGTCGATCGGCGAGATCCATCTCTCCGGATTAAACTCAAGACAATCTTCTCCCCAAGTCGATTTCATCCTCCCCGCCGCGTAAATCGAATAACTCACCGAAGATCCCGCCGGAACGAAAGTACCGTCCGGTAAAACGTCGTCGTTCTCGACGTGCTTGGAATCTTCCGGCACCGACGGGTAAAGCCTGAGCGTCTCCGAAAGCGCCGCCTTGAGGTAAACCAATCGGTCGATTTCGTCAAATCCTAACGGCTCCTTCGTCCAAGACGTGACGTCATCAATGCCACGCGTCTCGATCAGAACGGAGCAGATCTCGCGGACGATTTTGTTCTCAACGGTTGGATGCATCGTGATAAGCCAGAAGAACCAGCTCAGCGCAACGGATGACGTGTCACGTCCAGCTAAGATGAAGTTGAGCGCCACGTGTTGGAGGAATGTGTCGCTGTACGATTCTTTCTTCTTCATCATGAAACGCGAGAGGAGATCGTCGTGTCTCTGGGCCCCACTTTCTTGCTGACTCATCAACTCTTGCTTACGTGTATTTATGACCTTTGCTAGATATCCATCAATTTCTTCCAAGCTTCGACTCAAGCTGACTTCTAAGCCGAGTCCAAGCCATTTCTTCAGCTTCCACAGAAACTCCGGCAAAATAAACCGTTGAAGCGAGGCTTCTGTGGCTCGGTCAAAAGCCGAGGCAAAACCATTCTCGGGAAGCCCCGGCGCACAGGTCCTCGTGTCCTTACCGAACGCCAATCCGCAAATGTTATCAAATGTGAGCCGGAGTATCAAGTCCTGGAGATCAACCGGCTCGGATTTGGCTTGAGCCGATTCAAGCATTGGACAGAACCGGAGCTTAATTCCTTGGTTGACCCACCGACCCATGGCTTGCCGCAACGTCCTGCATCAAAAATTAACAATACAAAACCGAATATAAGTATTGATAAACCGAAGACAATCAACGGTTCGATTTGATTATATAATATAGTAATTAACCCTTAAGAATGAATGCTAACCAATAGATTGGGTTGGTTCAATTATAATCCTAATGCAAAACCAAGACTAAACAGACGGGTTGTATATACATATTAGTGAACCGGAGAAAATAGATTGAAGAACTGATTATATATCAAGATAGGAATTGAATAGTGAAATTCACTCAAGGGAAACCAGTAGATTTGCTTCAATTATAAAACAAACGCATGATGGATGAATTTGATAAAATCAGTATTAAACCGAGCGGTTTGGTAATCATGCAGGCACCTCGTAGTGAATTCGAGAGCGGCGGTTTTGCGTTGGAAGAGCCAGGTGTCACCGTCACAGTTGAAAATACCCTGACCGAGAAGGTCGTGGAAGACGGATTGCCATGTAGGACCTTTAGGGTAGTTATCGAACCGGGTCTTGAGCATGTGTTCGAGATTCTTCGGGTCACACGTGACAGTCACGAGACCTTGCTTCCTCGCCAAGAAAGGCACGGCGCAGATACAAGTCTGGTAAGTGCCACCGCACGCACGGAGGTTCTCGGTGATCCATTCATGCATCCTGTCACGCTGCTCTATCAGACCAGGAAGACTGCCCAATACAGGCCAGACACGTGGGCCCTTTAGCCACCTTGAGATCCTCTTGAACCATAGCCAATACGCTGCGACGACCGCGACAAGAAGCATCACATTGGATATTTCCATATTGCTCTTTGATTACTATTTCCTGGGAAACCAGATAAATAAATCAAATTTTCCCAGGAAAGAATATGAATGTGCTGAATGAGAAGAGAAGAGATAAAGTTGGTTCCAAATGAATGATATTTCCGGAAATTTTTATAGGGTGTAAATGAGGAAGAAGCTTCTCTCTGATTCACAATCTGCCACACCGCAACTATCAGAATCAAACTCTCATTAATGGTTCCGCGGTTATCGTTGAGATATATTGGTTTATATATATAATGAGAGATTTGGAAGTCAAGAAGTGGTAAAGTGGTGCTTTATGCTTTGCTGGTACCTAATTTTGCAGCGAAAGGAATACTCGCATTCAATGAAACTCATTAAATGATCATATAGTATGTATATATAGATGCATGTTTTATGTAGATGCGTGGTGAATTAAATGATATTAGTTGAGAACATAGGGCACAAAAAAAGATGGTGGGGGAAGAAGAAGAAGAAAAAGTCGTTTATTTTTTAATTAATTTAGAAGTTTAGGGGCTAAAGGTTAACACATGTTTGGTTTGGTGGTAAGATAGGTTTTACGATCTGATCTTTTATAGGTGCAGCTACAAGTGATATTTCTGTTTTTGGTTTGGTTTTTTCAGTTGCTATATAGTTTGAAAATATTTGGTTTGTTTTGGAAAATCAAATGAAAGTTAAACTGAAGAAAACTAGATATCTAAAGCTGGATATCTATCAATTTATGTATCAGTACAGTTTTAATTCGGCTTGGTTCAACTTTTCTTTTTAGGTACATTTATACACATATTAAATGGTTAATGTTAAGTTTATAAATAAGCTAGGCGAGAACTCACGTTTTAACAAAAAAAAAAAAGGTGAGAACTCACGTATATAAATGGTTCAGAACAAAGGTCTATAATTCATTTTTATTAATAAGAAACATTTTGATTTTTCCTTAAGAAAACTTTCCTCGTTTTGGGTTATCGGTTTTGATATTTGGTAAGCAGCTCGAGACCTAGACTAGTATTTACTATAGGAAGAAACTTTTCTATGAGTTTCTTCTCGTTAAGCCTACTAAAATCACTTCCCGTGTCACTATTTTGACTTTTTGGTTTCTCTTTTTAATGCCTTTTTTCTTTTATCTTGGATTTTTTACTGATAAACTGAAAAAAAAAGTGGGACAATATTGCCGCGGAATAATAAGTAAGAAAAGATGTCATTGAATGGGACGTGAAAGTCAAGGGGTGATGCTGACTTTGGTTGCTCTGCAACTCGTATTGCTGCTTCTTTTTGCTGGTTTTAACATCATGACAGTGCTCCATATATAAGTATGTGTCTTATTTTACTTTGATGATTTAGAAAATGCCAAAAGGGTAACAGAGTAGTATATATACATCAATGTACATGGAACATGCAAATTGTTTATTAAACATTTCCTAAGTTTTTATTAATTTTCCCTAAGCATATATAGATACAATACTAGATTCTCCAATAAAAATGAATGTGAAAAAACAGAACCTGTGATTTGTGGGTATAAGCAAATGAACGCAAAGGTAGGTGTGTAGTAGTGCAGAGTAGATGGCTTAGCAACCAAACAATTATAGAAAATCATTTATCACTCATGGTTGACTCTCTCTGTTTTTTTTTTTTTTTTTAATCGAAATTACTGAAGGAGACAGGACATCTGTGTTATTATTATTTTATGGGCATTTTAATTGGTTTTGTAGAGGATCGAATATACGCAAGGAAATCAAAACCGTTGTAAAGCCTCTGTTTTGCTCTGTCTTTCCTGTTATATGGCTTTTGGTGGCTTTGTTGATTTATTTTGAGAGAACTCTTTTTGATTAATGAATTTTATAGATGACATAAAAAAAGATTTATGGAATGAAACCATGACATTATAAAATTTATCTACTTTCTAGGCCACCTAGTTAATTTGCATTTGCAAACCCAAACAACTGTCACAAAACATCAATCTGAATTAAAAAAAAAAAAAAAATCACCAGCTGAAACTGATTGATTCAAACCGAAGATTCTCAGCCGAACCAAAGGAACAAATCTTTGCAACCTCTTGTCTCATCTTCCTTGGACCACACACAAGAACTCCCACGCTCGAGCCCTCTGAACCAACTATAAGCTCTGCTTTCACACAATGAGACACTTAGAAAAAGTGAGAAACAACTACAGCCTGCTGCTATATATAATCTTAAATAGACTTACTGTTGAGATCAGGCTTTTCTCCGTAATGAATGCTGGTGGATTGCGACAGCAACTGTTGTGGCGAGCTCTCCATCATCAAGGAAGACAAGACGTCAACGTTTGGGGCATTTTTCGTATAATACTTGTTTTGGTTATAACACAACACAGCGAACGTAGACGTAGCCACCACGCTGACGGAGATTGCTAGAAGGTAAATGATAGATTTAGAAGCCGAAGTGTACTTGGAGCTTTGATCGATTGGGTAGATATGATATCTTGTGATGAATCCGATGATGATAATAAAGATAATGAATGAAGATGAGAGGATTGTGGCGAGACAGAGCCAGGAGTTGGGTCCGAGGACTGGTGAGATGGGTTGGTCTGAGACATATGGTTTGAAACACAAGGATTTGATGATGTTCCTGTTGCGAGTTGTTGATTCTTTCTCTCGGGTGACGAAGGCTTTGATCTGGATATCGAAAGACGAGGAGATCTCGGTGGTGGATCCGGAGATGGGTAAGATTAGGTCGAGCATGGAGAGGTCCGACGAGTTCTTGAACGCGCAGATTAGGGTCATCTTGGGGATTTTACAAGTGCTAGTTGAGCTTGTGTAGAGTAGGTCGCGGATTATGGAGATGAACGGTGTGATCCCACTGCCTCCACTCACCATCACCAGAGATTCATGTCTATACTTGATGAAAAAAAGAAAGAAAAACAGAGCATCAATGTTACTTGTGATGCAAGAATACAAATGCTGAACTTCTGCGTTTGGGCCTTAATTTAATTACCGTGAGAAGTCAGTGGAAGTAGGGCCATATGGGCCTTCAACGGAAACAGTGAGGCGGTTGATCTGCTCAGAAGAAGAAAGCATCTGGTAAAGCTTAGTGGACCATATGCCTTGGCCCTTGATCATAACACTTAGCTTCTCTGGTTCAAGTTTACTACTCGAAGTTATCGTAAATGGATGCCATTGAAGCTTTGAAATGCTCGGTATGTTCACGAACAATATACTCGTCGGGCTATACGTCAGCACTGTAATAATATATGATTCCTGAATAGATAATCTACTGAAGAAGAAAAAAACAGAGGAGATCATTGTTAAAACTCACAAGGGTTTTTGGAGAAACTGAGCTCGACGGTGTCACAAGGAAGAACCCGAGCAGAGACTAGCTTGACATTGTTGCGCGACTGGAGAAATCTCAAGAAGCGATCGACGATGAAGATGTAAAAACCGGGAAAAGAGATCAAAGAGTAAGAGATGCCAACGTGGAAGACAAAGAAGAGCATGAAGACGATGTAGAGATAGTGAGTGTAGAAGAAGACTTCGAAGAATCTCCTTCTTATCGTCGGATATGTGGTGGCCCACATCACTAGTCCGGCCACAATAGCTATCTCTCCGGCTAAATTCGAGACGCCGGTCCTATCCCACTCCAACATCTATTCAGACCAACAATTAGGGCCGAGTATAAACATCCAACCAAAATTTATTCATAATCAATTCGGTTCATTAATTTTTGTTTATCAAACAAGCTAAAATCAAAATCGAATTTAATATCACATAACAAAACTATCTTGAAATAAATCATGGTTTAAGCTATATTTTTTAATTAAAAACCAAATTATAACCAAAAATTTGCCAACCTACAAGTTAGTTGACAATTATGCCGTAAAGTCTCAGAGCCAAAATTAGAAATTAAACCGAACAACTTCACCATATCGAATTGAACCACTAAATAGTACCCACGCCACAAACAGTTGATATGAACATTTAAATCCAAAAAGTTATTAAATAGATAGCCGTCGTCATAGACTAACCTGGGAGACTTGATTTGCGGATATCCAATAGGCAACGTAACAAAGACCGTGGCCGGTGAAGAAGGCCATCACCATGTGGCCGAGCCATATATGGTACTTGATGCTCGACTCTGACGTAAGCCCAATTGCAGCCAGCAACGACGAGCCACGCGCCACCGGATAGAACAAGAACGCCAAACATATGTTCCCAGCTAGACCTAACCGTACTGCTATTGAATCCAGCCTCGATTGCCATCTTTTTAGTTTGTGTCATAAAGCAAACACAAAAGTCACGTTTTTTTTTGTCATCTAGCTAGTTAGCTTATAGTACGTGTTAAATGTCATTTTGTATCTAATAATACGTCTCATAATTTGTTTATAAAAGGCCAAATTGTTGAAGATATGATATGAGTGATTCAGACTAAAGTTGCACTCTAAATTTAAGACCCACAGACACTGTTCCATTTTATAATTTTATTTTGAAGTTTTTTTTTTCACATAACACAATAAGAAAACATTCCTGCAAAACTTGTCTATTGCATGTATGTATATTTTCGCGAGATATATATACAAAATAATGACGTTAATCGCAGAAACAAACAAAACATCCAATCTATAAAACTTACAGGTTATCTCCATGGATCGCTGCTGATTGAGGAGTGATGTTAACAAACGTATAGTAAAAGTGATTGGTTAAGCTCCAAAGAAGAAGAGCCATGAACATCGTCAAGAACATAACCTCAGTCGCTGTCACTATTCCTAATGGCCCCTTCACAAACATTGGTCGTCTTCTCAATGATCCGAACTTGTCTCTCTTCTTCCTCTCCCTTCCACTTCTAATTTACAGATAAGAAGAATATCATATTGATATAAAAAAAAAAAGAATGTAGATACTAAAGAATAATCAGTTGGTAGTATAAGTGTTTTAATTACCTATGAAATTGGTCACCGCTCGTTTGTTTCTTCAAGTGAAGGTAGATGCATCCCAAACAAGCCAATAGAATCATTGGGAACATGTAAATCAAAAGGTTCACTCCTGATAAAAGAAAAACCGGAATACATAAATTGATGTTCGTATCAACTAATAATTGATTATAAGTCTCTGACTTACAAAGAAACTGGTGTGAATTACCTGATTTCCCAAAATAAATTGATTTGCCGAGCTTGGCACGCATGGATGTCAACCAAATCTTCTTATAAGGAGAAGTTGGCATCATGATCCAAATCACCAAATTCCCCATCAAGATCATCATCGTCAAGAGTATGATCCCGTTCATAATCACTCCCTTGTTAATTTCTCCTAATCCCATACTACAAGAGATGAGGTTCCAAAAAATAAGAAAAGAGAAACAAAAGGGAAATGGAATAACAAATCTACAGTTGTATACTTGTATATCTATGCTATTTAAACTTAATTTCTATAATTTGTTATTTTAATTTATTTGAACTACACACTTTGCTTTGATTACTACTGACTAACAAAATGGGTTTGACTCAAGCGTGTAGGCTAGTGGCAGGCACCTTCCGAGAAGAGGTAGAATGCACCCTAGTTCAAACTGAACCCCACTTGGTATGGAATGGTTTGTGGTCTGCTCCTCAAGTCAACGTCAATTTACATGATTGTCCCGGACTCGAGAATATTATGAGGACTGTAGCCTAACAACAACAACAAAAAATGGGCTTGTCTTGCGAGTAATCAACATCATAACTCATTTGATTTGTTATTAAATTAGATTATATATATATATATTAAAATAAAAGTAAAAATTTTAATTTTCATTTGATTTCTAAAAAAAGATTATCAGAAAAATTATTCATCTAATGAAAAAAAACAAGGTTGTTGATATGGAAGGGAAATTCATTATTGTTACAATTTTTTTAGTGAGCTACGTCGCCGAACACGTTATATAAAGTGTAAACTTATACATCGGAGAAAAGTGTGGAATATGTCATAATTTGGATCACACAAGGTCATTAAGTGCATCAAACTGAATAATTCTGGGCTTATCACCATATAATGGAAAGTTAGATTAGGTCCTCTTGAGTGTGTCTTTGGACCCGAATGTGTGTGTCAATGTGTCTTTGTACACGGATCTTCGCGTGTCCAACCAATTCTTAACCAAAAAAGGTAATCTAATACCAGGACTTATCTATTATTTATATTATTATGTAACAAAAATATAGGTATGCTACATAGTCATTGGTCATTAATAGATTTATCCACTCCTTTCATTCTCCTTCGATTTTATTCCTTGTAGTCACTTTTTGCGTAAATAATCATTTGAAAAAAAGCTGACATAAATTCATGAACATATTAACTTTAAATTAATTCATGCATGGCATTACTGTACCCGAATGTGTGTGTCAATGTGTCTTTGTACACGGATCTTCGCGTGTCCAACCAATTCTTAATTAAAAAAGGTAATCTAATACTAAGACTTATCTATTATTTCTATTAGTATCTATTAAAAATTAGGTGTTAATAGATTCCTCCTATTTTTTTTTAATACATACTAATAGAAATAATAGATGGCATTACCTTCAACTCCTTTCAGTGACTTTTTGAGTAAATAATCATTTGGAAAAAAAGCTGACATAAATTCATGAACATTACATTAACTTTACATTAGTTGGCATTACATTACTTTAGAAGCATCTGAAAGTCGGTATTGTTTCACATAAACCATAAACTATGAATATTTCATATTTTCATATGATTCAAATTAACTCTTTTTTTTGTTTTGAAGTCACCCGCTAAAATATAACGGAGTTACATAATCGTTATAATAAATTGATGTATATCTGTTAATTAGGTATATGAGGTGTCAGTTATTTTCTATTGAGTTAATTTGTGACATGTCAATTTAATTAAAGGGTTTTTTTTGTAACATCTATTATATTATTATTAATGAGAATTGCTGAACTCAGCATGTAGCAAATCTGTTATTTACACGAGGGTTTATTCTTTTTGATTTTTACGTAACTTCTTCTTCTTCATGACAGTAATTAGGTATTTGTGCTATCTGCAGTTGCAAGATGGCGCATTGACACGTGAGTTATATGACATATCTATGTATTAATTTATTTGCAACACGTATGGTTTTATGTTCAGGAAAAAAAGCACGTATGGTTTTATACTTTTAGATGTATAATTGTTATCCAATAAATTTCGAGGCAATAGACTTTTTGGTAAGTACATGCACCTAGATCTAAAACCATACAAAAAAATCTGATTCGAATAAACAATGAACTGCAATATCCAATTGATTCGATGAATAGGTTGAACTAAGAAATTAGATATACAACCATGCGTCGTTTGTGACCCAAGATGATTTTATTATATTTCAGCATTTACAATTTACAAAAGCTCCATGCCTCGATTCGTGGCCGAATTTGTAGCATTACATACAAATGGAAACGTAACTAAAGATTACAAACAAAAGGATTGGTTAACTTTGGGGAATGTAACAAGCACACAAAGATAGGTCAAAACATAGTCCCACCTTATTAACTTGTAACCCAAGAAACTTCCACACGGATGAATAACAGTGTGTTATATGATGGGCACTTACCAGCTGAAACTGATAGACTCAAAATGGAGATTCTTAGCCAAACCAGAGGAACAAATCTTCGCAACCTGTTGTCTCATCTTCTTCGGACCACACACAAGAACTCCCACACTCGAACCTTCCACATCAAGTAGAAGCTCTGTTCACATAAACCAACAATTAGCTAATTAGAATAACGACACTCATCGTATACATAGATATAGATCGAGAAGTAAGGCAATGTATATCTTACTCTTGAGGTTGGGTCTTTCTCCGTAATGCAGGGTGGTGCACTGCACGAGCGATTGCTGTGGCGAGCTTTCGATTTCTCTCACGGAATTGTATCCCCATGAGGTAGGAGAAGACATTGGAGACGGAACGTCGACGTTTTGGACCTGTTTGTTTTCGACGTTACCGTACTTCTTCTTGCTCCACAACATAGCTGCACTAGAAGTCGCCATGATGCTGACGGAGATGACTAAGATGTATATGATGGTTTTTGAAGTCGATGAGTAGATCTTGTTGGTGTTGTGGTCGATCGGGTAGATGTAATACCTAGTGATGATACCGATAATTATCACGAAGATCAAGAACGAGGATGAGAGAATTCCGCCGAGCCAGAGCCATGAGTTTGGTCCGAGGATCGATGAGATGGATTGGTCTGAAAGACTTGGCTTGAACCACAAAGTTCTGATTTTCTCCGTTGTTGCTTCGCTTCTTGCTTCTTTCTCTCGGGTTATGAAGGCTTCGATTTTGATGTTTATGTCAGAGGGTAGTTCTGTCTGAAGACCGGATAATGGCAAGACAAGATCTAGCATGGAGATTTCTGAAGAGTTCTTAAACGCGCAAACCAGAGTTATTTTGGGGATTTTGCATTTTTGGTTTTGGCTTGTTGCGATCAAATCACGGATAACAGAGATAAACGGAGTAATCCCGCTTCCTCCGCTCACCATAACCAGAGCTTCATGTCTAGAACACCAAAATGAAAAGAAGAGAGAAAAAAACATGCGATATCAATGTCTCTTGAAACCCAAGCAATCAATAATGTTTCTTGTGCTCTAATAATTCAAAAATCAAACTATTGAGAATGTATAATAATTCACCTTAAGAAATCGGTGGAAGCAGGGCCGTAAGGACCCTCGACAGAAACAGCGAGGTGGTCGATCTGATCAGAAGAAGAAAGCCTCTGGTGAAGCTTAGTTGACCATTTGCCTTCGCTCTTGATCACAACACTTAGGTTCTCTGGTTCGAGTTTGCTGCTTGAAGTAATCGTAAATGGATGCCATTGCAACTTCGAAATGCTTGGAATGTTCACAAACAATATGCTCGTCGGGGTATAAACCAACTCTGTTTGAGAAATGCAATTATCTTAGAAACTAGTACTTTTAATCACAATAAGAAGTTATAGATAAGATAAAAAAAAACAAATAGGTTTTGGGAACTCACTGGAGTTCTTGGAAAATGTGAGCTCGATAGTGTCGGAAGGAAGAATCCGAGCAGAGAGCAATCGAATATTGTCACGTGACTGAAGAAACCTAAGGAAACGATCGACCATGAAGATGTAGAAACCAGGGAAAGCGATGAAGGAGAAGGTAATGCCGACGTGGAGGACGAAGAAGAGCATGAAGACGATGTAGAGATAGTGAGTGTAAAAGAAGACTTCGAAGAATCTCCTCCTTATCTTCGGAAATGTGGTGGCCCACATCACAAGTCCGGCCACCAGTGCTATCTCTCCGGCTAAATTCGAGATATCTTCTGTACCCCACGTGATCATCTGCGATTTATTATTTACTCTTAAGTATAAAGTGAAATTGAAATACCGCGCGCTATGGACGAAGAAAGTTGACTACATAAATCGACTTGAAAATGAAAAATCATTGCATTATCTTGAATATCAATATACAAAGGCAATTCACATTAATCGAAATTAGGAGTCGTATACGATTACTTTAAAATTCGCACTTATCCAAAATTTTCCACCTTGAAATGCGTGTTTCGATGAAATTTTTTGTTTTTTGGATCAACAATATTAATTGCTTTATTTTCACATTTATGCCATGCGAAGACCTAGAATTAAATATTTGCCGCAATTATTTGTTTCACTAAAAAAATTAAAAAATGAACTACGTATGGTATGGAAGGAAGCTGCTCCATTTAGAGTGATGTTGACCCGAAATAGTGCATTAGTTAGTCGTTGACTTTATTCGCATCTAGAGGCGGGACCCAGTTACTGGACTATTATTTAGGCCGAGCCAAAATCGAATCCATATCTAATTATTATTAACCTGGTTTTGAAACAAACAACATTTGATAATTGATAAAACAAAGATATACCTGGGAGGCTTCATGTATAGAGACCCAATAGATGATGTAACATAGACCATGAACGGTGAAAATGGTCATGACCATATGGCCGAGCCAAATATGGTATTTGATGCTTGACTCCGATGTTAGCCCCACCGCCGGTAGCAACGACGACCCACGTGCCACCGGTAAGAACAAAAATGCTAAACATATGTTTCCGATCAGCCCTATCCTTAGCGCCGCTGATTCCAGCTTGGCTTGCCACCTTTTAATTCATCAAAATTTCAACTAAACTATTAGAAACATATACTAAACTACTCCCTACGTATGTTGTTCTCTTGGTCTATTAATATTTTGGTATGCATATTTGAATATATGTGACAATTATCATGTGACCATAAACCATTCATTATAACCAATCAGGCAATAAGTATGATAGTAATCAATCGAATTACATTAATTTGGTTTTGTGTAGTTTTTCTATGATAAATTGTGTTCAGATAGATATAAATATAGACAAATCACCTATATAATCCAGTAGTGATGGACTAGTTAATAATCTTCAAATATACGTTCAGTTGTTAAGTAGAAATTGGATCCATATAATATCGCGATTATATATATATATATATATATATATATATAAGATACAAGATATTGTATGGTTGATAGCAAAAGAAGAGAAAGAATGCTTACAAAGATTCGCCATGTGCGGCGGCTGATTGAGGAGTGATAGTGGCAAAGCTATTGCGCAAGTAAGTGATAAAGCTCCAAAGAAGAAGAGCCACAAACATAGCCAAGAACATGATCTCAGTCACTGAGACTATCCCCAATGGTCCCTTCACTAGCATTGGCTTTCTCAGTGCATTCAACACTCCTCCCTTCCTCTCCCTTTTTTGTATATATTAAGAGAGAAAAAGAGTTGTAAGAAAAAAAGAAAAATGACGCAAATTATACAATTAATTCACCAGTTTAATCGATGAATTTTTATACCTCTCGACATGGTCTGGACTCTTTCGTCTCTTGAAGTGGAGATAGACACATCCCAAACAAGCTACGACGATCATTGGGAACATATACATGAAAAGTGTCGTCCCTATCGTGCAAACAAAGAAGAAGAGATAATAAGAAATTTCGTTTGCTTTCATATTAATGATTGGTCTACCAAATCATCTATCATACAAACCTGTGGCGCCAAAATAAGTTGATGCTCCAAACTTTAAACGCATATGGGGCAACCACTTCTTTCGATAGGTTAGTGTTGGCATCATGATCCAAAGCATGATAGTTCCAAGGAAAATCACCATCATGACGAACTTAGTCACTCCCTTAATTATATCCTTAAACTCTTCTCCCGCAGATGGGCTCGAACCACCATTATTGCTTTTCATGATCTCCATCCTCTCTCTCTCTCTTTCTCAAGATCTTAAGAGATATGATCGCTTTAGTGAGAAGGGTCAGCTAGCTTGTGTTGAGGGAAGTAGTGGCAGAAAAAGCGTATATATAAATAGAATTTTTGGAGTGGGAATTAGATGAAGTAATCCAGTTGCATGCTCCATGCATGTGACTCTCCCCATGGATCTTGTTTTTTGTTTTCTTTCATTATTTTACATCCATTTGTTTTTTTTTTTTTTGTCGAGATGACGTAAACAAGTATGAAGGAATATACTATATGTAAAAAAAAAAAATGCGATATGCACAACGTACGATAAAATTGATACAATATTACGACACTTCGATATGGTAACAAAGTTTTGGAAACCAAACAATTTTGTTTAGTTGGATTCGAACTATATTCAAATTTGTATTGAATTAACAGAGGCTAAATTACATTACTGCATAAAAAGATATACTTTTATCACCCTCACTTAGTATAATACTTGTTCAGAAATGTATATGGTAAACAAAATATTATATATGTATGATCAAATCTATAGATCTTCCTGTGTACATACTCCGATCACAATGTCAAACAATTTAGTATTCAGCTGTGTGAATATATTTACGATTTCTGTTGTTTTCTATGGAAAAAAAGTAAGAATTCGAAGATTGTAGCCTATTAGGGACTATAAAAAAATATAGTAGAAGATATTGACTTGAGGAAGAAGCCAAGGACCATGCTACCTTTTATTATTGCTCATAGCCTATTTGATAATTAACTACAGTATTCTAATTAAAGTATTGATCCGTTAAAACCTGTCCAAATACATCTCAAGTATGACATTAGATGTTCGTTTTAAGTAAGATAATTAAATTAAATTAAATAATAAGCTACATGTCTACTCTGGGTCTCATTTAGTAGTGCCGAAAAACTCTATGCAGAATTATATTCGTAATTGTGACGCAATAATTATTAAAAAAAGGTAACATAAAAGTTGCTCAAGAACTAAGAAGTGCTTGTTAGGGATAAAAAGATATTGATAGCCCAAATTGGATGGTTGTTAAGAATCCGGTTCGTGTTCGGTTTTGGTAGGTTCATCGAGTTCGTGCCCGTACGCACGTGCGGAATGGACACGAGTCATATGTCGGCTTATGTGTGTCACTGTCTTCACCGTCCACGAATCTCACGCGTGTCAACAAGAATGTCATTTTAAAGCCAACGAGGAAAAGATGAAGCAGGCCCATTCCCATTCATATTCTTTCTTCTTCATCATCATTACATCACTTTACATCACACCAAGCTTTGACTTTGTGTATACACATTTTTTTTTTTTTTGTAGTTTTATTCGATTTACTTTTGTATTCCTTCCAGCATCAATACATTTTAAAACTTTTTTAAATGGAATTGCGAAACTAGCCATAAATCATCTTTGGTAAAATAACACATGTGAGCTTTCCGGTTTACAGTTTGATTCGGTTTTCTCGATTCATTGGACTTACGCTGGTTTCGGTTGGATTCAATAAGTTTACAAGAAATTCAATTCAATTAATTAATTCCATACGTACGACACAAGGATCCACCCATAATACAAACACAAGCTGCATCAGAATTCGAAACCAGAACAAAAAAAACTTAAAAAACTCAAGCAAAGAGAATATTTCATTGTACCGAGACAGAAAAATAGTGGAGAACAAAGTTATTAGCTCTAAACTCTGGAAAGCTTCATGGTATTCTTGACCCAACGCGATTCAAGGTTATCAGATTGTTGTTATCTTCAGATACATTTTCAGACAATCTTAACCAGCCGAATCCATTCTTGGCTTTTTTCCTTTGAGTGACAATGTAAACACTCATCAAGATACACATGAAAGCCACCATTGACATAAACATGCTAAGGTTTCTTCTGATGGGACAAGGGCTAAGTATCGTTTCAGCGGAAACAAACCCATCAAGACTTCCCAATGTGTTGTTCATCTTCATGATCTCAACTCCGTTCAAGATCGCATCAACCGCGTGTTCAACACTCTTGCTCGATGGTCCAATACTTAGGCTTATCAGACCCGAGAAAGGAGAGTAGACATCATCCACCACAATATCTATGTAATACGGGGAAGCCAAAACGTAATCCGTGGCATATGAGATATCGAGATCTTGATACGCCAAGTGCCCATTAACGTAGATGTTGAACTATAACAAGCCAAGCGAGATACTAGCTATATCGCAGAAATGCAGTCTTATTAGATACTTGTAGCCACTGCTCACTGGAAACTCCCATGTCATGTTAACCCGAGGAACCGAGCCATTGTAATTATATTTCATGGGCAAACAAGCCCACACAATCTACCACATTTTTAGTTGCAAAACTCATTAGTTTTTATATTACGGTGTCCTACATCAAAAATCTTTTGCTAAAAGAAAATTTGAAAAAGTGGATAAATCATCTATTTGAAAGAGAATTCAACAATTTCATCATCTTTACAAGCTCCAACATCGATCACCATAGTTCCGTTCTTTTTTGTAGGTAGTACCCTACAACAATCTCTTCTCGGAGCCTGAAATTTCAGGCCCAAAACAAAAAAATATGTCATTAATATAAACGAGAAAAATTAAGCAGTTCTAAGTTAAGTAGAGTTACCTTATCCTTGTTCCATCTATCCGGGTCGGGTTTTTTATAAACTATGACCCGATTGATTTCAGAAGGATCCGACATATCCCAATCACATAAAGGATCCCACATATCATACCACCTCACGTATTCGCTTGCGGTTCTGTGTAAGACCGAATCAGGAAGCGCGTTGGAGAGATAATACACGCGCGGACGCTGGCACGCGTTCTCGCTAATAGGACGCGTGTTGAAAGCATCGCTTTTGCCGTCGGCGTTTTTGTACCAGTCGACGAACGTGCGCATGGGGATCTCCATCTTTCTGGCTGACAACACTCCACGTATAATCTGGACCGTGAATCCCCACGAGACAGACACGGTCCATTGGTGCGCCGTGTCGTAGCAGATCGATTGTTGCGCGAGGCTTGCTGAGTCGAGTTTGGCTGGTACCATGAAACGTTTTATGGCGTTCACTCGGTCCATGTTTGGGAATATTGGGTCCACTATGTCTAGATGATGCATCGATACTATTGGAGCCAGTGGATGAGCCGATAATAAACCAATCAGGCTTCCGTATATATCAAACTGTTACAATATTAGTTATATCAATAATGTGAGTACAATTATCATCAATGTCAATATATCATTTGATTGAAATTGAGATCTGGCTTAAGATATTTCTAGATATATCCTAGGATAACAAAATAATCAACAACATTTATAATAAGCTTTTAAAACAAACCAACACGTAGGTTATAACAACTAACTATATATTTAGCTCAAAAGTGAAAAGACTTTTTTTTGATAACTAAAAGTGAAGAGACTTAAGTGGTTGTGAACCTAGGAACGATGTTAGTGCCAAGATTCTCGCTATAATTAAATCATATAGATATACAAATTTGTATGGTGATGTGTTTTATAAATATATAGAATAAAATTGACAAAAAAATAAGATCAACCAACGTAACTATAAAAAAAATATTGTAGATCATAACAGCTTTTCACACACGATAGCTATCAAACACAAACTTCATTAATATTACAGTTATTAACCTTACCCAAAAAAAATATTACGGTTATTAATGAAATTTTTTCACAGTTTATTAAAGATTTGGTTACGATTATACATAACTACAAATGCACGTTAGGTTCGAATCTCAACAAATTATAAAATCATGAAAATTTAATACATAAGTAGAAATTGGAGAAACTTTTTTTAATCATAAGTACTGTACTCCGGGTTATCATCAATTAAAAGATACTATTACTTTTTTCAATACGGATTTGTTTTTAATTATTTATTTGTTTAATAAAATAAAAAAACAGAGGACTAACCTGATGAAAGCCAGCTTCTCTAGTCAAAGGAACACCGAGCTCCGCCATACAAGCATGAATCCGATCATCGGAGCCGTACAATTGCGGGTACCTTTGAATACACCGGTCTTGCATCTTCTCCAACGCTTTAGCCAACGGATAGCTAATCGCGAATCCTCCTCCTCCATAAGCCATCCCGTACGAGAACTTGAGGTTCTGAATGTGACTCTCCGACGAGCTCCCGATGTAATAGAATTGCCTGTGGTCGTATTTTCTCAGAACCCTAATCAGATTCTCCGGGAAGAACACAGTGTCGTCGTCTCCCATCACAATCCACCTCACGTTTTTCTCAGACTCTGTTCCGTTTAAAAGCCTCACTGTCTCGGAGACGATTCGAGTAAGTCTGATCGCCGATCGATTTCCCTTTGGGTACTTATACTTAAACCTCGCCGTGCCAGAGGAGACCTTGATCGGAGGCAATCCGGCTGAAACGGTGCCGTTTCTGTCCACGTGTTTGTCTAACCAAACGACGCCCTTCATTTCGCCGCCGGGTCTCCACCAGAGCTTCACGTAGTCCCTGCGGTGTTTCCAGAGTTTCGCAGACGCGGCGATTCCGAAAACGACGTGCTTGATTTCGGTTTGCTCCGGGCTTTGACCAGATGCGGGTCCGGACCGGGATCCGATGGGTGAAACCGCGACTTTTAGTAGAGATCGAGGCGGAGAAGAGGAGATGAAATTGAGAGGATAGAAAAAGAATCGGATAGATAGTATAATGGCGAAAGTTAAGATTAGCTTCGAGAAGAGCCGATAAAATGAAGACTTTGAGTTACATGAAAAGTTTTTGGCTTTCTCGTAAGAAAAAGGCTTTTGATCTTTCGTATGGTCTCCCATGGCGGCAAAATAAATTTAAAAATGGGTTTCTATCCGCCGGAGGTTGGGGAACACGACGACGTTGGCCGTGGTGGTGACTTGTGATGTTTTTACCGAGGAGCTCTTATAAAGCAGATGGAGAAGATGAAACGATTTATATATATATATATATATAAATCATTACTCTTTTTTGTCTTTATCCTATGAAAAAATGGGATATTTATTATGGATTCCTTGTTGTGTCACCCATTATTTCTTACTTCAAATAAGAATGTATAAAATTTGACTATATTTATTTGGAAATTAAAAATTTATATTTTCTACTTCGAGAGGTGTACAGATGTAATTTATAACCAAAAAATAGTATGATGTGAATATTCTTTGACTGTAACGATTAACACCGGTCAAAACTGCTATTTCAGATTAATGGTCAATGACTACTATATTTTCGTGATTGCTTAATTTCTTTTTATTATATGTTTGATCATAGTAAGTTGGGTATATTCACGCATCAATTCTTTTACTATTCACACTAACTCACAAAAGTAATAAAAAATATACATACATGTTGTACTATTAAAAGGAAAATCGATTTATATTTTTAAATTTTATTTATATGAGATATAATAGGATATATACTGGAGAATTATTTTGTTAAAACCAAATAGGAAACATTTATTAAAAAATAAATTCATCCATACATGTTTATCTACTCCTTTTCTCTTTTTGATTTACGTTTTATTTATATGTTTAAATTTAACACTGAACTAATTGTTTAAAATGTATTATTTGATCTGAAAGAGAACAAAGTAATATTAACGTTTTGTATATTATGAAAGTATCATGAAAACAAAAATTGATTTATTTATGCGGATTATTATCTTTTGTTGATTTAATGTTATATTTTAATAAAATAAAAATATACTAAAATTAATATTATATGTATATTTTAAGAAATATACAAATCTATTAATGAAATTATGTTTTAGATGCATTTTATGTTATAGTAATCAATTTTTTATTTGTTGTTATTTATTATTTGGGTTTGGGTTTGGCAAAAAATAAATAAAGATTTGATTGTTTTTATTTACTGTTATTTAATATTTGGGTTTGGGTTTGACAAAAAAATAAAACAAAGATTAACAAAAAAAATATTTAGAATTTTAGTAGGTTTAAATTTAAAAAAAATAATAAAAATTAGTAGATGATGTGTATTAATTAAAATGTTTTGATTGATTATTGATTTTGCTGATGTGTTTATTTTTACTAACTTAAAAAAGTTGATGTATCAAATCATAAAGAGACTTTGATGTTATTGTTATATTAATTAAGAAAAAAACTATACATTGATCCTCAAGATTAGGGGCGGGGCACTGCTAGTTCATCGCATAAATTCATTTACATTGTACATTTAGAAAATTGCGAATACCAACAGGGTACATAAATGATTCATTATACCTAAATTGACGAATAGTGATATTACATTTAATATAATTATATGATATATATGTAGTCTATTCCATTTGTCAAGGTAATAGACTATATATATATCATATAATTATATTAAATGTAATATCAGTATTCATCAATTTAGGTTGGGTCATCGATTACATATTTCCATACCTTTTCAGTAACATCTTTCGATTCATTGTAATCGATGAGAACTGTGAATGGAGTACTTTAGCAATAAACAAAAAGAAAATGAACAAGAAAGAAATAAAAGAAGATAGAGATGCAACTAACTCCATAACTGTAGTCTGTAATAACTGAAAATGTATGGAAATATAATAAATGATTGGAGTCAAATGGTTCCCTCAGAAATTTAAAGAAAAATGTGATAGTGAAAGATGAGAAATCCATGTGATCACATGTTTCTCTGATTTTATTTTTATACCATCAACCTCACGTGTCTTTTTGAACTACTTTATTTTTTTACTGGTCAACCCTTTAAATATGACCTGTATTTTCTGACCAAATGTAGTTTGATTTTATTCATACAAATATGTGAAAATCAATTATAGTTTGCTTTGTAGAATAATCTATTTGTAAAAAACAATTAGATTGAAGTTTTTTGAATTACTTTTTATTTGGGTAAATCAGTTTTCTTTTATTGTTCTCTTTTATTTTTTTCTGCAAACATCAGTTTAACAGATTAATAACTAACATTGATGATATGATCTGGACTATTAGTGTATATACATACGCATAGATTAAATCAAAGGAAATAGTTTGGTTTGGCATCGATATCGTGTCACACGTAATAGCCGGCATGTGGTAGCTAACAAATATGATTAATAATCGTTAACATAATAGTATATATCACAATATGATGAATGAAATTAAGAATATGTATAGAATCATATATTTCATATCATAAAGAGCACATATATCCATTCCCTTACTGATGAATTAGCAATAGGTTTGGGGTTTATAAAGAAATTATACGTAATTGACCAAAGTACAATAATAGTACTACTTTTTTTTTTGGGGTTAACTTACTACTTTTTGTTTTGTATCGTGTATTTGTGGTATGAATGAAATTATATTTGATTAATATGGAGTATATTTAGGCCCCTAAACAAAAAGAAGTACTATAATACGACATGGATGGTAGAGTGGTAGTAGCTAATTATAGCAAAGACACGATGTTAAAAACTTTAATTGTCAATTAAAATGCTTAGGAAAACGGGTAGCTACTTAATCTAAACCGGCTCCCAAGATTCTTGCAGATGTACCTTGCATTCTGCTGTCCAGAAGGTGATAGAAACAGTGAAGACAAGAATTTAAACAAGTTTGAATCATCACATGATTCCTATTCAAATCTTTAACTAGAGCAATAAAGCCCGGTTTGAGACCTGACTTCACCATCTCAATATGCTGTTTTATCTTCATTGTTTCTATCACCTTCTGTACAACCCGTGTCCTGTTCCATTTCAAATCGCCTAAAATGGATATCAGAAAGAGCAGATTTCTAGGCTTTTAGCCAAAGTTCTCAGCTTTTGCTAATGTTTGCAGCTTTAGCAGAGAGCAAAAAATAAATTCTTCATTTTTCACCAAATGTTACTTTCGTTAATAGATGATAGCAATGTTTATACCTTATACTAAACTATGCAGAGATTTCAATTATTTTCTTAATGGTGATGTGTTCCTGCTATATTTAGAGTTTTTTTGAGGAAATTACAAACCGAACTAGAAACATTGCTTCCTCGCATGCTCATCTACTAACTTAGTTACCATCTTTACTGGTATACCTTTCAGCTCTATTTCACAACAATAACAACATGATTCTAAATTTTTATATATATATATAACCAAGCTTTGTTGTTTCAAGTTTATGTTAAGATATATCCGAATCATAAGACGTTACAGTGCATCAACAAACTATTGTAATAAGTTTGTCATTTAATCAAAGTTAATATATCCACAAATTTTAAATTTTTAATTTACTATTATTTATTATTTGAATTTGGGTTTGGCAAAAAATAAAATATTTTTCTATTTGTTGTTATTTATTATTTGGGTTTATGTTTGACAAAAAATAAAATAAAGATTTAATTTTTTTATTTATTATTATTTAATATTTGAGCTTGAAACCATCTGACTGAATTAAAAAATTGATTTTAAAAACCACAAAAAAAAACTCTCGACATTATGTGACCAAGGAAGTTGTGATAAGCCACATAGAGGTAGAAGATTCTAAACTCTTTGCAGAGCAAACAGGAGACTTAGTCTTTTCGATATAATACTGATTATGAGCTTGTTTGGTTTTGCAACACAGTGATACCGAATTTCCCGAAGTTTACAGCTTCATAGGAAGTGTATTTGATCTGAAAACGACAGGTCATGTCCAGAGATTGAAGCACATGGATCCAATAAACATAGAAACGGTATGTCAAACACGCTATGTCTGTCGTCGTCTACTGCTTGAGAGCATATCTCTATTCTATCTAAATGTCGTTAACAATGTTATTGCTCATCAGGTCGTCTTGTTGATGAGAAACTTGTCTGGAAACTTGACAAGTCCTGAGTTTGAAGAACATGTAAGTGTTACCCACATAGTGTCAAATTATTTTGATTTTCATGATTTTGAGAACAATCTGAAAGCAACAAAACTTGGTTTTTTTTATGGGCTTACAAGGATTGCTCAGTTTTATGCAACGGAGATTAATATCACCACACAACAATGCTGAATAGAGATTTAAGTACCATAAGAAGTGAAAGAGAGAAAAACCATTTCACTCTCTCTCTCTCTTTACCTAAGATTTAGATTTACCGAAATCTCATTAGTTGTGATTGGACTAAATGAGTGAGGCGGTTGCACTTCACACTTGCACATACAAACAAGCATACAAGTCAAGAGTTTGGAACATTTTTGATCTTAAGAGATAGAAAATGTATGTGTAGAAAGACAGACATTAGTGTTTGTGTTGTAATATTCAACCGGTATGTAAATTTTATTTACTGAATAGACTTAAAAGTTACTGGTTTTGCAAGGTTTTGAAGTCTCTCGGTTCATATATACTATGAAACTCTGTTTTGTTGTGTTCATGTGTATAAAACCATATTGTCTTCAAATCAATATGGCGCATACCAAGCAGTGAACTTTATTATGTTATGTTCATGTGTATATTTTGATAGGAGGTGGGCTCGGCTTTCTCTCGTAAGCGATCTGTTTTGTGTCTTTTTTTTTGTTTCCCCATCGTGAAGAGTAATAAAATTATTGATTACATTGTTTGGTTATCACAAAAAAATGCACAAGCTTTGAACCTTGTAGTATATATCCATTACGAGTTTCATATAATTGCTTATGTTACTTACGTAATATTGAATATGAAGTTGATATATCTTGAAATATAACAAATAATGTGGAGAAAGAAATTGTGAAAGTTACCTACTTTATGATGTATTGAAATATTTATTTATTGTGATTTCTTACATTACTTTATTAATATAAATAATTGACTTATGACAAACGGACAATGGGTTTTCTCTTAGAGCCCCCACCTAAACCATTTATAAAAGGAAACCTAAAAGATTCAGAAGCCAGACTAAAATTTATTTACTCGTTAATTGCGAAATTTTAAGAGCAACCCAAACTTTTATGATTATATATATATGACCCAATGATTTCAATATTTTTACCTTTTAACACTAAAATGCTTAAAAACAATATCTTAAAATATAGTATTACTGTATATTAGATTCATCAGTTAGAATTTAAATTTTTTTATTCATAAAAACTTATTGAAAATAGAATGATTGTTTGAGCTGTTTCATCACCTCAATTCAATTGTGATATATATATATTTTTTGTAATGGAAAATCAGATTTTTGGATCATTTTTATAAAATCCGAGCAAACAGTTGATGTCATATTATCGGTTTGACATACAAAATTTTTGTTGCTACATAAGTGTTATGAACCAAACAATGTGTAACGCAAGCAAACAAACAAAATGTTGCAATGGTAAAAGTGATTACTTTCTTACAAAGTACTTGTCCCCTAAAAGTTATTATATATCCCATAACCAAAACACAAGAAACTATATAAAAACTGCAAACAAAGGATCACACGTTAAAGGTGTAGATTTAGTCAAAACAAGAAATGAAAAGTTAATGTGTAAATCCACAGGTGTACAGAGCACCTTAACGGCATTCTTCTAACTGATTTTGTTACCTTGGTGTTGGAATCCATCTATTTTTTGATAAAGGCAAAACCACTATTTCGTTCTCACTGCCACATTAACATGCAATTACATGGAGACAGACGGAACTCAAAAGACAGCTCATTTATTTCTTCTACACACAATGTTGTGCTTAGTTTCAACAAAAATTGAGATGAAAATAAAAAAAAAATCTTATTTTTGAAATTTTTTTTTGTTGTGATTTAATAATTATACAATTTTTATCTTTTTTTTGGGGTATAGATATAATTGTAGAAGTATAATTTTAAAAATTAATGATAAATATATCAAATAAGCACTACTTATTAACTATTGATAAAATTTTATAATTACCAAATGTTAATTTAATAAAGTTAAAAATATTACAGCAAATTTTGTTATTTTTTAGATATAAAAACTGGAAAATATGTAAACAGATTTGCCTTTTTCTCAATTCTTTAAAAAAAAAATGAAAAAAAAAGAAACTGGGGTTAGTTCTATTTAAACTCATGTTGGTAGGTATGAGGACTCTCTGCATGACCAACTGGATACAACGACTTCTGGTAAAAAAGCTCCCCAAAGTTATATTTATAATTTGCTTACCTGAGGCAAATGCGTTTTTGATTGTACACCCAGATCACTGAGAGCATTCTTTAAAATCCCTTTCATTTTTATTGCTTTGTTTTTCCTCGATTCCTTGTTTTTGGTTCAACACTCGATGCGGTGACAAGCATAGATTTTTGCGGGAGTTTATTCGCCGGAAAGATTGTGTCTTTAGCCGCGAGAAATGCGAAGAAACCGGAGACGCCATTAACCGAATCTAAGGAAAAGGAAATGAGTAGTTAGTGAAAGTAGGGGTCGATGTCCATGTACGATGCTGCTTTCCTCAATACCGAGCTCTCAAAACCGACATCGATCTTCGGTCTCCGGCTATGGGTCGTAATCGGAATCTTACTCGGATCTCTAATCGTCATCGCCCTCTTCCTTCTCTCCCTCTGTCTAACCTCCCGCCGGAAAAACCGCAAGCCGCGAGCTGATTTCGCTTCGGCCGCCGTCGCTACGCCGCCAATTTCTAAGGAGATTAAGGAGATCGTTCCGGCGGCGACGCAGCCTGTACCGGCGGAGATCCAGGTCGATATAGGGAAAATCGAGCATCGAGTGGTGTTTTCCGATCGAGTGTCGAGTGGAGAGAGCAGAGGAACAGCGAGTGCTAGCGAGACGGCATCGTTTTCCGGCAGCGGGAATGTTGGACCGGAGGTGTCGCACCTGGGATGGGGACGGTGGTATACTCTGAGAGAGCTCGAGGCGGCGACGAATGGGCTCTGTGAAGAGAATGTAATCGGAGAAGGTGGTTACGGGATTGTGTATCGTGGGGTTTTAACTGATGGGACTAAAGTCGCCGTTAAGAATCTGCTTAATAACAGGTTTCTCGAAAATTTCAAATTTCTTTCTAAATATGGATCCTTTAGGGTTTTAGGTCTTCTCTCCATTGAGGTTTTGCAAATTTTTTGGATTTGATTGGACGTCTTGTTTAGCTCTGTATTGGTTGCATTCTAAAGTTTGATCCTTTACCCTTTGCTATACTTGTTGTTTAGCTGCAGTTTTGCGTAATTAGTGGGTTTTACTTTACTTATAGCGTGTTGCTCTGTAATGAAATTTGTCTTTGATTCTGTGCTCGTTTCTGTTAAGTACTTGGATCTATTGACGTAGGATTAAGAGTGATGGCGATCAGAGTCCTTCTCTTATTGAACTGCTATGCGTATGAGTGTGGTCCTGAGAAGTTGTGTTTATAATTGAATTCTGTGAAATAGGTTATGTCACTAGTCACATGTGGTATTGATGGGTAACGTCTGCACTAATAGTAGACTATGGCTTCCGTGAACTGAATCTACAGGGGTCAAGCAGAGAAGGAATTTAAAGTAGAAGTGGAAGTAATTGGGCGTGTACGACACAAGAATCTCGTTAGGCTTTTAGGGTATTGCGTCGAAGGTGCATACAGGTAACGAAATGCTGCTGCTGCTGCTGCTCAGAATTCCTTTTTTGGGTGGGGCAGAAACAGAGCAATGTTGTGATCTGATCTCGAGTTGTCAACTACAGGATGCTCGTGTATGACTTTGTCGATAATGGCAACTTGGAGCAATGGATTCACGGTGATGTCGGCGATGTCAGCCCTCTAACTTGGGATATCCGAATGAACATCATACTCGGGATGGCAAAAGGGTAATTCTTGATAGAGAGTTTTTAAGTTTAATATCTGCTATGTTTGTATGTAAATGTTTGGTGTATTATATGTAGATTGGCGTATCTACACGAGGGTCTTGAACCAAAAGTTGTTCATAGGGATATAAAATCGAGCAATATCTTGCTTGATCGCCAATGGAATGCCAAGGTTTCGGATTTTGGACTTGCTAAGCTATTGGGTTCCGAGAGCAGCTATGTGACAACCCGTGTCATGGGAACTTTCGGGTAACCTCTTCAAAATGACATTCTCTCTCCCTCACGAAATCTATAAAAATTCTGAATCTTTGGAGTTTTAGTTATGTAGCACCGGAATATGCTTGCACTGGAATGTTAAACGAGAAGAGTGATATCTATAGCTTCGGAATATTAATCATGGAGATCATCACGGGAAGAAACCCCGTTGATTATAGTCGGCCTCAAGGAGAGGTACATTTTAACGGGATTAAACCTGTTTTGTGTCTTTAAGATTTTGTAAATGTTTATTTTACTTTAATATAACCATTCTCTCGTTTCTGTGGTGGCTTTAGACGAATCTTGTAGATTGGCTGAAATCAATGGTTGGAAACCGAAGATCCGAAGAAGTAGTGGATCCAAAAATACCCGAACCTCCATCCTCAAAAGCTCTTAAACGAGTGTTACTCGTAGCTTTGCGCTGTGTAGACCCTGATGCGAACAAGAGACCTAAGATGGGACATATCATACATATATGCTTGAAGCTGAAGACTTGCTCTATCGCGATGTATACACATTTTAAAGCATTTTGTCTTTGCATTTTCTTTCACATCGCGCTACGAGAAATGTTTTAATGGTGTGATGATATCTTTGCAGGAACGCCGAGCAACTAGGGACCATGGAAGCCGCGAAAAGCAAGAGACGGCGTCAGCGGCTGCAGGTAGTGAAAGCGGCGAGAGCGGTTCACGGCATCATCAACAGCAAAAGCTAAGATGAAAAAGAGTCGCTTGTCACAACAGGACCATTCTATTTCAATTGATTCCTTATTGTATTGTATTAGAATATGTTTCATTCTTTGGCTCTTTGAGTATTGCCTTACGTCTAATTAACCTTTTTCCACTTTGTAATCTTTTGTCAACGATCACATGTCATTTTTATAAATTATAACATATAATATGTAATGTTTTTGGACCAACCTCGACGCTATATGTTCGGCCCGTGCATAACGATTGGTCGCTGGATCAAACTTATCGCTTCAAAAACCGGTATGAGGCAAAATGGACCCACAATGATTCTTTAAGCTCACGTGATTGTGTGTGTTTTAATCTCGATTATGTATTATGTGATCATTATCTTGAAAATATCCCAAGTTGCAAGAAAATAAAAATTGATTAAATTTATAATCAGACTTGTAAACAAAAGATAAGTGCACACACTCGCCATCGGAAGACTTAAAGAGTTGGGATATTTGGAAAATAACATTACGAATCCTCCCTACAGTCCTACTGTATAAGTCATTCTATTTTCTGACATTTGGATATTTCTTAAAGAAAAGTAAGCCATCCTAACAAAGTTTTTGTATGCGATAAAAGAGTATGAAACATGCGTATGTGTTGCGTACGCAAACGTCCAAATGTATATAATACATGCACCTTCTCATTGTTGACCCCCGAAAAAAAATAAAATTCAAAATATTATTTTTGTATTTCAAAGTAATTTTTGGGGGGTTCTTCTAATACTAAACATTATCGAAAGACAATATAAAACATGTCATGTAAGAAAATTTATGTTGAAGAAAATAATACACCAGAAAGGCTAATCGAATGATTGCATTCACAAGCAAGCTCGGACATTTATAGCCGTTGGATTAGAGGGAAGAATATCCGCTGGCTACAATTGACTTTTCCCGTTTTGTACAGTAACGCAACAAGTAGGCCAACACCACAGGAAGAAAAAAAAACATAACCCACATCGTAACCGTACACGCATTGATCTGTCATTTAGTGTTTCGTCACAGCCTCGTAACTGAAACCTAACCCCCCTTCCTCTCCCTTTCGTCTACCAAATCAACGTCAAACCTAAAACATTATTTCTTTGCTTTGCTTGTTTATCTGCAGATATACGGCAACTCTGTGGTTTAGTCATATATGAACAACGCCTTTTAATTTCTTCTTATCTTTCCTGGAAATTTCTGACCTCTAAATTAGTGTTTTGATTTTCGGTAAGAACTCTGACCCCTCGATCTGATTTTGGTCTCAGTTTGCTTTTAGTATTACACCGCTCTTTTGTTTTGTTTCTTTCCTTTTATTCTCCGTCTCTGATTTCTTATCTTCCTTGCCCAGAAACTTCTTTCAGGCGAATCCGATTTTCATATTTTGGAGTAACAAACTAGTTTTTGGTCCAAGGATCTATCTCTTTAGGTGAGTTTGGATTTGTGTCTCGGTTTCATGTGGTTGTTTTTATTTATTTATGATAGTCTTGTATTAGATTTCATGTCTTTGATCTCTTTTCTATGTGAATTCGAAACGGGTTCTTCGGAATTCAGATTTTTAAGATCTCGATTTTGCTTGACATACAGAAAAAATGCATTTTTATCCGTAAGCTAGAGATAGCTCTTGCCTCTTAGGGTTGACTCGTGGATCTATTGATTTACAGCTTCTTTCTTTCAGAGAAAATTAGATCTTGGTAAAGTTTTTATTTTGCTGTTCACTTTTGTATGAATACAATTTCAATCGAGGAGCGGACTTTTTGATGTTGCTTTAGATCTGTTTTGAAAACAATATGATCTTTGTCATGTATTTAGTATTGATTCAGTATTCTTTGTGTATGATATATGTGACGACAACTTTGCTCTTCTTCCTTTGTGTGTGTTTTCAGTACAAAATGGCTCGTCCACAAGACCCTCCACGCGGTTTCTTCCCATTTGGGAACCCGTTCAAGAATCTATCTTCAAAGAACCCTGTATTATCGTCGAAGCTTCTCTCGCTGTTGAACAGTTTTCGAGGTAAACTTGGCATCTTCGATTAGAAAGCTTGTCCCAAAGGAAAAGAGCCAGATCCTGACTGTTTCATGGATGAAGCAAGCCATGGAGTCTCTCTGCGAGACACATAATGGTATCAAGACTCTTATAACCGATCTCGAGCTTCCGGTATCAGACTGGGAGGACAAATGGGTTGATGTGTATCTTGACGTAAGCGTGAAGCTCCTCGATCTCTGCAACGCCTTTAGCTCAGAGCTAACCCGTCTCAACCAAGGCCACCTCTTGCTCCAGTTTGCTCTGCATAACCTGGAGACAAACTCCCCTCGGAATCTGTCGAAAGCCCAGTCATCACTCGGCAGCTGGAAGCAACACATTGTTTCCAAGAACCCGAGGATGGAAAACTGCCGCGCAATCCTGAGCAGCCTCGTTCAAAGCTTGAATCTCCCCAAGGTGAAAAAATACTCGGCCAGAGGAAAAGTCCTGATGCGAGCTCTATACGGTGTCAAGGTTAAGACTTTATACGTTTCCGGTGTTTTTGCTGCAGCATTCTCAGGTTCGTCGCACAATCTGTTTTACCTTACCGTCTCAGACGAGCTTCCATGGGCACAGTCATTCATGGAAATGCAGAACACGATGAACGCAGAAATCAAGAACGTATTTTTGTCAGACGGGTTTACGGTTCTGAAAGAGCTCGAGGCCGTTGATTCGGGTGTTCAGAGACTTGCCCCTGCGATCCGACAAGGGTCATTTGATCCCATTTCGCTGCAGCCACTGAAGGACTCGGTCACGGAGTTATCGAATGGGCTAGATCTTGTTTCGAAGGAGGTGGATTGTTTCTTCAAGACTCTGTTGTCGGGGCGGGACACATTACTGGAGAACCTCAGGTCGATGGGCGTATCAACGGTACTCGCAACATCACCAAAAACGGTTGCTGATAGACAGCTATTGTGTGAATGGATGGTGTAAGTTCGGTAGTGAATGTGTTGTTAGGTGTGTGTGGTATTGTGGTCGTTTGTGTGAGATGCAATGAAACTAGTATTTGTATAAGTAAAGGTTTTTCAAAAGTTATTAAATCTTGCTAGTATATTAAAAATTCTCGAGATTTATCATCTTGTAAGCAGAGGACGCGAGAAACGGTCAAATTTCCGCTCTTGTAGCACTCTAAATCTAGCTGGGTCTGTCTCGGATTTATTCAATTCACAATCTTTGAGTTTAGTGGTGTAAAGAGAGAGAGAGAGAGAGAGAGAGAGAGAGAGAGAGAGGAAGAAATATCAACGGAGAGAGGCGTCAATGATCATCGTAGCAGAAGAATGGCTATCAACAATGGTCGTTATGTTCAGTATAACCTCTATGAGAACCCAATCGGCGACAAGAGCTCAGGCAAGAGTCGGTGAAAACAGTTCTTCTGGACCCGTCGGATATCCAGAGAAGGAGAGAAGAAGCTGCTTCAGGATGATGGTGGCTGGGCGGCGATCCATCTTGGCTCAGATCTGAAGCGGCGGCGACCCCTCGGGAGATGGGCCTAAACCGGAGAAGGTCATTTGCATGAAATCATCAGCTTGATAATGTACTAAAATTCTTGAGAATATTATTAGTTTTGATTTTCTTTCAATCGGTTTTATTTTGTCTTGTATGATTTGAAGCCGAATCAAGTACCTTCTCTTTTTGGTTCGGTTCTGTTTTCGAATTGGATTTTCCGGTTACAGTTGCACGTTGATTGGCCTAAGACCATTTATCATGTCGCAGAAAAGGCGAAGAAGCGTTTCATATTGACAAAATAATATTAACGTTTCATATTCACAAAATAATGTACATTTTTCTAATGATCATATCTGACGGAGATGTACACGAGTCATTGTCGTTATTATTCTGTTCTTGAAACCAAACCGGGTCAAATTTAAATCTTTCAAAAAAATATTTTTTTGCCTATCAATTGTTAGTTTCCTGGTTAAACCCGTCCGTACTTGTCGTAGTTCGTATCCAAATGCAGACGAGAACCAAAAAACAAATTGATTCGAGTTCAACGTTTCTGTTGGATAAACCGTAACAGTAGTCTAAACCGAACCCACTAATTATCCTTGCAAGAAAGATGAACAAAACATTCAGCTACACATGTGTGCGTATTACGTTTTATTAAGTTTATGATCCGACGACGTTTTAACTATATCTCTCCATTTTATTTTTTCTTGTACAAGGTAAACAAATGGGCTTAAAGCCCAAGACATCATCAGTGGCTAACTTCTAGAACTCTGTGGCCTTATCCGGCTCGCGGCCCATAGTTTTATTTTTGAGCTATGGAGGCGATAGAAGCGTGTAGTCGAACAGTAGTGAATTTACTTTTACAACCCGGGTTTTCTCAAATATTATCATCCAGCAAAAAGGTCAATTTACTTTTACGACGACGAACCGAAAAACCAAACGTATTTTTCAAAAAAGGATATATTCCGATTTAAACTAAAATCATTTTTAAAAAGATGCATTTTTTAAACATAGATAACCTTAATTAAGTCACTTAAACATTGATAAACTTAACTAGTCTCTTAAACATTGATAAAAAAGTTAAAACATAGATAATTAACCTTCGTTCCTAACGAGCACGAAGACATCCACGATCTTCAATATTCCCAAAGCAGAGAGGAAGATGACGACGACGACTTCAAGTAAGTTCCATAGACCTTCGAAATCGGCAAAGTAGGCCGCTTCCACGACTGCAACGCCGCCGCATGCGAGACTGGCAAATTCAATGGCAAACTTCAGCTTTTGGTGTCGGAATCCTCTTGCTGCTGGGGTGAGGCCAGCGTAGACAAGAACGGTGGGGATGAAAACCTTCGGGAGTCCCACGCCCATCTTGTCGAGGAGGAACTTGACGGTGGAGGAGATTTGGCCGCTCAAAGAGTGACCCGGATCTGACGAAGTTTTATCCGGATCCTTCTTGAGGATCGGGACGAACAAAAAGATGTTCGTTATGACCCACTTAATGTAATCGTTGGCCTTTTCCATGAATTCTGACCACTCTTTATCGCCGATGTTTGGAGCAGGGAGTGCGGCGGCGGCTGGAGCAGCTGGATCAGGGAGTGCGGTTTGAACGTTGGGGTTGGCGGCTGGAGCAGCTGGATCAGGGAGTGCGGTTTGAACGTTGGGGTTGGCGGCTGGAGCAGCTGGATCAGGGAGTGCGGTTGGAACGTTGGGGTTGGCCGCTGGAGCGATGCTGTTTTCCGGTGGAGGGTTATGGAGTGGGAGGATTTGTGGATTGTCGCTTTCGGCCTGTCTGAGACGGAAAAAAGTCAGCATCCGCATAAGTAGTCCGCAGGTCGGAGCGTTGGCCGCTGGAGCGTTGCTGTTTTCCGGTTGAGCGTCGTCGTCGTCAACCGGAAAACAGCAACGCTCCAGCGGCCAACCCCAACGTTGCAACCGCAGGACCAGTGAGGCTGTTTTTCGCGCGTGTTCTCCGGTTCTTGCATTTCTGGAGTCTCCGGTTCTTGCATTTCTGGACTCCCGGTGCTACGGCCGAAGTCAACACTCCACTACTCATCCCACTCGGTGACGCTCAACCGGAAAACAGCAACGCTCCAGCGACCAACGCTCCGGCCTGCGGACTACTTATGCGGATGCTGACTTTTTTCCGTCTCAGGCAGGCCGAAAGCCACAATCCACAAATCCTCCCACTCCATAACCCTCCACCGGAAAACAGCATCGCTCCAGCGGCCAACCCCAACGTTCCAACCGCACTCCCTGATCCAGCTGCTCCAGCCGCCAACCCCAACGTTCAAACCGCACTCCCTGATCCAGCTGCTCCAGCCGCCGCCGCACTCCCTGCTCCAAACATCGGCGATAAAGAGTGGTCAGAGTTCATGGAAAAGGCCAACGATTACATTAAGTGGGTCATAACGAACATCTTTTTGTTCGTCCCGATCCTCAAGAACGATCCGGATAAAACTTCGTCAGATCCGGGTCACTCTTTGAGCGGCCAAATCTCCTCCACCGTCAAGTTCCTCCTCGACAAGATGGGCGTGGGACTCCCGAAGGTTTTCATCCCCACCGTTCTTGTCTACGCTGGCCTCACCCTAGCAGCAAGAGGATTCCGACACCAAAAGCTGAAGTTTGCCATTGAATTTGCCAGTCTCGCATGCGGCGGCGTTGCAGTCGTGGAAGCGGCCTACTTTGCCGATTTCGAAGGTCTATGGAACTTACTTGAAGTCGTCGTCGTCATCTTCCTCTCTGCTTTGGGAATATTGAAGATCGTGGATGTCTTCGTGCTCGTTAGGAACGAAGGTTAATTATCTATGTTTTAACTTTTTTATCAATGTTTAAGAGACTAGTTAAGTTTATCAATGTTTAAGTGACTTAATTAAGGTTATCTATGTTTAAAAAATGCATCTTTTTAAAAATGATTTTAGTTTAAATCGGAATATATCCTTTTTGAAAAAATACGTTTGGTTTTTCGGTTCGTCGTCGTAAAAGTAAATTGACCTTTTTGCTGGATGATAATATTTGAGAAAACCCGGGTTGTAAAAGTAAATTCACTACTGTTCGACTACACGCTTCTATCGCCTCCATAGCTCAAAAATAAAACTATGGGCCGCGAGCCGGATAAGGCCACAGAGTTCTAGAAGTTAGCCACTGATGATGTCTTGGGCTTTAAGCCCATTTGTTTACCTTGTACAAGAAAAAATAAAATGGAGAGATATAGTTAAAACGTCGTCGGATCATAAACTTAATAAAACGTAATACGCACACATGTGTAGCTGAATGTTTTGTTCATCTTTCTTGCAAGGATAATTAGTGGGTTCGGTTTAGACTACTGTTACGGTTTATCCAACAGAAACGTTGAACTCGAATCAATTTGTTTTTTGGTTCTCGTCTGCATTTGGATACGAACTACGACAAGTACGGACGGGTTTAACCAGGAAACTAACAATTGATAGGCAAAAAAATATTTTTTTGAAAGATTTAAATTTGACCCGGTTTGGTTTCAAGAACAGAATAATAACGACAATGACTCGTGTACATCTCCGTCAGATATGATCATTAGAAAAATGTACATTATTTTGTGAATATGAAACGTTAATATTATTTTGTCAATATGAAACGCTTCTTCGCCTTTTCTGCGACATGATAAATGGTCTTAGGCCAATCAACGTGCAACTGTAACCGGAAAATCCAATTCGAAAACAGAACCGAACCAAAAAGAGAAGGTACTTGATTCGGCTTCAAATCATACAAGACAAAATAAAACCGATTGAAAGAAAATCAAAACTAATAATATTCTCAAGAATTTTAGTACATTATCAAATCTTTGATTAAAACAATCTTTGATACGACATATCTTGTCACTCAGTGTTTTGTCACTCAGTGTTTTGAGAGTGAGAAGCAAGAGAGAAAGAATCTCTTGATAAAAAAGAAGTCCATCAGCTCAAAGGAAGAAACTTTACCGGATCTCATCTTCTCCTTGTCAAGTTCAACTCTGAGATCACACAAAGTCAATTCCACATTCTTGACCCGTTCCTCGAGCTGTTGGACCAAAGATCCATCAGAAAGTGCTTTCTTCCTCTCCAAGGAAACTTCTTCAAGCTTTGACTTCAACCAGTCGAGCTTGAAGCCTGTTTCGGTGAGCTCAGTCAATTCGCTTGGTTTGGTATGGCATATGGGTGCTCTTTGAAAATCTTGAACACTGCAGCGCTCTAGGAAGAAAAGAAAAAAAGGATGTGATTATGCAAACCCTGACTCTCTTGTGTGATTTAAAAGACTCGTTCAACTTACTTGAGAAGCAATCATCTCGAAGTTGCCGAAATACATCACATCATTGGCAGTTGATTTTCCTTGATGAACAACTTCAAGTACTTTGATGGAGACTTGAATAGTTAGTTTGGTCTTGTCCCGAAACCCTTCATGTTGGAGCTTGGTGCCATGATGGAAACCCCAGCTTGAGGCCTCAGCGCAGAACACTTGGCAAATGTCTGTAAGAT